GATCATTGAGATCATTGAGTTTTTCCTTTTCAGTCTGTGGCTTCAACGAGTAAGACAAACCTTGTCAAAAACATGGGGACATTTGAGCCCATCATCTCACTGGTATGTTATTTACACACAGACACACACACACTATATCTATATATATACACAGTGGTACCTCAGGTTACATACTCCGCTAACCCAGAAATAGTGCTTCAGGTTAAGAACTTTGCTTCAGGATAAGAACAGAAATTGGGCTCCGGCGGCGCAGCGGCAGCGGGAGGCCCCATTAGCTAAAGTGGTGCTTCAGGTTAAGAACTTAAGAACAGTTTCAGGTTAAGAACAGACCTCCGGAATGAATTAAGTACTTAACCTGAGGTACCACTGTATATATCTATATATCTCTCTATATATATTCTAGTCAGCCCTGTGTGCTCAGAGCAGGTTACAACACAGTTTCCCCACAAATGAAAACACTTCTCTTCAAAAGAAAATGGCAGACTTTTAAAAAGCCAAACAATATCAATCAATATGTGAAGTTTGCCTTGGAAAGAAGGGAAGATTGCGCGTTTGTTTGCTATTATGCTAAAGTAAGTGACTCTTAATATTCTTCATAACTGCAAAAATCACCGGACTTGTTGGGGATGCACTGCAAACTGTGCTCAGGATAGAAAGGCAATGAGCAGGTGCTGAAGAAAAAGCAGCCCAGCAACGCTGTTTTTAACCTGCCTTTCCCCCTTTTCTCATCAGGAAACTGGTTGCTTCCGGACAACCTCTTTGTCTGTGGGGAGATCAGACAACATCAGCTATTTATCAAGTATTCATTCTGATTTGTTGGGGAGGATGTTAGATGATACACTTTCCAAAGCATTTTCCTGTCTCTTTTCTGTTTATTGGGGGGCGGGGCGGACAGGTTTGTACAAAAGCTGCAAATCGACTTTAATTGTGCAAACCTAAATTTCCTGGTATGTGAATGAATCCCACCCCGAAATAGCGACTGCTTGAAAAAGCACCCCTTATGGCTTGCTGCACATTTTCTCACCCATTGCCTGTTCTTTTCTCCACATTGCCTCCTGCGCATGCCTCCCCTTTGAATTACCTCCAGAGCATTGTGCAGGAAAGTGGAGATCAGTCATCTTGAAGCAATGTCTTCATTCCTCCCAACTCATAAACACTTTGGTTGGTTTTCCAATAAATAAAATATAGCTGCAGGGGGGAAGAAATCTTTGAAGAAGAAACATAACTCAGCAGCTGTTATCAGCGTACCATAGACCAAAGTATCACAGGACAAGCCATCTGTTTCACTGAAGAACAAAAAGGTAAGACTCAAAAAGACCCCAAGACGGAAACTGATTCTTCTGGTACAGTTCAATATTTCTCTTTTTGCCTTGATGTCTGTAAAAAGGTCATCATTCAGCTTCAGGCTTAACAGCTTCCCAAAATTACTTTTAAGACATACTGCGCCAGTGTTTTGAGGTAAAATATTTAGGACTATAGCTTAAGTTATGAATCAGGCAATGCATTAGCTTTCTGCTGGAAATACCTTTGTGATTCCCATGCATTTGCAGATCATCAAAACAGTACAGCAAAAGCCGATGACATGATCTCCCTGGCCTAGGCTTACTTACCTCTTCCTTCCTTCAGATGCTCAGCTGGCTATGACAAGGCCTTTTTAGCAGTGGCACCAAGAATTCTGTATCATCTTTTTAAAATTGTTGCAAGTTGCCTTGGAGGGATTGAACAGTGGGGAACATTTTTTCAGCACATAAACCAAGTTCTTCCTCATGCACCAACTGGGCTACATTTGCTTTTTATCAGCTTTCCCTTTATTTTCCTCTTCTCCCCCCCCCTTTGTTTTTCTCTTATTGCTCCACATCTGGCATGATAGATCCTCCATGAGTCCCTATTTTCTAGGGACATCCCTGATTTAGAGAAGCCGTCCTGGTTTCTGATTTGATCCTGGAATGTCTCACTTTCCCTATTTTCACTGGAGAAATGTTGGAGGGTATGGATTTTTCCGAGCCCCAAGCCATCTGAAGTCAATCCTATATTGGGAAGGTTTTATTATGTTTAATGTTTAATAATAATAATAATAATTTATTATTTATTATTCTTTATACCCTGCCCATCTGGCTGGGTCTCCCCAGCCACTCTGGGTGGCTTCCAACAAAGTATTAAAATACAGTAGTCTGTTAAACATTAAAAGCTTCCCCAAAGAGGGCTGCCTTCTGATGTCTTCTAAAAGTCTGGTAGTTGTTCTTCTCTTTGACATCTGGTAGGATGACATTCCACAGGGTGGGCACCACTACCGAGAAGGCCCTCTGCCTGGTTCCCTTTAACTTGGCTTCTCGCAGTGAAGGAACCGCCAGAAGGCCCTCGGCGCTGGACCTCAGTGTCTGGGCAGAACGATGGGGGTGGAGATGCTCCTTCAGGTATACTGGACTGAGGCCGTTTGTTTTCATATATGTTGGAAGCTGTCCAGAGTGGCTGGGGCGACCCAGTAAGATGTGTGGGGTATAAATAGTAAAATTATCCTTATGGAATGGGATGTCCCTTTTTTTCATTGGAGAAATGTTGGAGGTTATGGCATGAGTATGCAATACTATGAAATCCCAGCATTTAATACCTTTCTTGAGAAATTGTAACAGATTCCCCCCCCCCCCTTAAATCTGGAAAGGCTGTCTTGAAGAAAATGTGAGGACTGCTGCTTCTTTCTAGCCAAATTTTCTTGAGTTTTGATTTCTATGTCAAAACATGCATGTTTGATAAGGGAGAGAACCATTTTTTTGAACAACATATCTATTCCTAGAGCCTTAAAAACCATTCATAGGGGCAGCGGGTCTTTGGCACAGGTTTGACAAACACTAAGACAAAGCAGATAGACAAAATGTTGAGCAGGAGGTGTTGAAAGATTACTGGGAAGTTGAGTGGGGGAATCAGTGAGCTTTCAACTGAAAACAAAGCAGTGAAACAAAAAAAAAGTTGCTGTTTTGTCTCAGCTCTGTGTATTTCATTTGGTACCACCTTTCTTTATATATCCACCATCTGTCTCTTGTCTAACTGCATTCCCCTTCTCTCTGGGGAGGAGATAATCAGGCTTGAGGATACTGGGATGGTGGTCATGGCAGAAAATATGGATAGGGTGGAATGCACGCCCAGGGCTGCTGGCTGTGTAGGTGCCAGAAGAGCCACAGGGTGACTGATTTAATTACTGAATGTTTGGAAACAATGCAGAATGTGACAGAAGGAGTGCATCTGCCAAACCGAGCAGAGTATTGATCTCTCAAACTGCATTTCATTTGGGTTGAAAAACAATATGTCTCGCATTGGCTTTGAAACTGGAATGAGCAACCATGAGCCATAGCAACCCACAGCTTCTGAAATCTCAAAGCAACTAACTTGCACTCAGCAGGGAACGGTGTAACAACCAAAGGGAAAAAGTGCAAGGATGTGGGGTGATGTAAAGAAATAGCACTGATAAGCTGATTGTAGCAGAAGTTGCTCAGCATCACAAACTCCCCGGGCTTGTCCTACCTGGCCTGTTCACTTTGGGAGGCAGAGCAGCAGGCACAGTGCTCCCAGCACAAACCAGAGTATGTGGAACCTACAGTAGCTGATCAAAACACATGGTATGAATGCAATCGACCACATGGACAAATGGTGATGTGGTGTAGACCTAAAAATATGCCGTAACTGACAATAGGCTCATCCCTTGTCCTTTGTCTTCTTCCGTTTGTCCTTTGCTTTCTATGCATGACGTAACACAAAATGAGAGAAACAACCATCCTTTACAACCTTAAATTTATCATGAGAAGTCAGCTATGTCCTGTATGTCATGGTTATGGAGATCACACAACACTGACATTGTTGCTGCTGCAGGGAACATTCCTCAGAACCAGGAAAATATACTAGACACATCGCTCTCATTTCACAGAAACTGCTTAGAAGGTACCTGCACATTTTGTGTCATCGCTTCCTTTCTAGGAGGACTAGAGACTTACTTGATAATAAGTTCAGTGTCTGGAGAACGTGCCCAGGGGCACCACTAGAAGCCTTCATGGGTGCTGGGTTGCAGGTCCCTGGCTAAGCATTATGTGCAAAGTCAGCCAATGAGTTCTGTGTGTATGAACAGCTCATCACCTATGAGGGAACCTCCTTGATGGACCTCAGAAGACTTTAAAATCCTGCCTTCAAACCCAAACTCCTAAGTATGTTAAACTAAAACCAATTTAATAGAAGCGTTTGCTTGTTGAGCCATTATCAAAGTGTGGTTATTCCTGACTGAAGCCTTATTCAAATGTATCGGATATGTTCAGGACATGTCAGGACTATTGAAATATTTACATTGGTAATGAACCTGATTGGTATGCAAACTCAGATTTAATATAGTTGAATATAGTACCTTCTCTTTGCTGTTTTTCATCATTTTCTTGCAGCTCTTCTCTAGGCGAGTCAAGACCACGAGAGAATAGGGGCTGAAACCCCAAACCCTGACCTTGTGAACAAAGCAACAAAGGTTTATAGTATCCCACTTTGGGGGGGGGGGCATTGAAGTCAACTTGTCTATCTGCACTACAGCTGACTCTAATACTGAAATAATACTAGCCCAGAGAGATAAAGTTTTTGCTGTGGTGCACCACAGCTGTTGGGTTTAACAGTCCTAACACATTCTGCTGGGCATATGTGTAAGCATATGCCTGTGTAGGTGAGGCAGCTTTTGAAGCAGATGTTCTCTTAAGATGAGGCTTATCACATGGGAAGCATTTTGTGCCATCACAGAAGTGATCCTCCAAAATAGGGTATTTTCATAGTGTAGATAGCTGTATATGTCAGACCTCATTCACAAACATCCCTAAGTAGCAAGCACAAAGCAATGTCAGATTCAGGCATTTTTCAAAAGAGAGTGCTGAAAAGTCTGGTTTCTCTAATGCTCAAAAAAGAGTGCATATTCCTGTAATAGAGGGATTATCCACACTTATCTTTCCTCCGTACTTTCCAGGTGCAGTCCGCACTTTAAAACTCTGTGTTTGAGCACCCCCCACTTCAGAGCTTTCCTTGTGAAAACCTGCTCCTTAAAACTGAATTGGAGAAAACAGCAATCTGCAGAAAACCTGAATTGCCATTTACTCCAATTCAGCTTTAAAAAGCAGGTTTTCATAGGGAAAGCTCCAGAGCCAGGAGGATGATGCTTGGACACAGAGCTTTAGAGCATGGACCTCTGCCTGGAAAGAGTGGGGCAAAATGTAAGTGTGGATAAGCCCTTGCTGGAATCTGGCTTCTTCATACCACATTTAAACCCAGAGCCTATTTAAAACCATATAAATATGCAAACTGGTCTGCAGTTCATGTCGGTGCTTTCTGGACATTGCTTACTGTCCCGTTGCTACTTTGAGTTTGGACAGTTCAAGGAATGTTCCTGCTGAATCCATTCAAACTCACTTTTTAGGAAAGTGCGCCGACTTCTGGCTTAAGGCCCGTGTTTGTCTTTTTCCAACAAGCATTTGAAAGCCCCTCAATGCAGCAGTGGGATAATAAACAGTTGTTCAAGAGAGAATATTGGAAGAAACTACAGCTCAGTCAACATATTAAAATGGATTTTTAATGGCCACCGGGTTTAAATTTGGCACAAAGAAGACAATAAAACACAAATACAGGGATGGGTGCTCCTTGTCAAGTGTTACAGACTCTAGACATTAAACCCTCCATCAGGGAAAATCACCAGATTCTAGCATCCATTAGTATCAGCTACCCTGGAATTATTATGTTTCTTTTGAATAAGGCAATAAAGCTGAGAAATTAGATCCTTTTTTGTGTGAAGTGGAAAGCACTCTTTTAAAATAATGTTGGCACTCTGTGTATGTCAAGCTGCTAATTACCGACATGGCCACAAGTGAAAATCCTGTGTTTATGGGAGTGATGCCTCCAGCAGTTTATTTTGCAAAGAAGCATCTTTAATTAGGCCTGAGTACCACTTGATTCATTTTATTTGTCTAGCCTGCTGAAGCGAAATGGATGCTAGGACTGGATGAACCCAGGTGCTCCAGCAAAATAAAACACTGGCAAAATGATGTTAACTGAGATAGGCTTCACAAACCACTTTTATGCCTCCCCTCTCCACACTGCTCACCAAGAATGGGAAACCAGTGGCCCTCCAAGCCTCTCTGTCTGGCCCTAGGATTCATACTGTGCTTTTGCCTGGCTAGTATGTCCTTTTGAACTGTGTTAAGGATTCTTGCATCCTTGCTCTACCCTTAGGGTAACACATGAATAGGGCTAGTGGTGGCAGCCAATTTCCAGAATTAAAGACCGACTGACAACACATGTGTCTGTCTGCTCAGAACTAGGTCCTATTTTCAATGGGTCTACTAACTTCGAAAGCACGTCAAAGTGCAAGTAGATAAATAGGTACCGCTCCGGCGGGAAGGTAAACGGCGTTTCCGTGTGCTGCTCTGGTTTGCCAGAAGCGGCTTAGTCATGCTGGCCACATGACCCGGCTCCCTCGGCCACTAAAGCGAGATGAGCGCCGCAACCCCAGAGTCGGTCACAACTGGACCTAATGGTCAGGGGTCCCTTTACCTACTAACTACTGCGTGAATGGATATAGGATTGCAGTCTCAGTTTTTCCTTCACTCTTCCCCCTGGTGTATGTTAACTCATCTGTTCAGGGCTTGTAATCTTTCTGCTTGGGATAACCAAACTATCCCAAGCTCACCGTACACCAGTGTGGTCATTTCTGTATGTTGCAGAATACCAAGGTCTAACTAAGGCTGGTCTTCTAGTTTCTGAGATTTTTGGCTGATACATGTGAAACACTTGCAATTCAAGTGTTCTTAAAATCAGGGGCAAATTAGCTTGAATGGCTTTTTATCCCACTTGATTCTATGGAAACACATCCAATCACATTCTTTCCAACAAGCACCAGGCACTCCAATGTTAGTAAATGCAAGGACTCCCTAACTGCTTTCCTTGTATTGTGAAGTTATTCAGCTGCAAATTGACATTCCATAGCAGTCATTCAATTGCCTTCCTATATCTGTAATTATCTCATAGGTTGTCACTGGTTGCTTATTTGCCGTCTGCTGTAATTACCTAATAGACACTCGTGAAAGTGGAGTTATTACAGATGGGGAAAGAGGGCTGCCAGCTGCTGCCCCAGAGAGGGGGTCTGTTGCTTTTAACAAATCTGGAACCGACACAATGTGCAGCAGCTGCTTCTAGAATTCACCAAGAGCTCAGTTGCTCCAGTTGCTGGTCTCCCATTTAACCCTAGCTACAGCCATTGTCTTTCCCTTCGAAGCTGGATGCTCAAAGTGGGTGAGGCTGGTTTAAGAAGCCAAGTCAAATGCAACTGAGGTCTCCCAGTCACCAGTGTTTCCATCCATATAATAGCAGATACCTGGAGAGCCGTTCACTTGCTCCCTTCTTATGGGTGGGTTCTTCTGCTTCAGAAACTTCTAGTTTTCCTGATGCATCTTCCTTTTGCTTGGGCAATCCCACTTTCAGCGAGCTTTTCTTCCACATTGTCTACAAATGGCATTTGGTCCCAGATTCCCTTGGGGGAGTTTCTCCTCCTCCTCCTCCTCCTCCTCCTCCAAGACTTGATTGCTTGTATCCAAGCCTTTGCCAGCTGCTGAGCCAACCCTGTGGAAAGTTGTACCTGGAAGACTACTGCTGTCATAAAATAGCCCTTCTAGAGCTGGGAATTTTAGGGAAACACCCATTTCTGCTTCAACATTCTGTACTCTAAATATAACATTGCTTTATGTAAAATGGCAACCAGGAGAACATTTTCTGTTGTGGCATCCTTATTATGGAATCACCTCACCACTGAGCTTTGGCAGGCATCAACCCTGATGACATTTTCATGCTTATTAAAAGGGCACTTATGCGCCGAGGCTTGTATTGGTGCTTAATTCCAGTAAATTATGTTAATTTTGAACCCTACTTGGTTTATCAGCTACATTTTATTTTTTATTTTTATTTTTAAGTTTTAACATGGTTTCACGAATTTCTTGAGACTCACCATCTTGAGACTTAAGGCCTGTGGGGGAGGAGGGCAAGTGGTTCTCCAGATGTTGTTAGACTCCTCCTTCCATCAGCCCCAGGCAGCATGGCCAATGATCAGTGATGATAGGCACAGTGTCCCCATCCATGATGTAAGTCAAGTTCTCCTCATTTCTGTACTGGTACTTACATAGGTAAACATGGAAGCCTGCTGTCCCTAGTAGGTAGTATAGACATTAGTTGCTAGAGATTTCCCTTACAGCAGACACTTTGCCCTTCTTCACCTTTTGCATGCTCTCTTGCTCTCTCTGATGGCAAAGCTTTTCTCTGATGAGTGACAATGGTGCACTCAACATACAGGGACAAGCAGGACAGGGAAATCCAACCATCACTATCTTTAGTGGCTAAATAAGGAGGAAGCCACTACAGGCAGAGGGAGGCTTGATCATATGCACTCCATTTAAAAGAGGGTAACGTGGATCGTTTTAAGAATTTAAAGTGATTAAATCATTTAGATTTGTAACTTTTCCTGATGTTTTTATTTACAAGGACTAGGGTGTCAGATGGTATGGTAGAAACTGAATTGAGAAAAGGGAAGGTAGAATGACTGGGAATCAGAAAATAGTATCCAAAAGTTACAGCAGAAGACAGAAAAATTATAGTGAAGTTCCTCCATCTCCTAAACACGTTTTGTGATTTTAGCAGCTATGAACAGTGACCAAATGGTTTTTTATTGGATTTCCATTCTATATTTAACTTTACTGAGCTTCCCTGATATGTGCATATTGAAGGGCAGGGGGGAAATCTAGTAAAATAAAACAAATAAATGAATGGCAATCAATTTTCAGAGAATGCACATAATTTTCTTCAGTGCTTCATTGAACCAGAGTGAAATACTTTGATTACCCGAACTGCTAAACCGCCTGTTATAGCCTCTGCCTGTTTCCCAAGAGTCAGCCATTCCAACTCAGTTAAAGGAGATCATCCTTCTCTGAGTGTATCAAAAACAGGCAAACACACACATTTCTGATCCTTTAAAACCCAGTGCTTTGAAACTTTTCAATAATGTATGAAAAGAAAACCATTTCATGGATAATAAAGCAGGACTGGCAAGGAAAAAAACCTCCACAAAAAACCTTTGAGCTGAGCAACTCACTGTGAAAGGAGAATCAATGTAGCGTTGACAAACCTCTCAGGCCTGCATTGATCCAGGCCCAAATCTCTCTCTAGCGCTTAGAGGAAATAACACTCCAGATTAAGAAAGGGTTTTTTCCCTTTTGTTGTAGATTTTAGGAAGTTGCCTTCCTCTCCCAGAGGAAGACTCTAGGGAGGACTCAGACTGTGTTGCAGGGCAGAAACTGGGTTACTAGATGTTCTGATTTAGAGAGGCTAATTTGCAGGCCGGGTTTTTTTTGTGTGTGCACTTTAGGGGCTTTGTTGTATATGCTCCAACTACCCTGCAAATGCCGGGATCGTCATGAAAACCCTTAAGCCATCACAGCTTCTCACTTTTTCAAACAGTATCCTGAATTGCCAAGGGGCCTTCTCTTCCTGTTTGTTGCTATTATTGGTTTCTACTGATTTATTGGTTTGCTTGTATGGGATATTTTGTTTTTTTAATGTTTGTTGTGTTTTTATATATGCTGTAAGTCACCCAGAGTGGCTGGGGAAACCCAGCCAGATCGGTGGGATATAAATTGTTGTTGTTGTTCAGTACAGCGTTTCAACATGTTTCTGGAAATTCAGTATGTGTCCCTTTAACACATTTCTTAGATCTATGCCCCTCGCTCCCTTCCCCCACTCAATATGGCGTCACTTCCTGTTTTACATATACAAGCTCCAGGTCACTTGAATGCCCCTAAAAAAGTTTTCCACTGTTTCCCCACTCCTTGGTCAGTCTGTCTCCCAAAAAGAAAGTGGAGAGTGGGAGAGCGAAGGGGGAGTGGCCTTTCCAGCCATGGCTTCAAAGAGCGCTGAGGGGTCATGGGCGCTGAAGAGAGGCCTCATTTGGCTCCAGCTTGCTTCGTTGGGCCACTGCATCTGGGTCCCTGGGTCCCAGCCTCTGAGGTGGTGGCACAGCAGTGGCAGCAGGGGCGGAAGGAGACTGATATAGAATATGTCCCTATTTTCATCTGAGGAATGTGTGTGACTGAGGTGACCATGAGAGACTCTACTTCAGTGCTGGGGGCCAACTCTGCAGTCCTTCAGTCTTCTTTATCTGGCCCTCAGGACTTTCCCCCTCAAGTCTCATCCCTCCCTGGACCTGCTCTGCCCCCTCAGGTGTTTTTTGCTTGGCCGAAAGCCTTGACCTGTGATAATGCCTCTTGCTTGCCCAAATGAAGAAGTGGAAGTGGGGGCGAAGGAGCCCCTGGCTTTTGTGTGCCTGGAATGTAGCGTACTGTACCAAAACCACCTCTATTGCCTCCTGCACTTTTGTCTCTGGTCCCTCAGAAGGATATCCATGACGGAACGCACCCTGAGGCCAAAAAGAAACCAAGCTATGTTGCTTGCCCTGCCACACAAGCAGCTTGTCAAATTAGAAGCAGAGAGCTGCTAAAGAGAGATCATTAAGTGAAGATATTAGTATGCAGCGTGTCTTCAGTATACTACAAACTCTCACAGTTGAAGTCTTGCAGTTTAACAGTTTGGAGTTAATTATGCATTGCATGCGAACATGTGAAATGAAATCTCAGCTGCCTGCTTCCTCACTGCAAAGCAGTAGGGGGGCAATTGCAAGGGAGTAGTCATGGGAACCAGAACAGTGGGAACTTCCAACCAAGTCCAAGTTGTCCTGCAGGACTCCTTTGTAGGGATATACTTGACCCCATGGCTATGGACAAAGCCCACATTTAAACAGGGCTGCCATACATCCGGATTTCCCCAAACATTCCCGGGATTTCAAAGGCGGAATTGATGTCCAGGAGGAATTTCCAAAAGGTGGCACTTTGTCCTGGATCTTAGACAAGAAATTGTGGGGTGGGGGTTTTGGGGGGCGTTTTTGAAATATGGCAACCCTAATTTAAAGCACGCATCCCACTCCCGACCCAAAAATCATGCGAACTGTAGTTTACCCTTCACATAACTACAATTCCCAGCGCTCTTAACAAACTACAGCTCCTATAATCAGGGGTGGGGAGTGTGCTTCAAATGCATTGTGTGTACCCAGCCCCAAACAGTTTCAACACATGTTGCCTGCAAAGGTATGTAGTGCGGGGGCAGCCAATGTCATTGGACCCCCTGCTTCCATCTTCCCCAGCTAGCTGCAGACCAGCAACATCTAGAGGACCACAGGTTCTCCACCCCTGTCATAGTATGTCTGTTTTAGTTCCACACAGCACTCACAACCTACCACAAGCATAGCCTAGGGATGGGCATTTACACGTCACTGAAAAAGAGGAGAGGAGAGGACACTAATTTGGATAAGCTGGTTGATTGCAAGTATATAAGTATAGATGCAATTTTCTAAATTATTACAATTTAAATAAAAATGCATCTTGCAACTATTACTATTACTATATACCCCACCATTTCCCCTGATGGGACCCTGTCCTTGTGAGGAAGACCTTGGTCAGGTGCCTGGGTGCCTGCTCATCCTGCTGTCCAGGTGCTAACTTCAAGAATCCTGCTCTTCCTACTTCTACCTTTAAACCAGACTTGGATCTGGCAGGCCTTCAAAAACAACCCTGTCCTCTGCATTGTAGGACACGTGGTCACCTTGCCTATCAAGTAAAAAAGATCTGGGCACCCCCAATCAGTGTCACCCAACTGGAACAATACTGGGGAGGGGAAAAACAGGCTACCAGAGAACGCAATGCATTGAGGTTTTGTAGCCATTGCTTATTATTTCAGGTTCACTTCTTTGCAGGTCACTCGTTCTTTTCAGTATCTACACTATTAAGAAACAAGTGACAGCTCACGTCAGTAGAGGACGAGACTCTTAATCTCAAGGTTATGAGTTTGAGCCCCATGTTGAGTTAAAGATTCTTGCATTGCAGAGGGGTGGACTAGATGACCCTTTGGGCCCCTTGCAACTCTACAAGTCTGTGATTCTGTGAAAGCCACAGCTCATATGCAAGCCTGTTCCTCTCCCCTTCTATCCAATTCCAGAGAGACGAGATTTAGCACTGTTGTATCTTTTAAAGAGATTTGCAGTGTATTGCACTCAAGTTAAAATGATAGTGACTCAAATTTCCCTGATGGTACATAAAAGCCCCTAGAGAAGCCAGAAATCACGAGACTTGTCATTAAAATGTCAAGGACCCAACATTCACTTTTCTCAAAGGGTATAAAGCTTTGGAATGTTGCTGGGGAAAGTGCTGGGTCAATAGCAATATTCAGCTTTAAGCATCTCTCTCATCATGTCAGGAGGGATCATCAATATGGAATTTTTAGGAACATGCAAATGAGCAAGGTATTTGATTCCCAGTGGCTTCTTTTCGCAGATCTTTTACAGACCTGCTTTGATAGTTTGCCAGCATGCTCAGCAGGAATTACCTCCAAAAGCAGTCCACCTATGTTACAAACATCCTCCCATACCACCATCTTTATAATCTTGACAGTAGATTGAAGACACATTGCAATAATTACATGTGTCATTTATATTTTTGGAAGGGGGGGGGATTTTGTTCCGCTTTCTTGATTACTGAGATTTTCCGCTCCCCACCAAATCCACAAGCATTGGGTGTGGATCCACATGGGTGGCGCTGTGGTCTAAACTACTGAGACTCTCGGGCTTGCCGATCAGAAGCTCAGCAGTTTGAATCCCCACAATGGGGTGAGGTCCCATTGCTCCTTCCCAGCTCCTGCCAACCTAGCAGTTCAAAAGCACACCAGTGCAAGGAGTCTGCGGACAAATGCCAGCTCCCTCGATCTGAAAGTGAGATGAGAGCCTCAACGCCATAGTCGCCTTTGGCTGGACTTAACCGTCCAGGGGTCCTTTACCTTTACACATGGGTGTATACACATTTGTGCAACGCCATAACCTTCCACTGCAAAGAGGTTCTAGCATTTTGCTCTTTTATAGGCTTGAAGAGAAGGGAGAAATAAGCAGAGTGAGCCACACAACTAAGGCCCAGTAGAGATGAAGGCAACGATTAATATGACTCTTCTCAGAGGACTCTTTCCGAGGACTGAAGAAGCAGTTAAGTGCTATAGTGTGGTTCTCACAAGCATGGAGTGGGCCTGTAGGGGGTTGGGGTGGATAAGAGGTTCACAATCCTCTGGCAGGCAGAGGCATTATTATCACATCTCTTCCTGCACATGAATTTATTGTTGTAATCCCCAAAAGAGTTATGATCGTTTGTTAAGTAGCAGTTCAAAGGGGTTGGAGCATCTCCCCTATGAGGAAATATTATAACATTTGGGCCTTTTTGGTTTAGGAAAAAAGGCGGCTAAGGGGATACATGGTAGAGATTTATATGATTAGGCATGGTTGTGAGCTCTTTTAGTTCATGCTATTTGCTTCTTTTGTCTGCCTGCCACTTTTATTAATATATTTTTATTGCTTTATTTGTGAACTTCTTTTTAAAACAAAACAGGAGTTTCAAAACTGACAGGCAGGCTATCAAATATTTTATTTAAAAACCAACAAACCCTGTATAGAAATTCATGCTCCAGTAGAAACAATTGATCCATGAATAATGAGTCTATGCTTTCAGAGAGGAATCTTCTTTCTCAGGAAGTTCTGGATTTAACAAAGTCCAGAATGCCTGGAGTGCTCTCTGCTGGCACCAGGAAGAAAATGCATCTCTGTATGATGTTTCATCCTAAAGGGTATCTCCATGAAAACTTATGCCATAATAAACATATTAAAGGTGCCACAAGGCTTCGTTGGTTTTGCTCAAAAACAGTTAATCTTAGCTGTATACATATGCTGTACTCCAACCATCACACAAACATCCGTGTGCACACAAATAATCTGAGAACTTAATCTGAGAATTTAGTTCCCAGCTTCTATTGGAAATAGTTTCTAAATATTCTGAGCCAAGCTTCCACTTCAGAGTTGAAAAACTAATTAACAAAGTGCACACAATAAAAATGATAATGAAAAAAACTATACAAAATTCTCAAGGCTGCCAAGAAGCAGTTGTTTCAGGAGAGCCACATTCCTGCAAAACAAACAGTATCTTTTAAACTACAAGTCTACAAAAATAGATGTTACCACTCTGGTGCAATCCAAATATACTAATCTTTTACCTCATGCATCTGATGAAACTGACTCTAGTTCATGCCACATTCAACTGGTCTTTAAGGTGTCACAAGACTTCATTTTTGTCATATCTAAAGGAAGATTACTTTAAGAACAAAAATCCAACAAGAAGCAATACAAGATTTCAAAACTTCCCTTCTATGTTCTAGTGGTGCTTCTTCCAGAAATCCTCCACTATGTAGCTGAAAGTTTGAGAAGACAGCTCTGAAACTCTCAGGGTTGGTACCTCAGTGATGGAATGCGCTTGGAAGTCAACTGACATTTCAGTGCCAGGTTTAAACCTTCCTGTTTAGTCAGGTATTCATGGAATGGCTATTCCAGTCTATTGCTGCAACCAGTGTGCCGTAATATAAATTAAACACAGAACATTAATTATGATCTGTGGGCAACCAGACCTCTTTGGGTAGCCTAATAGGACATAATAGGACCAGCTCATCCCCAATCACCTGCCATTATTAGGAGGCATTACGGCCTCTCTACATGGAGATTTGTCATCCATCGTATCTACACCTGGATGGGAAGGGGTAAAGGTGAAAAAGAGTCAGAAAAGTTCATCTAGGCCCTCTTCCCACCATGGCAAGAGGCAGAGAATATACACAGCCCTGATAAAGCTAGCACCTGCCTGGAGAAGTCTCTTGCATATTGGTGTGTCCAGTTCTGTCATTGCCTGTAATATTTTACACTACACTAGTAGCCAAAAGGAAGGGAGAGATCTGTACATGTATGTGTAATAAAAGGAGGGAAAAGATCTGTACATGTAAACTCAAAAGCTGAAAATTCAGAATTTTCCCTACCAAAAGTACCTAGTAAAGCAGCAAGACAAGAGGTGCCTGGCCTTTCCCAGGGGACCAAATTGAGACAACACAACAGAATGATGAAAGCTCACAAGCCTGGCCACAAAGGTAGCCAGGCTGAACAGGGCATTATGTGATGGAGCAGATGGGCTGGAAGCAGCAGGAGCAGATGGGCTGGCAAGACTAAGCCTTGCCCTTCAACTGCAAAGAGGAGAATGCCTTGTGCTTGCTGCTTGAGCAACTCACGGCACTGCCCAGCTGGCCCAGAGCCACCTTCAGCAGCAAGCAGTTCAGCATGGCGGTCAGCTGCAAGAGGCGAGTTTGTGTAACTCTGTATGGGTAACAGGCAACCGCAAACTGTATTCAATGGCCAATGTTGTGTTGCTTTTACAGCAGATAAAATGTGCATCCATTTATTTTGAATAAACTAGCTTAATAGTCAAAGCACCCACACACAAAGTGAATGCTTGACTTACCACAGGAAGTCATTTTCTGCAGGGGATGAAACCTTGGATGGGTTGTCTCTGCCACTCACTCCGCTAGGGAAGATTATGCAAAGGGATGGATGGGGTGGCACCCTGAGTTGAGATAGTAGCCAACCCTCAGTTCACAAGTGCCACAGCTAACAGAATACTACTCAAGAACAGCACGGTCTTCAAATAAAAACATCTTGAAGGTCCCAGGCCACAGAGAAGTTAGGCTGGCCTCAACTAGAGCCAGGGCTTTTTCGGCTGTGGCTCCGATCTGGTGGAACACTCTGTCACAAGAGACCAGGGCCCTGCGGGACTTGACATCTTTCCGCAGGGCCTGCAAGACAGAGCTGTTCCACCAGGCCTTTGGCCAGGGCACAGCCTGACTCCCTCCCTTGGCAATCTTCGCAGAGCTCTGGCCCAATGGTTGCCAGTGGCTTGAATTAATTAATTTTATAATGAATGATTTTAGAGTGTTGTTTATGCTGTACTTTTATACTGTTTTATTGTTGTTAGCCGCCCTGAGCCCGGCTTCGGCTGGGGAGGGCGGGATATGAATAAAAATTATTTATTATTATTATTAAAATAGACTTGAGTAGAAATAAGAACAAAAGCATAGGGGGGGAAGTAAAAACAGTCCCATGGTCCCTGTTGTTCCTGGCAGGTGTATGTCTCAAGAGACAATGGAGTGTGCCTCTGGAGGTGAAGTCAAACCACTCCCTTAGCTGGACATGATGATTGTGATTGTACCAACTGTACAAGATCTACTCTCCCACAATCAACGTGAACCTGAAAATTATTTTACTACTTAAAAACCCACAGACACTACATTACAGGGACCCCTGGATACTTTTGAGCCAGTGTTGAAAGCAAAACGGTTGCAATGGTGATTGCAAATCACCCACAAATGCAGGTGAATCAACAAGATAACCAACTCACTTTGGCAGAAACTCTCAGGACAGATGAACACTAGAACTGAAAAGCCTGTGTTGATGGTGATTGCCTTTAGAAACCCATCTGAGTTCTCTGTGAAGCTCCTGGAGTCAGGAAACAATGACCATACGCTTCCATGAAATCTTGGAATTTGCCATGCCGGAGTGTCTCCACTATTGTCTTTCCGTCATGGAAAAGCCTTAGCCAACATAGAAATTATAGAGAACTGGAATGCAGGTTCCAGGTGTTTATTAGGTCAATGAACTGAATGAAACCTTGATTTAAAAAACAGGGGCAATCATAATGTTTTGATGGTTATGGCTAAGGCTCATGAGACTTGAGAAAGGACAAGCTCATATGGCTATATGGCTACCATCTAGAAGGAAACCATTCTAAATCCTTATGGATTCATCAGATAATTCTAATTCCAATTAGTTCCAAAGAGCTAAAGTTTAATTTTTTTAAAAGTTTTAAAACTCATTTGTCTCTACCCTAAGAGCTAACTGCTCTTGTCAGTTGCTGAAGAGGGCATGTAACTTCTCCACAGTAGTAGCCCTCAGACTCTTTTAGTTCCTCACATCTCATCTGTTTCAGGGTGTAGGGAGGATGATCTGACAGAGAGGACCCTTCATATTTACTAGGCTCTGGGAAGGAAGTCATACTGCTGTGGGCGCACTTTACTCCCTGCATCTTGGATTCCCAGCAGATCCCTCTGGGTGGTCTGGAACCTGATGGGCCTTACTGACCCTCAGCAGCTCATCCACCACTTTCAACAGGTCTGCCTGCACCAAGCAGAAACCCCGAACCCTGAGGCAGTCTGGGCTCCCCTTGCCTCCATGGAAGATTCAATTGGCAGAATGAGACTGCTCACTCTTTCACAAGTGGCAAAAATAGAACGCTGACTTCAATTCCTGTAAATCGGGCATTGCATTGAGGCGGTAGCTGACTGCTCATTCTACCATCACAACAGAAGCAAAAGCAACAGTGACAGTCATCTCTCCCCACATTGCCTCAGAGGGTAGAGGAAGGAAATACAGAGGGCCAAGGTGGCTCTGAATGAGAGGACACCCAAGATCTGCTCTGGGAATTAGGCAGGAAGAAATTAAGGGTGAAATTCAATTTAGGATGTCACCAAATTGCATGATTGTGCCTTCTGGAGCGAGAGAGACAAGCCATCTGATGGTCCCCTCCTCCATAGCAGGAAATAGAACTACTGATGCCGTGAGGCATTATGGGAAGAAACCAGACTACCTTTCATATCAAGTTCATGGCATTTAATTATGAGACAACATTGATTAGTTTCTCTAACTGCTTTCCATTCTTATACTCTCAAGACTTTGCCAATGACTGTACATAATCTGAATTGTGCATGACACGCTTTTAGTCTGTGTTGTAACACAAGGCCCACATATTTATACTCAGTTGCAAAACAGCGAGTGAAGTGTAGGCGGAGGGCACTTGTGCAGTGGAACACAACATGTGTTCATAATAGAAGAGCTCTCTTCAGTCCCATTTGCAATCAAAGCACAAAGGGGAATTGTCTACTTTAAAGATTTTACTCTTATACAGCACTTTCAAGATACTTCATTTTACATCCATTGATACTGAGATACTGAAAAGGCTCAGATGTCTTCTGAATATAGTTTAACTGGAAACATTATTTCTGAAGGAATGTTGAAGATACTCCCATTTTTGTTTACTGTTCCATACCAATAATTACGTTGCAACTGACCCTCTAAAACAATAGTCCATATTTTCAGGAAGGCTTTTCAGTTTACAAAAGAATACGCCATTTGAAAGATTCTTCCTTTTCTAATTTAATAGAAATAACCAAAACAAAGTGGTTTTCAAAACAATTCTTTTTAAAACTGTTCTAAGTACAACTGCTACACCACATTCCAGAGCATTTAACAAGAAATATTTACAGGCTGCTAAATGTATTAAATAATCATGTAAAGGGGAAAAATGCCTTTATTACACACCAGCCAAAGAACACAGGAACTGAACAATTAGAAACGTTAACTTGTTTTTAAAAAATTAAATATTATTCAGAGAATACATTACCACAGAAACAGCACTTTTTTGAAGAATCAGTAAAGTTAACTATGTGCAAAAAGTACCAGTTTTAATTACCAGAAATAATATTGGGAATGGAACCCTTTGATTTGTAGGTTTACATATAAAATTAAAACAGGCTTTCAATTGCACAAATCTTTACAGACCTGTTATATACATCTTTAATGGTATTTTGAACTGAAGAAATGCCCACATCTGCAGGCCTTTTACAAACATGCATCACCTTCCATTTTGAAATTTATTTTCACACTAAGGGGAATGAGAGGTCTATGTTTGCATTTCTTTGTACAAAGTCACAAATCATGTCAAAAGAAAGCAGCAGCTCCTCAGCTTTAAAGGTACTCAAATAGAAAGGGGCAAACTGCATTTTTAAATTGTAAATCAGTTACTAAGTTAAGAACCAAAACAGCGATTTATCAAGGCTATTTTGATTCAGACACGTTTTAAAAGAAGAGAGAGGGGCAAATAGGCAAAAACCACAAAAGCTACAATGGATGGAGTTACTGCACGTGCAACTTTGGAAAGGAAAAGTGATGGCCATATCTGACATCACAAGTCTTATGCATTAGTCTGAAATATGTCTATTTAAATTGTGGCATATAAAGTTTTTAAAAAAGTACCTCCGTTATTTACTCAAACACCTACTTTTTAAAAAAATATGTTAACTTTTCCCCAATTTTTAAAATAAAATGCCACACTATTAACTGCACACTTTATTATTTTTTTAAAAGCTAGACTTGGGTGATACACATACAAACTCTCCTATAAAACCACTACCCAAAGGAAAAGGATTCCTGCCATGCTAAAGAGGCAACAGACAAAGCAGTCTTATTGCTTTTTCCTAGGAAAAGGAGGAAAAAACGGAAAAAAGAAGAAGCCTACAACCAGTACATTACATACTCAACTTCAACATACTGTTGCCATTACCTACACTTCAATAGGACTGGCGAAGGAAACTAAGTTATACAACAGAACGGCAAATTGGGGTGATTTGTTAAAAAATATTGGTTGGTTGCAGTGGCTTGCAGAAATGTTTATAAAACATTCCACTTATCTATCCAGTGCTCAGTATGCCGACAGTCAATGCCACATCAAGCAGTATTAATGGGAATCTTTTCACATGAAAAAAAAGGCTATCTACATTTAACAGCATTTCTACTTTTAAAAGCTAGCGCGGGGAAACACCCTTTTTTGGATAGTAATTCAGCCTTAATAGTATATGGTAGGACACTTAATTCCAGGGCACAGTTAAGTAAGACCTGAACATACTTAGCTGGTTAAACTAACACTAATTACTAGTAATTACATGGCAGGGGACCTGCTGAGGTAATTGAGAAGTCCACAGTCAGCACGCTGCATACTTGTCGTCCTTCCTGTTTCAAAGCAAACTGCCTTTTTTCTTCTTTGGATTAACTTAAACTTTCAGAACATATACAACCAACAGGAGAGATTTGAATTATTATTATTATTTTACAGGAACATTTAAAATCAGAGCGCAAGAGTCAAATTAAGTGACAAGAGTATCTTGGGACCATCTGGAACCATAATACACTTAAGTTATATTGTAATTATGCAGCAAGGTAAATCCATATCACATGCAAGGGAAGCTCCACTATCCATTTCAAACCAGATACAAAAGTGTGTTCTCAATCCCAGTATAGCTCAGTTATTGCACAAACATCCATGGACTGCCAAATGCAGGTTGATCTTGAATGCACATTAAACATACAAGGTGACAGGAAATTTACTCTGGCTGAACAAATCTTGCGAACACTAAGAAAAGTACACAATCTAAAAATGGGGCACGAAACGTATTTGTCTACTTCCTACATCCTTCAGGAATACATCCTAGTGATTTGTAAAATTTGTGTAGAACTTTCTGATCTACTACATTCCAAGCAGATAATCAAAGGGAAAGAGCAACCCCAAAACCAACATGTATGAAAAAAGCTATGTATTCATTCTTTTGTATAAAATAAATCCTTACAACTGCAGAACACTACCATTCTCTACCTGCACTGAACTTTGCAAAGTAGCAAGACTGCAAAAAAGTCAAATGATTGCCAAATGCCACCAGCAAAGCAGGTTCCTGTATATAGTTTAGTTACATTCCTCAAAAGAACAGGTATTCTACTTTTACATGTAGCATGGAAATATGGGTGATTAGCCTAAGAGATCTGAAAAGAAAGTATGCTGACAAAATTGCAGCTTTCAGGTAATATGAAAAGCCAGGTTGTCAAAATGTTCTTCAAAGTACAGGGAAAATATAGATCCCATGGAAACTACAAAATACATAAATTTTAAGATTCATGGTGCATATTCCATTGCAAATTGGGGCGCTAGAAAATACAGTGTATGTTATTAAGCACTTTGGTCTATACTGCCTTACTGACATGCAGCGGTTTTACCAAAATGTCAGTTAAAAGCGCATCTAATAAACTTGTGGGAGCTTGTGAGAAAGTCAACACATTAACAGATGGAACAAGCTCTCACTTTTTACATATTATCACTTCAACTGAGCATAGGTGGTAACATTCAAGCCCATCTGTGCCGGTTTTTTCCACATAAGAACTTCCTTGCTACATGATTCTGTTCCCAGATTTTCTTTTAATTTTTTGTGCTGTGTGTGTCTGTGGTAAGTGACCCTATGTACTGAAAAACATGACAGCCCAGTTTCAATGTTACCCTCGATGCATGGAAAAGACATCATCCTAGGACTCGCTTCTACTGTTACAGTTGACCTTCCATTTCACTTATGCAGGTGTGTGATTTCACTTATGCAGGCAGGGGCCCGGAACATAACCTGTGCGTAAGTAGGGAGATGGCTATATACCGTCATCTAGGTCGGCCTTCCCCATCTTGGTGTCCTCCTTCAATAAGAACTCATTATAAAAAAGAATGGGTGTGGGGTTGGGGTTGGAGGAGAGGCAGAAAGAAGAGCTAATTTGTTCGTGGCTAGGGAGCACAATCTGGACGGTTCTGCCAGGGGCACAAGATCACCTGAGTACGGCTCGGTACAAGAGCATGAAAATGTATCCTCTGGTGCTGTTCAATACAGACCAGATAGGGAATTTTACCTGTTCGACATCAGATTACAATAACACAGCAATATTTCTGCTCTCGGTGTTTCCACTGAGGCAGAACTGAAGAGCTTGCTTACATGCAGATTACCATAATTGGGGCTGGTCCATTTTCATCACCTACCCAGAAATCACTTGTCTGATACACTGGTCCATGCAAATTTTCTGTTTTAAGGGTGAACAACTAACTCTGTCTCAATAGACTCTTTTCTTCCACATGTCATTTAAGCTGCTTCTGAAGAAAACTCTTGAGTAGCTCTAACGGAATAATAAAAGAACGTCAAACTATGAACTCGGTTTTAGAAATAAACAACATATTACAAATCTGTTCTTGATTAGGAACATTAGTAAGAATACATATTAGCTTAAAAACAGACTAGCAAATGTTGCTGTCTGAAAGGATTTACAATACCACTATTTACAAATAAGACAGAGTGAATACAGAAAATTTTACACATTTGGTAGTTGACAAAGTTACTGTTTGCTGATAGTGGTCTATCAGAAACTGATATTAGGGAAGACTGGACAGTCACCAACTATTAACTTCATGGTCTAATTCTGATATTATTAGGATCTATATAACCAGTATTGCAGCCAACATCCTGCCTTTCAAGGGAAGAAAAATAGGATTAATAAACTCCAAGAGGATACTCACTTAAGTATTCTGTGCATAGGACTTCCACTCAAGACCACGAAAAGCATTAACTGCAACCATACTTAATGAAGCACATATGAAGAACTTGCACTCCTGCATTCTCCAATTCAAAATGTTTTAATGATCAAGTCACGATACTTCTATACACAGTCAGTTAAAAGAAAGAACCCAGCTATTTGACCCAACGCAGAATATGATACTCGCAATACCACTTAGATGAGACGATGAATAAAAACAATCCAATTCACACCTAGGGTTGCATGAAGAGGATCTTGAGGAAGGTTTCTTGCAGTTTAAACTGCTGCCTAGCATGGAAGCAAACATGACTGCCTTGGTCCAGTCTTTCAAAAATGGTTACTAAGTAGTGACAAGAGTTCACTGTTCATACAAATGTTGTGATATAAAACTCGCTTCTTTATCAACATTCATCCCACACACAAATCTGAGAAATGAGGAAGTATTCTCAAGTGTAAAATGAAAATTCAAACACTAAAAACAAAAAAACCGGAACAGAAGTTGAAAGCTTTCCCCCCCTTTTTGACAAGTATGTTTCTGTACAAATGCTTTTTGTATTCTAATACTGTCTGAACACTATCAGCTTCAATAAGATGGCCACTGAAGGCAAGATAATATTCCAGGAACACTTAAATATGTTTCTCTTTTTACAATAGTTTAGGTCCGTTTTAATCAGGTTACTTTATATGCACCGGTCTCTCATCCGATTTTAGACGTTTTCTACGCGGCTGTATAAAATCTTCATCGGAGTCATCTGTTATTTCAGCATCGTCCTCTTCTTGCTCAAATTCAGGTAAAGGCTGGAAGGTCCTGTCTGGGTAGATCTCTGTAAGTTTATCTTCAAAGTATAACGCAACTGCCTTGCCTGCCTGTGCTACTTCTGAATCACCCTGAAAAGTAAAAAGATAGTAACACATCACCCATTGATAATGCACATCCCTTCAGCAAGTGAGCATGGTCTGAAACGCTTACCTTAAAATTAATTTCTTGTGTTTCTGCATAAACTTGAACAACTTTCATCATCTAAAAAGGATACCAGAGTCAAAAAAAAGGAAATTATAATCCCTTCTAAAGTCATGAGACCGCACAGGATTGCATGACTAAAGTCAACCATACCAATTTATTTTTAAAATTCAGTGATGTAGAGGTGACTCTCTTCATGAGGTGTTACTGCATTTGCAGTACACAAATCCTAAGCAAGTTATGTTACTGCAGAAACTGATACCAAGCACAGACGACCAGTATTGTTTGACTCACAGAAAATTTATTCAGCAAACTGATGTGAGAGCTGCGATGTGGAAGTTCGGCAGTCATCTCTTTCATCCAAGTGCCTGAAAATTTCTCCTTAAAAATGGCCTAAGTGATGCAATATTTTTCTGCTGGGTTCTGTCCACTTTGATAAACAAAATGTAACCACACACAGAAAGTAGTCCTGAACATCTGAGATCATATTGCCGCAATAACAGAGGCAGACATCCTTCATTGCCATAGTTTCCTACTGTAGCTGTAACTATTCACCCTTAGGAGCTGAAGCATTTTCCTTCCATAGCAAATGATTCAACTATTCCTTAACATCAGTATGCTCTGAGACACACAGCTCTTCCACCTCACTTGTTTAGTTCAGTTAAAAAGGTCAATTCCCAAATGGTTTCAAGAAGTCTCATACCCTTTTTGGCTTTACACTTTTATTGTTCTTATGTCTTGAAATAGAAAGCACAGGCTACTTGAATGCACATGAAACAAGTGAAATTATAAACTGTAGAACACCATCAAGATCTGTCTCATTCCCTGCATGTCCACAAACAGTGTATGGTCACACATCACAGAAGTTTCTAAATTTAGTTTTTTAAGGATTAGTTTTAAGTGTCGAAACTATGGGTGACATCCAACTTAGCATGAGTAGAGATATCTGCTCACACAACTAGGCTTCTCCTTCCTTTCCTCACCGCTTACAGCCTCTGCTTTCCTGCTCTGGAAGGTTGGGCATAAGAGAAAACAGAAGTCTTCTTGCACAAGTGAATTTCTATTGCACAGGCAGGTAGGCATCTTTAAATGTCTTCCTATGCCAAAATGACCTCTCATGTCCATATTAAGTACTTCCCTATCCATTGTTTTATTATTTTTATATTATTTTATGAATTACCCCATTATGTAGTTTATAAGTCACATTTTTGTAGGATGTGTGTGTAACAACTTTATGCTTCAGTCTGAGAGTACTTTAGAAAGTACCATCTATGAAATGCCACATTCCAGACATGCACAATCATAGACGTTTTGTATTATTTATATTGTATTAATGGATTTTTTGAACTGACATGCAACAGTAAAATGGGCACTCAAGTCATGTTATCAGCTGGCAGCTCAACAAATAATGAAGCCCAGCAGACTACCTTGTAAGATGAAGGGTCTTCCCAAGCTAATTTGGTTTTGTGTGTAAAAATATCTGAGAGAGGTTTAGAACAGCACTGCAGGATCAGACAAATGATCCATCTAGTCCGTATCTGGTCCTAAGAATAGCTAGTCAGATGTTTTAAGGTGCAAGTAAATAAGGCATGGAGGCAACAGCACTCCTCGGCTGCATATCCTCAGACTTTAGTATTCAAAAATATACTGTTCCTAAACATGGAAGCTCCATCCAGCTATGTTGGCTGATCAATGGCTAACCATGAATGTCTAAACCTTTCACACTTTTATTTAAGGTTTATTTGCTCTGTACCACCACTTCCCCAAACTGTTTACAGTTCACTTACAAGAGTTTATGTTTTAATGAAACAAATAATTTATGTGGATATAATATATAAGTGGATATAATTGATTTAATTTATAAGTAAGATTACTTCTAGTTGTAATGGCTTGTTTTGTTTTCCACTGCTTTTAAAGCTTTGCAGTTATCCCGTTAAGTGATTCCCACAAGGAACTTGTCTGGGATAGTTTTATCATTTGGGTCTGCTCAGTTCAGGCAATAATGTGCCAGCATAGGAAGGTTTGCTCTACAGAAAACACAAGCAATCTTCAATCAAAACTTGCAATATATTTAGACAATACACAGATATTAGTCTCTTCCAGACATGATTTGAGCCATCCAAATACCAATTTCACTAACATGAAATCTGAAAATATGAGAAGCCAAGGAATTGTCTACAGATCACAGAGTAGACTGTACGTGAGTGGGCTATCCAAAACTTAAAACTGTGAAAAAAAGCCTATATGCATACATTAATATGCAAGTAAGCACCAATCTGTAATCTGTCTACTATACGGTAGGTTGACAGATCACATGAATAGGCATTTATATGCTTTGAACCCATTCACAGTAAATGTTCTGTGCACAATTGGGGAAGAGCTCAAGACTCAGTTCTGTGCCCAACCATGTAAACATACAACCTATAGAGTGGGAGCCCTACATAAATGAACCACAAGTCTAGAACTCCTACAGCAGTTGTAACTAAAGTCTACGTGGAAAAGGTGCAACGTGAAATGAGCTTCGCATATTAACCAGAATGATTCTGCAGGTTGGAAGTTAACATACTTCATTAAACCTTTCACAGTTCTTGAAGATCAGCCGAACATCTGCCACAAAATCTTCAGGTGTCTGGTAGTGCTGGGAATGTTTCTTCTGCAGTTTCTTCTTCACTGTAGATAAATCCATTGGTTTCTTTATTATTTTATAGTAATTTGGTATCTGTTGAGAAAAGATGGAGGGAGTCACAAAAGTCAGAGTAAAGTGTATATCCAATGTGGTGGTATTTCATTTATGCAACAGTGAAATATTCCGAGAGAGAGAGAGAGAGAGAGAGAGAGAGAGAGAGAGAGAGAGAGATTCATTCTCTCTTTCTTCTGAGAAAACTTGTGATAAAAAAAAAAAAATATTGACCATCATGAGCTCTCTGGTTCAGTCAACTATCTTCATCCAAACGACTTTGTGAACAGATAAAATTACTCAAAAGACTGGCCAACAAAATAATAATCACACTGATTTTAGTCCAAGTTTCATTACGACAATTTTGTCTGTCAATTGCTGGTTATTTCACATTCTATCATTTCCATGGTAAAATGCATTAAGTCACTCACCGAGGCTGGGACTGGCTCTTGGAATTCAATGCTCAGCTCGTGGCAATACAAGTAAAGCAGGAGGCGCTCACATTTCTTGCAGAGAGAAAAAAAACAGTAAATATTCATTCATCCATTCATTTGCTTATGTAACAAAATTTATATATTACTTGATTGCAATAAAACCTATTGAACTGTTTACAAGAGATCTTCCAAAAGAAGTAATTCCAAAAGGCAGCATTTCAGTTAATGTATAAGTTACAGTGGAATATTCAAGTATATAAAGGATTCTCTAAGCCCAACAACTGAAACAAATAAACCTCCTACTCTGCAGTGGCCTCACTAACTTCAACAAGACTACAGTGGTGCCCCGCAAGACGAATGCCTCGCAAGACGGAAAACCCGCTAGACGAAAGGGTTTTCCGTTTTGGAGGTGCCTCATAAAGCAATTTCCTATGTGCTTGCTTCGCAAGACGAAAATGTCTTGCGAGTTCCTGCGGGGTTTTTTTCCTTTTCCCCCCCTTTTCCCCAAGCCCCTAAACCGCTTATCAGCTGATGGCTAAGCCGCTTATCAGCTGATCTTTAAGCCGCTTAACAGCTGATGCTAAGCCGCTTATCAGCCGATCTTTAAGCCGCTTAACAGCTGATGCTAAGCCGCTTATCAGCTGATCTTTAAGCCGCTTAACAGCTGATGCTAAGCCGCTTATCAGCTGCTCGTTAAGCCGCTTATCAGCTGATCTTTAAGCCGGCTAAGCCACTAATACTGTAGCGCTAAGCCGCTAAACCTCTAATGGGCTTGCTTCGCAAGACGAAAAAACCCGCAAGACGAAGAGACTCGCGGAACGGATTCTTTTCGTCTTGCGAGGCACCACTGTACCTGGAACAAGTGTAGCCTGTGGTTAAGATTCAAAGAACAAGGCTACTAATCCCATGTGCCAAAGGGGCTTTTGGATTTATTTCCCGAACCAGCAGTACTACATGCCAAAACCTTTGGAGCTGCGGGAAGTTTTGACAGCAGTTTGATACAGCATGAAGAATATATTCTGAGCAACAAAAAGAGCCCACTACATTAGAACAAGCTCTTGAGCTCCTGACCAGCCTGATACTTCAGGGAAGCACACAATCCAAGCACCATGTAGACAACCCACCCTTTTCGCCTCCACAAAACTAGTGCTCAGGTTATTTACTGCCTCTGAACGTAGAAGCATTCTTCCTAGCTAAGAGCCACTAACAGATCTATCATCCAAAAAATGTAATTCTTTCTAAAAGTTGCATATGCTATTCACAACACCCAGTGCAACATATAAGGCACTGCCTGAAATATTCTGCCCATCCTGAACCTACCACACATTGTTTTATGTTATTAAATGCATTAAATTTATCAATGACATTCAATGACATCAAATTCTGGGTTTGAGTGAATCATTTCTCTATTTTTTTCCTCTCCCTCTAGTCATAATTTTAGAAACCTTCATCATGCATGCATCTGATGGGAAGTTCTGCTTCTGCACATGAGTCTGGCAAACCGCTCTAAGCTGAAGCATTCCTTCCTCATCCACCCTAGAATGTTTAGTTCACATTGAGTTCATGAAACATCGGACCCTGACCTGTTCTTAATGCATGGTTGACCACATCTACGGAATGCGATTGTTATGCTCTTTTAAGTTTTCCAATATCAATCACTAGTAATAGTTTAATAAGGAGGTTTTCATACCTGTCCAACCATGTGTTCCCTTTCCCAACCTTTAATCTATTGATGCTTAATGCCCTTGCATTGTATTTGTGTTACCCAATCAGCAACAAGCACATATGTGGCAATGCTGTAATATTCAATAAAAGGGACTCCCCGAGACATGCTAGGGAGATGCCTCCCATATGACACTTGTTATTCGTCTGTCGTTTATTTCAACCCAACATGCATCCAACTTTAAGTTTAAAAAAAAATCAACTGCTTAAGCCTTTCTTAAGAGAAAGTCCCCTTGATAGTTTTGGCTCTGGGGTTTTGTTTTTTTATGGGAAACTGGTTCACAGACTGCACCTTCACTTGTGAGAAGGTGTCATAACCTTCTGTTGCATCCTCTTCTCAGAATGTACTTTGCTAATTCCATTTTAGTTAATTCTATGGATAAAACTAAACCAGTTGTTCAAGACCACTGATGTCAAAAACTTTTAGAAAAAAAGCAATTGTCACAGGTGGCAAGACTATTTATTGTTTATAGAGTGATTATTTTACTTATTTTACAATTTCTATACCTTTCTACCCCCCCCACAAAAAAGGTACAAAAAGCATGAAAACAGCTATCGAAATATAGCATCAATGAAAATCAAACCATAAGCATTCTAACTGCTACAAATTGCCAAAGCCAGAGGATACAGCACCAGCTGTGAGCATCTCTCTCTGCAGCCACCAACTGCCATTACTGAAACCTACAGAGAGAGACAGAAGCAACAGCTTCATTGTGCTTCTATCTCCATTGGGGTCCCTTCCAACTCTACAATTCTATGGTTCCATTACATGCTGAATTACTGCCTATCATAGAGATGTGAACAGCTCTGGAAAACAGAAAGTAAAGACAGTCTAATCCTAAAAGGAAGTGTTCAAAATTCCCAAATCTTTTCCTCATTAGAGCACATGTTTCACAGACTGAGACAAGGGGGCCATCTAAGGAGGGAGCTGAAGCCAAGGTGGGAACTATACTGGTCGAAAAGGCCAGCTCTTTGGATCACAGGTGAAAGGGTAAAAAAGGAAGATCATGAGGGGCACAGACTATAAGCATTGCAAGAGGGTTGTACTATAAATCATTTGGAAGAGCACTGAAGCTAAATTATCCTATGCACGTGAAAGTAATGATCTTTTGTAAGTCATCATAGGAAAGCTTTGCCCTGAAGGAAGTCAGTATGTTCAATCAATCAATCAATCAATCAATCAATCAATCAGCATGAAAACAAAAGTCAATTCTAGGAAAAACCCTTTTCTCCAAGTGAAAATGTCACATTTTCAATCCATTCTAGTCATCTGGATTATTTGGAGTCTAGTAGTCTAGATGATTTCTGATCTCTTGTTCATGATGCGAAAGCTCAATCAATTAGAGTAGACCCCCAATATAGCCATAAATATTAAAAGCAACTGCCATTTAAAAACTGGACCATCTCCAATAATAATTTATTTCTAGTCCTGCTATAGCAACATGCACCCACTTACTAATTAAAATATAGATATATAGTAAAGTTACTCATGTAAATGTAAGTTTAAACTAAGTCAAGAGACCACAGCAGAAGAAAAGCCAAGAGCATTTAGTTAAGAACAGTTCCAAAATAAGATAAATGTATTATCCGTAACCTACCCTTTGGTCCACAGGACTCAAACCTTGTGCAGTTTTCCCCTTCTTACTATGTTGCAAGTTGTCACAGTCATATTCCACTTCGGGTTTGCTAAGATCACGGCAAAATGTACATATCCAGTCTCCACTAAAAATGGGGAAAATATAGTTCAGAAATTCAGGCATTTTTTTGTACTAGTGTACTGAAAAATCTACAGGTAGAAAATTCATTTTTTGTAACTAGAATAAATTATATTATGCACAGGTCCTATATGGTTGTCCTGTTTGCACATTTCCCAGGCATGAATTACCTTCTTCCACCACCAATAAATCTTCAAGAAATAGGAAAGAGGCACTGGGAAGTCCTGGCATGTTCAGGGATTGAAGTCAATGGGAAAGTTTCATGGAGCCCAAAGGCTCTAGAGTGAACAGGTTCCTATCCTTGTCTAACACTGGCATTTAACCTCGCCTTGATCCATGTGCAGAGGACAAAAGTGCTGCCAATCCTTCCTCTGTCCCCAGAAATTACACAGCCCATCAGTTGCCCTACAAAACGCCTCCAACTGGTAGGAGCTGATAGGTAGGTAAAGGCAGTGACTTGCTCTTTTACCGGCAGGTTCCAACCCCAATCCAGGTGGATCCCACCACTACCTCCTGTTGAAACCTAGAAACAGATCTCTTCAGACTTGCCCTCCTTACTAGACCCAGAATCATGCCTGCTTGGCCCAGCCCAGATGCCACAAACATGTGGTGCATAGCAAACATGGCTGCTAGTGAGGCAAATGTAGCCTCCTCAAATTTGCCACCCCGACAGGCAGTTACTGGATGGTTGTCCATGAAGGAATACAGCCCTAGGGCTGAAAAAAGGCTTCCCATCCCTGCTGTTGGCTGACAGAAGATAGCTGATGCTGCTAACTCATTGTGACAAACTCAATGTTCCTGTATGTTTTCATACCTTGGGAAGCTGAGGAGAGTGGGTACATGACATGTGAGGTGGAAAACTTTTGGGCACTTTTCGCAACATAACAGGTCTCCTCCATTTTGGCACACAGCACACCAGTCTTCATTGGGATCTTCATCTTTGTTGTTGCCTTCTCCTCCAGATCTAGCTGATCGATGCATGAGGCTACGCACTGGGGACTTGCCATTTACAAGACTGTGTCCAGACTGTTTGCAGCTTTCACTCAAGTCCGCTGGTTCAGTTTTAACATGGTTTTCTATACTTCCCAGTGCTTCCAATTCACTCTCCAAATGCAAGTTTGTGGAAAGTGGTGGAGTCAAGCTGCTCTCAGGACTGCTAAGCTGAATTAAGGCAAAAGATTAAAATCTATGAGAAATTGCCTTGGGTAGGAGACTGCTGCCTTTTCCACCTTCCTTTTTCTGCTCCCCACCCCCTTCAGCCCCTACCTACCTTCTTTATTATGACATAGGCAATCTAATCTGTCCTCCATGTCTCTCAAACCTGTACAGTGGTGCCTCGCAAGACGAAATTAATCCGTTCCGCGAGTATCTTCGTCTAGCGATTTTTTCGTCTTGCGAAGCAACCCTATTAGCGGCTTAGCGGATTAGCGATATTAGCGGTTTAGAGGCTATTAAAGGCTTAGCGGCTTAGCTGCTAAAAGGCTTTTAAAGGCTTAGCGGCTTAGAAAAAGGGGGGGGGAGCGAAAAAAAATCTCAAGACTCGCAAGACATTTTCGTCTTGCGAAGCAAGCCCATAGGGAAATTCGTCCTGCAAAGCGCATTGAAAAACGGAAAACCCTTTCGTCTAGCGGGTTTTCCGTCTTGCGAGGCATTCGTCTTGCGGGGCACCACTGTACTTCCATGTCTCCACAGCTCTTTCCCCCATTCAGCTCAGCTTTATCAAAATGCTATGGACTGACCCTCCCATCGCTCCCTATTTACTTCTTAATGTTGAAGATGAAAAACATGATATAAACATCCTATGTACTTCACTAAGTCACAGTTACGTTTTTTCTTTGACTGGTTTGTACATCTTACTGACCTTTTACAGTTGTATTCTTGAAAATTGATAAAACATTTTTTAAAAAAGATGAAGTTGGGGTAGACTGTAAACAAAGAATTTCAACAAAAGGGAAATGTCAACATGCACATGCATGTGCAGACAATTCTCAGACAAGTTGTACAGTTTTCAGTGCACTATATTTGGTAAATATTTTAACAAGCTTAAAGTATTTTGAAATAGGAGGCCTGTTTTGAATTGTGCAACGGGATGGGAACCCAGCAATACTGGCTCTACACAATTCCTATGGAAACTAGGTACTGTATCGCTTGCTTCCTCTGTGCCAGAAATTACTAATTTTGAAGGGTCATCTTTGACGTGGCAAATCTGTTTCAAACTAATCCCATGTGAAACTCTCCAAATAACTCCTGAGTTAGAAAATGAGCATTGGAATGACTACTTTTTCTATAATGTATTATAAAAAAATCTAATAGTATCATCACTCTTGGCCACAGAAAGGTGGCATTGTAACCTACTGCACAATAACAGCTAAGGAGGAGGAGGGAAGCAGTGACCCTCATGGTGTTGGGAAGCCAGGAGACCAACTGAGCCCCACCTGTATCACCTCACTGGCCACTACTGCAATGTAGGGAGAGAGAGAATTGGGCAAGCCCTAAGGGGGAGGGTTCCGGAAGTAACACAACTCTCCTAAAACAATAAAATATAAATGCCCTCAGTTCTCTTTGCTGATAGTTTGCATGATAAATTGTACAACATACAAATAGATTTTTACCATGCAAGCACTCCTCCTGCCATCCTCTGTTTTTTCTTGCTTCACTGGTCCCGAGTAACTGCATACCTCTTCTTCTGTGCCTGGCTCCTGTTTAACTTTCACATGTTCAGTCTTGAAACTAATATTGTTCTTTTCCACCGTTCGGCCTGATGAACCACAGCTGGAAAGCAAAGAGATTAAGAACACATTTTAAATTGCACTTCAAAATGCTAGAACTAAAATAATTAAAAATTCCATATAATTAGTGAAAGCAATTGTGCCCGTAAGTGGATAAAGCACTTGGTTAGGAGGCATCATAACCAAGTTGGTTTTTACAGCTGTAGAAGTGGTTCCAAATTAGAGAGGGAATGGATTTTTAGCACTTTACCAAACATAAAATCAGTATGTCCTAAATATCAAATCTGCCTCTGTCATTAGAGTCTGGTATGGAGAATCTTTTGAGAGAGATATACAAGCTGTTCAAATTTCAGAAAAATTGCTCACTGAAATTTAAACACTCTAGCTAGAGGAGTTAGGGTCTTGTTTCCTGATCTTTTTTGCTGATAAAAAGCATACCTTTCAAAAATCCAAGTAAACCACTGTAGAGTCCCTTTCACTGACTTCATGCACTGTTTTTAAAGTGAGAAATTCAAGACTTCTATAAGTTTGGTAAGGTGGCAATTCCCTTTCAAGAATGCAGAGCTGATTTTTCCTCATCAACGCTTGCTTTTTTAGATGTTCAATAACCACAGCTCTTACAAGAACCCCAACACAGGGGCTTCAGTTTACACAATAAGGCAGGCTTCCTCAACCTTGACCCTCCAGATGTTTTTTGCCTACAACTCCCATGATCCCTAGCTAGCAGGACCAGTGGTCAGGGATGATGGGAATTGTAGTCTCAAAACATCTGGAGGGCTGAGGTTGAGGAAGCCTGCAATAAGGCGTCTTCCCTCTCCTTCCCCAGCACCCTCCCCTCTGCCTGGTGGGTGGTGATGGTCAGGAGAACCCCCAGAACAGCAGGAGGAGAAGGGAGGATAATTCCATCTGGCAAGCTGAAACACTTTCACTGATGGAACTATCAGAAGAGCGCAATACTGCATTCCTCTTATTGTACTTTCACATATTGTGCTAATTTTCAGCTAACGTTTCATGCATTTCCCCTTCATGTTTCAACCCTCTAGATTAGGAGCAACGATAAAGTTAAGAATCACCACAGTGGCAGTGGCCCCCTTGCTGCACATTGGCCCCCTACATTCCATATATGAACAGACTAGTTCACATTCAGGAACAACAGGCTATATAAGGCATAAATAATAACTTTGGTGGTCTTACTTTTGCTTCAACATACGCAGACGGGGCTCTGCAGCATGAGGTTCATTATCAACCTTTTTATATATAATTTACAAGCATATATATTACTGGCATGGCAAATGAAAAAGAGACAAAAATTAAATACGATTACGAATATAGAAGTGGATGGAAGGAATATACAGAACCCTCCAGAAGTATTTTAAAAGACTATACACTCAAGGGCCCGTGAAAGAAACAGACTTAGACCAATTTTTGAAAACAAATGGATTACAAAAAATATCTCAAGAAAAGAGACTAATTCTGAATGATAGAATAACGGAACAGGAAATAGAAGGTGCCATTCAAAATATGCAACTGGGTAAATCTCCAGGCCCAGACGGTTTGACCTCTAGATACTACAGAGCTTTAAAAGACTGGTTAATTCAACCATTGAAAGAGGTCTGTAACGAAATAATGGAGGGAGGAGGGCACCAGAGTCGTGGAAAGAAGCATATATTACACTTGTACCAAAAACAGAGGCTGAAAAGACTCAACTAAAGAACTACCGCCCAATATCATTACTTAATGTGGATTACAAAATTTTTGCAGATATTTTGGCGAAGAGATTTAAAAAGGTGCTGTTGGAAGAGATTCATAAAGACCAAGCGGGCTTTCTCCCAAGAAGACACTTGTCTGATAATCTGAGGAATATAATTGATATTTTGGAAAAATTAGAAGTGAATATAAACACTAAAGCAGTGTTGATATTTGTAGACGCGGAGAAAGCCTTTGACAATATTTCTTGGAATTTTATGAAGAAGAATCTTCGGGGTATGGGGGTAGGCCAAGGTTTTGAGAATGGTATAAGTGCAATTTATTCAGAACAAAAGGCTAAATTAATTGTAAATAACGTTGTGACGGAAGAACTTAAAATTGAAAAAGGGACACGACAAGGTTGCCCAATTTCCCCTCTTCTCTTTATTTCGGTCCTGGAGGTGTTGCTGAACATGATTAGAAGGGACCAGTTGGTTAAAGGTATACAGGTCGGAACTAAACACTATAAATTGAGAGCATTTGCAGATGACTTAGTATTGACGTTACAGGAGCCAGAATCTAGTACAAAAAGGGTTTTAGAACTGATTCAAGAATTTGGTCAAGTGGCAGGATTTAAATTGAACAAATCAAAAACCAAGGTTTTAGAGAAAAATTTAACACCGCTTGAAAGAGAGAGGTTTCAGAATGAGACAGGGTTAACAGTGGTTAAGAAAGTTAAATACCTGGGGATTAACATGACAGCAAAAATGGGAATTTATTTAAAGATAATTATGAAAAATGTTGGTCAGAAGTGAAAAAAGATTTAGAAATTTGGTCAAACTTGAAGCTTTCACTGCTAGGCCGTATTGCTGCGATAAAAATGAATGTATTGCCTAGAATGTTGTTTTTGTTTCAAACTTTGCAGATTGTGGACAAAATGGACTGTTTCAAGAGGTGGCAGAAAGATATTTCTAAATTTGTCTGGCAGGGCAAGAAACCTAGAATAAAATTTAAAATTCTAACAGATGCAAAGGAAAGAGGTGGATTTGCCCTGCCAGACCTCAAACTTTATTATGAATCAGCAGCTTTTTGCTGGTTGAAAGAATGGCTACTTCTTGAAAACACTGACATTTTGGATTTGGAAGGTTTTAATAATGTATTTGGATGGCATGCATATTTATGGTATGATAAGGTCAAAGCACACAAAGCATTTAAAAACCACATTGTCAGGAAAGCATTATTTAATGTTTGGATTAGATATAAGGATTTGTTAGAAAATAAAACCCCAAGGTGGCTGTCACCAATGGAAGCGAAAGCCTTGAAAAGGGTCAATATGGAGGTCAAATGGCCGAAATATTGGGAAATTTTGGAACAAGACGGAGATAGACTGAAATTGCAGAGTTTTGAAAAATTAAAAACAAAGTGCGAGACTGGCTTCATTATTATCAAATAATGGAGGCATTTAAATTAGACAGGAAAATTGGCTTCCAGGTGGAAAAATCAAAATTAGAAACAGAATTGTTAGAACCCAATACCAAGAATTTGTCAAGAATGTATAACTTGCTGCTGAAATGGAATACTCAAGATGAAACGGTAAAATCGGCTATGATTAAATGGGCACAGGACGTAGGACACAACATTATGTTTGCTGACTGGGAACAGTTATGGACCACTGGTATGAAATTTACGGCATGTAATGCCTTAAGAGAGAATATTATGAAAATGATATACAGGTGGTACATAACCCCAGTCAAGCTTGCGAAAATCTATCACTTGCCCGATAACAAATGTTGGAAATGTAAAGAAACTGAAGTTACATTTTTCACCTTTGGTGGACGTGCCCAAAGATTAAGGTTTTCTGGGAAATGATATATAATGAATTAAAAAAGGTATTTAAGTATACCTTCCCCAAGAAACCAGAGGCCTTTCTCCTGGGCATAGTGGGCCAAATGGTGTTAAAAAGGATAGAACTTTCTTTATGTATGCAACAACAGCAGCAAGAATACTTATCGCAAAGTATTGGAAGACACAAGAACTTCCCACGCTGGAGGAATGGCAGATGAAACTTATGGACTACATGGAATTGGCGGAAATGACTGGCAGAATCCGTGACCAGGGAGAAGAGTCGATGGAGGAAGATTGGAAGAAATTCAAAGACTATCTTCAGAAACACTGCAAAATTAAGGAATGCTAGAGTGATGTTGGATTGAAAATAAGTGGTTTCCAGCTGTACAGGTTAAAGCTAAGGATAGATTAAGATTAAAGATTAAAGATTAAAGATGTTTAAAGAAATGGAAATTTGATAATAAAAGAGAAAAATTTAAAGGTATATGATATTAAGAACAAGGATTATGTTAAAAAAGCTGAAGCTATATAGTTTAATATTTCATTAAATTAAAGATTGGGTTTAAAAAAGTGGAAAAGAAACTGCTGGACAAATAATGTAGATTGGAATACAAAAGAGGGAGGTATGAGGAAGTCCAGAAAATAAGTAATTTAAAATTGGGAATCTAAAAGAGAGTTTGTTTTAAATTGTTATGTTGTGTGTTTCTATTGTTAAATTTTGTATTGTTTTTTGTGTGTGTGTTGTTTTTTCTTTTTTCTTTGTTTAAAACTTTAATAAAAATTATTTAAAAAAAAAAAATACAAGCATATATATTATTAAACATTGATTTAGAACTTACCCCAAGTGGCTGTTCTCCTAACCTGTACAGCAGTGATTGGAAACCTTGAATCTACCAGTCTCTCCACGGGTTTTACCTCCTCCTAGGCCACTGTTTCCCCATAGTTGACCTACTACCTTCTGATCAGCTAAGCAGCATTGGTGGAAGTGAAAACTGTGAAGTGGAGAGATTTAAACCTTCCCTTCCTGAGATCCCCCCATTTATTAGGTAAAAACAGAGGAGCAATAGGGCAGAAGGGGCATGGCTGAGTCCCCCTGCCCAGCTGCCCAGGGAAGAAAAGAGCAATCTTTCTCCATTAACAGCTTGCTCGGTTTCCATGCTCAGAAAGGAGCTGTCTCAGTGAACAGCTCAGAAAGCAAAGAAAGGTATGTGTTTGTGTATGTAGAGATATAGACACATACACACAACACACACACATAATGTGAATCCTTTGGCCCTATTTAATTTGTGCTTTGGCTCCCTGCCACCCGTGTTCTGTCATCAACTACTATGTTCCTCTGTGGTAGAGGACAGAAGTGGGGGCTGAAAGACCAAAATAAAGTGTGTGTGCACAGAACTTAAATGCAAGTGATCAAAACATGAGAGAATATATAATGCCTTTCCTCTTTATGTGGTGCAGTGGTCAAAATGGGAGCTTTACAATTTCCATATTTTTTGGCACATGATTTTTAAAAGCCTCAATGTGTCTCTTAAACGGGATTTTTTAAAATCCTGTAATATGCATTTCGTTCTCTATACACTTCAATAACTTAGTAGCTGGTTTTGAAACCATTCAACTCACCTGCCTCTACTGCCCGTGCTGGAGGTACTAGGTGGCCTCACAGGGGTGTGTGAATTGGATAAACCTAAGAAGGATGAATCATTGTTTACACCAGCAGCATGAGCTGTATAACTGCACATCTAACGTGATGCAAGCAATACCCTATGTATCAGCACAGACATTACCACTAGTAATAAAATAATTCAAAACTTCTACATTCAATGTCATTTCACGTTAATTAATCTCACAATTTCCCCCCCTTAAATGAAATAGTTGCTCTGATTTCTTACGTCTTAAGTCAAGCCCTATATGATTTCTAATCCCAATTACTTTATTCTGATGCAACTATTATAAAAGACTATTACTGACTGCATATTAACCACAAACATATTATACATTTAAATAGAACCTACACTAATATAGGCTGACAACCCTGGGAATAATCAGAGACAACTGAAAAGGTTGGAGTGCAGAGTAAAACGGGACTGCATGCTGATTTACTAGCAATACATTTTTAAAGAGACCTTACACACTGTGAAGTATGAAGTATAATTCAGAGCAATTTTAGTGCTGCCATTTGTCCAGGTGTGTAGAGAAAGGTCTATAAACCCAGTTTCTCCTCCTCTCTGTATTTTGCACTTACTTCCAACATTCCACAGCAGTGGCACAAATAGGCAAGTTATGCTAGACTGAATTTTCACAGTGGCAGATGAATTTCAAGAACAGGACTTCAATTGCACTCTGGCACAGAATATTACACAGCTGCAAGACTATATAAATAGTACAGAAGCACCAGAGCATGGAACAGATATGAAAAGACATTGCTGTTCAGCTCCATACTAGCCATGACAATTGCACTCATTTTATGAACTATTGTTGTATATTATGATATTGTGATTTTATTGCTTTGGTTTTCTGGAAACTGCCTTGGAAACAATGACGATGGGTGGTACAGAAAACTTAATTTTAACGCTCACAAGATTAAAGCCTGTAGTCACAATGCAATAGTTGCTGGTATGTACTTTAAAACTATTGCGCTCATGAGCCACAATAATACTGTTTTAAATCTATTTCCTCTTGCGACTTGTTGAGCAGGAATCTTTTTGCTGCACAGACTGGGTTACTCTTTCTAGTGAGCTGGTGGCTACAATGCTGTACTCCTTTTTATAGCCCTCTCATTTACAGGTTATTTCATGAGGGGGAAATTATTTCATGCATAAAAATTGGGCTAAATCACAGCTACATAAAAGGTACAGACACTGGAAGAGAGAAAGAAGTGCTCATCAGCATTATTGCAGAAGTTACTAGAAATAACTGGATGAAATTAAAAACAGGGATGTTAAGACCTGAGAAAATGTACTGGAAACATCAAATTTCTTTAAAGTATTTGGAGCAGTCATTATTAAAGTTGCTGGTTGTTTTAAGCAGGTCTCAATTTAAGCAGAAATGTACAGATGCCCACTGCCTCTTCCCAGCTTACCTGATGAGCCTGGAGACAGGGCTGAGGGCCCAGGGGAGGGATTCATACTGCTTATAGGCTGAGGGGGTAGATGGCTGCCTGCGATATACCTACTTAGTAAATTATCTAAGTTACTGGAACCAGCATCTTCCAGCTGAAATAAAGGAGGACAGCCACACAGTGATTCTGCCAAGTCTAAATGCAGCATGCTAGAAATGACAGCTTGAGGATCATCTGTATTTTCACTGAAGGAGTTTAAAGCACTAGCACTTATTCACATAATAAGGGGAAACAAACAGATGAATACTCAGTTTTGCCATATTTGTATTTGCTATATTCCTGCATGTGTAATCAAGGAGTCTAGGAAATTACATGGCTACAAATTATTAATAAACTTTAGCATAGAATATTGTAGCAAAATCTTAGAATTCAGTGAGTTTTATGAAGCAAGCTTATTTCAAACTCAGTTGTCAATACTGATGCATAGGTTTGTGTCAGAGAGGTCTACATTCAGAACAACTTCCACTCTCTGCTTATGGAACTCATTCACTGCACCTTATATTTTACTCATGAAGTTGCCCTGATTTGTATGTTTTAACTATCTTATTCAAATATAGGACAATAAACATAGACAGGGAGAAACCATATGCTTTCAATATTACTAAAAGGGTTGCCACTAGAAGAATGGAAAATATATCATATTTTTTTAAAGCTGATCAGGGTGGATGGCAAAAAATAGTTTAGGACATCTGTACTAGTTTTAAACAAGAATACATTTATTTTGTAGTAGGGCTTTTCCTTCAAGCAAGGTCCAAGGGTAGCACTGACCCATCAGTAATCAACACTACGGGAACTTCATGTAAAAGTAGGCAGGTCCCAAATGAAAAATACTGTGTGGCCTTTTTTTTAAGGACACAGTTTAGGGAGGTTGTGAGGGAGTTACAAAATCAATTAAGTGAAACCCCCAAATAAAACACACATTTTGGCATGATAGTAGAAGTGTTTTAGAAGTTAAAAACACACTTTTAATGGACACATTTGGAAAGCCTTGTGTATGTGCTTGTGGGCTGGGAACAAAAAACCTTGTGGCATCACTGCAGAGGACCCATAGAAGCACATGGGGGTGTTAATTCATTAAATGACAAACTGGGAGGACACAAAAACAGCCATGTGGCCCATGAGTTAGCAATCCCTACCTTAGAATACATACAGCTGAACTGAAAACATTTCCTGCATTTTAGTTTCAGTGCAGAATAAATTCAGACACAGGTTTCAAAAATCATAAATGCCGCCCCCCAGCAAAAAAAGATTCTAAATAAGAATACTGATACTAAATGGTGTAAAATGCAATGAAAGAGTAAAGCAGATTAGGAGGAGACACAGCGATTTGTCCAGTGAGTTTCATAGCTGATTAGGAAAACAAGACGATTCTGGTCAGTTTATGAGAAGATGACCCAAGTCAAATGTACCTTTACAATACAGTTTTTTAAGTGTTGACACGAAACACACAACTGATATCTAGAAATTCTGATGTTGTATTATTAGTTTTCATCTGATTTCATATAGCATACTAACCTGTATAGGAGGAATATCTGGCAAGGAAGGCAAATTTTCTGGGTTGGTTACTGATGGAATAAGCTCTATTGCTGCTACAGATGGGCTTGTTGGACCACGGTTCGCATTGGCCATGGTGGCTGTTGTAGGGCTTGTTGGGTTGATAGTATTATTGTGCACTGAAACAACTGGGAAGGGACCTGCATGTCCTGGGTTTGAATGCTGCCAAGACAAAGGAGAGGGGGAAGCAAGAGAGAGAAAATATTGTTATGATAAGGAGCAAAGTCTTTCCTATGCAAAACTGGAAATTTTCAAAGCTTGTTGCTTTCCTGCAATTCTCTCCATGAGTTTCCCATTGCTGATAATTGTTTTAAACCTTCTAAAACATTTTGCATTTTATTCACTTTTTTATAGGTCAGAAGGTTCCATAGAAATTTTAAGCATAAACTTTTTCTCCTCTTTTTAAAACCTTTTTGCAAGCTTTCTACTCCCCCTCAATCGGAGAACGTAACAAATTATTCCCATATTAACATGCTGGTTATCCAGCCAAAAGGCAATAAAGTTGTGAAAGGTAAAATGTGGCTGCAAGTGCATTTATTAGATGCTCCATTAGCTTAAATACTCTGCATGTGGCTAGTAATATCCAAAATTTTACAAGATTCCTATTATGCGGCTCTTTAAACAGCCAGCAACATGGAAGTAGATGTCCCTTTAAAAGAGGTTTCACAGTTGATATATATACATAGAAGCCGAGCTGAATCAAAAGTCCAGAATCAAAGATGGGAAACAAAATGTGCACACAGCATATACTTGTCTTTGTAAGTGTGGCTGCATCATGTACTGGGGCCCGTTGTGGCGCGGTATCCCTGGGAGACGAGCAGTGTTCTGAGCCATTCTCATCTGGTGGGCTTGGAAAGCACCGCAATTCATTCCCCTCTGCATGGTCTGCATACTTATCAACCTCGGAGGCTACAAAACATTATGTATTTTAAAAGATGAGATAAAAGCAGTCCTCTTTGCCAAGTGAAGTAAATGAAGATGCATCTTTGTGCTTTACAAGACAGCACTGTAAATCCTACCTTAAACTTTGTGGAATAAGATAGAACTCAAAGTACCAAAGGTGCACTTTAGTGTCTACAATGAGTGTCTTAATTTAGATCATCTGAAACTTGCCTGTTGCTGCAGCATCTGTGGGCCTGCCTGGCGAGGAATCTGCCCTGCAGGCTGCCCCATCCTCATCTGTTGTAACTGCTGGTGTTTTTGTTGTGCGTACACCTGCTGTTGCATATGCTGGAGCCGAAGCTGTGCAAGATTAATTTGCGGTGGAGGTTTGCTGATGTGGTTAGTTCCCGGAGGAACTTGTCCCACTACTACATTAGGAGTATAACCTTGGGTTGGTTTGTTTTCAATAACAAGATTACCTAAACAACAGGAGAGAGAATTGGTCAGTCACAAAGTTATTTATTTTAAGCTAAATGTTAACAGTCTAGCAGTTTTACACTATGTACACCCTAGCTTCACAGCAGCTAAAAAGTTAAAAATAAATATACTTTTAATCAATATATTCAGAGACTGGTAATTATTTGCACTTCCTTATTGACTTTAAATAAGATATTGGTTCTGATGTACCCATATCTTACCTTAGTTCTATGCATAAAGATACATCACAATCAACTTCATGCAACACATTTTTGCAACAAAGTAATTTTGTGTCATCAATAAGCATTCAATATTTTATGAACTCATTTCCATAGCATTAGAAGGAAAAAGACTTAAATACAGAGTAATTATTGCTTGTGCATAATATGCAAATTATATATTGTAACTTTAAGCATTCTAGAGGTTTTTAAAGGAAACACATTTAATACTTAAGAGACTAAAAATGAAGATAGAAAATCATACAAATATAGCTCTGTAGTTTTTACTCCAGAGGCCTTTTGCAAGTGGTGTCCGGGTTATGGAATATCCTCCCCAGAGACAGTTGCCTGGCTCCCAAGCTGTAGTTATTTTGATGCCAGGTAAAAACCCTTCCCCCAGTCTTTTCATTTTTAGAAACATGTTTAGGTGCTTTGGGACCATTAGAACATTGTTCTGGTTTTTTCTGGCTTTATTCGGATCATTTAAACTTATTTTTTTATTTTATAGCCATGCTGTATTTTATGAGGGGGGGTTGTTGTTGTTTTTAAAAAAATAAGATAATTTACTGTTTTCTGTTAATGCTCTAAGTATAAAACAAAACCTCAGAACATTTATAACCATTTTAGGATAATAGGGGCCTTGTGTTTCTTTACATGTAAGAGTCTTTCAATTATAATCACATTAAACAAATTATCTTTCTGATTCAACTAAGCCGGCATGCTAGCAGAAGTCAGCACAAGGGCTCTCAGTAGTGCAACAGGGCTTTCCCCTCACCTCCCTGCCACCTCCTCCAATTCCACTCTGAAGAACTGGGAGAACCCCCATAACATTGTGCGGAGGGGAAGGAGGAGATTGCTGAAATGCTTCAGAAGACGGAACAATCAGAAGAGTGCAACATTTAATTCCACCCCTTGTCTTGTGCAGTGATACTGAGCTGAAATACTGCAGTGTCCCTCAATTCAGAACTACACAACAGCTTGCTTTCAAAGATTAAGTTGAGCGGTGAGAGATGCTTGCAAAGACGCTTGCAAGTTATTTGTAAATAAGACCACGCTATTTAGCAATATGATTTTTCTGTTTCATTATTCAAACAGGAATTTGAGTGATTCACAACTTTAACACAAGTATGGGGAGACTGTGATCCTCCAGATGTTGTTGGACTCCCTCTCACCAGCTTCAGCCAGCATGGCCAAGTTCAGGAATGATAGGAGTTGTAGAACACTTAGAAGGCTATAGGTCCCCCATCCCCAATTTTACATTTTAAGTACTGTGCCCCAGATTCAAAAGACTATATGGGAAGCTTCTGAGCACGTACTAATGCCTTTGCAGTACAATTTTTCAAACCACAGACCTCTGACACAGCTGAAGCAGCAAGAGTTATAGGAAGTCCTAGTGTGCATATAGAGTCGCTTGCACACGCCCAACAGACACTTGTCTCTTGGACAGTCTCTAAGCTGGTTTTACAGAAATCCAGATTAATGCATCTTAAAATACTTATAATGAACTGAATTTGTGTCACCAAAACAGAACACAAGCATCTCAATTCTCCATTTTAGCTAAAAGCTTTGCATTTGTTCGTTGCTCAAGAAACTTTCTGCAAATTAATGTGAATTGTTTGATAAATGTGTAACTACCCCTCTGCATTTTTAAACAAGCAAGATCTGTTTTCTTTTGCCCAGTTTTTGGTCCTTTTCTTGATCATCTGAATTATAAAACTAGTAACTTCCTTGAAGCTATTCTACTGTAAGTTGCAATGATTTGTGTAGCTGGTTATTTCTTACATGAACCATAATTCTTAATTAAAATATTTTTAGATTTTCTTGCATCACAACTTCGACTCAACTTTAGTAATTCTAAAACAAATACAACTTCCTGGAATGGTGACAATCTGTTTAAGCAAGACCACACACCCACTATTTATTGAACGGAGGTCTAAAATTAATTATAACTTAGAAATCTTTTCTTCAGTGTTACTGGAGCCAAATCAGTGCTTGCACTCCAGTACCATTAACCACAATGGGAGACCCCTCTCTTAACAGTTTATTTAGGAACTTGACAATGACACCCATGGTTTTCCCCAGTTTCAGAATTATCCTTGCATTGATTCTAGAGATTTGTTCTAGTCATATGCATTTGTCAAAGGCCATCCTCATCACTGTTCATTCTTCAGTAAATTAAAGACAAGATTTATTGATTTATTTTTACTTTCTGCTCCCTCTAGGATTCCTCTGAAATTATTATTTTTTTAATGTAGTTTCCAAGACTTCATTTCCAATACCTTTTTCAGTTCCCAATGTATAGCCCCAATCCAAAGGGCCGCATGATGAGCTCTGCACATGTAGTGGGGGGTTCCGATACCTCCCCCTTTCCAGAAGCATCCCCTCACAGTGCCCAACAAGCTGCCCTGAAGCTTGAGGAACCTCGAAAGTGTCCTCCAACAGAGTAAGAGGAGTTGCTGCTGGAGAAGAACACGGGAAAAACCTGGTATGGACATGTAAGCCTTTGTACACACCTAAGAGGCTGTAATCTATTTTGCTCAGTATCCTATACTGGCTCTTAATTATCCAACCAACAAATTCTCTCATCAACGTTCTCTGTTCTTTTATATTACTTGTAGTTACTATGGGGAGGTATATGAAGGAAGGGATTTTAATACACAAACATGGATCTAAATGAGATTTTGCCTGCTATTGCCCTTTCTCCTTCTATATATGCCAAAAGCTGCAGAGCCATGCATGAAGGTATAGATTTCTCTCCTGTGAAGCTGTCTCTCACTTGATGCTAGAGCTTTGCCATGCCAAAGAACGCATGCACCTTGCTCAGTCATTGCGTCACTGAAGGAATCTTGTTTTTACTCATTCTAATCTGTTGCTATAAGGAAGGTTAATGAGTCTTTAAAGCCAAAATGTCCTGCCGATACCATGCAAAAGTATTTTGGGACCAGTTGGAATCTGGTGCCCAATTTTCTCTTAGAATATCTAAAATGTGCTGCTAAAAGTTCTGGAAAGTTTTCAGCCCTGTTTAGCTGGTATAAATTATTACTCATATTACTAAGTCATATTACAGGACAAATACTAGACTGAGTATTCCATGTCTTCCTATTGTTTTCTACTTCTTTGTTTACAGAAATACGGCAACTAGTATGTTGCAGCCTAACATACTAAGAAGTTTGGAACAAACAAGTCTTCTTTCAACACCGGAATGTGGGCTACCAGATTTGACCCTCAATTGCTTTCCCCTTCAAGGAAGCACACTGATTGTAGACTGACACTTTCCGGTGTCCTTTATTACCAGAGAGGGATAGAAGGGAATGACCAACAGAGTACATGGAATCACTACTGAAATATACAGAGCAATCTTGCATGTAGTTCAGGAGACACTCTCCACTCCTCCGTCATCACCACTGTCATGACCCTCCCCTCCCCTCTGTGGTGCCTGCTCATCACTCCACCTCTCTTGTCACAGTGCTTTCTTAGAAGACTATTCAAGCTAAAATCTGGAGAAGCATCTGAAGTAACACCACCATATTCAATGATTAACAACAGTGCAGCACTACCTATTAAGGCATATCAATTTCCAAGTGAATAACGATGCATCCAGACTGTAGAGAGAACTATTCTAGTGACAGGGAGTTGCATGCAAAGCAGAAGCATAGTTTGAGAGAAGCATCTGGGTAGTGGCTGCATACGTTATAAAAGCTTTGGCTCGGATCCAACCCCATACAAGCAAACAGATGACAGTTCATCATGTGCACAGGAGAGGAGAGGACTTGCCAAACAAGGGGAGTTTGGCTTAATGTCTGCTTAAAGTCAGATAATTTTATACAATTATACAGTGGAAAAAAGCTTCCTGGTATGAATGGATCCAAGACACTACCACCAATTTTAGTGGTAGTCTACAGAAAATTCTATCTAGTTCATGCTACTCATCATATTAAGAATTTTTGCACATTGAATTCAGCTTTCAGAAAAATGGAACACCCTCTCACCTAAGTTGACTACATTCTTTGCCCAGAATGTGGGATCACAATGGAAGCGTATTGCTCCATTAGCAGCTGGGACAGGATCACATCGTGCTTTTAAAATATGTCGCAGCTGGAACGTGATCTGTGAGAAGACAAACACTCTCAGATTAGTGATGACATTGTGCGGAGAGTCAACAAAAAGAAGTCGACAAAACAAAATGCAAATTGTCAACAACTGTGTGTGGCTTTGAGCAAGCTGCCATCTCTTATCCTAACCTATCTCATAGAAATAAGCTAAACCTTATTTTCAGTCACTTAGAAGAATTGCAGGATACAAACATGAGATCGCAAGAGAATTACTACTGAAGTGCATTACTTCTAAAATACAAGAAGGTAGATTTTAAGCAAATAGATGGTGGCACAGGACTAAGCCACATTCAGAGTATACCCAGTGGAATGAAACCCACTGATTTCAATGGATCTATTTTAGGAATAGCTTAGTCTGATACCACCCAGAGTTCATAAGTGGTAACTTGTATTTTTATACATGCCTTACTTTAGTTGTACCAATGTTCAAATGATAACACAGAAAACATACACAAAATATAGAACAAGACTTTAATTTTTCCATGTGAGCAGAAAGCAAACGATGCATATTTGACATGGGAAAAGTTCTATTCTAAGTCAAAACCCTGGAATTGGTTTTAAATTCTAATTTGCTTCAATGATTAAGGTGTCACCCAAAGCTCAAGTCATTCAATGTGAAAGACACATGCCCTGAGCAAGGTGCTAGACTTTTATCACTTTGGAATTACAAACTGAGAGAGCCATACCAACACTCAAAAATGATAGTAAATTCCCCCTAATTTGTTCCCCTTATCTTCCAGCAGCACCTCCAGCAAGCTAAATGCCAAATTCCAGTACCAAAATTCTAATGGAAAAATGTGCTTCCTGCCTTTCACTGAAACAGACACAGGAATTACTGAGAATTGAGCAGGATCAGTTCACAGCAACTGCTGATGTTGATCCAAGGTGGTAAGCAGTGATGCAAGTAAAATTTTGATGGCCCACTTCAATTGGCATCTGAATTATCATGTAAACACAACTTTTATAAATACTGTATTAATTTTTCCATGCTATATAAATGTGCTAAACATTTAAGCCAGCTGCCAAATGTAGTCCAATATGCAAAGTAAAACTTAATCAAATAAAACACATTCAGATATGGTTTTATGCAACCAGGGTTTCAGTTCTGATTTGCAGTCCATCATTAAAACAACTGGTTTTGACTCGAAGCAAATCAAGTGGCAACTTCATCAACTGAAATTTCTGGTTTTTGATTTTACTTTATCCTGGTGTTTTGTTTTGTTTTTACAAGTAACTAGAACTAGAGAGGGGAAATGGAAAAATTTCCTTGGGAAAAGTTTTACTCTTTAGAACTCTTGGTGATTGCTGTTATGGTTTTTAACTTAACTACCCAGATGAAGTTGTTCATTGGGTGGTATATAACTGTTAAAACTGTTGGCATCTGTCTGTCTGAACAGACAATGGAAGAGTGAGCCATCGGGTGGGTAAAGTCAAACCATTGGAGAGTTAAAGTGCCTCTTGTGGCTGTAGAGACTAATATGGGAGAAACATGTTTTACTGCAGGTAGAAAAGATAAAGGTGTCTGGTTTCACTTTTACAGAAGCACCATGGCATTTCTTCTCTCTGTGCTTCTCCCAGCGGTCATTTCTCCTCTGGTCACTACTATGGATACATGACCTGACTGTCTTCAGGCAATGCAGTCATCTGCAAGGGATTCCCACATGGCACGGTTAATGTTGCCAGCCTTCATACCACATTTGCAGACATCTTTGTAACACAGAGTTGGTTCTGCCAACAGGCCTGGTGCCTAAAAACAGCTCCCCATAAAGTACATCTTTGGGGATCTGGCCATCTTCCATTGTGTGGACGTGACCAAGCTGCAGTAGACGTCGCTGAGACAGAAGTGTGGACATGGTGGGAATGTGAGCTTGGAAGAGCACATATTTGTTTGAGACTCTGTCCTACAATGTGATGCCCAAAATCTTCCTGACACAGCGCTTACATAAGGCATTGAGGTGTCGCTCCTGGCGGGTGTTAAGTTGCTTACGACTCACTTCCATAATGCAGTGTGCTCAACACACAAGCCTGGTAGACCTTCCTCTTGGTATTGGTTGTTAGCATCGCATTCTCCCATAGGCTTTTGGGGAGGCAAGTTGTTGCTATAGCTGCCTTACCAACACACCATCAATGGTTATGGTGGAGTCCTTTTCAGACTCTCTTCACTGGTACTGAATAAATTACATATAGCTACAAGGCACTAAAGGTCCAGTGACTGTCTATACAAGTGAAACTGTTTGTTTCAAACAATATCTAACTCCATGAACTTTGCAAAGAAGCCAACAAATTGCCCCTCAGCTGACCATCATGAAGCCTAGGTAACCACCAGAAACTATCTGGCCTGACATCAACTCCTATATAGATTCAGGAACAGGTAAAAAAACCATTGAGCACCTGCTAGAAAGACCTACATAATTGTCAACGCTATGTATTGCAGTGTTACATTTACCTAATCAAAATGCAGCATATGTCAGGGCTAGTTGGCTTGCCAAACGAACAAACAAACAAACTTTTACAGTAATTTAAATATCAAGTTTGGAATAAAGTGTGGACTGGAAACACTTGTACAAATATTAGCAAAGTGGCATTAGCTGTACTTACCTGAAAGCTTTGAGAGTAAGAAAAACATGGGTCCCCGTGATGCAATATTCTTTGTTTTAATGCAATAATAAGAGTATAATCTATGCTATACTGGCATTCAAAGCTTTCCTTACCAGTCGCTTGCTATAGAGTAATGCAGTGCTGCTGCCACTTGCAATGGCCCAATTAGTAAAGTTCATCACATGTTTCACCTGCCGTGACAGACCACTGATATCGTTCTGCTGCAGTATTAGCTTCATCTGTCTCTCCTTTGTTACAGTCTGAATAGAAACAGTACACACATATCCATTTTTAAAAAATAATACCAAATGCAATAATTAAAACATCTATCTATGCAATGTGTGGATACTTAGTACAGACATAAATCAGAAGTGTGGCTATAACAAATAGTGGGTAAAATCCAACATTTTGAGAGTGGACTTTTATTTGTAGAATAACTTTGTGCCATACTGGCACTGAGTGCTGACAGATCACTGGGCAGAACAAAAACAATTCATTGGATTCTGTTAATTGTTTTTTTAAAATTACAATTATCATGTTGGCATGGACATGATCTGAAAATGTACACTGCTGAAAACTTGCTGAAGCTAAGTAAGTGGTTGGGTGGGAGACTTTGTCAGAACTCAAAAAGAAGAAAATTGGATATAATTGTAATAAATAATATTTATAGTCATTGGCAATACCATCAATTTTTATTCAGTTTAATTATGACTGCACACTTCAGACTCACAGATGGATTTATTTTAGACATGACTTCCTCAATTTCCCAATAACCATGATTGTAATCATTAGTGTTAGTTAAACTGCGTGCAACTATTTCAGATGTATTTCCTTCCTATAATGCTGAAAAGTGTAGTTTATTTTAGATTATTTTAAAATATAAATGCTGGGTTGTATCCAGTGATGTTTGTGCACGAGCAGATTGAGATTCCAGTTGCACAAATAAATTATTACTATTATTATTATTATCATTATTACTATTATTATTACCTCGCCCTTTCCCTTTATCTCTGCTCCCCATTGCCCTTTGCATGCTTCCAAAATCTGCTCCAGAGGTTGGGGGACCCTTTGGTTTGGTGGATTGATGGGGCCTCAGAGGAGAAGAGGGGGAAATCCTGTTCTGCCCGATTATGGGCAATTCTTCCTACCACTGTAGCACTGGACAACAGAGCCTTGTGATGTTTGGTAGTGATCCCCAGCCCTCCAGAGCAGTTGTTTGTTTTGGGGTGGTGGTGGGATGATACAGATGGGATGATACAGAGGGCAGAAAGAAAAGATCCACTATGTGAGCCTGCCTTCTACTCACACAATGTTGGCTACATTCCATATATACAATTTTATTATTTTATACATTATCCACCTAAAAGATGCTCAAGGCAGTTCACAAAAAAGGGAAAAACATACAGTAGGATTGTAACTGCTCCATAATTTTGCATTATGATTTATTTCTTCAAAAAGTGCTAATTTGATGCAAGTAGTTAAAGCTAGCTTTATATCTACATTTTGACCGAGTTTGGTTCAAGCAGTCATCACCTACTTAACCTATCAAATAAATATAGCACCAGCAATAAACATCCCCCATCCCATCCCATTTGGTGCTTGTTACCACAGAGCTTAGGGATTTAATAGCCTTGCTTTCAGGCATCGCAGTAATTTTATCAAAATTAAAGCAAAAAGTGGGGCAATCTATACCTCTGGGCATCACAAAGGAAGACAACATGGATATGAATATGATTTATCATAATTTTGAAACACTGAAAGTCCTGTGAAGTTTCAAAGAACTCTACAAAAGCAACATCACAGTTATAGGTCACATTTTTACAAAAAAAAAATTTTTACTATTTTTATTTTCCTGTAAAGAATCATCTGGTTCTAAAATTTCATTTGTTCATAAGAATTAATTAGTAGCATAATGACTGGATAGAATACCATTCAAACTGTGCCATTTCTAAATTGCAATTAACTTTTTTTTAGGAGCACAGTACCTTTGGGTGTACTAAAATTAGACTGCAATCCTATGCCCACTTACCTGGGAGTAAGCCCCACTGAACTCAATGGAAGCTACTTCTGAAAAGACATGTATAGGACTGCACTGTTAATAGTGCCTTTCAGTGTCTTAGTCTTTCTCCTTAAAATTTAACAAGGAGAAGGGTATTCTATTAGGCTATTGCATTTTTAAAAAATTACAAGTATTCCCATAACAATAATTTGACCATAAAAATTATACCACATTGTGCATTTTGTGAATTATTTTCCTATTCAATATTTCCACTGAACTACATCTGGCTATGGAAACCATTTTGAGATATTGGTACCACATATAAGATCAGCATTTTAAAAACATTTTCTTTATGAAATATAAAAGCCAAACATGTAAAATCTCATCCAGACTGATTAAAGTCATCAGAAAATTGTCCGATTCAAAAGGTTCTGAGCAACCCACATCACCAACACCCTTTCAACCTATGACAGGGGACTTGGCAATGAACAACCCAATATTGTAATGAGACACAAAGCTGCAATGTAGATGACTACTAATTTGTCATCCGCTGAAAAAATAATAATCTGCATCCAAGTCAGAAGAATTTTAACTGTTAACTACAGATTCAATTAGTGCCACTAAAAGAATTCTGCAAACTGTACTTTCCCAAGGATGCTGTGAGCCATTAGGAGACCCCTCACAGAGCTACAAGCACTCTTAACTAAAGTTCCAAGAATTCTTTGAAGGAAGCCATGATTGTTTAAGTGGCTTAAGAGTGCTTTAAATGTATGGTATGGATGCGATCACACAAATCTGAAGGGTAGGACAAGTATCAATGAGAGATTTCAAATTTTAAAATGATGCATTCAACAAAGGGTAAGAAGATTTTTATAAGACATCACACGGCAAGCAGCACACTTAAAGTCATGTAACCGAGTGGCTCTGCAATTTGTGCCTTACTGAACTGTCATGAATATTTACAATCCATGTTGGTTTTAGGCAGGCATATTGAGAAAGGAACTCAATGGCCCTTTCTGCACTTAGCTAAGCCGTAGTTTAGGACTACATGAACAAGCATCAGCAAGCCTCAGGCACACATGCTCCCCACTTTCCTCCAGCATAGCCATGAATGCAATTAACTAGATTTCCCCATTGTGTGCAAACTGGGGGGAAATCTGGTTAGGTTAAACTACAGTCTGTTAACAAGCCAGGATCATAAGCCACAGTTTGACTCTTGGCTTGCTTGCTGCGTAATTTAAACTAACCAGAGATATTCAAAGTTTGAATGTAATCATGCTTGCTAGCATTGTGTGTGAAATGCGCCAAGAATTTCATAATGGACAAAACCAACCACAGGGTTATTCAAGACAGAAGAAGCCATATACGTGCAAAGATCACAGCAGGATTCATGCTAAATATTTTTATTTATTTATTATGCATTTAGTTGTACCTCAAGCTGTTGTAGGAGAGCTTTTCCTTTTTTATTGATTTCATTAATGAGGGTAAAAATAGCCACTTTGATTTCCTGTTCTACTCGTTTGTTAGTTTCATTTACTTCTTTTATCCTGAAAGAGAGAAATGTGCTGTCAGGCAGTAGCATTGCAACATCTTTAACCTTTTTTCCCCTCAAGCAAAAATTCAACATATTATATAAATAGATACAGATTTATATGAAGTATGTTCAACTTCAGTACAACAGTCCAACCATATTTTCCATTCATTCTTAAGAGGAAAATCTTAAAAGTAATTTTGTTTTACAATATGGGACAACAACTTCCATCAACATTAAAATATCCTTCTATGTTTGTTAGATATTTATGTTTCATGTGTTATGAAATGTTTATTCTACTGCTTTCTTTGCTTTTGGGGGGACTAACTTAGCAGAGAGAAACCTAGGTTGTTGGTTTTTTTTTAAAAAAAACTAATTAATAAAAGGTGCAACCTGTTATTTCAATTTAATCTTCACCTCTCTGTCTGAAGCAGGTAGTTATTTGGCCTCCTATAAGCACCGGCCTATTGTGCCACTGGTGTCATATTGATGTGTTGTGCTCCCTGGGGCATTATTAACTCCTATTTCTAACCTACTCTTCATCAATTGAGATCCCAGAGTAATGAAACACACTGCAGTGCTGCAGTAACTGCACAGCTGGTATGCACATACTCTCCATCTTTAGCCGCAAAAAGCCAGGGAGGTTGCCTGGATGTTCTAGCTTGTTAGTGAGGAAGGCTCTCCCTGCCAAAGCTGCAAAGTGCATGGGCACACTGTTCTTCATTGAACAAGCACTTGTGAATCTGGTACAACAGATAACATTTGCAGAAATCTATTTGTACATGTGGATTCTGTTTGCTGGATCAGGCTGAATAGCTGTTCTACTTCCATCTTCAGAGGCTAGAATTTTAGTAATCATATAAACTAGCCCATCTGAAGGAAAAACAATACCGTATAAGCATTATTATAGAAATAATAATAATCACCTACCTATTTTGCACCTGAGTAGCTGCAAAGTTAACATAATTCTTCTTTTCAAGGAGTTTGGCTAATAGATTCTCAATAGCACCCTTTTGATTCTGAAACGCTTCTTCCAAAAACTGGTACCTTTCCGAAGAAAAGACAACATGCAATTATCTAACAGGAGCACTGCAGTAAGAGGAAACACTGGATTGAAATATAAGCTTGCTAACGTGAAAAGTGGCAGCTGCATTAATACCATTGGTAAGGAATGCTTAAAAGACAGGTTTGCAAATGGGGATTTCCTTTGTACAAAGAATCATAGAATTGTAGAGTTGGAAGGGTTATATAGTACAACCCCCTGCAAACAGAATGATCTCAATTGCCATTAGCAACACCTCTTAAAGGTAAAGGTAAAGGTACCCCTGCCCGTACGGGCCAGTCGTGTCCGACTCTAGGGTTGTGCGCCCATCTCACTTAAGAAGCCGGGGGCCAGCGCTGTCCGGAGACACTTCCGGGTCACGTGGCCAGCGTGACGAAGCTGCTCTGGCGAGCCAGCACCAGCGCAGCACACGGAAACGCCGTTTACCTTCCCACTATAAAGCGGTACCTATTTATCTACTTGCACTTAGGGGTGCTTTCGAACTGCTAGGTGGGGGAGCTCACCCCGCCGCGGGGATTCGAACCGCCGACCATGCGATCGGCAAGCCCTAGGCGCTGAGGTTTTACCCACAGCGCCACCCGCGTCCCAAGCAACACCTCTTAGTCTGTTTCAATTCTCAAAACAAAATCCAGTGTTTCTAGAAATCTAAGAATATATGTGGTGATTTTGTGAAAAATCATTTGCATTCTGCACAAATATTTTATCAGGAAGGTTGAGTTATGTGTTCATGCTGAATTGTCCATTCATTGAATGGTTTGTTTTTGCTTCACTGATATTTTACTGTTTTTTTAAATATTATGAACCACTTATGTATAGGTTATTCCAATACTTTATTAGAATAAAAAGCTCTGAGCTCAACCCTGGAAAAGCAGCATAAGAGTATTAAATAATAATCAAATATATGGAATCACAATGAAATGGTCAAACTTTTGCAGAAGTTTGCACGTCAAATTTTGCTATCCTTCTCTGCTGCAGATGCCAGAAAATATTATTCATGAACATATGTCTGTGAATGGGGGGATAATTATATCTGCTGTCTCATTTTATTACCAGGGTTCATGTTTCAGAAATTTGTACTGTACTTGCCCAGATTGCAATCTGTATTACATATGAATCTAAGCAATTGTAGTGGTCCATCTATAAGGCAAGAATAATACTGTGAGCTTGTCATCTTTATTTTAGTAAACCAGACCCAGCCAACTGGTTAGCAAAAAAAAGCCCAATCGACTATCCATATACTGCTAATAATTAATGTCAAATTAATATTGTCAAAGTTTCTGAAATAGCATGTTATTCTAAAAATCTGTGACCAATCTAAACCTCAAGAATTTCATGCTCCAGAAACAACATAATGAGAATTTCCCTGAAGAACTAAAATATTTAAATAAGGAAATTACCTTAGAAGTATGCCCTAGAAGGTGCAAACATAACAGACTGAACACAAATATCCTAGCATAAAGAGGCAGGCACTACTACACTGATTTTTTCTTTCCTTATGCACAGCTTCCTATACCTCTAAGAAGTCACCAGTTTAAAGTTCAGCAGGGCGATCTTACAAACCAAATCAATGTATTCAGCTGGAAAACGATAAGTGTTTTCATTAAGCTGCATTAATGCTATAGAAGCGGAAATGTTGCAGATGCATTCTTCAAAGTACTAATCATGGAAGCTAAGACAGGTATTTCTGCTTAAATGATGCCTACATGTATATTTGACCAGAGGTAGCCATTTGCTGCATCATATTTCTTTCATAAACTCAGTGATTTTGAAAGAATTAACATTCAGTGTTGCATCAATCTACGGAATGAACTCATGCAATAATAGCCTAATCCTTGTTAAAGTGTCATGATCATCAGTGCCAATTCTATTAAAATATTAGCATCTAATTGCATACATCAGTTCACGAACGGTTAATTTTTTGTTCCTTTTCATACTCTGGCCTTGTTTACACATCACATTAAATCACAGTTAAATGAACTATGGTTTAAGTGAAGGAGCAGCATAGTTTAATGTGGTCCACGCTACTCAAAAAATTCTAGTTCCCAATTCACTCCTCCCCACTGTGATGCTGCCACACCAGAGAGGAAACAAGCCATAGCCTGGCTTTTCATTGTTCCTCTCCAAACCAAATATGAGAAGTAAGCCAAAAACAAACCTTTGCTCATAGTTTGTTTGGAGAGAAACAAAGCTTGAGCTACAACAAGAAACTTGTTTTGTCCCCACAAGGCAGCAGCAGCACAAATGGGGACCTTGGACCACATGCACCAGCACACTACTTATTCAGACTAAAATATCATTTTGTTTAACTATGATTTAATATGACATGTGAATCAGGCTTTCGTCAGTCGCTCTGAGCATTTCCTTTTAAAAGGAAAAAGTGGGAGAGAAATTTTTGTATAAAATAATCTATTTCTAAAATTGATCAATTAAAAAGCAGTTGCTGATTAACTGGGCAATACATCGAAAATGTCAATTATTTTTAACAGATGTACTTACAAAAATGGCAGGTGCTGATGCCCTCCTTTTGAACACACTTTCCCTTCTCTACCTCACACTGGAGGAAATGCCTCTTCTAAGATGGTACTTGCTGCACACATCATGTAAAATCAAGATATGTTTCCCCACGAAAATATTGCTTTATTCATGTACAAATGTGTAATTTAAATTATCAACTAAAATTCATGTGATTAAGATTTCTTTAATCTGACGACTGCTCTATTGCCACTTAGAATCAGTACTGGAATTAAGAGCCCAAAGCACCACCAGCCCAAATCTATCTGCTACAGACACAAAGTTCACACATTATATAGCAGTAATACTTGAGGACTGTATACTACTTTAAATGCATCTGCTGTGTGAAGAAACAGCATAGGAATAGAAGAAGAGTCATACCTATGTTCTTTGTGTTCCAGTAACTGGCAGTCTCTGCATGTCAGTCTGTCACAAGTTTCACAGAAAAGTTTTAGCTGTTCTTGTTTGTGCACAGGACAGAAAACAGGACGCTGACCAGATGCTCCAACAGCCTCTGTGTTAAAAAAGAGACTTTTTGTATTTTAATGTAAAGATTAAGTCAGTCTACAGATTGAAACTGGCAGAAGAGCGTCCAGAGCTCAAGGAGAGTCAATGCCATGGAAGAGATCCCCATGCAGAGGCACAGACTGCTGACTAGGAACAGTATCAGGGCCCACCATTTCTGTCTTTCAGTTTCTTTGGATTGGGAAAGTGCTATGTTCCACTTCCCACCTATTTTGGCTATCCACTCCTTTCTCAGCAAATACCTCTCCCCTCCAAAAAAGAACCAAACACTGTGTTACTTTTGTTGAACTTCTGCCTTCAGCACAAAATCCCTTCCCAGTTTCATTTAGGTCCTGCATTAAGGGAAGAATCCAGCAGCATTAACATCCACCTTTGGCAGTTGCCTTGCAAGACACCAAAGGGGGTGTTGCTTTTGGTGAATGTTTGTGGCCTAGATCTCAACCGGAGAAAGGTATTAAGATGGTGGAACCACATCTCCGTTATCCCGCTAATTAAAACTATCCTGCCTCACTAACTACTGCCCTATTTTCCTACAATTATTTATCTCTAACCTCTGAGATAATCTCACTTGCTCCAACTACCTTGTGTCTCCAGCTACTCCAACCAACTCTTTTCTCAGCCTTCAACAAACTGCCTTCCACTTCCTACAGTTCATTGAAACTGCCTTAGTCAAAACCACCCATTTCCAGATCCAAATAAACATAATAATGTTACTTTTCTTACTTTCATCTTAAAACACCCTTATATTTATTAATTTATATGCCGCTATAAAGCGGCATAAAAAAGTAGGCCTCTGCCCTGTGGAACATGTAATCAAATATTTGACACACTGTCTCTGCTGGAGGAAATGTTAGAAGAGGGAGAAGAGAGGAGAAGGAGGCAAGTGTAAATTGGAAGAGTATGGATTCCGTTCAGTTACATATACTTCAGCTTAGCTTCGGTAATGGAAGAGGAATAAAATGCAAGCAAGCATAAACGACCCAGGTAAGTCTTCATCACTTATAAATGGTTAAACACAAGCATTGCACGTTGTGAGTAGGTCTAGGATTGCAACAGCAGGGACAAAATTAATAGGGTGTATCCACTAACCCACCTACAACAATCTGTCTTCTGACTAATAAACTGCCAGAAATTACTTGTCTTCGTATATTTTACTGATACAGTGGTGCCTCGCAAGACGAAATTAATCCGTTCCGCGAGTCTCTTCGTCTTGCGGTTTTTTCGTCTTGCGAAGCACGGCTCTTAGCGGCTAAGCGGCTATTAATGGCTTAGCGGCTTTAAGAAAAAGGAAACAAACTCGCAAGAACTCGCAAGACATTTCGTCTTGCGAAGCAAGCCCATAGGGAAATTCGTCTTGCGGAACGACTCAAAAAACGGAAAACTCTTTCGTCTAGCGAGTTTTTCATCTTGCGAGGCATTCGTCTTGCGGGGCACCACTGTACTGCCAAATTACATTAAGGAAACAGACGTGTGGACAGACTTTTTGTGAAAGTTTACTGCCAATGTTTAAATGTTTTTTATTAATGACTGGACCGTTATTGTACTTCAGAAATATCCAAGAATTGTTTAGTTTTCCAATGGGAAACCATGGCCCTAGCATCAGAAAATGGACAGCAGTAGGTAGCCAGGTATTGAACTTAGCAGCAAGGTGGCAGAATTGTACCATGGGCTACATAACAACAGCAACTGAGCTGCCCAATTGAAAAGGACTTAGCCGTGTATGAAATTCAGTATTTTGTGTTATTTGCTTTCCAATGAAGTCACAATTCAACAGCCTCTCTCTGTTCCAAAACACAAAAATGACATGGATTTTCAGTATCCTAAGCTATCTATAGAGTCAGAGCTATTCTTGACAGTCATGTATTAAGTTAGAAACGGAAATTTCACCTGAAGAGACATCTTCTTTCTTTCTAATCATATGATCCTTAGTAAATTTAACTCGTTGATGAGCTTCTATGCAGGTTTTGCACAGCCATTCTCCACATTCCACACAGAAACCAACAGCACTAGAATTATCTTCACAGCTGGTGCACACCTAAAAGCCGGGGGAGGGGAATATTTTCAAATGCTGAAGCTGTGACACGTCAATCCAAAAATTACCAAAATATTTTATCTTACACAAGAAAAAACTCAAATCACATTGCAAGGAGAAAAGAGTAGAAGTGTCATACCTGTTCTGATTTCTCATCAGAGCTGCTGGGTGCTTCAGATGTGTCTTTGACAAAGTAGTTATCTACCAAATCTATTTGCCTGCATTCCTGGCGACAGATTGGACACCTGATCACACCAACTGCAACAAAAAAAGGGTACTTCTTACACTTTACTGGATTGCCATAACTTGATTTTAAAAATCATCATAATATTTGTAATTAAAATACAGAATCTTCTTCCAAACCTATTAAGCATAATATGTCCAAGGACAATGCATAAGAGCACTTTCAGCTCCAAATAAGATAATGTGTTTCACAAAATATTTCAAATTCCTATAAGGCACATTTATTTATTTTTAACTATATCGATAACCTGGGAGCTAACACACTAACAGTGCTCCATAAAGTTTCAGAACAGTTGGTTTTTATTACGCCGTACTTCATCAGTTCTCAGGGATATTGCAATTTATGAAACTAAATAATTAGCAGCACAACAAATACAGGTTGGTGGCATTTTATGAACAACTCTTCCAAGCTGTTTTTGATCCTTTCCACTTAGAGGGTTGGATCCAGACCAAGTTAAATGAAATTAAAATTACGTAGTAACTTTGATTTCAGTAGGCCCTAATTTAAGTTACACTTAAATCAGTGGAAGCCAAGTACAACTAACTTAATATGGATCTATCCCATTGTTTCCTCAAAACAAAACAAAACAAAACAGTAAGGCATGAACAAATACTGGTTGATGTTTGCAGCTTGCTTGGTGGGAAGCAAACTATGAGCCCAGGTTCAGACAACAGGATAAGCCCAAATCTGGCTTGTTTCACTCATGATGCAGCAAGACCAACAAGGAATGGAATAGGAACTTTTCAGCACACTGAACATCATGCACAGTCATGTTAAATCAAAGTGTGTGTTTAACTTTAGTTTAATATGACATGAGAACTGAGTCAAAGTCTATAGTCTCATTCACATGTACTGTGAAGTCGAACCATGGCTTGGCATGAATGTATGAACATGATAGCTCCTGAGGACAATATCGCAAGCACTTTGCTCCTCCCTGGGCATTTTAGCTCTGCACCAGCAGTGCCACATGAACCCATAATCATAGTTAAGGTATCTCCTTGCGAACTATGACCTGTAACCATAGGAAAAACCTTGGCTACTGGTTATGAGTAAGCAGGAGAGATCTTAACCATAATCTCAAGTTTGGATGACATGCAAAGCCAAACCTAGGCTTAGGTGCCATGCTGCGCTGAGACAGGGAGCAACAAAGTGGCTGCAATCTCCCCAGAAGCCAACAGCTAAGCCATTAAGTGCAAAGTTCTATGTACAAGAACAGCTCATCACCTCTGAGGAAATACTTGTCTCAATATGTCCGGCACCTTTCTGGGCCTCAGAAGGCTGCAAAAGGCTGCCTTTGAGGAGGATCAAAATGCATCTTTCTAGGAGCTAGCAGGTTCACATTGTCACAGTAAATCATTATCTGGCTTACCATGATACAAGAACCAGATCTATGTCACATTACTAAAATAGCAATCACAATCAAATATATGCTGATGTGCCTTTTGATGAAAGACTGTAATAGTTCACAGCACTCATTATTAGGATTTAAATATGAAACAACAGAAGTCTGACATTTAATGAATGTTTGTATTATTACTAATATGCTATTAGTTTGAGCTTTCTTCTGCTCCATTTTCAATAATGTTTGAGAATACAAGTAAAACAGTCCCTAAACAAGGACTCTACATTTTCAAAATGGGTATGTGCCAACAGATACTGTTCTGCCTTATGCAAACACATTCTGGGCAGAGCTTAAATCTGAAGAGGTTTTCTCATCAGTGTTCAAAATTCCCCAGGCACAAATCGTGTTTTGTGACAGGTGCGGGTTCAACTGCGGCCATGTGGAAATCTCTGAATGCCAGGCTGCATTGCAGGGGGGTTAGACCAGATGACCCTCGTGGGTCCTTCCATCTTGACATTCTATCATTCTATGATTTCCTGTGCTACTTTCTTGACAGCCAAAGGATCTTAGTGGCCAAAGGGAGGTGGAAGAATTGTGGTGCATTTAGCATGGAATATAGTAAGTTTTCCAACAGTCCTCTCCTAGCCAAATGTTGCTGCCTATCTTGAGGATACAGTCTTCTCCAATTTCAAAATTAGAGCTGTTTTTAAGGAGTTGAGCTGGTTTCTTTATCATCAAAGTATTAAAGGTTGTAGTTAGGTTGCTACATTAATTGTGCATCTAAAAAACAAAACTATTTCCATAATTAACCCCTGTGGAAGATCACAAGGAGGTGAGAGGAGCCAAGTGACAACTCAAAAACATTTTGTGTAATTAATCTTCCAATTGTTAAAAAACCTACAGCAAACATATAAAATTGAAGAAATATCAAGAGCATTGTTGGATAAAAGCTAAGCTATAAATGGAACAATTAAATACAAATAATTATGTGGTACCAGCCAATACTATAAAACTGGTAAAGCAACCTTTTTTTAATTGGACAAACTTTTTGCTGGCACAGAAACAGGCAAGCTTTCAAGTTACATTTTTAAAAAAACTCACCAGGCCAAAATAAAAATAAAAATGGAAAGCCTATGCTCCATGTATCGGTCAAATACATAGAACAGATTTAGTACCAGTCTGAATATTTGCTTATTTTTGTACAATCTTATCTGAGTGTACTTAGGTAGGGAAAACCAGGAAGTGATGTAAGAAATGGGGAGCAGCCACAGCACACTGCTAGATTTTTCCCAGCTGAAGAACATAAAAGAAGCCCTATCTATTATACCAATATGATGCTTCCTACAGCAACCAAACTGATAGCTTCACAAAGCTCACAAGCAGGACATAAACAAAATATACCTCCCACACCTTTGCTCCCCAGCAACTGTTCAGTGGCATTTCATAATTGAACATGGAGGTTCCTTAGACCCACCAGGCCTATGCTCCATGTATCGGTCAAATCCCTTTAAAAAGTCGTCTATGAGCCATTACCACATATTATTATAGATACAAATTCCAGAAATTATGCACTGTTAATTTATTTTGTAAAATTTATACACCGCTTGCTTGTAAAAAAACAACAACTGAAAGCTGTCCTCTCTCTTTACTGAATTGCCCGAAGCTCCAGTATTGAGAGGGAGAAACTATTGTGTCTAGCCACTTCTCTCACAAGATGAATAATTTTATAAGCATCTATCAACAAAAAAAAGTATGCTATGGTTGCACTGCTAGGAGTGAGGGACAGAAGCATAGGGGCATGTGTTTTCAAAATAAGTCATTATTTTATTTAATCTATTTATATACCACCCTTCAGTTCAAGGCTACTACAATGGAGACAAAGAGAACTGATTTGGTATATCAAAAGCAAGACAAGCAACATACCCTTCAGAGCATGGCGAAAGAAGTAAAGTTAGTCTTGTTTTAGGGCTGCCATATGTCTGGAATTTCTTGAACAAAGCCGGGATCCATCTGTCAAAAATGATGTCTGACGGAATTTTCAAAAAGCAGTTAAAATGTTCGGGGAAACCCGGGCATATGGCAGTCCATATCGGAAGTTTTTATTTTTTTCGCAAATTTCCTGAAGAATAGCTTAAAAAATTATTCTTTTTTAAAAAAATAAATAAATTTTGCAAAGCTCAACAACTTAATTTTTGTGTCCTGATATACGGCAACCCTGTCTTGTTTTCTCTGATCTGCACTTCATCCTATGATGCCTTTTAGAAATATATTGCTTGAGCTAGGAAAAGCCAGCACAAGTGAATCTTAAAGTTCTTACACACAACTCACAGCTTTGTTGGGCTTCTCAGGAACCTACCAACTCATGAGAAAATAGTTCCTAGTCTTCTTGGTTGCAAAACTGGCTGGGCTCCACAAATCCAGTTGCCAGCACCCATTCCCACTTCTCTATAAACTATATTGCAAGAGAAATCCCTCACATCATGCTGAGGTTTTGACAGAAGCAGTGACTGCGGCTTGCACTGCTTCTGTTTTAATTTCAGCAAAATTCCTGCCCAAAGTGAGATAAGATCCACCCACTTCCCCATCATCATTGGGCAGCAGACTGTTGGGAAAAATATTTTCCACCACTTTGTGCCCTGCCTTGAAGACTGAAAGAACTGACAGGAGTCCTCCTCCCCAGTGCATAATGTGAAGTGGAAGTCAAGTCTTTGTGCAACCAACAGTGGGGAAAGGAAAAGCACTAAAGGGGCATAAACATCTTTCAATTTTTGTAGGGCTGCAAGAAGTGACAGATAAGATCCACCCCACCCTCAAATCCTCTTGTGTATTGCTGCTGCTGCTGCTGCTGCTGCTAGAAGTATTGGTGTCTATCAATGAGACTTTCTGAAACGGTTCTTTGAAGCCTGGGAATAGAGAATATGCTAAAGCATGCATAACTGTGCAATCCTAGCCATGTCTACACAGAAGTCAGTCCTACTGAATGCAATGAGGCTTATTGCTAGGTAAATGGGGTTAGGATTGCAGCTTAAGTTATCACCTAAAGTTCATTACAGAAAATGGTTTGCACTGTTACACGAAAAAATGAATTTGCCTTAATCAAAACTACGCCCCCCACCACTTCAATACTTTAAATAAACTACAGTACTGGTATTTTTAATCACAATGGACCTAGGTCGGACCAAGTAAACTAACTCTAGCAAATAGTTTTTTAAAGTAATTAACTCTTTAAAAACCCAAATATCTTGTGGTACCTTAAAGACTAAAACTGTTATTGCTACCTGCATTTGTTTTATATTTTATTTATGAACGGCAAAAGAAATATGATATAAATTTATTGTGACATACAGCTTTTATGGACTAGAATCCACATAGTCAGATGCCTGAAGGATTTTCTTGAGTTGCTGGTATAAATATGCATAGCTTGCCAGGGGGGGGGGATGGAGACTGTAAAATGAAGACATTAAAAACTGTTACAATGACATTATTAACAGTGTTTGTGGGAGTGATAAACATTCTGGCACCGGCAATTCACGCGGATGAGAATTAGCAATATATTTCTATCTCTTTGGATGGATAACTGCACTATTCACTTACTTCTGATTCAATGACTAGATGATCAAATAAAACTTTAGATCATATCCAATGACATCAGCAAGCCAATAAAATGTTTTAAATTGTTTCAATTTCCATGCCAACTCATATATATGTTTTATGAAGTTAAGAGAATGTTTGAAAAGCACATTTCTCTTTTTTATAGCATTGAGAAAGACAAACGAGGAACATAAAGCACACACGGGAAAGAGAAACATTGTTGTCACTAATGAGATCTGGCCCAAAATCAAAGATCTGCTTATCTTCTAGTCCAGTGGAAAGAAACCTCCAGCCCACAGGCCTATTTAGGCTTGCCTGCCTTGGAGATTGGCACATCTGAATGTTTGGAAACCACACCCACCTTTCTAGGGCCTGATGTCATATATAACCTCAGGTGCATGAAGCGACAGCTAAAACAAGGAAGTACAGTGGTGCCCCGCAAGACGAATGCCTCGCAAGACGGAAAACCCGCCAGACGAAAGGGTTTTCCGTTTTGGAGGTGCTTCGCAAAACAAATTTCCTATGTGCTTGCTTCGCAAGACGAAAATGTCTTGCGAGTTCCTGCGGGGGTTTTTTCCTTTTCCCCCCCTTTTTCCCAAGCCGCTAAACCGCTTATCAGCTGATCGGCTAAGCCGCTTAACAGCTGATCGCTAAGCCGCTTATCAGCTGATCGCTAAGCCGCTTATCAGCTGATCGTTAAGCCGCTTATCAGCTGATCCTTAAGCCGCTTAACAGCTGATCGCTAAGCAGCTTATCAGCTGATCCGCTAAGCCCGCTAATCCGCTAATACTGTAGCGCTAATCCGCTAAACCGCTAATGGGCTTGCTTTGCAAGACGAAAAAAACCCGCAAGACGAAGAGACTCAAGGAACGGATTCTTTTCGTCTTGCGAGGCACCACTGTATTAGGAGTGCAATAAGTGCGCTCACATTCTTCCTTTGCATCCCATACTTGAATTCAAGATGTGGTTCAAGCTGCACCTGCAAAGGAAGAAGGAAAGAATCGGGAGCACACTCGTCTACCCATGTACTATCTGAAAACTGGCATTGTTTGCCAGATGTGAAATATTGACGTTATTTTCAGCTCTCCCACCCCACTATGTGGCCACTAATTCATTTCCCCCTTTCCCATATAAATAAAAGGAGTAAATATACAGAGCATTCTCAGACATAACCTGACCCTCTCCCACCCCAAATTATGAAAATTCTCTCTCAAGTTACATGTCTCCCACACTGGGCTCATTAGGTGCAAGGGAAAAAAGTGAGAAGGAGAAAAGTCAGAGTTTACAGTTGAGGAGGGGAAATGTGCCCTGGAAAGAAATAAGCAAGAAGAGAGAGTGTGCCATTCCAGACCTCTGCTTGAGTCCAAAGCTGTGGCTATAGAAGAAACAATAACCCTTTGGGGACTCCATCACAGTCTCAGGTTATATGTGTGTGTAAATAAACCATATAGCATAAAGACACAACAACCTCCACTGTGCCCAAAAGGAAACACAAACCCTGGGTAAGTGTCTGGAACTCCTGGAATCTCAGGAGAATCTGGAACTCCTGGAATCTTGGAGATTGGGATGGCACGCAACCATATTATAGTGGGCAGAGAGTGGGCCCTTAAATAAGAAATAAATAAAAACTATTGTTAGGAGGACAAAAGCAAACGGAAGAATTCAACATCACACTATTACAAATGATACATCTGCACAAGCCCATCTGTTTGCCAGATGGAGCAATCCCCTCTCTCCTTCCCTCCCCACCATGTGCTATTCTGCGGGTTTCCCTGACCTGCCCACAGCCAGGGGGGTGCACAGGGGGAGCAGAGGGGAGAAATCCCCATTGTGCAGGGCTTCTGATGATAGGGATTGTTAGGTGAATCCCACCCAAAGTCTTGTTGCACCTTAAATATATTGTGGCATTATCTCATGGAATAAGATATTTCCTCTACAGGAACCACATGTGAAATATTTCTTGTTTACCCCAACATAAATATGGCTAAGCCTACATGGTGTTAAACACCATTTAAACAATAATTTATAAAATATGAAAACTGTGTTTGCCTTGTATGATACAGAGGAAAAATGTGTTTCACACACCTTGAGATTCTTTTTTACAAGTTTTAATTATAAAATGACATAAGCTTTCATAGATGCCAACCCACCTCTGATGAAGTTGGAAATTGTAGAAGGCATTCTACCATTCTAAAATTCTTATGCAGAATCTTTAGTGTGTGCAATGAATTAATTGCTGTTAAGCCCTCAACAAATGCAGTCAAACTTCTGTACAATGGTACCTCGGGTTAAGTACTTAATTCATTCCAGAGGTCCGTTCTTAACCTGAAACTGTTCTTAACCTGAAGCACCACTTTAGCTAATGGGGCCTCCCGCTATTGCCACGCTGCCACCGCGCGATTTCTGTTCTCATCCTGAAGCAAAGTTCTTAACCCAAGGTACTATTTCTGTGTTAGCGGAGTCTGTAACCTGAAGCGTATGTAACCTGTAGCGTATGTAGCCCGAGGCACCACTGTACAGAGGAAACAACTAGCCACTCAGATTCATGTGAATGCAAGGAAACATTAAGGAGGAAGAAGAAAGCAGAAGGAATAGCTGAACTGAAAAGGAGAAATGTCAGAGGTATTCTGCATATTCTGGCCCTTCCCTGTCACACACCCTAACTATTACCATCATATCAAGCCCTCCTTCTAAGCCAGGAAGCCTCTCCTGATCAACTCCAAGGCAACAACTTGTTTTACTCTTTTAATAGTGTAGCATCCTGCTTGTGGTTAACGCTTAGCTGGAATGAAATATTCAACGCAGCAATAGAGAAATTAAAATAATAATTTATTTGTCAGACAAATAAATGATAGGCACAGTGGTATATGGTTACCAAAGCTCTGCCCCCCTTCCAGCCCTGATGGCCAGCACTTATATTTCCTCAGCCCAGCCCCCTTGCTCCTCCTTTGGCTGCCTCTGTCCAATCAGCCTGGTTGAAATTCCTATTGGCTGTTTGCTAGAACCAATCATAAAAGATACACCCATTTCCTATTACCTTTTATGGGAGACAAAGAGCTATATTTCCTTCTATCCATAAATGGCAGACAAGTAGCCATATATCTTACATTTGCCTCGACAAGGCACCTTAATTACCAGATCACCTTTTGCCCCTGTTGCCCCTGCATTCCAAAACAAATGGCTAAAACAAATGGCTCATGGTATTAAATTCTATCTAAACAGAGATCTTGGGTTCACATTCTCACACACCATCAATGAAATAAGAATCTAACATAAGAATCTAACATTTCTTACTTTCTAAATCCTTTGCATAATTACATTAAGCCAACAAATCTCATACATAACATAGATAGCTTTTTAGAAGAAAAGGCCTTTGCAAAGTAAAAAGGAACTCAGTAAAAACAGCTTCAAAAGAAGCCTCTTCAGTTTACACCCCCCTTTCCCAGCCAGCTGCTTTTCCCATTAGCTCTTCCCAAAATTTATTGCCCTTTAACTCTCTCAGTATACCTTAAACTTTAGGAAAATATGGCTAGAGTCTGATGGGAGGCACATGGTACTATTTTCTGTTAAACAATAAATCTTACTATTTACCAACTCTTAATTAGTGTTTTTGCAGCTTGATTGTATTCTGTAATATGTAGGGTCAGTGTAACATTTGCTCCCAGCCTGTAATTCCCTTTTACAACTTTGAGAAACTTGTCTCCTGCTACTGCTATAAATCGGGGGGGGGGGGGGCTTGTTCAGGAGAGCAGGAAGATAAACAACTGCCAAAGTACTTAGCCAGCTGGTTTCTGCCTGGCATGAAACATACAAACATTTGCAAATATATCTTTAAGCTCATTTTAAATACAGGCCTTGATCAGATGCCTCATTAGTACCTCAAGCTTCATCCAGTCACTACTTTTTGGAAGACTTCCTTTAGGTTACTTCTATAACATGTTCCTTTATAAAAGTTAGCCAACATACATCAGGAAAAAATAACATTGCACCCATGGTTTTAGTAACCATCTTCCATAAGTTATTAGTTTTCTTTCATATTTACTATACAATGTATAAAATCTTATTTGACTGCATTTTGTCATTGTCACCATCATTTTGCATTCTAAAGTATTACAGATCTTATGTGGCTTTTGAGCTGCAGTGTACCGCTGTAAAACTTATCTTAAAAAATTTTACTATTGCATGATAATTCTCAAAACTCTGAACCCAAACAGCTTTTCCTAACTATCTTTGACAGTTCTTTTGTGGCTCTTTCTACCATCATTTCCCAGATCAGTGGTGTGTGTGCCATGTGCAGGCACGATGGGCAGCAAAACTGGGGCAAGTAATCTAATAATGAAGACGATGCCCAAGCTGCACAAAATTGTGCCAGCCACATGTCTATTAGTGAAGAGACAGTGTGGAGGCTTCAGAGACAAAGGAGAGACCTCATGCAGGTTCATGTGGAAGGAGATGCCTCCTTAGGAGTTAGTCCACCTCAAAAGGTTGCTGCAACGATAAAATAGGCCAGGGGACAAACTCCCTCCCTTGAACTTGTTATACTAAAAGGATTATTTCACTAGATGTAGCCTTGGGCTTAATGTTTAGCCTTAGATGTAATTGGGAGATGACTATCTCTGAGTATGTGACCTCATTATTAAGGAACATTGTGCACAGATCTGGTATGAGAGAGTTTCTGCTCTGATGAACATATTCCTTGAGTCCCAAAACTTCTTTCTGAAGAAATATTGTGTTCTCATCCCCACTCCCCTTCATTTAAGGTCTCTTTTCCTAGTCATTTCCACTTTGGTATTTTTCACTGAGCCCAAACATTCTGGTAGATGAAAGGAATGCTCTCCTGAAGCACTTTTGAACAGAGACAATCCTGATATATCCTAAAGGGGAAGTATGCCTCCATAGATGCTATGCAGCCACTTCTTTAAAGCAGACCATTTGTGTACAGCATGGTTTTTTAAAAATAATAATAATAATAATTGACGCACCTATGAAGCACTGAGTTTATTATAGGTTTTAATGATAGCATAACAATAGCAAGAGTTCAAATTAATCCCAGGAGAAATTGTAATTATGTTTATAACATTTAGTTCTTAGCAAGGCTGCCAATTAGTTACTACTCACATTTCTTACATAACGGCAACTGTACTATGAAGCTGCAGCTATTGTCTTAGTCAACCATAAAGTTCACTGAGTGATCTTGGGCAAGTCACTATTTCTCATTCAAGCATTTGTCACAGGTTGTGGTGAAGATACAATAGAACAGCGCCCAACCAGTGTTCGAAATTAGCCTGACTATAGACCACTTGGGACCAAGTAAAGATGCCCAGGTGCCCGGATTGTGTCTGACATCTCCACATCTGGAGGTATATGCCTGTGGATCATTGGATCTTGACTGTTTTCACACACTAATACCACATCCTGTAGAATTCTATCAGTTATTTTTTATCTGCACTATCAGAATGAATTTCAGGAACCAAAATGCTTTTTCTGTGCAGCCTGAGCAGGAGCAGCGAACAACATTATAGTTAACTGTTGTCTTCACTTACCCCACTGTCCTGCTCACAGTGGTGAAGAATATTCTTAGGTTATGAATGGTCTGTGTCACCATTAAGAAAAAGAGCTGGAGTAGACAAATATATATGTGGACTGTCCCTGGATAAAGTGACTCAAAGTTCTTAAACTTGCTCAAGGTTGTCATACAACGAGACAGATGTTTAACTGAGAATCAATCACAGTCAGTCCATCATTCAAAAAAATAAGTCTTGCCCCCAAATGACAACTAAACATTTTGTTTTTATTGTAATCTTGGTTTAAGGAGCCATTTGGTGCCTAGCTTATAAATCTGAGTTTCTAATACTGTCCCCAGTACAACATGCCCCTCAAGCTCCTTGGAGAGAGACAAAAATAAAAATTAAAAAATAGACAAATCTTAAATAGGAAGGTAGTTGGTGGAATTTAGTATTATTGCAATATTGGACATGAGTATTAGGCATCTTTGGTAGCCAAGCATGGCTGAAAAGTCGGGTGTGTACAGTAAATAAAATTATTAGAGTTTACCACTGGCCCTATCCATCTCATAAGAAACTGATTCAGTCTCTACCATAAATTCCAGGCTCATGTCTTTGACACCACAGTTTGATTGATTGATTGATTGATTGACTGGATTTTATTTTATTTTATTTATATAATGCCCTTCATCAAAAGATATTGGGGCAGTACACAAGTGCCTATAGTTTTTGAGTGCTTCTAAAGTGTAAGGAGCAAAGGAATAGTCAACATGACTGCCAGGTTTGGACCTTTAAATCACCTATACAGTTTTACTTGGAAGTAAGCCTTACTGAGCTCAATGGGGGCAACTCCCAGGTAGAGGGGAGCAATTTTGAATTAGCTGCAATCGTATAACCACATTGTGAACATACATTTGATTGATTGATTGTTTGGTTTGCAAGTCAGAGCAGAAAACAAACAAATGCTGCACTATTGTGGGATAGGAAAGGATGGAATCTTTAAAAAAACAAACCTAAAAACTAAACAAACCTCCTCCATTTAGTTCTTCCTTCTTTAACCATCTAACCACAGAACTATTTTTATACTCATTACTAGTTAGGATGAGATTAACAGTACAATCTTGTACACATCTGCTCAGCAGTCAATGGAATGTATTCTCAGGAAAATTTGTACAGGAGTAGATCCTAAAGAAATATAACAGGGTTGCTTTAATTCATAGTATGTGTAGGAATGTGAGGTAGTATAACTTTGTGTGATCTGGCAATTTGAGGAGACTTATTTGCAAGGCAGGATTAAGCACATGAGATATTTTATCCCATAATGCCGTTACATTATCCTGGTAAGCAGTAACTGCAAAAAGGTGGCTTAACATCTCATAATGAAACCATAGGAAGATAATTTTTTGTATGCAATGAACAAAAGGAAGAACAATTGTATTATTCTTTGTATTAGTTTCAAAATGTGATAGCTACGTGTGGGTTAGAAATCATTTCCCCAAACCTTCAATGTTAAGACTGAAAAAAACCTTCACTTTATTGCATTCAGTCATTATAGGCAAAGCATGAATCAATGGATCATCTAGGTCCCTAACAGCAGTGCTATTTTTCTAGAAAAGAGGTGCCAGAACTCTCCATGTGGGTGAAAAAGGTGCCAGAACTCCCTTGTTCTCTTAGAATGGCAATGGTGCTCACCTGAGAGGTGCCGGAACTGAGTTCCTGGGAGTTCCCTCTGAAAAAAAGCCCTAACAGTCTGGTTTCTGGTCCAGTTTTGGCACTGAAACAGCCTTGGTCATCGTGATGACCTTTATCAGGAGAGAGGGAGGGAGTGAAAATCTGTTGGTAGTCCTTTACTTCTCAGTGGCTTTTGACACCATTGGCCATGGTGTCCTGCTGGAAAAACTTGAGGTGGAAGTTTGAGGCACTGAATTATGCTGGTCCCACTCTTGCCTGCAGGGTCACTACCAGAGAGTAGCATTCGGATATTGTTGCTCAGCCCCGTAGCTTTTGAACTGTGAGGACTTGCAAGGATCCATTCTGCCTCCTGTGCTATTTAACATCTAAATTAAACTGCTGAGAGCTGTCATCTGCAGATTCTGAGCACGGTATCTTTGGTATGATGACACGCAGCTCCATTTCTCAATTCTATTGAAATCAGGAGACACTGTGAATGTGTTATACAGGTGTCTGGAGACAGTTGTGGAGTGGATGGAGGCCAATAAACTGAGCCTGAATCTTGTTAAGACAGAAGTGTCATGAGTAGTTGATGCCTGAGTCCAGAAGTTAGGTGTAGGACCTGTTCTGGGAGAAGTTGCACTCCTGTTGAAGAAACAAGTTTGGGAGTACACCTGGATTCTAACTTGTCACTAGAGTCTTGTTTGGCTTCTGTGGTTATGAATGCTCATGCCCAGTTTTGTTGTGATTTGTTAACTACAGCTGTTTCTAGACCAGGATAACTTGGTCTCTGTTTTCCATGATCTGGTGACCTCCCATCTGGACTATTGTAATGTACTGTATATGGGATTGCCCTCGAAGATTTATGAAAGGTGCAGTTAGCACAGAATGTGGCTGCTAGGTTGTTAAAAGCAGTAGTCCAATGGGACCAAGTGTCACCAGTCCTGAAAGTGTAACCAGCTGCCAGTGAGCTACTGGGTCCAAGTAACAGAGTTTGTGCTTATGTTGTATCAAGGCCTAAGCAGGTTAGAAGCCAAGTATCTAAAAAAGCATGTTCCCCTGTATCAGCCATGTAAGATCCTATGATTGGGAGGTAAGGCCTTGTGCTACTACTTGTTCCTGTCTGGTTGGCACTGACCTGTGATAAAGCCTTTTCTGTTCTAGCCCCCCATGGTGACTGAGGTGCATTTGCCTTCATTATTACTGACTTTCAGGAGGAAGTTTAAAACATTCCTGTTTCCCCAGATATTTGGTGGCTGAAAATATCTGGCAACCCTGAGATCATTGTTTGAATGTGTTTTGATTTTCATAACTTTTTAACTGATAAAAGTTGTTTTACTGTGATTTTTGCCATCCTGGGCTTCTTCAGGAAGAAGAGCTGGTAAATTGAATAAATAAAATCAATCCAGAACACAAACACAGAAGGCACTAGGAGAGAACTTTAGGGGGGGGAAGGAGATGTAAAAAAGTGTGAAAGTGATTACTTCTCCAGTTCTCACTTGATTTTCATGCCCTTCACCAAGAAGAAAAGGCACAAGACTGACCACTACTCCTGCTGCTGTTCCCTATCTACCTGTGCCACTCTCAGCACCATCACAGCACTGTGCTTTCTGCAACTGAGAACACACAGCAAGTCCCTCTAACTGTTGGCTGCAATCCTGCCCCAGCAGGCAAGGGTGAGAAGAAAACACAGTGAGGAATATAACAGCCAAATCCCCCTTGCTGTATTTCCCTTTGCCAAGCAGAGACAAAGGGGCTTTTACTTTGCTGCCTTCACCCCTTTTTCTCCTGGGGAGGAGGAGAGGTGGAGAGATGAAAAGAGACAGCGTAGTAGTACTAGTAGTAGTAATTTTATTTACTGCATTTTTCCGTCTATAAGACGGCCCCATGTATAAGACGCCCCCTATTTTGGGGGACTCAGATTTTAAAAAATGGGGAGAGATGTATCCATGCTTAAGATGCCCCCTAATTTGTAACATTACAGTGGTACCTCGGGTTACATACACTTCAGGTTACAGACTCCGCTAACCCAGAAATAGTACTTCAGGTTAAGAATTTTGCTTCAGGATGAGAACAGAAATTGTGCTCCGGCGGCGGGGCAGCAGGAGGAGGCCCCATTAGCTAAAGTGCTGCTTCAGGTTAAGAACAGTTTCAGGTTAAGAACGGACCTCCGGAACGAATTAAGTACTTAACCCGAGGTACCACTGTACTTTTAGGAAAAAACCTAGTCTTATACATGGAAAAATACGATATATGCCACCCATCTGCCTGGGTTGCCCCAGCCACTCTGGGCAATTTCCAACAATATATTAAAACACATAGCTGAAAACATATAGTTGCAAGAGGGGGGGGGGGGAGCCAGGAGATCTGAGCCATTGTGGACAACTGTACTCAAATACTTGTTTGTAAGTGAAATGGCAGCAGAACTTTTTAATATATGTGTAAAATACAATAAGAACATTTCTGAAAACTATGTAACACCAAAAATTATGGCAGCTAGTTTTGCTAGTTTATTACTTTTGACAACACCAAAAGTAGTTACCCCATCCAAAGAGACAAACTCCAGTTGTGAAACATGTAATATGCACAATAGGGCCCATGCATAAACACTGAATGCATTTTATTATTTCTACATAACTATGTTTAGAAGGACAGCATAAACATGTTGCTTTAAGTACCGCAATGAAGAGCTAATTATATAGAGCAGATCATATTCTGTGCACTACTTCCAGAATATTTCATTAAATGGCCTTAACTTACCAAACACCCTTACCAAGTAATACATGCCACATTGTGAAAAGCAAAGGGCTCTACATGAGACATTGCCATGCTATGCCTTTATGGCCTAACTATTTCACCATTCACACTACAGCTTGTTGCACCTGGAAGTGAGCAGTCACAACTACAGAACTGTCTGCTTCTGGAGAGAACCCCATTATAAAGCAGAACATGGCATCTTGCAAGCAGCACCCCAGTCCAATTACACACACACACAAAATATTTCAGTCATTTTAGCCTTATTGTTTATCACTTCTATCAATAATTTTTAAGCCCTTTAGGCCCTTGCTTAAATCTTTAAAATTCTACAAATCTGTTGTTAAATGCTGCTAAATCAGCCTCAAATTTATCCAATGAGAGCACTGAACCACAGACAGAACCAAGAATTAGATAAGCCAATTCATTTTGAAGGATTACTACAGCTTTAATGACTAGCTTATACTAAACTTCTCCTGAAAAGTCCACAGATGTATGGCTCATTTGAATACTCTTATGAACAGAAGAACACACGGTGTGTTTATGCAGCAAACTTAACCAACAGCTTTCCAAAAATAAATTTGCTCCGTACCCAACTGAATTGGACAAGACCACCTTGACAAACTATTCATAAAATTCACTACACCTTGCACCAAGCCTCCTGCTACCCTAAAGCTTTAACTCATTGTCTGGAATGGATCTATCCATGTATCAAATTATTTTCATCACAGCAGATCCTGAGTTACACCAAAATCTGCACCTTAGAAACAATAACATCCAAGTGCACAGAAAAGATGGTTTTACTTACTTACAGTGCTTTGTTTTTGTTATTTCAAATCTGCAAAGAATACACAGGAAAAATCTCCTGGACCTGTGTAATGGAGAACCAGAAGCACAAACTCATTACTCCCCAGACAGACACAGTAGGATAGCTTAAATGTTACTAGCCTTCCGTCAATCCAAAACTTGTTTGCCAATTGATAGGCATTCTCCTCCTAAAGTCACATGTAGTAGGCTAAAGGTACAAAACCTAAGCCTTTACTGAAGAGACCTGTAATCTACTAGACTGACTTTTACAAGGAAAGGAATAACTCTACCCAGTGATACTGCACACTCTTTTGCACATATAATGTTCCAAATTCAATGTATGGCATCTCCACATAGGACTGGGAAAGACTCTTTTACTGATTTTTCTTTTTCTTTATGTCTATTTTACAATTTTAATATTGATAAGGTTTAATTGACTTTCATCACTTTTCATATGCTGCTTGTCTATCCCAGGACAAACTGTGATTTGTGGTGGTGGATGCTTCTAATGTCCTTCTTGTGAAAATGCCAAATGCCTTAGAGATTTTTATTTTTAGGTGACTAATTAATTAATTAATTAATTAATGTTCTCACATAATGGTTCACACAAAACAGACATCATCATAGTTCTAGTTACAGGTAGGTAGCCGTGTTGGTATGCCACAGTCAAAACAAATAAAAAAAAAATGCCTTCCAGTAGCACCTTAGAGACCAACTAAGTTTGTTATTGGTATGAGCTTTCGTGTGCATGCACACTTCTTCAACAGCATCATAGTTGAAGAGGCAGCCTGTCTCTCTCTCTCTCTCTCTCTCTCTCTCTCTCTCTCTCTCACACACACACACACACACACACTTTCCAAGACTTTCACTTCACGGCAGACCAGTTGCAAGAGTTATGAACAAACAGCTATACTTGCAGGAATATGTTAGCGCTACCACCTTTTTCCTGATAGAGGCTCTGCCCCATTAATAGAATAAAAACTCAAAAACTGTGGTTTTCCCTGTCTCCATGCCAGAACGAATGATGAATTTATGCCTATTATATCAGTTGATGATACAAATATTCTTGTTTGGAAAAGAAAAAAGGCAACCTTCTATAGAAGGTTCTATATTTTAGTAAACACACTACTGCTTTCACTTTAATGACTCACTATAGGCAGCCCTCCTCTACATTTGTCTATGTCAAGCGTAGGCAAACTCAGCCCTCCAGATGTTTTGGGACTACAACTCCCATCATCCCTGACCACTGGTCCTGTTAGCTAGGGATGCTGGGAGTTGTAGTCCCAAAACATCTGGAGGGCCGAGTTTGCCTATGCCCTACTTATTTGCAGGGACAAATGCTCCCCCCCCCCCATATATACATAAACTGGAACAGTGTTGAAACACAGCGCCTGTATTCAAACATAACACTAACTCATCATATACTACTACATAAGCAAGCAGGGCTATGCCCACGTCCTTCTCCCTTCCCATCTAGGGCAGCTACTTGGAGATCAGCAGCATTCGCCTTAGTTTTCAACTAACTGTGGTTTATGTTATGTACGAACTGGAACAAACAGATTAAGCATTTTAAGCATTTTTTTTTCAAAAAAGCCAACTTCAAACTATGGTTTACGACCCTGGGCTGCACAGACAAAACACAGTTAAAGGTAAATTTCCATTTACTCAAAGGCATAACAGAAGACAAGGAGGGAGAGAAACAACTCACGAACATAACACTTAACTTTGGTTTAACCTTTTATCTAACCAGGTCATTGTACTGCAATCTTCTCAGGATCCAAGACTATCACATTAAAGTATGCTATTTATTCACTTAGGTTATTTGTACACTGCCCTTCATAAAAGTTAAATCCAGGCTTGATAGTCTTGTAATATACAATGAATCCTAACCACATTGATTGAGATCTGAAAACTAACCACAGAAATATCAGCTTTCATTTTTTTTAAATTTCAAGCCTATATGGTCACAGAAAATGAATGTGTTAGATTTCTAAAAAGTCAAAATACATATACTGCTGGTGCAGTATAGCAGTTGAGTCCCCAGTTTAAATGTCCTCCATGCCATGAATTCACTAATGTCCTTCAGCAAGCTACTGTCTTGTAACCTCCGATCTCTTCTGCAGTATGGCTATAATACTGATTAACTTACAAGGGTGTTGTTGGAAGGATATCAAGAGTGTTCAAAGTGCTACAAACACATTAATAGTGCTATATAAATAGTGAGTATTAGAACAGTGTCCATATGTAATATATGCTACATTTCTTTATAAAATAGTATACCATAGTCCATTTTGGCTAACTAACCAATAATTATTGTCAGCTTATAAAATGATCTACTTGTTCAGTAATCTGCTGGCTTGACTTGATCTAAGATTTTTGTAGTTATCCAGAATAATGAGCCAAAATGGACTATGGTATTAGTTATTTCTCTGAAATAACTAACAAAATTGAAGTTGGAAAACACAATGGGATTGTGACCAGGCCTATTTAAAGTATATGCAGTTCACAGACACTGCTGGTAAAGACAGATTTACCGTATTCACTCGAGTCTAATGCATCACTGAATATAATGTGCACCTCAATTTTCAGAACCATGAAACCAAAAAAAGTATTTGCTGGCAAATGTAAATGTGCCATTGAATCTAATGCACAACTTAATTTTCGCAATGTAGTTTGGCAAAAAAAGGTGAGCATTAGATTTGAGTAAATACGGTAGATATGACAACTAAACACTACTAAGCATTTTCTTGTAAAAAAAAAAGTGCATGAAAGCTGCATGTATACCGCCATACGTGATATTCATGTGTTAGAAAGCAACAACAGTTTCTAAGCACATATAGGCTGCCAAAAAAGAAGCATACACAATTGCCACCTGTGACCTATATAATAGCTCCAAACATTTTCTTATTGAGTATGCTTCAATGTAAGAAAGGCATCAACACTTAGAGGCCCCCAATCAAATAGGTCCCAACGAAACAAAAGACAATAAAATATCTGCTGCTTCATACCCACCCACTTTATGGAAATATATACTGGGCAAGTCTCCTTTAACATCCACTTAACTTGCGTCTCCAAAAGCTGTAAAACCAAACATAACTACTGCACCATGCCCATATATTACATATTTGTATTACATAGTTCAGAGACTCTGGATTCAGAAAGACAGTGATTCAGTCCACACACACCCCTCCAATTTTAGTTTCCCCCAGACTTTTTATCTTGAGCTGATGAACAATGGCCCTATTTTCATTCCCACAGTCCCCAGTGTGGCTTGCCCAAGTGTGTGAATATTGAAAATAATGGTGGGTGTTGTTATGAGTTTATGGGTGCCAGACTCGTATAATCCATGGATCCAGAAAGTGTTAGAATTTAATCAACTCTTGGGGTGTTAAACTGAGGGCCGGACACATCTAATCCCTAGATCCAGCAATTGTTAACAGCTAATTAAGCCAAGCTACCTTCCTGTGCAGAGGAGATCTCCTGGATGGGTTATTAAGAAAACAAACGATCAAGGGGCTCCTTGGAGATAGCAAATGGGTGGAGGCACCCACCAGCAAAATATAAAGCCAGAGTTTAGAGTAGAGAGGTGAGGAAATCAGTGATATGATGGGGGGAGAGAGTCCAAGAGCAATGTTTAATGCCTGCTTGAATCCAATACTGTGGTTATAGAGAAACAAGACCCTTTTGGGGTGTTCAATACTGTGAACCTGTCCATTGTAGGCTCAGGTTGCATATATGTGTAAATAAACCATGTCACTAAGACACCACAGTCTCCACTGTGCCTCATTTCCAAAAGGAAACACAAACATTGGGTGAGCACCTGCAACCCCTGGAATCTTGCACTGCTCAGAGATTGGGGTGGCGTACAATGATATATTGAAAACAGGTTCAGAAGAAGGGGCACCTAGCATTACTAAAGAGACGTGATGTGAAGCAGAAAATTCTCCAAATCAGAAAAGTTTCCAACGCTTTATTTTTCTGCAGAACATTTAGCGTTTCAAAAGTTGATTAGTAATAACAAATGGGTGCCAAATACACTATTAGGCAAACTTGGCATTCAATGCTTTTAGCTTTGTTTACTAAGTAAAACAAGCATTCTACGTTAGATCTCAGGCATTTAAAAGTTCTGATTTAAGTTGCCATATGCAAATTCCCCTAATTTCAATTCTTTTCCAGAAAACCTACATCACAGCTAGAGAGAGAGATTGAGAACTGCTGCAAAACCTAGAGTAACACGAGGGCAATTTCCTCGAAGGAGAATGCATTATTACAAATGATAAATCCAGCCAAGTTTGACAAACCTTTCATCACGTCATAAACTGTATTGCATAGAGTAGCAAGAGTACCATCTCCAGTTATTAATATTCTTACTTAACTGCTTTTAAAAGAGTGGCTGGAGATCCTAATTTCTTTTCTGTACAACTGATTCAACGTGCTCTCTCTACAGCTGACTGTCTAGAATTTAAGATACTGTACACATAATATTCTTCAGTGCATGGCCCTGATGCTGCGAACCCGCCGTCTCCCTCCTGTAAACCAACAAGTGCACCACAACATCTGCAAGGAAAAAGACCGTCTAGGGTAACTCCAGCATATCGGTCCTCGCTACTCAACATCACCAGCAACACATCACTTCCTAATCTCTATTTCCGTGGATCTTCTTCCTATAGCTCTATCCACCTTGCCCTTGCTTGCTTTCCGCCCCCTTTCCCCGCAGCCTCTCAGGAGAACCGGGCTTCTGGTCTTCACCCTCCACACCCCACAGTCCCGACTCGAGCCAGAGCTGTCGCAGCTTAGTAACGGGGCGCCTAGCAACCTGGCCCGACTCCTCCGGCCGGGTCCCCCCCAGGCAGCGGGGCATCCAGCGGGTCCCCAGCTGGACCTCCGCCCATGCCCGGAGCCTCCCCACTCACCCTGCTGGATGTCCCCGTTGGCGCCGCCGGGCACGGGCACGTTCAGCTGGCGCTCGGGCTCCGGCAGGCAGCGCCGGCAGAAGGAGTGCAGGCAGGGCAGCAGCTTCGGCTCGGCCTCCCGGCTCTGCAGGCTCTGCGCGCACACTGCGCAGGTGTCCAGCAGCGACAGCGGGCCCGGCGCGGCGCTGGAGAGGGCGGGGGGCGCGGGGCTGGGGCCCAGCGGAGCCAGCGGCACGGGGCCCGGCGCCGGGCCTACGCTCACCAACACGGGCGCCGCGGCCTCCGCCTCCCCGGGGCCCTTGTCTGCCACCGCCGCCACAGCCAGGACCACCGCGCCGGGACTCTCCCTCTCCTCGGGCGCGGCGGGGGCTGGAGGGGACGGGGACGCAACGGCCGCCGCGGCTGAGGTGACAACGGCCGCCGCGGCGGAGGTGACAGACTCGGTACCACCCCCGGCCTGCCCGGCCTCCCCAGCCCCCTCCCCGCCACCGCCGCCTCCTCCTCCTTTGTTTTCCGCCATATTTCCTCCTTTGAACCCGACTCCCCGCTTTGCTCACGCACAGGACCGCGCATGCGCCCGCAAGCACGCTAGCGGCCTGCGCGCGCGCGGCCGACGCACATCTGGCGCGAGGTCCGCGGAGGGACGCCGCGTCCAGTGGGGAGGGGGCGGTGCTGGGCGTGTGCGTGCGCGCGCTTGGACGGTAGTAGCGGACGAGGAAGGCGGTGGGAGAGGCCCGAGGTTGAGAGGCCGGCGAAAGGGGGTCAGTTTTTTTTCCTCCCTCTCTGTATGGTGTTTAAAGGAAATAGCACGGACGTAAAGGAGAGCGCGAGCGCGCACGCTCAGGTCTGTAAGAGAAGCGGCGCACGCGCAGACAGAGATTCACGTTCTAAGCGTGGGTGTCTCGAGAGCGTTTGGCGGTTGGTGTGTGGAGGGAAACGAGGCTCGTGCCGGGGGCCGAGAAACGGTGCGGCGGGAGAGGAGTCGAGGCAGGGCGGGGCGGAGAGCGGCCCTTCACACTTGCCGGCTTCTCATCCGCGGTGTCTCTCGCTGAAAGAATTGGGGCTCCTGAGTGGGAAGAAGATAGGAAGCATAACGCGGGGCGGTCTAGTCCATTATGTGCGCCTCGCAAAAAAGGCAATATTTGAATCTCAGTTTGCACTGGGTTGTTTTGATTCTGCGCTTGGCTTGCCGCGTTTCGAAATGATTTACAGTGCAGTCCAAACCTTGCCTACTCAGAAGTAGGCCCAGTTGAGTTCAGTGGGGTTTACTCCTAGGTAAGTTGGGCTACCGTTACACCCATGTGTGTGTTGCTGTTTTAATTAGATGTATTTTATTGTACCATGTGAGTTGCGTTGACCTAAACGTGTTTGAATGAGGTAAAGGTAAAGGGACCCCTGACTATTAGGTCGAGTGCTGGCCGACTCTGGGGTTGCGGCGCTCATCTCGTTTTATTGGCCGAGGTAGCCAGCATACAGCTTCCGGGTCATGTGGCCAGCATGACTAAGCCACTTCTGGCGAACCAGAGCAGCGCACAGAAACGCCGTTTACCTTCCCGCTGGGGTGGTACCTATTTATCTACTTGCACTTTGATGTGCTTTCGAACTGCTAGGTTGGCAGGAACAGGGTCCGAGCAACGGGAGCTCACCCCGTCACGGGGATTCAAACCGCCAACCTTCTGATAGTCAAGTCCTAGGCTCTGTGGTTTAACCCACAGCCCCACCCGCATCCCTCCTTTGAATGAAGTAAGGAATAAATCACAGTGCTAAGTCGGGGAGCAGACAACTTTGTTGCATTGTCACCAGCAAGGCAGAACTGAGACCTCTGCCCATTTCTGGCCTCAGGATTTTATTTTATTTTTTAAGTTTCTCTCCTGCAATTGTCTTCAAAGTTTGAACACAATCAAAAGCATATTTAAATTACCGTATTTTTCGCTCTATAACACGCACATTGTTTTTAGAGGAGGAAAACAAGGGAAAAAACATTCTGAATGAAACAGTGGATGTATCATTTTTGTGCTTCATGCTGTGGCCACAGACATGTGATCTGATGGTGAATTTGGGGTGACCCAATGCAAAAATCCTGAGAATTCCCGTGGATCCATGCTTTGTAACCATGTTTTTGCACCATTGCAGCCCCAGGCAACAGTGGGTGCGTGATTTTTGGGGGGCAGGCTGTAGCCATGGACATGCTATGTGCTCTGATGGTGAATTTGGGGTGACCCAATGCAAAGATCCTGAGGATCCATGTGGATCCATGCTTTGTAACCACATTTTAAGTGGGGAGGGAAGGAAAAACACAGAAGGGACAAGGAGCACGAGAGGGGTGTGCAGAGAAGCAGCTGGCTAAGAATGCAGGAGAGGGGTATAACTGGCTAAGAATGCAGGAGAGTGGGGAGGAAAGGAAGGCAAAAGTTTTCCCCCACCCAAGCCAGCCAGCTCGCGCTCTCTCCCACCTGCATGTTTTCCGGCTGCCTGATATATAAACATCACTCTAACATTCCTTAATTTTGCAGTGTTTCTGAAGATAGTCTTTGAATTTCTTCCAATCTTCCTCCATCGACTCTTCTCCCTGGTCACGGATTCTACCAGTCATTTCCGCCAATTCCATATAGTCCATAAGTTTCATCTGCCATTCCTCCAGCGTGGGAAGTTCTTGTGTCTTCCAATACTTTGCGATGAGTATTCTTGCTGCTGTTGTTGCATACATAAAGAAAGTTCTATCCTTCTTTACCACCATTTGGCCGACTATGCCCAGGAGGAAGGCCTCTGGTTTCTTAGGGAAGGTATACTTAAATACCTTTTTTAGTTCATTATATATCATTTCCCAGAAAGCCTTAATCTTTGGGCACGTCCACCAAAGGTGAAAAAATGTACCTTCAATTTCTTTACATTTCCAACATTTATTATCGGGCAAGTGATAGATTTTTGCAAGCTTGACTGGGGTTATGTACCACCGGTATATCATTTTCATAATATTCTCTCTTAAGGCATTACATGCCGTAAATTTCATACCTGTGGTCCATAACTGTTCCTAGTCAGCAAACATAATGTTATGACCAACGTCCTGTGCCCATTTAATCATAGCCGATTTTACCGTTTCATCCTGAGTATTCCATTTCAGCAACAAGTTGTACATTCTTGACAAATTCTTAGTTTTGGGTTCCAACAATTCTGTTTCTAATTTGGATCTTTCCACCTGGAAGCCAATTTTCCTGTCCAATTTAAATACCTCCATTATCTGATAATAATGAAGCCAGTCTCGCACTTTGTTTTTTAGTTTTTCAAAACTCTGCAATTTCAGTCTATCTCCGTCTGATTTTTTTTTTTTAATTGCCTTGACAGAAGAAAGCATTTTAACTGCATTAAGAACTATTTAGCAGCGAAACCTAAGCTTTGCCATCCCTTAAGAGGTACAGACACTGTAATCTTCCAGATCGCATGAATTTACTGGCAAAACACTGTTTAAGGATTTCATCCTTTTAAATGGAAGAAAGCGTATTTGAATGCTGTGTGTCCTCAAAAACAAAAGCAAAAAGTCAAATCAGAATTTTAAGCTGAACCTGTAATCTCTCTTCCCTTCGCAAACATTGTTCCCTCCGGAGCATGGAGAGGAATTAGAAGGAAGGACACTGCTTTCCCCTCTGCTTGCCTGGAGGGGAGGGGCTTTCCCTGCTCTTTGTTCCGTTGGAGCAAACACAGCAACGAAACAGAGAGGGTGGGCAGTAAGACCCTGAGGCAGAATGCAGGAAAGCAGCCGCTTCCTCTTTTCAGGTTTCCCTTCTCCGAGACACGATTTGATTTTTGCCTGATTTTGCCTCCACTCGCGCCATTCGGCTCCAGGGACCACACATTCGCTCAATAACATGCACAGGCATTTCCCCTTCCTTTTTAGGAGAAAAAATCTGCGTGTTATAGAGAGAAAAATACGGTATCTCCTGGTTTGAAGGCGAGTCATGGGACTTTAAAAGCTTAGGCTCTCTTGGGTCTCTGCTGCTTTCTGGATTGTCACCTTTTGGCCCAACCCCTCTTGGAGTTCTAATTAGTTGGATTATGGCTTCTTAGAAGGAAGCTATCCAGTATAACCTCTCAGATGCTTTCACAGGGACCATAAGGTTGTACCCTGGCTCTTTGGTCTCAGAAAGGGAAAAGTAGCCGTTTGATATCACCTAGGTGAAAATTAAGAGAAAAAATAAATGAGATCCCATTATTTGGATAGCATACGGTGAGTAAAATGTTTTTGGAGTATGCACCAATGGCCAGCCATTGGGTGGCATGAGAAGTGGTGGTAATGACTGCTGCATGTTAGGAGGTGAACATGGTTATAAAGAAACCTTTTTCACGATCATTTCAAATGTATTGGTGTTCTGTCTTTCCTTAAAGATACAAAATAAAACCAAACACAGAGAATAGCTGTATGTGTAATGGGGTGGGGAAAGAAATTTTGCTAATGTTCACCATTTCTTTTAAAAATTGAGTTGGGGAGTAGAAAATGGACAATCTTGAAGTAACATAATTGGGGGAGGGGGAATCATACAAGGTAATCTGCCTGTGGACTGATTTTGAGTAGGAGCTGTTAGAGTTATCTACTCTTGGTCAGAAATTACATCACAGAATGTTCCCAATAGGTATTTTGAAAGTCAGATTACAATCATATACACACTCACATGGGACTAAGTCTCATTAAGCTTCTGGTCTGAATAGATGTCTATCAGGTTGCACTATTGTGAAACCCAAGTCACACCATGTTTGTAAATACAGTTCATTGCCTTTGAAATATACCCTGCTTTTTCAGATATATTATCATAGAATCAAAGAATCATAGAGTTGGAAGAGACCACAAGGGCCATCGAGTCCAAACCCCTGCCAAGCAGGAAACACCATCAGAGCACTCCTGACATATGGTTGTCAAGCCTCTGCTTAAAGACTTCCAAAGAAGGAGATTCCACCACACTCCTTGGCAGCAAATTCCACTGTCGAACAGCTCTTACTGTCAGGAAGTTCTTCCTAATGTTTAGGTGGAATCTTCTTTCTTGTAGTTTGGATCCATTGCTCCGTGTCCGCTTCTCTGGAGCAGCAGAAAACAACCTTTCTCCCTCCTCTATGTGACATCCTTTTATATATTTGAACATGGCTATCATATCACCCCTTAACCTCCTCTTCTCCAGGCTAAACATGCCCAGCTCCCTTAGCCGTTCCTCATAAGGCATCGTTTCCAGGCCTTTGACCATTTTGGTTGCCCTCCTCTGGACACGTTCCAGTTTGTCAGTGTCCTTCTTGAACTGTGGTGCCCAGAACTGGACACAGTACTCCAGGTGAGGTCTGACCAGAGCAGAATACAGTGGCACTATTTCTTCCCTTGATCTAGATGCTATACTCCTATTGATGCAGCCCAGAATTGCATTGGCTTTTTAGCTGCCGCGTCACACTGTTGGCTCATGTCAAGTTTGTGGTCAACCAAGACTCCTAGATTCTTTTCACATGTACTGCTCTCAAGCCAGGTGTCACCCATCTTGTATTTGTGCCTCTCATTTTTTTGCCCAAGTGCAATACTTTACATTTCTCCCTGTTAAAATTCATCTTGTTTGTTTTGGCCCAGTTCTCTAATCTGTCAAGGTCGTTTTGAAGTGTGATCCTGTCCTCTGGGGTGTTAGCCACCCCTCCCAGTTTGGTGTCATCTGCAAATTTGATCAGGATGCCCTTGAGTCCATCATCCAAGTTGTTGATAAAGATGTTGAATAAGACCGGGCCCAAGACAGAACCCTGTGGCACCCCACTAGTCACTCTTCTCCAGGATGAAGAGGAACCATTGATGAGCACCCTTTGGGTTCGGTCAGTCAGCCAGTTACAAATCCACTGAGTGGTAGCATAGTCAAGACCGCATTTTACCAGCTTCTTTACAAGAATATCATGGGGCACCTTGTCAAATGCCTTGCTGAAATCAAGGTAGGCTACATCCACTGCGTTCCCTTCATCTACCAGGCTTGTAATTCTGTCAAAATCGAGATCAGGTTAGTCTGACATGACTTATTTTTCAGAAATCCATGCTGACTATTGGTGATCACAGCATTCCTTTCTAGGTGCTCACAGACTGTTTGCTTAATGATCTGCTCCAGAATCTTCCCTGCTATTGATGTCAGACTGACTGGGTGGTAATTATTTGGGTCCTCTCTTTCCCCTTTTTGAAAATAGGGACAACATTTGCCCTCCTCCAGTCTGCCGGGACTTCGCCTGTTCTCCAGGAATTCTCAAAGATGACTGCCAGTGGTTCTGAGATCACATCTGCCAGTTCTTTTAATACTCTTGGATGCAGTTCATCTGGCCCTGGAGACTTGAATACATCTAAACTAGCCAAGTATTCTTGTACTATCTCCTTAGTTATTCTGGGCTGTGTTTCCTCTGCTGAATCATTTGCTCCAAATTCTTCAGGTCGGGCATTGTTTTCTTTATCGGAGAAGACTGAGGCAAAGAAGGCATTGAGGAGTTCAGCCCTTTCTGTGTCCCCTGTTTGCATTTCACCATCTTCTCCTCTGAGTGACCCCACTGTTTCTTTGTTCTTCCTTTTGCTATGAACATACCCATAAAAGCCTTTTTGTTGCTTTTAACCTCCTAGCAAGCCTGAGTTCATTCTGTGCTTTAGCTTTTCTGACTTTATGTCTACACGTGCTGGCTATTTGTTTGAATTCCTCTTTGGTGGTTTCCCCCCTTTTCCATTTTTTGTACACATCCTTTTTTAATCTTAACTCAGTTAAAAGTTCATTAGATAGCCACCCTGGCTTCTTTAGGCACCTTCCATGTTTCCGTCTCATTGGTATTGCCTGAAGTTGTGCTTTTACTATCTCCCTCTTAACAAACTCCCAGCCATCATGAACTCCCTTTCCTTTTAGTATTACTGTCCATGGGATCTCACCCAGCACTTCCCTAAGTTTTATGAAGTCGGCTTTCTTAAAGTCAAGAAATTGAGTCCTAGTATGCTTGGCTGCTCCTTTCCACTGTATAGTAAACTTCAGAAGAGCATGATCACTCGTGCCTAATGATCCTTCCACTTCTACCCCACTAACCAGGTCATCAACATTGGTTAGGACCAGATCTAAAATGGCTGTTCCTCTTGTTGCTTCTCCCACTTTCTGGACAATGAAGTTGTCTGCAAGGCCAGTGAGGAATCTGTTTGACCTTATGCTCTTGGCTGAGTTTGACATCCAACAAATATCCGGGTAATTGAAGTCTCCCATTACTACTATCTCCCTTCCTTTTGCATGCTTGGCCATCTGTTCCAGGAAGGCATCATCTATGTCCTCCGTTTGGCTTGGGGATCTATAGTAAACTCCCACAATGAGGTCACTGTTATTCTTCTCTCCCTTAATTTTGACCCAAATGCTCTCACTTTGGCTTTGAGGTTCTAAATCTTGGATCTCTTCACAGGTATACACATCCCTGACATATAACGCCACTCCTCCTCCTTTCTTGTCTGGTCTGTTTCTCTGAAATAGATTGTATCCCTCCATTATTACATTCCAATCGTGGGACTTATCCCACCAGGTTTCAGTGATGCCTATTATGTCATATTTAGTTTGCTGTACCAAGAGCTCAAGCTCATCTTGTTAGTTCCCATGCTTTGCGCATTAGTGTACAGACATTGAAGTCCATTAATCATTCTATCGCAGCTAACTAAAAAATGTGGTGCCCTATAACGAAAGTGTACCCTAGTCAATTTAAGCAGAAGTAAGGGAATCAAATCCATATTTTGCCTAAAATAACATACAGAGGTCCACAGTGACCGTGATTTAAGCTCTCCCATGGAAACAATGGGACATATTTGGTTGGAGGGTTCCCCAAATTGATGCACATTGGGTTGGGTAGCTCTTACGCTCTACATGGGGCTACCTTTGAAGGTGACCCGGAAACTACAACTAATCCAGAATGCGGCAGCTAGACTGGTGACTGGGAGTGGCTGCCGGGACCACATAACACCGGTCCTGAGAGATCTGCATTGGCTCCCAGTACGTTTCCGAGCACAATTCAAAGTGTTGGTGCTGACCTTTAAAGCCCTAAACGGCCTCAGTCCTGTATACCTGAAGGAGCATCTCCACCCCCATCGTTCAGCCCGGACACTGAGATCCAGCGCCGAGGGCCTTCTGGCAGTTCCCTCATTGCGAGAAGTAAGGTTACAGGGAACCAGACAGAGGGCCTTCTCAGTAGTGGCGTCCACCCTGTGGAACACCCTCCCTTCAGATGTTAAGGAAATAAGTAGCTATCCTATCTTTAAAAGACATCTGAAGGCAGCCCTGTTCAGGGAAGTTTTTAATATTTAACGCTGTACTGTTTTTAATACTTGATTGGGAACCGCACAGAGTGGCTGGGGAGACTCAGCCAGATGGGCGGGGTATAAATAATAAATTATTATTATTATTGTTGTTGTTGTTGTTGTTGTTGTTATAGTTAGTTGGGTTCTAGGGCTGCTAGGAAGGATGTACAGGTTAATGTGATTGTAGGCTCAATGCAAGTCAGCAAAGTGGTGATGCTGCAAAAAAGAGGAAGAAGCAAATCCTGTTTTGAATTTATTAAGAGAAGCTTTCAAGACATAAGAGGTAATGACACTTCTCGCTGTGACGCTTATTATAGGTCTCTGAAGTGCTGCATCATGTGTTCACATTTTAATTATACAAACAAACGAGAAGATTCTGAAGACAAACTCAGAGTTGAGAATAGCATGCAGAAGGCAGTAGACATTTTCACGTAAAGAAAAGTAGCTTGGGGAAGAGGATGTGGAATTAATTTTTATATATTTAATGGATTCATCTAAGAAGGATGAAAAATGAGTTGAAGTTTTAACCAAATTTAGGTTAGATTATGTATAACTAATTGTAAACAGCTGAGCAGTGAAATGCTGCTCTAGGAAATAGAGAAGGGTGGAAAATAACACTTCACCAATGCTATAGAAAGGTGTGAATCCAACATGAGTCCAGCCTTTGCTTCAACTATAATTGGATTAACTGGAATTATCTCGCCAAGCTAATTTCAAGACTTCTTTGCCTTTGAGGGTATAAGTGATGTTGTTTTGGCTACAGCTGTGAAGTACTTCTGAGACAACTAATTTTGCCTGATCTGGAACAGTTTTGCATTCTTATTTCTGAATTCACACCCATTTTCAAACGTTTTTGTGGACTACTTGAAGCTTGCTAGGGTTCTCGATGGATCATTTACACATTTTTTTGTTCTGCAATGTATAATAGATTTCACTTCTGAATTAAATTTGAATAAAAAATAACTTTCTTCAGCACTGGTCTATTGAAATCCAGCACTGTTATGAAATCATATTCCTAGACCAGGCTGCTAAGAAAGGCCCCTTTAAATCATAGTAAAAAAAAGAGAGAGAGACAGCTCATAATAATTATATCACAGGTCTTAGGTCAGGGGCTTGTTAATTAATCCATTCATGTTTTAAATGGTTTTGAACTACATCGGGGTGGGGTGGGAAAGACAACTAAATTGAAATTCCCCATACATTTTTGCTACACACTAATGCCAGTTACGGAGAAAAGCAGTGCCAGTTCCAAACCCTCCCATTCAGGCTGACCTCAGCCCTATGGTGGTTTTCCCCACCAAACCCCTGGGGACCCACATTGGCCTCCTCAGGCCCCAGGACATATTGGTTTACCTTTCTGGACGACCTACCGATACACTGTATCTTGACGAACATGACATAGAACAGCCTGATCCCCTCCCAAATGTTGATTCACCTGGGAGTAGGCTCAACACTGAGGTGGGCAGAAACAGCCTATCCCCTGAACACCAGTTTTCCATGATTATTCTGGTACATGCCAAGGCTAAAATGTGACTTCTACAGCAAGCCAAGTCGTTAGGGGAAAGTATCTTCTGCCTGAAACTAGGCTATTCAGCAGGCTATTCCAGACCTTCCCCCTTGACTAGAAATACCAGGTTATAGCTAGCTTCAGCCTACTAGCTACGGTGTCAACACTGTGGCATAGTGAGTGGACAACCTGCCCTATGGGGCTGGGAAATGGGGGGGGGCATGTGTGAGATGTGCTCACAGGGAGTGTGATTTGAGGCATTCAAGAACATTAAAATTCAGGGCCATTAAATTGGCAATACCTCATTCTGATCCACACCCCCAGGGGAGACCTGTCCTGATAAAGACAGAAAACATGGTGGCAAAGGCATGCATAAACAGGCAGTGGAGCACAAGGTCCAAGTCCATGTGGTTGGAGGCAACTGAGATAGGCAGTTCCAATCAGGAAGACCACCTTAGAAGAGTCAAAGCCCTTTTTTCTCCAGCTTTGTGTGCTCCCTGTGCTAAGGAGGCTAATGTAGCCCTTTCTTTAAAAAACAACAACAAAAACCCACCTTTATTATCAACTAACTTTGAGCTGACATCACATCTCAGTGTTTTACTGCATTTGTTCTTTGTTTCATTGTTCTATTTTATTGTATCGTATATATTCTATCATATTTAATGAGTTTCATTTAAACTGCTTTGGAGATGTATTTTGGCTGGGAAATCCATTACTTATATTCTATTAATAAACAAAACATCTAACATCTGATCTATTTTTAGATTTCACAGAGGAATCTGCTTAATATATATAATGACTCATGAGATGGGGGAAATCCCCATAAGGGTGTTACATATGCATTCAGAAAGCTGAGAATAAGGAGGATTTATTGGTCATGGGGGGCAGGGACTAATACAACCACTATAGTCTGCAGCATCACCTGGGATCAGTAATGTGGGACAGAAAATCTTCCAGTGTTTCATTTTTTCTGTTGAAAATGTTCTGCTTCATAGATTAATTAGTAACTGTGAATGTCAGTTTCAAGTAAGTGTTAGACAAGCTGGCAATCCCCCCCCCCCTTACAAGCTGAATTAGATCACTATATGGCATTTCTGATTTCTCTAAGTGAGTTAGTTCAAATTTTCTGGAAAACCCGCATCACTGCCTGTGATCATTCTTTAGACACTGCCATCTCCTTCAAAAGATTCAAGGTTTACGAAAGAAAAGAAACTTTATTGTGGGTTTTGTAATATAAAATTTAGACAAATGGCTGCATAGTAAGCTACCCCATTGGATTCCAGTCTGCAGCATATTGTGAAAGGATTCATATATCCTAGTAGAAGCTTTAAGTTTTGCATCAATATGACAAAAAATTCTAATCTCAGTGATGAGAAGCTATATAATCTCTCAGACCTTTTCCAATTTTATTTGAACATATATTAAAAGGTTCCATCACATTTTGAAAGATGCATTCCTCCCTCCCCCCCCCCCATCACTGGCATTGACTACCTCCGCCCCAGAGCGCTTCTCACACACCCTTTGTTGCCCAACTGCATCACAACAGCCCTGCTGCCAATGGGTCTAACACTCCAGGAATTGCTGCCACCACCCTCCCACTTACTCCTGCAGTCGTAGGAGAGAACCTGGAGTGCACTAAAGCAATTATTTTTAAAAGGGTTCTGGACTAATGCCCCAGCACTCCTCAGCTCAATCTGTACCTTTGCTTACCTGCCATGGAACAGCAGTAATGTTTGATGTTTTACTGTTAGATATTTTAATTTCTTAGAAGCTGCCCAGAGTGGCAGGGGCAACCTTGTCAGATGAGTGGCATATAAATAATAATAATAATAATAATAATAATAATAATAATAATAATAATAATAATTTATTATTTGTACCCCGCCCATCTGGCTGGGTTTCCCCAGCCACTCTGGGTGGCTTCCATAGAAACCCAAAAACACTAAAATATCATACATTAAAAAATTATTATTGTTGTTGTTGTTATTGTTATTATTTTACCTGTGTAGGGAAATCATATATGGAATGACCTTAATCACTGTAATAATTTCTCCTTAACATCTGAATCAGGAGAGTTCATGGACCAGTGCCTGGATGGAGTGGTGAGATGGATGAGGAAAAACAAATAAGAGCTTAATCCTGGCAAAACATAGGCACTACGGGCAGAGTGATTCTCATACCTGAGAAACAGGTCAGTTGCCTACCCTGGCTACCCTAAAGGAGCAAGTTCACATTCTAGGGGTGCTTCTGGATCAAGTTGTGTCACTGGAGGCCCAGGTAACCTCAACAACTAAAAGCACCCTTTGATGCTGCAACTGGTACAATAGCTATTACCATTTCTGGACTGGGAAAGTTTGGCCAGAGTAGTTCATGAATTGGTTACTTAAGAGTACATTGCAGTAATCCAATCTTTTAAGTGGGGCTTTCCCTGGGCTTGATATGGAAACAGCAGCTAGTGCAGAATGTTGTGGCACGATTGCTGACAGCAGTGTGACCTGCCAAGAAAACCACCAGCAACGAGTGCTTCTGAACAATAATTAAGGATGAGTTTTTCTTTCTTGGCCAAGTCTCCAAGCTCAGTGATGCACTGTTGAGGCCAGAAAGTTGTTATGTGAGGAGGATGAATTTTCTTGCAGAACATCCACTCCAGCTTCACTTACACACCCTCGAGTGGGTGCAGGTACTATAACTGCCTGGTATGTTCTTTGATCCTGCCCAGATTTCTCCTAGAAATTTCAGTAATCATTCATCACCAGTTCAAGTGTTACACAGGTCATTGTAAGAAACAAGCCATTTTTTCTCTAAAAGCCAGAACCATGAAAAAGAGACCAGAGATGGTTTACAAGTTGGAAGTCATGAAGAAATGTTAACTGGGTGACACTTGACAGCAAAGCGCAAAAGGGTGGGTAGGAAGGCCACTAGTCGGGAAAAGAAATGAGATAAATGACTAAAAGCAACACATCAGTTGAGGTCAAAGAAACTTATACCAGGTCCACTTGGTATAGCAACTACACAGTGGACTTGGGTGAAGGTATTGAGGGGGTGCTCATCAGATTTGCAAATGATGACAAACTGAGACGAGTAACAGTTAAGGTAACAGTTCCAAGACTTAAGTTTTTATTGAAGACAGATTTTTAAAATAAAAAATGCAGGTGACTTTCTTCTGCCAAGTATTATTGGTGGAATCCAGCAATGTCTATCCACCAAGAAAACAAGTCACCTTCCTCCTGCCAGTTGATTCCCAATTATCGGGTTAGTAACATGCTTTTGGAAACTGGACTTACTGATGAAGAATCCACAGACTCCTAGGAAAAACTTCTGAATTTGCTCTTGTGGTATGTACACAGACAGTGCAACCTACTTTCCTGCTTAAAGAAAGTGTGGTTGGAGACTTGGACAGCGGAAGCATTAGCCTTAAGAGGGCTAAATCCAGATCTCCTGTTGACGCAGGCAGTGCAGATGGAGAATTAAAATTCCTCAAGCCCTTAAGAAACCTCTGGATAAGGAACTGTGAAAAGATGGCTTGTAACTGATTAGGTGATAAGCTGCTAATATAGCTAAGTGGATTGTAATGGATGAAATAGATAGGTCACCACCATTTAGTGGTAGCAACAAGGACACCCAAGCCAACCCCAGTGAACATTTCAACTCATCTCCCTTTATACCCCCCACTCACTTTCCCTGTTCCTCAGAAGGAAGTCCACCTTCTCCTACTTCTTGGTGTCATATCTTCTACAATACTGTCCAGCACTTGTAATTTCCAATTATTTGGCACACTTCCTCTTTCATATTTTAGCCCCTTCTTAATGTCTTCTTCAGTAGCATAACATTTCCCAAAGCTGCCCAGGTAAGGACTACCATTAGAGACTACACTTATCAACCAGTTCCCTTTTTCTGTGCCTAGTACACGGCCATGATTACAGATGACACAGATACTAACTGGACATTTGAAAAACCTATCTCAAAATGGGAAGTCTTCCAGCCACCACTCCGTTAATTCCTCCATGCAGATCAAAATCTGAGTGCTTGAGTCCTGCCCCAATTTTGTCCTTTCACAAACTCCTGCCCTCAATCCATCAGTGGGGCAGAGGAGCAACAACAAACGCCAGCTCCCTCGGCCTGTAAAGCGAGACGAATGCCACAACCCCAGAGTTGTCTGCGACTGGACTTAACTGTCAGGGGTCCTTTGCCTTTACCTTTACTAGAATAGGCTTAGGGACAGCTGATAACAAAGTTGTCCACTTTTTGTCAGTGCTTCTACAGACCAGGAATCGTACTTGGAAACTTTTTTGAGGTGTAGGATTAGTGAAGTCAGTGAGACAGGGCCTGGCTTACCAAGAGATGCACTTTCTAATATTAGACATTAGTGTGATACACAAGCATAACCCATTCATTACCTGCTGTTGAATACTTCTATTCACAGGTCCATTGATGTCCCCTGGTCCTTCCTTGTCTTAATGTTAACTGAACATACATCCCCACAGCAACATGTGCTAAGAATGCTCTTGAGTACGTCACTATGAATGCGTACTATTACAGTGGCATAGTAAAGATTTTGAGACTATTGCCAAACTTTACAACCAACTCTGCTCAAAATACTAGTAGCCTACCATCAACGTGTTCAGCAGCTATGGCAGGAGGGTCATGAAACAGGCTCTCACCTTTGTAACCCATTTTTTAGAAGCAAAGGTATACCTTTCACTTCTTAAGTAAGGACACATGAAGAATCCCACCAGTTATACAATTTTAACCAACTGCTTGATGTACAAACTCCTGAATGATACATATGTTTGGTCTCACCTTGCATATTTCTGAAAAATATGCAAGTTACATTTTTTATTAAGTTTATTAAGTTACTTAAGTTTGAGCTACAGTAGTGCAAATAATTGAAACTCTGAAGAAATCGGATTTGACAAAGACCCTTTAACACCCGAAAGCTTGTATTCCTTCCTAACAGCTATAGCTGGCAGCATTGGCACCTCTAATATAACTTAGAAGTAGTAACTTTTCATTGCTTTGTTTTTACTAGAACACAAATTAAGTTGAAAAATGTTTATTTTTAGTTATTTTAAAAAACTGGAAACATACACAAGCAACAAATCTGCAACATTCACGCCAGAAATTGGGAAATTCAGTAAATCCTTTTAGGAACACTTCTGTTCCTTGCAATCAGTTTTTCAGCAATCAGTTGCACAAATGACAGCTTCCCCCCCCCCCCCACACACACACTCTCTAAGAAATTAGAATTTACAGCCATGCACAGACTTCAGTTTTTGTGTTTTGCAGCTAAAGGCCAACGCAAGTCTCAGAAGTCCTGTTGGATGTTTTCTTTGTTTGCCTCTCCATGTTGCTGCTTGATTTGAGAAATTTCATTTTCCAGTTGCACAATAGTTCGTTCAATCTCATAGTTTTTACTGACCAGGGACACCCACCTGAGGGGGGAAAGAGAACAAAAATTAAATTACCATAGGCTTCCTTAATGCTAGGTTACCAGTTAAGGGAACAAGTTGGAAGTGCTGTGGTTGAGGGAAGCCAATCTCTATTGAGACTTCCAACTGGTTTTGTATGAGGTTGTGTTCCTCCCTGAAAGAGAAGAGGCAGGGAGCAAAGTTCAAGAAACTCACATAGATTCCATCTCTCGAAGTTTAGCACCAGCTGTGAGCTGCATGTTCTTCCGCTGCCAGTTAAGGTCTTGAATGTGTTTCCTGAAGAAAAGGGTGACATACTGAATCACTTGAAGTCATTTATTCTGCTGCCCTCCTAAGTCCACAGAAAAGTGGAATAGACTGTACAATCACATATTCAGCCCTAAAAGCAGGAGCTTGGACAACTATTTTGGACTATCTCAGAAGCAATGTTAAGAGTTCTGAAAGACTCTGGATTCAACACTTTAATGCTTTGGCCACACCTATCACTGACATGCAGCCTTCAGAGTTGGCCGACAAGGAATGTGATCCTCGGGCTAAAAAGACCTGTTAGCCACATCTGATCTAGATCCATTATCCAGAAGTAGCACCACTTGTGGACTCCATCACCATTCAGATCTCTAAAAAACAATGTACATATGCTTCTTGAATTAGTCCTTGTATGGCACTCCTAATTCTTTTCTTCTGAATTTCTTCTCAAAAAGCATTTTATCAGTAATTATGAATGACCTTTTAGTTTTAACGGTGGCCCTAGCTAGCCATGCAACTTAACAGACAAGGATTCAGGAGCAGGAAACATGAGCTCATCCCTGCAATTTGGATCTCTACAATATTTTATGGCACTGAAGGTTAGAAAAAAGGGAAACTACATCTTTTTCAAAGTAAATTAATCATGTGCACACTGCCTGCATTAAGAGAGATCCAGGAAAGAGTTCAATGCAGCACAACGGAGATTGTCAGTGATCTCCCTTTCTCCTCCCCCACAAACTGTTTAGGGGTTCTCCCAGTTCCTCCAGAGCCAATTTGAGGGAGGTGTGGAAGCATGTAGAAGGAAGGGGGGAAGCTCCCCCGTACTAGCAGAAGTCCTTGGATGGGGTTCTGCTAGAAGCAAGGCTTTTTTTTAAACAGAACTCACCAGAGCTCAGTTCCAGCACCTCTCAGGTGGGCGCCATTGCCATTTTAAGAGAACAAGGGAGGTGTTCATGAGGACTTCCAGCATGTCTTTTTCTAGAAAAATAGCACTGGCTGGAGGGACCCATAAGTTGAATCTGGCCCTCTGATTCAAACTACTGACAGACCTAACTTCATGTCATTCAAAAAAAAAAACAATCTACAACAAACAGCTTCACTCCCAGAAATGAGTATCATTCTTGAGCTGTTACTTGGTATGCTGCTTCTCAAGGAGTTGTCTCCAGAAAATTATCTAAGGGAAACAGAGCCATGTAACCATTTGGTATCTAATATTTGGAAACGATGAACTAGTGAGACCTTCATAATAACCAAGAGAATGTCTAAAAACAGCAGTAACCCCAAATTCCAAAATGAAAGAAAAACATATTTAAACGTTTATTTCTTGCACAATCCCATGTATACATGAAGAATTCAAAATACCCCGTACTAGAATGCATATTTTGCAATCTGCAACAAAGACTAAAGTCTTATACATTATTAGAGCCCCATAAACTATAATTCCATTTTTATTCCAAAAGGCAACTGAAAAACAGGACTCACCTCAAACTCTGCAGCTCCTTTTGTGCCTGTTCAATCATATGAACTAAATGCCTATCAGCAAAGAACACTAGTTCAAAAAATGATTCCAGTAGAGAGTTCAAGTAATGCAATGTACTGATCTATATTTTATCTTAAGCATAACTTAAGCTAACTGGGGTCTTTAGCTTAACTCTGTTCGTATGTCTCTTTACAGTGCTGTAACTCTATTGATCCCTGAAACATAAGAATAAAATTTGGTACACAGGACACAGTTCTATGTTTGAACTTCAGGTACCAACTTAATACCCACAGTAGTTTAAAGAAAATCAGTTTACCCAAACCACATTAATTGGCCCATCCCATATTCCCAGTAATGCTAATATGGCACTTGGTGTCCATTCTTGTTTAATTAATTACTAGTAAACCAAGCTGACATGAAACTTTTTTCTAGATTAGACACTTTTAAGTCATGAAAATTCAATATTTCACTGAGAGAAACAAATATGGTAGGATTCACAGTAAAGCATGCTGTGTGTATGTCTTGTGTAGTTTTATGAAATTTCTTATTGCTTTCCATTGTTGTATACCACTTTGATACATTTTGTAAAAAGGAGCACAGAAATCCTGAAATAAAACAACTACTTTTTTGTCCCCTCCTTTCTGCAGCAGCCCCTCCAGCTCCCTGAAAATAAGGGGTGAGAGAATGGGATCCCTGAGATTGAGTGGAGGCAACTTCTACTATGCCAGCTTCTAATAATCAGTGAAATTTTTCAGGGACCAGTGTGGGGGAGTCTGACATGGTAAAGAGGGGGCAGGGAACTCAGAACCCACCAGCACCATTACACACTCTTAACTCTCAATCCAGTGCTTAGAGCTTTTGCAATTCCCTACAGCAGGCATGTGCAAAGTCCGTTTTGGGGGTCTAATCCAGCCCACCGGTCGGTTTAATCTGGCCCTCGTGGCAGTTTATTTCCTGGGGTAAAATCCTAAAAAAAACCTCAACAAGTTCAATCCCAGAAAAAGCTCAACTTTGGGGTAAAATAATAAAAAAGGTCAACAATTTTGGCCCTCATGGCCCTTCACTTCATCAAATCTGGCCCTCTTTGAAAAAAGTCTGGACACCACTGCCCCACTGCCAAGTTTACATTCTGACTTGCAGCATCTTCTCTAATCTTTTCATCTTAAAAAACATTCATGTGGTGAATGAAGATCCACTGAAAGAAGGAATAAAACAAATTCTTGACCTTTTTCAATGAAGTATCCAATAGTATATGGCTCTTATTTTTTACTTGCAGGTGTGAAAGTGCTAAGGAAGGAGAGGTAGGTTCGGTTCTCAGTAGCAGGAAAGACAGCATTCCATTGACTTCAAGACTGATTTTTTGAAAGGTTTTCCGTTATCACTTTGGAAGCATTTCACAACTAAAAAAAATTATAAAGCCTTCCAGCTAGCCCTTTTTAAGAAATGACTTGAAGGAGACACAAATATCTTACTCGTTATACACTTTCCAGGCATTGCAGCCATACTGAGACATCAACTCCAAATTCTCAATTCGGACTGCCTGGTGCTCCAGCTGAGCCATTGAGTTATTAACACATTCTTGCCATGCTGTGATGTCGTTCTTCTGCCCAGAGGATGGTGCAGGCAGCTCATATCTGTGAAGAAAACAAGAGATATTATAGTTCAGGAACAACAGTTTAGATGGTTTGAAGTTTAAAAAAATCATTGCACTGATCATGTCCATGACTAATTTTTATCAGTGAAATAGATGTGTATCAACAGCGTTCAATAGCTCAGTAAACGCTAAAGGCTATTTAAAATACCTGGGGAGCACAACAATTTTGGTTCATTTGTCTAGTTTCAGGCACATGCGGTCCTATTTGCAGAAGTATGACCCAATGTCTGCTTTCTCCAATGCTATCAGCATAAAGAAACTTAATCTCTTTTGCTAAAATGCTGTACTGTATTATAATTCCACAAACAGACCTACAAGTTCCTTGAAGACATAACAGACCACTAGCTATTGTTCCAACAGAGTATGCCTGCCACCCTGAGGCAAGAACTAGAACATCACATTTTAATACTTTTCAGAATCCTGCATCCAAACCTTAGTTCTTTCTAGATTATGACTTCGCATAGATGGTACACCCCACAGAAGGTCTCTGAGTTACCTTTTCATGCTCAACAGTTCTATGGGCTGTCGGGCTGCTAGGCGTTCAAATTCATTCCGCATTATTTCAGTCTATAAAACACAAGAAGAATTACTTGCAGTCCGGAAGACGATAACCTAAAAATTCTAAATATGATCACACGTAAGAAACAAAGATCTAGACCTCAACCCGACACCAAAAAAATCACTTTGTTCTAAGAGAGGTCCCCTTTGTCCCTGGAACTCCTGAACACATTCAGGGTACTTCATGTATCCTAGGGCTCAGCCCAGGCTTTGGCAAAAAATAGTATTTTTCAAAGCACTGCTAGGACTTAGAAATCAGAGAGCTCTCAGTTCAAGTTTTACCTAGTCCAGAAAGTCACAATGTAACTTTAGGCAAGCCACTTTTCTCTCAGTCTCTGCCATTTACAATAAAGAGATAATATACTATCCTGCCTTACAGAACAGCTGAAAATATAAAGATTCCCAAGGTAATGTATCTTGAACATTGCAAAAATCTATGTAATATAAATATGAGATGTTCTCCATTCACTTCTCCCTAAACACTGAGAATCTTTTTCTATTTTTGCATCTTTCCTTATATGTTTTGAGAAAAACAACACTTATACTCCAATTTCTCTTCAAGCAAAACATACTTATCCCTGCACATTTTTTAGGATGGAACTATATCACAGTAATCAAAATCAGGCCCCACAATTAGAGTTCTACTTTTAAGTATCCAATAAAGTACTGCTACCTTAAAATTTATTAAACAAGTTAACAGAAACCAGAGGTGGTTTCATGTTTATACTTAAAACTAGTAACTCAGGTGAAGCTGTTACTTTAGAAGTTTTTGCTATGCTGGGATCCCACAATACAAAATAGTTACGGCAGTGCCCTCTAGCGGCTTGATTTCTATTAAAATATTCATTGCTCACTTGGAGACAGGCAGGAAAAACTGTTTTACATTTGTTGGAAATACCGCTAATTACTTTTGAAGTTGAACACTGGCTTATTTTTATTCGTACCTTTATTGCTGCCAGGCTACACTTAACTGCTTTATTAAGGTATTTTAATATATATATATATTTACTTTCAATAAAGTAAAAAGAACTTTGCAATGTCTTGACCCTAAAAGGCAGCCTAGAAATTTCTTAAATATTTTAAATAACTTTTCTAGATTAACATCCTTAAACTGCTTTTTTATTGTGTATTTTTAATTATTGTAAACAACCCTGGATATTTTATAAACTGGCTACACATGTAAAACAAAACCAACAAGCACTTCAAACTATTGCCTACTGAGACAATTCCAAAAGGTGTGTCTTCAAGACTCAATCCTGACCTTAAGTTAAATTTCAGGGGGGGTGTCTGTATGCCAGGTGGTGGATTTCGGGGAATCTTGCTACACTGCAAAGACAAGCACACCCCTGCAAAGTAACTTCTCATATGCGGGAAGCATTGAGTCTGCTATCTTGGCCCACCAAGGCTTGTGCCACATTAAGTCCTTCGGACCTTCCTTGGAGGTTGTGAAGCAGAGGTTGGATGTCCACCTGTCATGGATGCTTCAGCTGAGATTCCTACATTGCAGGGGGTTGGAGTAGATGACCCTTGAGGGTCGCTGCCTACCCTACAGCTCGATGATTCCATCATGACCAGCCAAAAGTCTGTTTCACTGTCGTTGCGGGCATTGCAAATACTCGGACGGCCACTTCTCGTAGTTCCGCGACAGGGATGGGGAAATTATCGCCCGCCAGAGATAGTTATGACTACCATCCCCATCAGCCCCAGCCAGCGGCCATGGATGCTGGGAGCTGCAGTCCAAGTACCGGCAAGTCCCAGCTCTGAACCCAAGGACCAGGGTCGGATTTAGGTTTGATGAGGCCCCAAGCTACTATAGGTAATGGGACCCTTTATATGTCCAGCTGTCCTTTGTCAACAACAAATTGTCACAGTTTTTTGTGTTGAATATATGCTATATATGCTAAAGCCATTTGCACACAACAAAATATTTTATCAAAGTAATTGTTGAACTGAAATACAATGACTTACATCATAGAAGCCTACACAACACAAAACACTGTTGCTGTATGTAGCTTTTATTTTATTTGTGGGGTTTATTTGTTTAGCTTATACGTAAATCCGGCCCTGCCGAGGACACTTGAGCCCGGCGGGCGCCTTCCTCACCTCGAAAGCGCTGTAGTCGGGCGCCGTCAGGTAGCTCAGGTAGTTCTTGGTGGGCCGGTAGCGCCGCGTCTCCTCCTCCACCAGCGCCGCGGCCTGAGGGGAAGACAAACGAGCGAAGCGGGAGACACTCGGTCAGAGGGACGCAGGGAAGACCCGGCGTCCTCGGCCCCCCACCCCACTCACCGCCTCTCGCACGCCCGGAGCCTCGTAGCCTTGGTCGAAATAGGGCAGGGCGTCCACGGCGACTTCGCCGGCCACCAAGCCCGGACCCGACATGCCGCAGCTCCCAGCGCCCGCCCGCGCGCCTCAAACTTCCGTCGCGTTAAGATTGCGCGGCCGCCGTCTCCCCGACATCCACTTGTGCCACTGCGGCTGCGCAAATTTAGATCTCCGGCGCGAAAGGAATCCCCTCGCGGCTCCCGGCGCCTGCGCGTGTTCGACTACACGGCCCGGGAAGTCATGCTGCTGCTGCTGCTGCTCCCCCTGCAGGGCGGCGTAAGGAACAGCAGGAGCAGAGGCACCGAAATAACAGAAGACAGATTAATGCAAACAACAACAGTGATTCAAGCGGTGTATCTTTTTCAATGCTGGAGAGTAACACTACATACCATACATACACACGTTCTCCTTTCCAAGGCCTCTGGTTAATGGGTTACACGTGCCCACAGCATAAATGGTGTCCCCAGCCGCTGGGGTTTTTATTTTTCCCTCCTTTCAGGCCCACTTCCCCAGTTCACACACCAATCCGGTTTAATCTGTTGCCACAGTGCAGTGGACTTTGCCCAAGCTCTCTATATGGTATTATTGTTTTAACAGACATATTTTTCACTGCACAAACCTGTAACTTTTCCCAAAAACGGTGTCCCTTTTAAGCAAAATGTATTACATGTTAACTGTTTTTTCTACTTCACACTGTTCAATAACAATTCTCCACTGACCAGGGTCACAGGGTCCATTTCCATTTTCCGTTACAACCCATGAGGGAAGGAGCGAAGCAGTCATAGGCTGGAGTTAAGAAATGATAGGAACAAGAAGCTGTTGCTGTGAGGAAACTAGTGGGCACCCAGCACCTCTAAAGCCATTAGTGGTTCTGAGAACTGGTCTGCAGTTCATTCACTTTCTGCAAAGGGTTCTGTACTACATGATCTCTGCTTACAGATGAGTATGGAAAACCGCTTATTTGTTGCTGGGCTCCATCGAAAACAGTTCCATATAAACCAGGAAGTGACCACTCCAGACAATGGAATGACTCTTATTTTCTTATCTCTGTTGGGCAGTTGAATGTGCATGTGTACTCCGTCTGTTTCCCCTCCTCCCATTTCGTTGCGTGGGCACTGGAAACCCATGCTATGCCACTGCCACTGACCCATCAAGCTCAACAGTCCTAACGAAAGCTCCCCAGGATTTCAAAGAGGGTCTTTCCCAGCCCTATCTGGAGAGGCAAATGATTGAAACAGAAATCTGCTGCTTGCAAAGCATGTTGTTTACCATCGTAGCTCAGTGATAAGAGTATCTGTCTTACAGAAAGGCCCAGGTTCATCCCCAGTATCTCACAATAGGACTGGAAATGTCCACGGTCTAAAACCCTGGAGAGCCAGTGCTTGTCAGTGTAGACATCACTGAACTAGACACAGCAGTGATCTGACTCTGTATAAGATAGTTTCTTACGTTCCACTGAGCTGCAGTCTTTCTCCACTCCTAGAATTGTTGTCTATAAAGCTATACAAGGCAGCAGGTTCAGTGATGTCATATTGGGTTGGTGCACATCTGGTAACCAGTACTTCTTAGCAGATAAACACACCACAATATTCTGTACAAGCTGCACCTTCCAGACATGCATCCAGGCCCTTCCGCTTACAATGTTAAAGTTCTACTTCTGGCAAGGGCACAACGCATCCCTCTGACTTTAAGAGCTCAGTCTTTCTGGAAGAACTAGACATGCATAGAGCACAGATGGTGTCGTTATCATTGACAGAAAGGAAAAAGAGATGATCCAATACACAAAAACACAGCATATTTTATTTGAACCAGTTCCTTAAAGAACTTGGTTTATTACAGATCTGTAACTGTACATATAGTTTTGGTTTCATCTACACACCACAAAATATGGCTTTATCCAGAATGAGCAAACAGGCTGCAAAAACACACAAAGGTGCTACACAGGAGAAAGACAACCACTGAGAAGAAGTACGCAAGGTCTGAAGGAAAGTGTTTTTATGGAGATGAGGGAAAGATGCATGTTTCCCATCCAGGAGTATGCAACAGGAATTATTAAAGTGGGTTTCATACCCTGAGGGCTAAAGTAACCCAAATGTGGATATGAATAACAGAATCACAGGTGAACTCTTCTTCCTGGTCTTCTGATCAAGTGCAATAGTCTTAAGTGCTGAAAAGCTCCCACAAAATCAATGACCAGATCCGCTTCTTCTCATCAAGAATCTAGTTCTGTAAGGATGGAAGCATGAGAGATTCGAAACAGAATCGCAGCAATGGTTCTAAAACACGTGAGAACAGAAATTGAACAAAATCACTTCCTTTGTGTCTGGGACCCACTTGTTACGATGTGATCCTGTGCATGATTACTCAGAAGTACACACATCCCTGAGATTTACTTGCTCCCAAATTGGTGCACATAGGATTTTAGCCTAGGCTGAAATCCCAAATGCTTTCTAAGGAGCAAATCCCACTGAATGTTGAGGGACTCACTTCTGAGTAAACATATATGGGATGGGCTGTTTGCCTTGTACAACCAACTCAGGATTAAATGTAAAAAGTTCTCTGATGTTATCCTCATATATACATTTGACGTTTTGTCTTCATGTTTTTTGGCACAGCAAAAAAAATAAAAATCAGGAACTGTCCCCACTGAAAGAAGCACCTTTCAGATACAAGCATTAATATATAAATATATTTTAAAAAACCATGAAGACCTGAAATTCACGTTTCACTCAAATCCAGAGGTCAATGAGACTGTAAGGCAGAGAAAAGGCAATTTGGTACATCAGCGCTCTGTACGTCAAAGGAATTCCTCGTGTGATCATTTGTTATGATTCCAAGGCTGTACAACAGTCCCATGCATTCATCCTGAGTCTATTTCCTACATGTAAACATATGGTAAAGCGCCACTGGAGTGTAGTCTTTGGCTACATCCAACAGGTCCACAGAGGCAAGAGTAATTGGAGTAGTCTAATACTGCCTTGTAAATAAGCCCTCCAAAGTTGCCAGCACCCCAAAAAAGTTAATAGTCTACTGTGGGCTGGCAAAAGGATGGGAAGCAGCATTTCTATGCTGGGCATGAAGGAAGGGACTTTCCCTCCTCTAGCAACCTGCTTGGTTTCTATGCTGGGCTCAAAAGAGGGACAGGGTGCTCAGTTCCTGCTTTGCCAGCCTGCCTGCAAAGTCCTTAAATACAAGGCTGGTCCAATAAGAAAATGACATGCTGTGCCATAGTTGATTAGGGAAGTGACACAGGTATTTGCCTTTACACTCTAAACAGCTGTTGGAAATAGTGTGCAAGCTACCAGGAGGAATAAGGGTTCCCTAAAAGCAGATAACAACAGACCTTGGTGTAGATGAGGAAGAAAATGTTTTTGATGAATGTTCAGCTGTGGTAAATTAGAGCAACGCTTTACAGGGAAGAACCCATTTCTATCCCACCCATTTCACAACAAAATGCAATGGTAAGAAACTCACTTTTCTTTTACCATAGTTCTGTATCAAACCAAAACAAACTCATTTTGAATTCCACTTTTTGATTTTGTTTTTCAAAAGTCTTCGTATTCCCAAATTGGGTTTAAATGCCATTTTCTTGGCCAGTAAACACCAGTCTTGACTGAGGTATATCCCCTGATGTAGCAAAAGCAGGTCTGCAAAAAGGCACAGAAGTTGTATATTTGCAGCAGGTTGAAGTTTGCAGTATAAAAACCAATAGAACAAACAAAGAAGTGGGTGTTCTCGTCTTGCTTTCAACATTTGAAAAACAGAAAGCTTTGAAAGACATAAGTAAAGCCAACAGTTAATAAGAGAATGTGGCTAAACCTAGGCCAGTAGCAGAGGACGTAACAGGAAGACGGATGAACAGGCCCTAGAGTACAGGTTTGCCTTTCCAGTTTTAGAGGAAGTTTCCAGGTGCAGAGAATCTCTGCAGTGCAGTATTGCCATAGGTCAGTTCCTGAATTCGTTTTTTTTTTTTTAATTTCTGGTTCATTCCTCTTATTAAAAGGTATCAGCTTAGCCCTCAGGGCTACTTTGAGCAAGAGTCATTTATAAAAACAGGAGGGTGTAGGAAGTCTCTTCAGGCCAAGCAGCATAAACAGGGATAGTTCACACAGCTAATTGGATTCTCCTTTGTAGACCAATTCTACAAAGACACAGAAGCCTAGTTTCTCCCAGTAATAGTCCCGTTGGACTGGGCACAGCAAAGATTTGAGAATTCCACCCAGATCTGATGTCCTTTCTTCCAATTATTTGAAGGGTATCTGAGCTTGAATTCGAGTCATCCCATCTGACGCTGCAGCAACAGGCAATGTGGCGCCCCCTTCGGACAGCCAGGCGAGAACATGAAACCACTCTTAGCAGCAATTTTGCACTCAGCTTCTTCTCACTTCTTTTGCAGAAATTTCATTTTGCTACCTAAAAGGAAAAGCATAAAATAAAGAAAAATGGTAAGGTTGAGACATGCATGGGCATGCCTATTTCACTGCATTCATTAATCGCTTCCCATGAAACACACCGAAGCAGTCAGCCATAAAAACGTCAGCAACGAAATGTACATAGAAACAATTTAAATCCAATACATAAACAGGCTGAGATAAGAATCTCTACTTTAAAAGCTTGTTGGGAAATGAAGGCCTTCAGCTAGTGCCGAAGAGATAACATTAATTACACTTGTCTGGAGGAAGTTCCAAAGGGGAGATTCCATCACACCAAAAGCCAGATTTCTACATTGTGCAGAAAGAACCTCAGGATGAGATGGTATCTGCACAAACCTTAACCAGAGGGTGCTCTAAACACTTCTACAGGGCCTGTATCAGCTGTGGTGTTTAAGTTTGGTGTGGATACGGGTGATTTTGACCCGAAAGTATTTTGTAAAACTCTCACAGCAAGCTTCCAAGCGGCTGGTTGCATCCTGCCCAGGGCTACATCTCACCAGCCCATTCACCATTTGGAAAAGCTCCACTGCGGGTGCAATGGAGGCAGAGAAGGAGGCTTATTATCAAGGCTGAAAGGTTTCCTTGGTAGTTCATAGTTACACAAATTACAAGCGACCAAGGCAGCCAAGAACAAGATTGAGCATTATTTACCCAAACTACGGAGGATTTTGTTCATCCCACTTGGCTCAGACTCTGGAATGGTCTCCAAATACTCCAAGGCACGGACTTCAAACAAGCCTAGAAAAAAAGGAAAGCATCACTTAGACATGCATTTCTCTCTCTCTTTTGGGATGAAGTTTCAAACAAAATTACACATGAGAAAGCCCACATGTGCCCCAAAGAAGGGAAATACCCGTACATTGCCTAAAAGGGATGAGTGCATGGATGCAGCCAGGCATCCTGTTTATAGCCTCTTATTCTGGGTTAGAGATGTTCTCACGTTCTCCAGCCTTTACCTCCTCCATGGCAAAGGAAAAGTTCAGCTTCTTAATTATTTCCCGGTTCGCTACCCAGGCAGCTGGTACAAGAGCTGGAAGAGAGTCTGAAGCTTTTCCATCACCTCCAGTTCTGGTATTAACTTAAGTGAATGGAAGGGGCCTCCTCTCCTGTCCATCATGCTGACAGCTACCTGTCTAATTCTTTAATAAAGTAAAGCCAAGCCAGCCTTATTGTTTGAAGGCATTTGAATTTCATTACAATCTCATTTAAAAGTTAATCTACAACTCCTTGGAAGTGTGGATAAGCCTGCACCCCACTTCCCTAGAACTAAATTAAGAATGCTTTTGGGGAAGGCAGCAAAGGAGTGTCACTGTTTCCAAGCTCAGAACCTGGAAGAGCTCACAACTGAAGGCAATCCCAGAAGAAGAGCACAGGACATTCTGCGGGCACAAAGTAGCTCTGCATTTCTACCATTTTCACTTGGTTTATTTTAATCAATTTTCATTGAAAATTCCCAAAACACAGGGTCATTTTTTAAAAATCACCATACACAATAGATAGGGCCAAGAAAATAAATGGCCATCCAAAACAAACGTGTCCCTCCAAAATGAGGAGAAAGCAGGTGGTCAATGGTCCTGGTTACCTGCAGTAACAAAACATTTTAGAAGGTACCAGATATTGAAAAACAATCAAACTTGGATTCCCCTTTGGCTGTTTTAAATTCTTGTGCAAGTACCGCAATTGTTCTACACAAAACAAGAATAAGGACTGGATTTGGCAAGCATCACCTTTAACCCCGCTCTTCCGTAGCTCTCGATCCTGTATGAAACCAGCGAACATTTGCGTCTCCATGAAGATGTCTAGGAAATGGCGCACATTACGGGAGGTGTGGGACTTCCGGAAGGGATCCCGCTGGAACACCCGCTCTCCTTTCTCAGTGACATGCATGTGAAGGGAGTAGTGCCCCACAATCTCCACGAAGAAGCGCACAAAAGCCTCCGATACCAACAAGTCCAGAGTCACGTCACCTACCAGAAGGCACAGAAAGCAGTCACATCTCAACCTTTGGAGAGATCAACCTCAACTTCGTTCCCAAAGGCTATGAAGGGACCATGCATCCTATTGGCTGGGTCAGAACCTAAATCTCTACCTACATATCTCTATTTAAACAGAGATAAAGAAACTTGGCACATAGCTCAGGATGTCAACAGCTTCAGTGGGTACAATAACTGCACTTTTAATGGGGAGCTAGGTAACCATCAACATGGATGTGCAGCAGTAAGGGTGGGTCTGGGAATCCAAACAACCACTTCTCTGTTGCCAAGCAGTAGGATGCGTGTGCAGTTTGCTGGAAGTGGGAAGCACTGTGCACATGCTTTTCCCAGTTACCGTTTCCCCACTGCAACCTCCTCTCCTCCCCATCGACACTGGGGAGTTAAAGCCCCTTCCTGACACCTTTTCCTCTGCCAACCACTTTCCCCCCACCCCACTTTGCAGTAGAGATGTCTGGAGATTTCCACACCACCATATTTTCATGGGTTTCTCCTTTTTAGTTATTATGATTATTTTATTTTTTTTAAGTTTTCCAGTTTTACAATTACGCCTTTTTCCTATTCTTACACAATAACTCTGCTTGACTTCCCACCCAGCATTCCATGACAGTTCTTTTTACATCTTGCTTAGCTGCATATACATTAATTCCTTCACCTTATTTTCCACACTCTCATATCTTTCATATTATCAACTGTTGGTCACAAAGTACCCCCTTATTTGGAATCTATATCTGAGGTCAGTTTTTTGTAAATATCCCCCTAGATATTCCCACTCACTCCTCGTCTATTTATCATCTTGATTTCTTATTTTAAATGTCATACTGGTAAGCTCTGCACATTCAATTAGTTTGTATAGCCATTGTTCTTTCCCTAGGGTCTCTCTTTGTTTCCAGTATCTTGCATCTACTATCCTTGCTGCTATTGTTGCATATAAAAATAGGTTGTGGGCTTTCTTTGGTAACTCATTCCCAAGAAATGCTTCTGGTTTATTGGGGTAAGTAAATTTGAAGATTTTCTTTAACTCATTGTACACCATCTTTCTGATCCAAGTCACCTTGTGTGTAATTCCGCTCCCGAGACAAGATTTCATTTCTCTCTTCTAAGATCTGTACGAGTGCAGCCTGGAGCTTGTGAGGTAGGATTTCATCTTCATCTGAAACCTTTAAAATAAAAGGGGAGAAAGCAGAATGGTGGTAGTTAACATGTATTCCAAAACAGGACCATGTGAAGTCACTAAAATGTTTCATGAAGTAACTGTGTCACCTACCACATGAAATTATTTCAGCATGCAGTTTAAGAGGGCACACCTCATGGCTATACATAATTAAAGTGTGGAACCAATTAAATTTTATGTTTAAAGCAGATGGGGTGGTTTCCAGTGTTCATCATTCATAGAGCAGACCCACTGAAATCAATGCACTTAAGTAAGTGAAATCCATTTATTTCAGGGGATCTACTTTGAGTATAACTTAGTTGTACACCACCCATTATCAAAAATATTTTTAGAAAGCATTGCAGATGTTGATACAACTACTACAGATTTCTAGCCCCTAGAAGCAGAATTCAAAAACTAAACAAAAATCCAATAAATATCATAAGGTCACATCTTAAGACAGATCCTTTGAATAACCAACTCCCATGCACCGGCTCCAATGCAGAACAGACCAGTGGAGCGAAAAAAGTAGGACTGCTTGCTGTGAAGAGTGTGGATAGGGAGAAGTTATTCTTCCTCTATTGTTATATTAGAAACTGAGGTGGAAGATTCAAGAAAGGGAAAGAGGACATGCTTCTTCACACATCACATGAACTACAGCCTGCAGTTTGCTACCATAAGATGTGGCAATGGCCACTACCATGAACAGAGGATCAGATAAACAGACAGACGATAAGAGAAACTGATGTACTCCTGAGGTCATTTATAGCTTTCTATATTTGAAACCGAAACAAATCTTAGCAAATTGCTTCTATTTAACCCTTTGGCCTATTTAACCCTTTGGCCTGAACTCTTTAATTCTTGTCCTCAGTTGGATCAAAATCTAGATACAGCTGCCTGCTTTTGCTCTCATGCAAGCCACCCTTCCTTCCCTCTCTGCTTGCCTCCTCTCCACCCACCTTGGCCACTGCTGAAGTTTAAAACTGTAAATTCCTCTGGACAGAGACCTGTCTTTTGCCATGGACAGAGATACCATTACACAAACAACTGAGATTAGAAATGCCTTTCAAACATTCTAATATACAGAAGTACTAGATACTGGGCAAATGCAATCACCCAATGACTCCTGAGTACTCTTTAACCAGGAGTTGTGCAGTAGAACTATAAAGCCCAATGACATTTCATTTTGCTTGGTGGAATGTCGCATTCAACAGTTTGTCAGTCTCCCCTGCTTTGCCTGGGGGAGCACCTTCAGGCAACAGGGGAAAAGGGAAGTCAGCAGAGAATGACAACACTAGGGATTATTTTTAAGAACAGCTGATTACAGGAAACTCTCGACTGTCTAGACAATGAGGAGAAGAACTCTTGTGGAGAGGAAACACAGAAAATAGAAGCAGCAAGATGCTAGAGAGACAATAGCTTTCTAAAGACCAAAATACAGGTCACATTACAAGTATACAGTGGTACCTTGGTTTACAAGCGCTTTGGATTACAACCATGTCAAACCCGGAAGTGTGTGTCCCTTTTTCGGATTACAACCCATTTTTTTATTTTTTTTGGATTACAACCAATTGGGGGGGGGAGACCCCATTGGCAAAAGCGCGCCTTGGGTTACAACCTGTTTTGGTTTACAACCAGATCTCCAGAAAGGATTATGGTTGTAAACCAAGGTACCACTGTAGTTTGTCCTTGTGCATTTTTATTTCAGAACAGCAATCATGGGGCAGGCAGCAACAATCAGGACCAGGACTGAAGAAAGTGGGGGAAGGGACTTAAACCTTTAGCACCCATCCTCTTAAAGCTATTTGTGTGAGCTGCCATTGGTCCCAGCAGAAGCTTCTCTCTGATGCAAATAGTGACTCAAGGGGGTGGGGGGAGAGATTTTCAGCAGAACTATGGCATGGGAAGAAAAGGTTTAAAATATCTCCACCCATGCAATTCCCAGCATCTCCAGATACGGCTGGGAAAGACCTCTGCCTTAAACCTGATCTAGACAGGCAAACATCTGACTTAATATAAAGCAGCTTCCTATTTTCCAAGAATAACCAGTTTATGGATTGGACAACACAGTAAACTGAGGTTAATTTAAAGCAGAAGCGTCCAGTCTCATTGCAGCCATGCTGGGAGTGGGGGAGTGATGGAGAGCACAGAAGTCCAAGGGGAGCTAGGTTCATTCCTATCATGCTAAACCACGATGACCATGGGCTCAAGCAGTAGGGAACCCCATTGAACTTAAGACCCATATGCTCATCCTCCTTCTTCCCAAGTGTGTCTAGGAAAGTGTTTAGATTCACTTTCCACAAGACCTGGCTTGTTGTTTGCTGCAAACCTAATATTGTGGTTTAAAAACACACTCTGGTTAATTAAGCAAGCCAACTTTGTAATCTATTGTTTGAAGTTAAGTTTGTTTAGAAACTGACTAAAGTCTGGAATTCATGGTGACTCCTTCCTGCTCATGCACATAGTTTGAAAAAATGCTATCTCGTTATGTGATAAGTGGGCCAACTGGAAATTTTGGCCACAGCCCCCTACTAAGTTTCAGCTGTCTTAGGAAATACCACTTCCCCACAGAAAACACTTGTTAATACCTAAGCCACTCAAATGCACAGACAAAAGAAAAACTCCCTTGGGCAATCTTATCTCCCCAGAAGCCCAGCATTCTGCGACCCCTCTTCCCAGTCCTCAGAACCACAAAATGACAAAACTAATCATCCTTGATGTCCTTTTTCCTCATCAGTGTAGACAGTTTGGGGCAGAGGAAATCAGGTAAATGGCAAATGGGAACAGATTAAACCCCAATTTCCCCCAGCTCTGCAGTCTCAATCCAATTTGTTCCCTGTTCCTTTTAAGCTTAAACAAAGAGTCAGCAGATCTGAACACGGATCTCCAATGTGCAGTTTGGTCCTTAGCTTCTTTTGTGTATTTATCCCCACTCCACTGCCTGTAAGGCCCCATTCGGGGGGGGGGGGGATTATTCTGCTTGCTTGTGAAGCAGCCAGTAGCTAAGTAATTTGACTCACCTGTTGTAAAAATGTATCTGCGCACAGATCAACAATCAGTACCTAAGGAAAGAGATAGATGGTTACTGCATATAATCCACAAACCCCTTGTGCAACCCACAGTCATCCTATCCTGATTCATATGACACTGTGACAACAGGCTATTGTCTGGCTGCACGGAACAGATAACACAGATCAGATAACATAAGCACAACCCTTCTTATCAGGTGACCGTGGTGTCCATCAATCGTTGGCAATCCTGGATAGGACAAAGTTATCGCTTCATAGCTCTGACTTCAGTTCAAGCACTTTGGTGGAAGCTATTGCACATGGAGGGAGTCACATCTACAATGGCAGCACATTCCAACTGAGAAGAGAAGGAAGGGAGAGCGGCCTCTACAAATAAAAATTCAGATCCCCAGCCCCATCAGAGTCTTTAAAAAGTTATTCTGTGTAAATGGGCTATTGAGCAAACAGTTATGCTGATACCAATGGAGAGCATTCAACTAACATGTTCCATCAGGACAAGAATTGCTCTGGAGGGTTGGGGGGATGCCTAGATCAGATTTAGAGGGTGTGGGGTGGGAGGAGGGGGACAGAACATTCTACTGCACAAGCAGAAATCCATGGGCTGATGAACATTCATGTAGCACTACACTGGATACAGTGTATCACTGATGGACTCAAGGTTCGTGCAAGCGTAAGAATTAAGCTTATTGTCTTAAATGAATAGGTCACCCCAGAACACACCACTAAAACTTTCACCCTCTCCTCACTAATATGGTGTAATAACTGGTGCACCACCACCCCTTACATTTCCTCCTGAGGTTTTCTCAGATCTCACCTCTTCAATGGGCAGGTCCTGGAGCTGAGTTAAGGAGCAGGAGAGGATGCCAATAAGGAAAGGGGTGGGTGAGCAGACAATGTCTATCATAGAATCTGGCAGGACAGGGATATAAGTGTGTTGCCAGGTGAACGGATAGAGTGCTGCAACCACAGCATGACCACATTTGGACAAGGTGCTAAGTGAGGGAAATAAAACACAAAAGCATTAGTCAGTATATGAAGTCCCTGACTGATGAAAAGCACCCCTAATTTAGAGAAATTAATTTAGTACAGGTAAAGGCTAAAATGTGATGTATGTAATGGTCCCATGCAAGAGAAAATATGTGATACTTTTGGAACAGTACCACTGCAAAATAGAGGTAGTTAACTGCAAGAATGAATGCTGTCCCATAATAAATACTCCCTGGTTCTAGAAAGCCAGAATCTTAGTGGGAAAGAATACAGGCTTTTCCATGGCATGAAAGTCTTCTAAGTGCAATTTGTTTTTTATGGAGGAAAATTTGCACATGCTATCTTCCACCACAATTATGAAGTTGTACAGTTCCGAGATGACTGTGTAATGCACTTTTCCCGAGTACGAAGGAGCATAGGAATAAAGGAAGCTGCCTTATACCAAGTAAGACGATTGGTCCATCTAGCTAAGCATTGCCTGCACTGACTGGCAGTGGCTCTCCAGCATTTCAGACAAGATTGGAGATGCCAGGGATTGAACCTGGGACCTTCTGCATGCAAAGTAGGTGCTCTACCACTGATCTACAGCCCTTCCCCAGCTAGCCCTGCAATTCCAGATTTTGGTGTCAGGTTCCATGCAAGCTACCCCTTATGTGCACACTTATGTAAGGGTAGACCAATAGTCTTTTTTCCAGTAATTCATGAATATCTGCTTCACGTTTCCAGAGTTTGCATTTTATGGTGGCTGAATTTGGATGATGATGATGATAGTCTATATATGCATTAACAAGAAAAGCTGCAATTATTTTGTGACATGAAGGGTTCAGAAAGGACAGGGGAAAACACACGCACACGAAGATCTTGCCAAGCCAGGCAGGGGACTTGTCATTTCAGTCTCACCTCAAATTGTCAGCAACAAATATCACCCTCCTTTCCAGCAGGAGAGAAGCGCAGACTTGGATCAAGTGAGAGACGCTGAGGCACTTAAACAGGCATTCAAAGTCGACATGTTCCAGACGCGAGTCCAGGGGACGGCAAAGCTCAATTACCTGAGAGCAGACAATTGTAAATGAATTATGGACAAGAATTGAGCTAGTTTGTTGTTGTGTTCTCTCCTGAAACCCAAAATGTTGAGGTGGTACAGTGGTACCTTGGTTGTTGAACTTAATCCGTTCTGGGAGTCTGTTCAACTCTCAGAACGGTTAGAAAACCAAGGCATGGCTTCCGATTGGCTGCAGGAGCTTCCTGCACTCAATCGGAAGCCGCGGAAGCCACATCAGACGTTCAGCTTCCCAAAAACGTTCACAAACCGGAACACTCACTCCCGGGTTTGCGGTGTTCGGGAGCCAAAACATTCGAGTACCAAGGCATTTGACAACCAAGGTATGACTGTATTCAATTAAATAATTATAGGAGCAGAATGGCTTCCTCTCCTCCCTCCACACATGCACTATGCCATCCCCAAATCTGCTACGAGGGTTGGGGGAACCCCCAGAACAGATTTAAAGGGGTGCACAAAGGGGAAGGGAAGTCCCACTGTGCAAATGGAAGTCGTTCCGCTCATGCATTTACTTAGGTGTGTACACATAGACTTGGCAAGCTCTGAATTGTGGCCCAAAAGGACAGATAAAGGATGCCAGCAACTCAGCAACCCTCTGGAAATTGCTTTATGGCTTGCACATTCTGGGCACATTCTGGGTTCCTACTGCAATCATGGTGATCATTCCTCACGCCTTTGCTAGGCAACAATGCCTTTTGCCGTTACCTCATTTCCTGCTCCTGGCAGGAAACTCTTCACAGTGATGGTGCGCCCAGGAGCAGGGAATGGTGCCTCCATGACGCTCCGCATGAATGGGTGCACCAGGGCTGGGGACATCTCACGCCTCTTCTCCACTTCATCCAATATCTGCATGAGAAGAATTTACTGTTACAAGACTGGTTCTTCCTGACCGCAACACAAGTGAGAAACAGCTGGATAGCTCAGCTGGTTATAGTGTAGTGCTTATAGCACCAAGATTGCAGTTTAGATCCCCACAAGGGTCAGTTCCATATTCCTGCATTGCAGGGGGTTGGACTAGATTATTCTCAGAATCCCTTCCAACTCTATGATTCTATGAAAGCAGAGAGGATTGACACTTCAGCACTTCAGCTGATGTCCTCTCATAAGATGTGCTGTGTTATTGGCACATGATATAAAGGCACATTCATTTCCCTCCCCCAGCACAGATGTGTCCTTCATTGTAATGGCACAACCATCTAGAGAAACCAGTTTTCCAAGTTCATTCACCAGAAAAGTGAGTAAGTCACCATGTCACCAAGTGTGGGCGGTCCTCACCCACCCAGGACACACCCCTAGGTGCATCCCCCCAATTCCACCTTCCTCACATTCAATTCCTCATTCCTTCACCTCCTCTAGCTCATTGTGAGCCACTTTTAAAGTTCGTTGTCAGCATTCTTCCAGACTCCAGCCGCCTACGCTTCCTTCACAATACTTTATTAAGTTGCGTAATTGCGCGCGCACACATCCCATTTGTTTTCCACGGCTTTCTCTTTCACTTTTCTAAGTGGCGGCTAGTGTGCTTGGAGTAACACTGATCGTGTAATGAGATCTGAGATCTTACTGTATGCTACACTGTGCATCTCAAGGCAAATGAGGCGGCAGCAGTTTTACCCTGGGGCCAAAGCAGAAGGCAATCCAGTTCAACCCCCTAATCCTACAAAAAACAATGAGTGCGCATTTCCTCCTTGCTCATGAATTCACACCTAAAATCCATCAACATGGTGCATGGAGGTTGTAAATGGTTCAAAGAGAAGGCCCAAAGATGCTTAAAATTGAAATGCTATTAAATGTTCAATTATACATTCCTTTATATGACTGATAATATTGCAGAGAGCAGTTAGCAGTTTTTCGAAGACAAACCTAAGAACTGCCTTGCTGGATGAGACCAATGGCCCATCTTTCTCTCACGGGGGTCAACCAGATGCCTGTGAGAAGCCCACAAACGAAACATGAGCACAACAGCACTTTCCCCACCTTGGATTCCCAGGAACCGGCATTCAGAGATATATTGCCTCTGACACTGGAGGCAGAACATAGCCATCATGGTTAGTTGCCAGCCAGATGCCTATGGGAAGTCCAAAAGGAGCTGCTGGCAAACAATCAGGATGCCTTGTGCAAATCTCACAGATCAGTTTGGCAATGCCACAGCGACTATGTATAATGAAGGATGTGAATCAGTGTTCTGGTTTTGACCTATAAAGTCTTAAACGGCTCAGGGCTGCAGTGCCTCGAGGACTGTCTGTCCCCTTATGAACAACTGACCCCAGACCCTGAGATCACCATCTGAGACCCTTCTTTGTGCGCTTCCTCCACAAGAGGTCCAGAGGGTGGCAGCACAAGAACAGGCCTTTTCTGCAGTGGCTCCCCATTTGTGGAATGCTCTTTCCTGGGGGGTTCGCCTGGCGCCTTCATTACGTATCTTTAGGCACCAGAAAAAAACATTTCCCTATAACCAGGCCCATAACATTCTATGTCCTTTAAAACGTGTCCTTTAAAATTTGTTTTGTTATGTTATGTATTTTGTGTTCTCATGTCGTACTTTTATGTTGTGATCTTCAGATGAAGGGCAGTATACAAATTTAATAACAAGCATTCTAGGGAGTGGACAGCTGTTATGTGATGAAGTCTCTTCAGAATACGTTACAAACCACATTGAACAAATTATCGTCATTTTGCCAGTCTGCAGCCAGCAAGGCAGTTTTCTCTGCAGTCTTCCTCAAAGCACTACCCTTCTCTTCCAGTAAGAAGGGAACTGAAAGCTTGTTTCTTAAGAGCTTCTTTAAATCAAGAGACCACATCCTTTCCAGCCACAACTCTGGGGGCTGGGGAAAGCGCGGTAAGCTTTGGATTAACCTTTACCGGTGCTGATTTTGCTTCCACCCCACTAAAGGTGCATTAAGATCCAACCCTTCCCCTCATTTCCTTTACTACAGGGTTGGGGAGCCTGTAGCCCTGCAGATGCTGCTGGACTAAAACTCCCATCATCCCTGGCCCTGCTGGCTGGAGCAGATGGAGTGCAACTAACTGCTGTAGAGCCACGGGCTCCCCACCCTGGTCGGCAGGTGCTGTGAAAAGATGTGTCATCCCAACAACCAACAGCAATCCTAGAAAGGCATTTTACCACTTTCTCTATGAGGTCCAGGGGAACCCACTCACCTTAGAGAAAAGGTTGAAGCAGCCGAGGCGACTCACCATGCAGTATACCTCAGGCAGTCGTTTGCCTTTCCCTTCTGGCTAAAAAGGCGACAAGAGCAGACCTTTAGGTGCAAAGCAGTGGAACGTGCAAGAAGAGAAGGCTAGACTGCTAAGGATCTCTCACGCTACTGTCACCTGAGCATCCCTGGTTTCAGCTTCTAAATAGTGCATCTTCCCTCCACCCTCCTTTTCCTTCAATATGCCAGGCTTAAGAATTATTTGTAACTGCTCAGGCATATAGCCTGCTAGCCACTGCAGTGGCACTCAAAGCCAATCCATCCACAGGACTGTGGACATGCACTCATCCTTCACCTGCAGCTGCAGAGCTTTCACGCTAGCATCCAAGACAGGGAGCTACTTACCAGGAGCTTCTTGCAATATCCGAACCAGCGGCTGCCATCCTCACCAGTCAGCACAAAGGAAAACGTTTCGCTGGGAAAGAGAGAAAAAAGTAGATTGCCATGTTGACTGAGCGAGCACAGCAGGAGTTAGCCTACCCTGCAGAGGGCCCCATCTTCACAACGTGAATTTCACTGCTGGGCATAAATGACACAGCGCTTATCCAGTTCCTAAATCTGTTTACAGCAGATATTTCATCAGTGTGCTGCCTTCCAAGATCTCCACCCACCCAGAAATGACCAGAACTGGCCGCCAAGAGATTACCTCCTTACCCCACCCTTGCTTGCAAGGGTCCCACTGGGGTAGGTAAGCAGTTCATGGTCAGCAATATCTAGGTCACTGCGACACTGCAGTGAATTGGGGGAAGGGTGGGCAGAAAGTAACAAGCAAATAAAAAGATTGCTAAAGGGCTGTAGTTTTGTTTGTGCTTTTAAACACTATTTTCAAGGTAGGGTATCTTTTAAAATAAAATTAAAAATCAAATAAATTTCTTCAACTAGCCAAAAGCACACACTTCCTAACGCATCTCAGTCTGAGAGCTGCAAAACCACATGAAAGGGGAGACATGTTGCCCTTACCAAGGGCAACCAACCCCACCCTTCAATGCTAATCACTTCTACTCCCAGGGTCACTATTCAGTCCTCAACAAGAGATACCCTAAGAGATGGAAAACCAGTAGCAAGGGACCTCGGGCCTGCAAGACCATTTCCCATAAGTCATGCCCAACACCTGGTGTCATCATTTGTTTATGTACTTGAACAATTTGTATACCACTTAATCAGTCATCTCCAAGTGGTCGGTGTACAGGAGACCCAATGCAATAAGACTAAAAATGTGTTAAATTTGTAATATCAGAATTCAGTTTAGAAGCCTGCTGGAAATGAAAAAAAAAAGGCTTCATTAAGCACTGGAAGTTCAAGAGGAAGTGACATCGGGTGTGGGGCGGGTTCCTGCCGAAAGGATGGATTATAAGGTGCCGCTGGCCTACTGATCATAGGCGCCTCTAAACCCCTGTGCCTTTGCAAACTGATTTCAAACCTCCTGGGCAAAGGAAGTGGGGTGTGAAGACATCAACAATCAGCCTGCTTACCCAGAGCTTTGGCCACACTGGCAATGAAACTGTTATGCCTGATATCATGGTGACATTGGGTAATTGACAGTTTGGTAGCCACACTGATCTGTCAAAATGCCACACAGGGGTTGGAGGAGGCCAGACCTGGGCCCACTGGCTAGGTCCAGTTCCCCACCGCTGCTCCCAAGTAATCCAGTTCTTAGCCTAGATTCTCACTAAATAAAAACAATCCATTTTACAGTCTCTCACCTCTTTGACTCTGATGTCGGGCACCAGTCTTTGGGGTCAGGAAAACAGAATTTGGGGATGACCTTTAGCCTCTCTTCAGTGTCCTTAGACTGCCGAAAGGGGTGGTCAGGCTGCAGAGGGAACACACGCCACGTCACTGAACACAGCCAGGCAAGCAAAGAGTTTCTCTCTGGATGCAGACATGGGGAACTATCCTCCAAGCACACCAAACACCAGCCCTGCTCCCACATCAATTTTTCATCCTCTCCTCTCCTCCAAGAGCTGCTTTTGACTTGAATACCTTGAAAAGGGTACCCCGCTCCCCCAAATAAAAATAAGTTACAATTTTTCAAAGGCAGAGGAACAGTTTCCAGGTATGATCAGATCAATTCTGCAGTAAGAGTATGCAGGTTACTGATTTCCTTCAGAATTCATTAACCAATTTGCAACAAATGTTTCCAAAGCAGCGCTCAATTAAAACATCAGAAAACAGAGTGTATAATAATAATATAAAATAGGCATATTAATATATACATGCCTTGCTATTTCCTGATTGATTTACAGCATGGTCTTCGTTGTAAAAAAAACACACCCCTGCCCACTCCAGTCTAGCTTGCTTTACTGTTGAGACTAGTAAAGGCTTTCCAGGAGCTTTGCTTCGCTGCAGACTCCCATGCAAGGGAGTGACTGGCACATTGTTTGGAAACAGCACTATTTTCGGAGCTGGCGATAGCCTGTAATCACTGTGCTCATGTTATAATCATTGCCTCGTAATTACTAGGGCAATGTTTCCTGCTGGATCCCAGCCTCAAAGACCCTCCCGTGCAAATCTTGTTAACATCCTACCAAATATCTCCCAGGCAGAGGGAAGGCTAGCAGACTGGCAGGGCGCCATCCACTTTGTCAGCAGTGGCACAAAGAGAAAACACACACACAGAGAGAGGTCATGGGAGGCGGTGGGATGTTGCTCACTGTGCCTCCTGAGCAATGTAGGCCAACACATCCCCCTCCCTGTTTTTGTTATCAACAGCAACCAGATGAAGTCAGCGCTGCTCTGGGATTACCATTAAAACTCAGTTGCACTTCCTCTCTCTGTCTGTGGGATGCCCCCAGCAGCACAGCACTAGAAACTGGTGCATGTTTTGCCCAAACAAAGCTGAGCTTCTTTTCTGGCTCTCTGGCAAAGAGCTGAGCAATCGTTCAAGCCCAGATTTTGCACAGGGACTTGGGCACAGCCAGCTAGGTCAGCACTTGGGCATTTCCTCTAGACCACAGTCCAGCAGGCAACGTTTCAGCCTGAGGACGGAAATACATGTTGCTCCCCAATGCATGTAAACATGTAAAGCCCAAAGGTTGCTTTTCTTAGGCGGGAGTTTTGGACTGGGAGGGGGGATGGAACTGGAGAGGGAGAATTTAACCCTTTCTCTGCCCCCAAATCAATTCTCCATCGAAGCTGCTTGCATCGCAACACCTCTGTCAGATTCCAGATGTACTTTTGAGGAAGCAAGCATGCATTTGAAACCACATTTTAAAAATATGTATTTTGGAGGTCCAATTTATTTCAGGTGATGTAGGCCATCTTTGAGTGTTTTAGAAATAAAACTGAAAGATGGGGTTAAAACATCACTTACAGATAGATAGACTAGAGATTTATAGAGGTTTATAGGGAAATGGTTTGCATCTCCCTCCTGAAGCTGCATTTTTTAAAGAAAAGCAGCTGTTGGACTCTTTTTGCACATATTTTGCATATGAAATGCAATTAGGCTCCAAGGATGCTCCAGTTCCTGAGGGGCCCTAGGACAAATCCCGATGACTGCCACAAAATCAATCTCAATTACCCACTGCGCTATGGGCCTTTGATAAGTCTCATTCCCTTACAAGTCATTGAGACTACACAGTGGAATTATTTTAAGAGATACAAAAACGTCAACCAAGGACTCACAGACCAGCTAGTGTACTTGTGCTTCTATTCATCTCAGTGTGTATTATACTGCTACAACAAGAGCAAAGGGGCTCACAATACATATTCACAATAACATTAAGCTCTGGACAGTGGAGACAGACATCCGCATTGCTATGCCACTCACCTTGCTAGGAAACTGCTGTATAATCTGTGGGGTGTATGTTGCATCTGATGGCTTCTTCTGTAGTGACACCACCACAAAGAGCTCAAAGAGCTGCTGCTCCTGGAACTCGATGAGGTCCCGCTCCAGAGTCTGGTAGTGTGGATTTCTCTTGGACTGAGCCTGTACCTGCAGCAGGCGCTTATGGCGACCTAAAAAAGACAAATGACCTCTTAACTGCTAAAGCCTTTTATCCTGAGTGAAGGAAGGGGAGGCAGCAACAGAGTGGAAGAAAGTTGAATGGTTAGGGGCAGATTAGCCAACATGGTGCCCTCCAGTTCTTGTCCAACTCCATCTCCCATCAGTCCCACCCAGCATGGCGAAAGCTCAAGGATTATGGGAGCTGTAGTTGGGCACACATTTGGAGGGCAATACATTGACCTGGCCTGGATTAGGGAATTTACTCAAGGTCATGCAGACAGTCAATGATAAAGTTGGGAACGAGGCAAGCTCTGTTCTCCTGCATACCAGTAAAGGTTGGGAGGAGCAGTAAGCAAGAGACAGCTTGGTAGCAAATTATCTACGCTGCCCAATATGAGGCAAAACATACTAACATCTGAAAGCTACAGCACAAGGACAGAACTGGTTTCCTCCTCTCCACCATAGTGAGTTATCACAAAGCATCCCATTCTGAATGGGATTGGAGCAGTATTCAAAACTGCACCAACTGCAGTGACTTAGGCTTCATGTGGCCTGCATGTAAAAAGTTGCACTTCCTTTATTCCAAACCTGACTCCAATGTCTTCCCTCCCCACCTCTAGCACCTAAGAGAGGGTGCTTATCTGAGTACCCACACAAGACAGTTTGCAGGATGGATGGAGACATGACTTGACATTGGTGGGCACTACTGAAGTGTGTCCATGCTAGGCTACAGGCAAAGCTTTGCAGGCATGGAGAACAGGAAATGCTGGTGTGTCCAGAGCCACTGGTGCCAGCTAGAGCAGATGAGTCATGACACAGATCCAGTTTGGAGCCTGTTGCTCTAGTTGTTCTTCCTCCAGTGCTTATATGCAAGCCTGGGATAAAGGGCCAAACTCATTATGTATAATCTCACTCCAGTTACTCCTTTTTTCCCAGCAAAGGGCGTTTCACAATCTTGCAGGACCATACAGAGTACAGAAATGAATGGGCTAAAGAGGCGACACTGGAGATGCCTTTGGGAGGGGCGTGTGACCAGCCTCTTAATATATTTTACCACAAGAAGTTCAGTGACTACTTCGTAGCACCATGGAACTGGAGAGAAGCAGCCTCTGCAGCATCTAGATGCCCTAACTCTAACCTTTTTCTTTACGGATGTCTTCTCTTCACCTTTGGAAAAGGACACAGCTGCTTTGGATGGAATCTATTCCCTAAAAGAGTTGGGTTTTTTGAGGGGAAACCTCCCTCCTTTGAGGGAACTCATTCCACACTGGCTTATGTGCAGCGACACCCATTCATGCCTGCCATGGGATTACCAGGTTTCTCAGAGGATTCTGGTCCACTTTCAAGGTTTATGCGGAGCAACAGCTAAGCTGGTTGGGCTTTGATGTTGCCCTGTAAAAATCAAATGTGCCCTAGAACATGTCAAACAGTCACTAGGGAGAGGCTATCCTTTGCAAGAAAATAGTAATAATGACAGACAAGCTGTCTTTCAAGAAAGCCTTCCATAGTTGCTGATTTTCCCATCAAGCACCTGGAACTCCAGAGTTCATGAGGACACAATTTGAAAGCCACCACCTGAGCTCTAAACATGCCCACTTCCTTCAGATATTTTTTTCCTGTTAGTCACCCCAATCCTTATTCTCTTCACTGGGATCCTAGGCATGAAGTCCTCATGCCAAAGTTTTAGTAGATATAGCTCCCAAGCAAGCTATGCTCTCCCCGGTGCTGGAAGAAATATGCATTCCCTGAGCTCCACAAGCAGCCAGGAATGGGGAACCGGTGGCCCTCCAGTTGTTAATGGTCTACAGCTGCCACCATCCTTGATGGCCAACCTGGCTGGCTGGAGGTAACATGAGTTGGAGACCAACAACATCCAGAGGGCCACAGCTTCCCATGCCTGCTCTAAGCATTCATAGTGAGCCCATTTTGCCACAAACAAATGGTCAATATTCCAAATACTCAAATGGTTCACAGAAGCTATATGCAGCCTGGCCATTTCTAGTAAATATACCAGCAGGTGATCCAGCAGCTATAATTATGCCCCATGAGCTGGCTCAGCCCTTGTGACTCACTCACTTTTTGGCAGATTCTCCGGTTCACTGTCATACCCATTGGTTTCACCTGAAACGATAGAGAATTTCCATCAGAATTTGCCAGCTGGGTGGGAATAGGAAATGCTGGAAGGCAATTGACGTGCTGATGATCCATCATGGGCCTAAGGGCACCAAAATCTGGGCACAGGTGCAACATCTGGCAAAAGCATCTGCTGCCACACACACTCCAAGTGTTAAACAAAGCAAATAAAACTCATCATATGGTTTCGAGGAGGCATCTTCCATGTTGTGCAATGTAAGGAAGCATCACCATAAATTGTTTAGCACTGCTAGGCAACTTGACAATGCTGATTTGCAAAATGCAGGTCACACAAAGAACACATGGCTCTTTTCTAGGCAGTTAAGCACATGCTGGGAAGAAAAGCCGCATAGAAAAACGTAGCAGCACAGTTTTTTAAAAATCAGGGACTACTTTATTCTTCTGCAATTTTAGTACAGAACCTTCTACATTAGCCTAAGGTCATTAGAGGAAGGGCAGGATAAAAAAGGAGTAAGCAAATATTAAACATACTCAAGAGTTGGCAAGTACATGCTTATCCCCACCAATGTTTGGATATCTGACTGGTAGAACTTTACATAACTCAAAATCTATACCTCTGGCTGGAGAAACTTCTTTTCCTGTCTGGGCCACCAACTTCACCCTCTTCTTCCCTCGTTTGGAGTCAAAGATTTCCTGAATCTTCAACACAAGCTGAAACCCAAAAAACAAAGTGGAAATCAAGAGGGGCCACATGTCTCCCAAGTATCCAGACAAGGACTGTAAAAGCTGGCCACTCACAGAGCCATGTTGGAAAATTTTGAGGGGGGCAGCTACCAAACCCATGTCAAGGATGATCTGATCCATCTAGAAGGCAAACTGAATCATCTGACCTCCAGAAGAAACATACAAACGTGTAATTGAAAAGGATAACAAGGGATGTATATGGACACTGCATATACATGCCACTAGGAGTCCTGACGTGGGCCTGATCTTGGGACCAGGTCACAGGGAGAAGTGAAACCTGTGAGCCACTAGAGAACTTCCCACAGTACTCTGTAGCATGAAGTGTTTGTTACATCTAAGTCTTGTGCAAAGGCACATTCAATTCCATGAACAGAGACCCAAGATTCATAACATAGGTTGGGTTGGCTTTCCAAAGGTGTGCCTATTTAGAGGATCAGGAACATAAAAATCTATATTCATGCTCCATTACAACCATGTTCACCATTCTAGAACCTGATTGGTCATGCGCTACTGCTGAGAGGGAACCACTGATGCTCTAGCCCCCTCATGCATCACTGCTGGCCGCGATCCAACAATGTCTGGAGGGCCACAGATTCTCAAGGAAATGGCAGCAAGGGACCTCCCTTGCCAGGACTGAGGAACAGTTTGGTCCTGGAAATGAAGGGAAGGACTGACCCTTCAAATAAAAGAGAGGGGAACATAGTTCCATATCTGGAGGCAGGCAGGCAGGCACTTAGCTACTGGGTGCCCCTTTTTTGAGTTACCTACTTTATGTTGTTCTAAAAAAAACCATGCACTAAGAGATGAGTGGTGGTGGCAGCAGCAGCCAAGCCCATCCAGCTCCATGTGTAGTATCAGGCGTCTCAAGCCACAGGCAGACAGAAAGCTCTTTGGCTCAGCATGTCAAGTCATAACCTGCTGGCGCTCTCATCTCCTGCGGAACTGCTTTGCTGCCTGAAAGGTGCGGCACGCAGGCCAAGTTCCCTCTTGCCCGGCTTGAAGAATGCATTCTACATTCCAAGCACAGGCCACAGGGTGGGGACCAGTCGTTCCCATCACCACCAGCAATGCACAAGTGCAAGAGGCAAGCGCCAGGTAAATCCGCTCACAGTCCCAACCCTTTCCCTGACCTCAGCAAACCCAAGCAGGGTCAGGCGGGCAGAGGAAGAAGGAACCGCAGGAGCAATCTGCTCGGCTGCCCCTGGGCCAGGGCAGTGCACAATGGCGTGCAGCACAACCCGAAAGCACGGCTGCCCTTTTGCAGGAAGCACTGCACTTCCTCCATCCATTTCCTCCTGCCTCTCTTCCACTCCTGCAGAGTTTTCCCAGGGTTACACTGGTGTTTGTTGAGACGAAACATGCAAAATGCCAAAGGGGAAAAGGGGTGTGTGTGTGCATGAGACTTTCCACAGCTTTTTGCCACGGAAGCACTGTGATTTGGAAACGTTTTTCCCTGCCACACACTTTCTAAGCCAGCTGCCACAAACTCTGGCAGTCACAGGGCTGTTACATTTGTCAGCAGCTTCAAGAACCCAGGAAAAGTGGTTGAGAGCTGCAGATATGGCGTCAGGATGCTGGAACGTAGCACATGCTTCTCTGGTGGGGTTGACCAAGATTCTTTGCCACAGTGTGTTTGGGCATCACTCCAGCAATCTTGTGAGTTCAGAGTGAGAGAACAACATGCATTTTCCCTGTCAGTAAATTACTCCTTTACGTTTGGAGGCTGTTTAGGGGGTCTTTGTCTGACAAAGGGCACTCATGTGGGACATTTCATCATTCCTCTTGGCACAGCGTTTATAATCATCTTTGCACACTCCAAGAAATGCTGATGTGTAACACTTGGAAAAGGCAACAAGTCTGGCCTGGGGAATATGCTAGCCTTCCCTCCTCCTACCCCCAATTCCCTCTGCCACAGAAGAAAGAGATTTCTACTAGGCTGCGTGGGCTGGCTCAGTCCTTTAGCCTAAAGTAGATGCCAGAATTGGGAGCTTTTATTGCTCAGGTCCCTAGCTTAGACAACAATATCTGAATCACATCTTTTTTTGCAATGCTTTCTTACTGTAGGGTTACCAAGAGAACTGGTGTGTGTTGTGCACTGATTTTTTAAAAATACAGATGTATGCGAGGCGATATAAAAAGACCCCTGGACAGGAGTCCAATTTCTCCAGTGCGTAGGCAGCATCAGAAGCGAATCTTAGTTTGCCGACTACACCAGTCATGCATCTCTGTTACTCACTCACCCACGGGAGGGAGCGGCAGGAAACACATCAGGAAAATGATATTCAAGTTTTATGGAACTGTCTCATTCCTAATAAACTGCTCAGCAGCTTTAAGCCACAAAACACTTTGGAGGTTAAAATGTTAAATCCGGAGTAAGCCACTCCAGAGGAATAAGCTACATGAGTCTAGGCAGAATAAAATGAACTCAGGATCATACTGAGCCTTTACAAGCAGCATTGATCACTTGTTTAAAATCAGAATTAAACTTCCAAAGTGAATGGGGGTTAGCTGCGTATTAACTGCACGTTGCCACATACTGCCTGTGCCCACTTGCTAATCAGCCTGAATTATGCACAGCAGGACAGCAGCATCCAAATAAACAAAGGAGTGGAATTAATTCAGGCATGGGCTTCCACAAGGAGGACTAGCTAGCTGAATGTTGCACCTAGGTTTGAACTAGGTTCAAATCACTGCTCAGCATTGCTGCAGAGGAAGGGTGAAGATCTCCTCGTGCTCAGGACCATTCCCAGAGCTGAGTGGTGTGGTGCATGAGCAGGGAAAGAAAGAAAAGACTCTAGCTCCTCTTGCTGCTTTCCCCCTGGGGGGAACCCCTCAAAGTTTTGAATTGTGCTTCCTCACCCGAGGTAGATTCTTCCTCTTCCTGCTTCCAGCCTCGCCTGCTTTGAAGAACTTCCACTCCGTCAGCGTAACAGGTAGAGTTGTGTCCTTTGGCAGCCTCCCACGCAGGCAGATCCTTGTGGTCTTTAGCTCCAAGGTTTTGCGGTGAAGGAAGTGTGGCTTCGGGGGTAGCTGCACAAACCCCAAAATAAAATAAAAACATGGTTGAGAGTGAAAAGGTTTCACTAGGAAAGTGATTCCCACTAAGCTGAATGTGGGCAGACACCAATAATGAACAAGAATTCTGCAAACAGGCTGCCTGCTTTTTATGGTAGTGACAATGAAGTAGAAGTGTCTAACAGGAATGGGAACAATCCCTGGTTTGGAGAAGAGCACAGGCCGAAAAGTCCCCTTAGTTGAGCAGTGGGGAAATCTAATTAGGCCTGCCTCCTCTTCCACCGCCCGTCCAATTCTCCCGATTTACACACCTGTGCATTTAGCAGGTGTTTAGCTTGGTGACTGTCCTCTTCCCCTAAAATCATTTGGGGGCAAAATAGCAGCTAACACAATCTCCCTGATTTGTCACTGGAGAAGCAGGGGGTGGGTGTCATTTCAAGTCAGTTATAATGGGAACCATGGACACAGGCTTTAAGTGCCTGCCAACACCTTTTCTTGGCTCCTCAAAAGTTGTTGGAACTCCAATCAGCCCCAGCCAGCAAGACCAACACTTCAGGGCTGGAGGGCCACAGGATGGGAAAGGCTAGCATTGTGAATGCGCCTCAGGCTCATTCCTTCACAAGTGGGAGAGATGGAGAGGAAGCGTCAGCTTTCAGTCTTGAACAAATGCACTTCCCTATTTTATAGGTGGTAAAAGCACAGTGAGTAGGAGGTCTGAAAAGGGAAGCATACACAGGTGCACATGTTTAGGCAACAAAGTGCCTCCCCTGCACTGCTACAAAGACCCGTGTGGTGCTGTAGATACTGGGCATATGGTTTAATCCCCAGGCAGCACAAGCTCCCCTCCACAAAAGAGTACCCTAGCGCATGTGTGTGGAGGTATGCTCCTAACCCACAGATCGTGAATGCGCTTCAGCATGCATGCACAAATTTTCCCCTTCCTCTTTTGTTCACCGCATGGGGAGTGCACAGTATTGTCTTCGGACAAGGAGAGATCAAGCTAATGCTAACACAGCATAGCGAAGCAGCATTTTACTCTCTAATGGTGAATTCACACACATGTGCAATCTTCAGTCGATAACTGTCAACAGTGGTGAAAGCCACAGTGTCACAGGTTTGCAATCACCCCAAACACACAAAACATTTCAATGGAAGCAGTTCAAACACTTAGAGAGCCAGTTTGGTGTAGTGGTTAAGAGCAGTAGTCTCGTAATCTGGTGAACCGGGTTCGCGTCTCTGCTCCTCCACATTCAGCTGCTGGGTGACCTTGGGCCAGTGACACTTCTCTGAAGTCTCTCAGCCCCACTCACCTCACAGAGTGTTTGTTGTGGGGGAGGAAGGGAAAGGAGAATGTTAGCCGCTTTGAGACTCCTTAAGGGGAGTGATAAAGCGGGATATCAAATCCAAACTCTTAGCTGAACGCCATTGAGTCTGTGCATGTCTGAACTTATTCCATCTTAGTCAACTGAATTCCTGTGAAATGCAGGGACAAAATCCAGCCTTAGGTGGGGATGCAGAGAACAGACATTGAGAAATGGGCCTTCACCTTGGGAGGCTTGATGGTGCTCCGGGCAGGAGGCAGCTTCCAAGCAGAGGGGATCCTCCATAGAGGCTTCACTTTGATGTCTTCATACAGGTTCTCCTTAGCAGGATCTAGGAAAAAGGAGTATCATGAAGGAGAGAGGCAGAATACCAACATGCTTGCAACAACAAAAGGCACAAACTGGGACCATGTCTACAGCAGAGAAACAGAACCTCTGACCCAAAAGCCAGTCCTGGCCCACCAGGGGTTCCAATTCAGCCCACAAGGACCATTTTCCAGAACCACAGCCACCTGTCAATCAGCTGATGGCAGAGGGGTGAATTCTACCTTGTTCTGCTACGCAAGCAAGTTCACCACAGGGAACTCATGCACAGAGCCAGTGGCTGCAGATAGCAGGTTTCAGCTCACCACCTACTGGTTGATGGGGGGGCGGGTTCAGTCCTGCTGTGAAGCTGAAGCCCAACCACACAGGCAAAACTTGGCAGGTGGGAGGGACAACCCACCTGTCATTAAGATGTCAAAGGTCATGCACAGGATTTTCTTGATACAACAGACCAATGCAGCTACTGTTTTGAAAATGATTACTCTCTGGCTTTGGTATGCTACACACACACACACACACACACACACACACACACACACAAACACACAAACCAAAACATCAGAAATCTATCAATTTGTTCTCAGAGAGCTGAGAGGAAAACATCCTTTCCCCAAAGCTGTACAACCAGGAAAAGGCTCCTGAGAATACATCAATTATTTCTATCAAATAAAATGTGGCCCTTCAAATTGTTCTGAAACTACACAGAAATGGGGTGGGGGAGAAGAGACACTTAAAAAGAAAACAGGAAAAATAAGGAGGAAATGAACAGGACTGAAGGAACTCTGATACGATGGAAGAATGGGGCAGCTTGAGGAGGTTTGGGGGCTGCATAAAGTGGCATTAGGGCCCATAGGATGCCTACTTGTGAACTAATAGAAAGGAAATGGGGAGGAAGAAAGCACAAAGCAGCAGCATGCTCTGCAAATCCCCACACCCGCTTTTCTTCAATTTGCTGTTTTGCAGCAGAGAAGTGGTTTTTGATATCGCTCTACAAACAGGCATCTATAAACATGTTCAACAGGTCAGCTTCAAGGTAGTACAATTCATTTCCTCCAAGTGAACTTTGCAACATACCAATAATGTCCTCATAGAGGTTGTCCTCCGATTGCGTGCAATAGAGGCGGACACTTGTGGTGCCATTCAATTCTTCATGGAGCTTTTGGTACTCCATGGCTGCTATCCGGTTTCGGTAACCTTGGATGTCCTCAAATTCAAAGGACTTTCTGCAAACAAAGCATAGAGTTGCCTTATCATCACACAAGCCTCACAAGCAATAACATGCCCATCTCCTATGTTTTGTTAAAGGGCTGCTGCCCCTGTCTAGAGCTGACTGAAATGTTTGTTTTCCTTTTGGAGAATTTTCAGCATAAAACTGCTCTTTTAGAAAAAGTAGTATTATGCAAGTTTTCAGAAAAGCTCCGTCTTCAGTTCTTCTCCATTCAGAACGTATAAAGACAATAGAAAGGGGTGAGATCATTTTTAACATAATTTCTCTCAGAAATTGTTTTTCATGCCTTAAGGCAGTGATGGGGAAACCTGTTCCTGCCCCAGGAGTTGCTGGACTCCCATCAGCCCCAGCCAGCATGGCCAGTGGGCAGGCATGATGGGAGTTGTAGTCCAACATACATCTACATTTGAACATATGGATTGTAATAGTCAATTTCATCTAGACAACTATTTAGACTGATTATATTAATGTATACTAAAACAGGAATGCTGAAATACTCTTACTGTGGAAAGTCAGCTGGAAATTTGTTTTTGTTCTTTAATCTATCCCCCCCCCCCCCATTTTTTCTGTTACAATTGAAAACAGAAAAATTGAAAGGTGGGGGAGAACCTTTCTGATTTCCTGATGATGGAAGAATGAATGGGGGGAACTGAGAGAAGAGTATGCTTAGCTGTTCCCTAAGATGGGGGAAACCGCAATGATTAGGAACAGGACTTGCTACAATGAGCAATATCCACCACGGAGCGGGTGGTGCTGTGGTCCAAACCACTGGGTTTCATGGGCTTGCTAATTGGAAGGTTGACGGTTTGAATCCGCACGACAGGGTGAGCTCCTGTTGCTCTGTCCCAGCTTCCACGAACCTAGCAGTTCAAAAGCACGCCAGTGCAAGTAGATAAATAGGTACCACTCTGGCAGGAAGGTAAACGGCATTTCCGTGTGTTACGTTGCACCAGAAGCAGTTTAGTCATGCTGGCCACATGACCCGGAAGGCTGTCTGTGGACAAACGCCAGCTCCCTCAGCCTGAAAGCGAGATGAACCCCATAGTCGTCTTCGACTGGACTTAACCATCCAGGGGTCCTTTACCTTTACCTACTTTCATAAGAGGAACCAGAGAGATCAACCTGGCACCCACCTCTTGGATCTGCTTCGGATTCCTCTGCTGACCACTCTCTGCCCAGTGTCATGGGAGGTTGAGGCAGGACAGCCACCATTAGACTGACGTTCTGGCGCCTTCCTCTCGGCATAGCCTCCATTAGGGCAATCTGTGTGGTCCTTCTCAGACAGGTATCGGAAAGTCCTTCGTGGTTTGGGTACCGGATTGATAGCTGGCCGCCCCTCCTGGCCTTCAACGTCACAGTAGATGTTCTCCAAGCTCTTTGTTGGAGCCAGGTTCAGCTCCTTCTCTGTTGAGCCACAGCTTTCCCGCTTCCTTTTCAGGTCCAAAGCCAGAGCGAGGACTTGGTCGGGAGGAAGGGCTTCTATCTGTTTCCACAGCTCCCGTGAGGTGTAGAAGTTCCCTGGAGGGAGCCTCTCCCCCTGCCAGTCCGCCTCATCCTCTCCTTCAGATATAACACCATTGGGGAGCTGCTCAACCAAGGGGCTCTCTGGAGCCTCTTGGAGCCTCTCCTCTTCCTCCTCAGTCACACAGCAGAGGCGAGAGTTTTCCCGGAAATCTAAGCCAAGGCTCTGAATGTTTGCTAGTCCTTCTGAATGCCTGCTGTGCCCAAGTCCCACCGTCTGTCTCCTGCTCTCTTGACCATACTTGACCCCAAAGTCCTGGGGCTTCTGTCTTTCCTCCTGGCAACCCCCTTGAGTCCGACCCTCCCACTGAGAAATCTTTTGTTTTATGTTCCGGCAGTGGCTACGAGACAGGGTTTGCACAGCAGTGCGGGAAAAGCCAGGATCTGTGCTGCCCGTGGGGTGCATGGCAGGCAATGTAAGTTCACATCACAGCACGTTGCCTCCCAGTTGCAGTGAGTGAGATTTGTAATTCCAGAGTCAAGATGCTGAGGGTTTCCAGTCAAATCCAGTTCGGAAAGTAATCCAACAACTGTGCTGAAAGGGGAAACATATTCTGATGGCACCCTGAAGAAAAAGAGAGAAACGGGACATCCATCAGAAGGGGTGCAAAACGTATGCTTTGGACACCATCAACCAGTCCATCCTTCAGGTGTCACAAGACACTCTTGGTTTGTTGGTTTGTTTAAATTACTCCAATGGTCTTTCTTGCAGGAAACCCAGATTTCCAATTGAATGTACACCTGACCTGGAATTCCAGCCTGCCCCAGCTCTCTGACAAGTGTACAATCCACATGTTTGCCTTGTTCACACATTATATATTTTTAGGTATACCTTAAAAGCTTAAGCATATACCTAAATAACCAAACCAAATGTGCGCCTCTGCACATAAGGTAATAACTTCCTGAGCATGAGCAATAAACGGAAGTCTAACATTCCCAAGCTGTGTCAGGTATTGGTTTTGAATACCTCACCCATTTCAGCTTCCCTCAGATCTAGAAATTAAGCAGCCAGGTGAAACTCTGCACCCAGCCACCTTTCGTAACTATTAACTATATATTCAACCCTTTTAATGAATACAGCACTTAGCATTTTGAAACGTCATTATTATTCTCATTTTACAGAATGCTTCTATGTTCCTTTTGCTGTTACAACCTATCGGGTGCTCTTACTGTGAAGGTATTTATGCAAAAGCCTTTCTTCTTTCAATCCAGGAAGTAAAGAGAATAGAATGTGAAAAGGGAGAGGGCAAAGGGGGAAAAAATGAAGCTTCTGGCTAGTTCACTGCATATTATTGGGTGGCTGCAGAACTGAGGGCAACATAAAGAGAGCCTGCTGAAAAGACCAGTGGCCTGTCTAGTCCAGTATCCTGTTCTCACATTGGCCGAGCAGATGCCTATGGGAAGTCTGTAAGCAGCACCTGAGTACAACACCACTTTCCCACTTGTAATTCTCAGCAACTAGCATTCAAGGGCACACTGCCTCCAACAATGGAGGCAGAATATAGCCAGGGAATTGCATGGGGGGGACGGGACTGCAGCCCATGGTCTAATTTGGGGGGGGCAATAGGGGGGAGCCCAGAGGGAGGGTAGGCAAGAAGTGGGATATGGAAGAGAGAAGCTGAAAGGAGATGGGGGGCAGTGGCGTAGCGTGGGGGGTGCAGGGGGGGCCGGCCGCACCGGGCGCAGCATCTGGGGGTTAGGGTTAGGGGGCGCAAATCCACGGGTTAGGGGGCGCAAATCCACGGGTTAGGGAGTGCAAATTACTTGCCTTGCCCCGGGTGCTGACAACCCACGCTACGCCACTGGGGAGGGGGGCGGAATTCTCTGCAAGGAATCAATTCATACCACTGGCAAGAGTGATCTGTTCCTCTCTTGGCAGCCTGCGAGGTGGGGAAGGCAGGAGATAGAAGGAAAGAGACACACAGAGAGAAGGGGGTTTCAGAAAGAGAGAGAAGGGGTGGCCCCACTCACTCCTTTTTGGCTCTGCCCCACCCATGCTCACTCCAGCTCTGTCTACCACTGATCCTCAACAGGAGGGGGGTGGGAGGAAAGCAGTGGGAAAGCAGCAACTCTGCCACCATCAGATTTTGGGGATCTGAACCACCATGGTTGAAAGGCGACTAAGTTACAACAGAACGAGCTGCAGCCCCAGAGTTTGCACAAGTGCTTATGCTTGCTTGGACTGGACAGGGTTTTCCTCAGTATGAAGTCCCACCACAACCACAGTCTTCTTTTGCTCAGCAACACTCAGCACACTTGCTGAAAAGATGAACAAGGCCTCCCGAGTCCCAAGGCACAGCTGGAGGCTGATGCTGTCTGTATTTCACAAACAGGAAAACAGGTCGAGACAGTGATGCAACCCACCCACTGCCACTGCAGGCGGAGGTGGCAGAGGTGAGTCTTGGACCCAACAGAGCTGGTTCACAGGCTTCTGTCTGCCCCACACCCTGCATGGTGATGACAGGGCGATTGCTGTGTTTTCCCATCATTTGCACAGGTGGGTGAAAGAATCCTCCCAGGCCCAGTATTGCTTCAGATCCCAGTAAAGATCCTCTGAAGGCTGCCCAAGATGCTCTTGTAAGCCCTTAAGGTAAAGAAACTGAAGAAAGAGCACCAGGTGTTCTGGGGTTTGCTACAGCATACTTACCGGTACTAATATATATCTTTGTGGTTGCACTCTCCAGGGCAGTTGCACAACACTGCAGGAACAAAACACCCATAATATTTTCCCATCTCCATAGGACAAGACCAGGGCAAGTGTTCTCTGACACCAGCAAATAAACAAACAACAACAACTGCACCACCCACCAGAAGTGGCATAAACCAGCAGCAGAGGTCTTCAAGCCAGCAGCCCTTTCTCTGCTCACAGAGCTACCAGGTTGTTACCAACACTCAAGAGAGACCTGGAGGGGGAACTGAGCAAAGCCTCAGGTGCAGAAAGGTTCCTGCTTTCAGAGACTTCAGGAGTCACAGATCACGTTTCCAGGCTTCCCTCTTTAACCGGGAGCTCTAGAAACTTGTACAGATGAGAGCTGACGATGGGGGTTCTAAAATGGCAAAGACCCTCAGCATTTTCCTTAGGATGAGCCATGGTTAATTTAGTCCTGATTAGGACAAGGGCATCAGAGACAGTGGGAGCTATCCAGTCTGTGGAGAACTCCTTGCACTGAATTTTAGTTTTACTTTTCAACAAGCATCCCACACCTACCCATACTGCTGCCCACATTGCTGCCCAGTGCTTTGACCCAGATGGAAATGCCCACCATTTTGCAAGACCCACCCTGACAGGCAAAGAAAGCCCTTCCCCTCCTCCATCAGGCTGTGCTGTTTTGCAAAGCAGCTTCCTTCCAGGGTTTCAGGAGGTTCCTTTCCAGTCCTACGCAGAAAATTACTATAAATAGGCCTGCCTCAAAGCATCCTGAGCATCTGGGAGTCGGCCTCTTCCACACACCCTTGTGTGGCCTTGATTAGCAGCAGCAACAATGTGGCCACTCCCCAAAGTAACAGGCTGGCACTGAGTGATAATTCTCCCCCCCACCCCACCCCAAAGGAACAGCTGCTGACATCTCTGGAGGTCATGGAGCCCAAGAGAAGCAAGGGGGTCTGGCAAGCTGGGGTGGCGGTGGGAGAGAGACTATGAATAAAGGAACCCAAATAGCGAGAAAACAAGATTGCCATTTGTTCTGATTCAGCGGTAAGGCATGGGTTTTCCCTAGAGAAAGCGCCTGCACACAAAAAACCACCACACACTCAGACACAGAGCTTTAAAGCCCACACCTGTGCCTAGAAACGTGGCACAAAATGAAGACTGGTTAATCTATACACTCAGCAAAACCAGGTGATCTTTCAGAGCCTGTACCATTTCATACTGGGGGAATGGGTGTCCTATCAATGTGTTATGGTTTCCTCATGCAAAAAAATACTCATCCACTTTTAAAAAGAGGGGTAATTCACGCAGTTTGGCATCAGGAAATATGATGATATATCTTTCTGTGTAGAAGAGATTTTTGTTTTTACATGTGGGAGCATTCAGGCATGCTGCTTGAGCTTGAAGTGCTTACAGTAGAGAAAGAATTTTATCATACGTTGTTGTTTTGCTGAACACGTAAGTTCTGCTCTCTCACCCCATCCTATTCTGTTGCCTCCCCTCCCAACTGTCCTTCTCTGAAGGGAAGCAGCCTCTAAAAGATGGAAGCAAGCATACCAATTCAGCAAAGGCATCCTACAGCAATTTCCAACTATTACTATCATGGAGGTGATTCTGCCATGCTGACATCTTCAGCGGAGTCAAAGAAGGTTCCGTAAGCATTTGAACCTGCTGTTAGTCAGACCTCCCACTATAGATAATCCCTGATAATAATTCATCGGTCCCCATTAGGCAGTTGCCCAGGGTCCAAAACCAGAAACAAGCCTGATTAAGGGGGCGGGGAATCCTGTAAGACTTAATCAGGGAAGCAGCACTCTCTCCTACCGAAACACCCCATGCAAATGGTATCTCTACCCCCACATTACCTCAGCAAACATGACCTTGGAAATATGTATTTGTCAAGATAATACGTAGTCTGAGTCTCAGCTCCATCCACCCACATCTGCAAAATGGGAATAATTACACTGGCCTACTTTATAATGCTCTTGTAAGGATTTTTAATGTGTGATATTTTAGTGTATTTTTGGTTTCTGTGGAAGCCGCCCAGAGTGGCTGGGGAAACCCAGCCAGATGGGCGGGGTACAAATAATAAATTATTATTATTATTATTATTACTAAGCTAATGTACATCAAACAGCTCAAGCACTTGAAAGCAGGGGAGGCTGGGGGGGGCTGTGCTCTTCCAGGTGTTGTTGGACTACCGCTCACATCATTCTTGATCATCAGCCATGCTGGCTTAAGCAGTTGGGAGTCCAACAATATCTGCAGAGCCACACGTTCCCCACCCTTGTCCTAAAGTAAATATTAAGTATTTTTATCAGTATCATCATCAAAGGTTGAAAAGCAATGTGAAATAAAGGAAAACATATGCTACATTACAGGGACAGTGCTCTTCATGTGTAATAATTAGCTCTCCCTGCATACCTACAGTGATATAAATGCAGTTGAGTGGTGGTAATTACTATGGCTTAAACACCAGTGTGGATCTTTGTTAACTTATCTTCTGATTGGAGCTGAGCGTGAGAAGCTGAGTCAAGTAGTAATACCATGTAAAGCAGGTTCAGCTCCTACAGGTTGCAGCACATCACACAGGTAACAACTCAGGACATCAATTTTTTAAAAAATAATGTGATATAGCCTCATAGATCTTGTGCAAAAACAAGAGCTGCCACATCTGTGTTCCATATGAGCCTTACAGTTTCAGAGCTTAGCTTTGCATGGGGCTTGATCCAGTGCAAGTGGCCTGCACCACACTCTCAAAGAACTCGGCAAGAAAGGGGAGCCTTTCTTCTCACTGAAATATATTTAGACCTTGATCCTCTCCTACTTGCCACCAAAATATGTTACTTCAGTTTCACCAAGAAAACTGAGGGTCTTCCTTGTTCAATAATGTTGTCAAAGACAAAGCAGCAGCAACATTCATACACATACAGTAATTCTACTGAGAATACACACAAGCCAGCTACGACTGTTTTTCCCCATCCCAATTAACTATATCGGTTTAACACCACTATATTTTCTTAATATAACACTACTATATTTGCAACTAATCCAGAATGCGGCAGCTAGACTGGTGACTGGGGGCGGCCGCCGAGACCACATAACACCGGTCTTGAAAGACCTACGTTGGCTCCCAGTACATTTCCGAGCACAATTCAAAGTGCTGGTGTTGACCTTTAAAGCCCTAAACGGCCTCGGCCCAGTATACCTGAAGGAGTGTCTCCACCCCCATCGTTCTGCCCGGACACTGAGGTCCAGCGCCAAGGGCCTTCTGGCGGTTCCCTCACTGCGAGAAGTAAAGCTACAGGGAACCAGGCAGAGGGCCTTCTCGGTAGTGGCGCCCGCCCTGTGGAACGCCCTCCCATCAGATGTCAAAGCGATAAACAACTACCTGACATTCAGAAGACATCTTAAGGCAGCCCTGTTCAGGGAAGTTTTTAACGTGTGATATTTTAGTGTATTTTTGGTTTCTATGGAAGCCGCCCAGAGTGGCTGGGGAAACCCAGCCAGATGGGCGGGGTACAAATAATAAATTATTATTATTATTATTATTATTATTATTATTATTATTAATACATCCTGGGATCTGTTGCTTTTATGAGAGTCCTCAAAGAGTTCTCCAATAAGGCAAAAGCAGATGTTAATTCAAAAAGAAGATGCATAGCACAGCAAGCCCATCATCACAGCTGAACTGTCAGATGGGCACACCAGCAAATCAAATGCTAGTTCTCCATCTTGTCTCTCGCCTCCCTCTATCATTTCCTCACCCAGTACTCCCTCTTCCTCCTCTTGCATAGCTGCCTGGAGAATAACAGCAAGGAATCAATTCAGCAAGGAATCAATGCAGTGGGGATGGGTAACCTGTTGGCCATCATCCCTGACCACCAACCATGCTTCCTGGGGCTGCTTGCTGGGTGTTGTAATCCAATAATATCCGGAAGGTACTAGATTGTTGAAGGCTGTTCTACCAAGATGCTCACGGTTTATGTTGACAGTGTGGCCAACTTCTAAAAAGAGAGCTGCCAGAGCTTTGTACTGGCTGAAGACCCAACCATCTGTGGTGGAAGCCCAGCTCCTTGGCAGCAAATGTGCAGAATGAGGGGGAGTTTAGGTTTAATAAGCAAGTTCCTCCCATTCCTCCAACTGCAGGCAGCCAGCGTCCTTGACTCGTCTTTTGAAAGGAAAGATACATGAAGATTGGTGCATATGTAGGTGGGTGGAGAGTGGGGTGGATGGGCTGTGCTTACTCACTAGTGAAGGGAAACTGCTCACAGCCACTACTTAGCATTACTTCACACACTTTCCTAAACCCAGCTCTGGCACTGGGCTAAACCCTGGCACCCTAGATATAGAGCCAGTCTCAGCTACTCAAGGCAAAAGCAAGCCACCACTGGCCCCCAACTGGTGCTCCCCTTCTCTACCCAACTCCTTCTTGCACATAAGTCTTCCACCCTTTTTCTCTGGCAGTGGTGGGGGAGAACTTCCAGGATTGCTCCTGGCATAAGCAGCTCACTTAAAACAGCAGGCACCAATCATTTCCAAGATGGAACTAGCCTACAGTAATTGCTGTCGGAAACCTGGGCACACGATACATGTTCAACCCCATCGCCCCTGACTCTAGCAGCTTAAAAAGAGAAAAAAGAACAGGCTGTTTGTTGCACCCAAAATCTACAGGAGGGATGAGGAACCTCTGGCACCTCCTTGCCTCTATTCTTCAGCTGTCCTCTGTTCAAGGACATTTTCCAGACTATGACATGTCCTTGACTGCCTGGCTGTTCACAACTTTAGGAAAAACTTCTTTCTCAAAGCAGGCTTCTCAACTCATATTTAGTGTATTACTCTTGGAAACCGATAAGGTTCCCAAATACTTCACATTCCCCTCACATTCCCATCTATCTCTGAGAATTAACTAACTAAAATAGCTGGCTATTCTTCTTGCTTGAGGCACAGCCCTGCATGGGCATCTATTAAACCACACCCAATGCGAAGAATAGAACTCTAATGTCTGGACTTGCACAGGCTTGCAGACTAAGTAGTTGTGGTTGCCATCAAGGCAAGTGACTTTTGTCTACTTTTCTCTTCTGGTAATGTGCTTAGCAGAGAGCAGCTGACCCAGTCTTTGATTTTAAAGGAGCGTTGCTGTTATAACATGCAGTCAGACACACTGGCAGACAACCGCTCCAAAAGAATTTAATGCAGTCTCTCCCAAATACTTTCTGAGCGATGCAGCTCACAGATATTTCCTTCGATAGGACACCCTAGGCAGCAGTGACCTTACAAATGTTTTTTGGAGCCACTCAAAACTCTGCAACCTTCTGAGTCTGAAGACTAGATTACAGATATTGCTGGCCTACAGCTCCCCTCATTCCTGACCATTCACCATGCAGGCTGGGGCTGATAGATGCTGGAGTCCAACAACACATGGAAGGTCACAGGTTCCCCACCCCATACATTTGACCTACAACTTTTTATTCTAACAACTGGCAAGACCCTCCCAGATTGAGGTGAGGCTGAACCAGAGTTGCTAATATAACAGATACATCAGAATCCAAGGAGAAGAGCTGATACAGCTATATCAGCGTTCTGTCTCTTTACTAAATAATGCAGGGATTCCCCCTACCCCGTCATATATTTCCTATGCTAGTTTCCATGTGGGAAAACCCCAGCTGTAATAATAAAGTTCCTTCTATTATAATGGCGTTGCAATTTTAAAAGGGGTGTAGCGCAGAGGTAGGGCACAATCTTAACACGCAAAAGTTTACGGGGCCAGGTTCAATCCCAGACACATCCAGATAGGGTTGTGAAAGATTCCTTTGTGAAGCACCATTGCCAGACAGACTATATGAGCCAGAAGGACCAACTGACTGATTGGCTGCTTATGTTTCTCAACGGCTCATCCAGCTTGAAGACCAGTGTAAGTGCACCAATGAGAGAATCAGATTCAGACCTTCTCGCTGAAGGCTGCAGATGAGAAACTTGTGGCCAGTTTTGCTGGTTCAGAACAGGTTTCTTCAGCCACTGGAGACAAAGTAATCCAGATTAATCTGATACATATCAAGAAATGCTGTAAATTCATTATTTTATGAAGGTGGGCTGTTGCCCGAGAGAGAGAGAGAGAGAGAGAGAGAGAGAGAGAAAGAGACAGACAGACAGACAGACAGACAGACAGACACTGACTACAATGTTCAGGTTCTATTCAGACACACAGAACCTAGTGCTTCCTGTTCAGCTTTGATTCCACGAAATTGAGCTTTTTGATTTACAATGTTTTGTGGCATAGATAGGTTTTTCTGAAGTTGTGCTCTTAAATACTTAGGCTTCCTGAAATACCATGGAGAAATTACAACAGCCAGTCATCTAGGTTATGACAGTATTCTCCCTTAATTAAGAAAATTACAGCCCTATCTGGCATGATTCTATGTCTTTTATTTCATAAAGCAGCACCTGCAGAGAACATCACTGTTTTGAATATAGGTGTTCCGGTGGGGACTTTGCTTTCTGATCTATCTATATATATATACAGTGGACGCTCGGGTTGCGAACATGATCCATGCAGGAGGCACGTTCGCAACCCGCAACACCGTGCCTGTCCATGCACGGGTCACGATTCAGCACTTCTGTGCATGTGCAAAGTGCAATTTAGTGCTTCTGTGCATGCGTGAGCACCGAAACCCGGAAGTAACCCATTCCGGTACTTCCAGGTTTAGTGCGATACGCAACCCGAAAATGCACAACCTGAAGCATCTGTAACCCGATGTATGACTCGTTCGTGTGTGTGTGTGTATTGTTTTAGCTATTTCTGTATATGCAGTTGTTCTGTTTATGTTTTTATTGTAGTGTAAATTGCTTCAGATTGCCTCATTGGAAGCAATTTATAAATGAAGTAAATAAAATAATAACAAAAAATAACAAACATTTAAAATCAACATATGGGAAATTATTGATGTTGGAAAACTGGACAGCTGGTTTTGTCCCTGTCCCCCATGGCTGGCAACTGATGTTCTCCTAAAACAGGGTGGTCCAACACATGGCCCAAGGGCCACATGCGGCCCTCGAGGCCTATTTGGGTGGCCCTCAGCAACACTTGATGCTTCCTCCAAACCTTCACACTTCCTTCCGATAGCCAGGTAAGTGAGGTGCTGGCTTTGGGGAAGGAGCTGTGAGGGCTCTGACAGGGTCAGAGTCCTCCCTCCTCCTTCCCAAAGCCTAGTCAGTGCTTTCTCAGCTTTGGGAAGGAGGTGAGAGGGCTCTGGGACACTGCCAGAGCATCCTTCCCAAAGCCCAGGGCCTCACTTACCTAGCATGGCAGTGTGAGGGCAGGGGGAGGCATGAACTTTTGGCCTCAATCCCCTGCCCCATGTGACAAGGCAGTGTGTGGCCTGTGGGTTCAATGTCCAAGCACTTTTGCAGCCCACTTGGTATGAAAAGTTAGGCCTTCCTGTCCTAAAGGCAGGGGGGAAAATGATGCCAAATGAGGGTTGGTTTTGTCACCTTCCTTTGCTGCAGCAGTTGGGTGTTCCTTGCAGCAGCAGTAGAGCCAATCAGGTCATCTAATTAATCACTTATGAAGCATTTATTTGGCTAAAAAGGAGCCCCCAGCTTAAACCATCTACAGATGTTTAAATACTAATATACCCATCACACATGTTACATCTTAAATGAGGCACCCCCCTTATCCCTCACATGAGAGAGAATGCCTCTCCCAAGGCACATCTATGCACTACTTTAAAAGTGGGGATCTAGCCAACAAAGTTATTCCATTATCATAATGACTTCTCCTTTGTGCAGGCAAATCTCCTCTCCTCACCTCCCCGCCTCATCTGTTCTAAAGATACCCCACCCTTTGGAGCAAACTGGGGTAGGAATACAAAATACCATGGCACAGGTGGAAATTCTTAAGCTAAAGGTACAACTTCATTGGATATAGCCCAAAGGAAGTTATGTTTCTAATTTCAAACATGTTATTTTTAACCATATGCAAATTTAATCTATAGCAGGGGTGGGGAACCAGTGGCCCTTCAACTCCAAGGCCCATCAATCCCATTCAGCATGGCCAATAGTGACAGATGAAAGGAGCTGTAACCCAACACTATCTGGTTCTCCATCCTTGGTCTATAGATCAATCAACGAATCAACTCATATAATTAAATCAACTAAAATTTCTTTAATTGGAATGCAGTCCTGCAGAGTCTTCATGAGGAAGGGAAGCAAAGTCTCTCTCAAGTTAATGACATATCATGTGCAGGAGAGTTTAAATGTCCATAGTCTTCAATTCTGAGTTATATCATACTCAAAATGTATCAAGTTCAGCACAACAAATTCATTCTCAAATGCTTCAACAAACAAGCTTCCCAACACTTTTTGAGGTTTGCCTCACATTGCTGGTTTTTGAGCAGCAGTAATGAGTAATGGGTGATGCCCTCCATCAACAATGATGACACAAATCTGGAGATGAATCAGCAATGCATTAAAACAACAACAACCAACCCACCTGCAGCTGTGCGGGGTCTCAAAAACAGAGTGCCCTTCCTGACATCTTTGCCCGAAAGAAGGCAGCTGAGAAGTGGTCTTGCCACATGACAGGCAGTTCTAATATCTTTCCAGCACTGAAAGCCAGAACACACTTCAAATGTTTTCCATGAGAAAATTCCCAAAAGGATTCAATTTCCTGAAGCCATGAGTTCCAAAACGAGACTGCTGCCAGCATCATTGGCTATCGCTGCTTTCCTCATTGTTGAGGTCAAGCCCACCCAATGAAGGCACTTCTGCGTCTGCATGACCCTCCCTTGCAACAATCCTGCTATCACAGCAGAATGGCAGAACAAAGCATTAACACACGTACACACTGTCTCATATTACCAGGCTGCAATTGCAAAAGCCAGCAGAACGTGCACAAATTGATTCCTTGTGACCACATTAGCTTTCCAAGTCACTTTTTGAGATTCCCTTTTCAAATTTGGTTGTGGTGCTTAACTGTTTGAGAGAAGGAAAGTTTGCCTGCCTCTGAGAAATGTGTCTAACTGTAGAAGAATGAACAAAAGCAGCTAAATGTTCCCAAATTCCTCCACCCTACCCTGCTGTGCAGTGACTAAAGCCTATCCAACACAACCTGTTCTCATCCACTGTGCTTCCCACCATCACTAATATGGCATCCATAGCCCCACTTTGAGGAATCCTATTCCAGGGGACTAATCATATCAATTGGAATTGGCCTCCTAGAATTATTACATAGGCTTGCAACAAAACCTTGTATTTTTTTCCTGAGCACAGGTAGGCCATGTACTGAAAGCGAAACATTTATACATAAAACAAATCAGATTGAGTAAACATGAACCCCTTCTCAGACCTGCTGCTCTCTGCCATTTTTGCCTCCAGCTGAACACATGACACTATACTATGGGTAGGGGATTTGTGGCCTGCCAGATGTTGCTGGACTCATCAGCCCCAGCCAGAATCACCCATGCTCAGGGATGATGGGAGCTGTAATCCTCCCGCACAGATTCCCTACCTCTGCAGTGAACTATTTCAACTTGTGAACTGCCCTGAGATCTACAGGTACAGGGCAGTATACAAATGTAATTAACAACAAGAACAACAACATATTTGGCAGTCTTCTAATTCCCAACACTTGCACTAAGATGACAGAACAGAAAGGGGAAGAGGGGAAGGAGAGGAATAGGGGTTAGAGCTCAAATCAATTTTCCTTTAGTTGTGCTTAGTTATATCCACAAAGCTGAATTGCCACTCCTCCAACATGGAGGTTCAGAGGCAAGGTGTGAAACACAACCAACCCATCCTTCAAAGCCAGGCCATTAGCCCCAGGGGATGCTGTCTGCAGGATCACTCAGCAAAGTGGCAGAGGAAAAAGAAGCATTAAGATCAAAGCTCAGCTTCATTTGAGACCAGTGGTCAGGAAACGCATATTCACAAGAGACCTATCCCAGCAGAGAAACAATTGCCCTGTTACTCCCTTTATCTCCCTGCTTGCAGGATGTTGCTCCTACATGTGAACAATCTGCAGCTGTCATTAAGCAGGAATGGATAGGGACAACTGGCAATAATTTGTACAACAGTGGTAGGCCCTATTCAACCACAGCAACTAAGGAAATGGCTGGATATGCTTATTTATATACTGCTCAATTTATGTTGAGGTTAATCTATACAATCATGCATGTAGATTGCTTAGGATTTGCACACACAAAATCCCACCAAATGAGTATGATCCCTGGGACAAAAGAGTTTGCTTGTGTGCAGGAGAACAGTATCATGTGAGTTGAACCTGTGATTCCATTTATTTGAGGGCAACCAGAGTGGAAACTGAACTTTTAATCTTCCCCTTTCATTTCTTATCACCACTAACCTCAAGCTAGTCTCTTTGTGTTTCATCACTGCTCAGAGAAGACCACAGGACGAAAGGGAGAAACGTGGTAAGAGGAAGGAACATTTGGCAAACCCTCACCATAATCAACTCCCGCCCGGAAACCTACCGGTATGTCCCCACTGTGGAAGGACGTGGGGGATCCAGAACTGGCCTCCACAATCACTTATGGACTCACTGTTAAAACCGTGTTTATGGAAGACTATCTTACTCGGCTACGAGTGATTGTCAAAGAAGAAGGTTTTTTCTAGCTGAGGAGAAAGGAACGTGTGATCTTCCAGACAATGCTGGACTACAATTCCCTTCACTCCTTGGCTATGTTTGCAGCAACTGATGGAAGCTGGGGTCCAGCAAAATCCAGAGGGCCGTAGATTCCCCACACATTCTCTAGCCAACGAGGCATTTACCAGCAATTCTCTCAGTGCCAGAGTACCTACCTCCATATTATGAGAGATCAACAGAGTTCCGGGAATCTTCCTGCTCTGCATGCAATGAACTATTAGAATGCAAGTTCCAGAACTCCTTCCTCCTCAGGAAGCCATTGGTTCCTTCATTGCCTGGGACACAGCTAAACTCTGGCCTTGTTTGTGTTGCTCCCTAGTCTCGATCAAGGAGTTCCTTCCTTGTTTCTGCTTTCCTGCATCCTTATTCCACCAGCTCCTGGCTGGCACTATTCTTCTGGACAGGCCGGTCTAGGAATCTGCCCCAGAAATCAACTGTCTCCTATCCCACCAATCCTACCAGGGCTTGTAACTTGGGCGACCTATGTGACCAGCTGCCTACAGCAGTGTTTACACCAAGGCAAGTGTTGGTGAGTGGGCTGTGTATGAGCAGGATACAAACATGGAATCTGTTTTGTGCAATACCAGAAGCAGGACTGACCCTAACATTGGGAAGAGGGAAGTTGTTGCCTCAGAAAGCAGGGGTTGGGACACAAGGAATGGTGTAGATGATAGGCAGCACTGGGTGTGCCACTTAGCCCACTGTGTGCCCCCTAAGGTAGAGAGCCCTGTTCTCAGACACAATGGATGATGCTATCCAATTTACATTGCTGAAGTAAAATTCAACTGCAAGTCCAGTTAGCTTCTCTATGTATCTTGTCCTATACTTGAGGTGGCAAAATATTTTGGGCTGGCCCTGACCATAAATCCACATTTAGATAACCGTGTCCGGTTGGGTGCACCACACCATCTCTGCGCAAAGCTACTTGTTTTGCCATGAGAGGCTGGGGAAGCTTAAAGCAGCAGCTGCTGCTTCGTATCCTGGGATACCTGCACACCAGCCCATAGCCCATAGCCCATAAGAGATTCTGTCTCAGTGAGAATAAAACAAATGAAATCAGCCTGCCAGCTGCAAGGCCAATGTTCTCTGGCCAAACCACAGGCATGCTGAGCAGCCTACACAAGCCACACAGACGCAGTTGTGCACAGTGGCCTTCTGTGAGGACATTGTCTCCCATGGGAGTAAGAGGTCAGCGAAGCTTTTATCTGACTGCACAGCACCCATCCCAACCAGCAGTTTAAGATCCTGGTGCTTTCTTCCTGGCTGTAAACACTGCCCTTGCCCACTGCAAAATGCAACAGAGTATTTCATATACGCAAGGATTGGTCACATTCTTTGGCTAATCAAAGATCTCTCAACCCTGCTCCAGTGAAATACAGTGAGAAAAATTGCTGTGTCACCATTCAGGATTATAGATCCATGATTAGCTTTTTCATCAGAGATGGGGAACCCACAGCCTTCCAGATGTTGCTAGACTACAAGTTCCATGATCCCTGAACATTAGCAGTGCTGGAGGGAGCAATGGGAGTTAGAGTTCAACAACAGCTGGACACCTATAGATTTTTCACCCCACCCCTTTCTACACAAAGCAGAATGCATTTCCTCTATTTATTATTCTTATAACCCACTCTTCCTTTAGAAAACTCTGAGCAGTTTATACAAGGCTCTCAGTGCACTCACTGATCCATATCCGCTTAATTTCAACAATGAATGGTTTATGTCAGGAGTAGCTAATTCATAATTCAGGAACCTAATCTGAACCCCTCCCCCCAAGCACCTTTTTTCTGATCCTCTCAAGACCCCACTGAGTTTGGCAGTGGCAGCAATAAGGTGGAAAAAAGAGAGGAGACACAGCACTGGGGTGGGTGAAACCCAGCTTCCTGACACAGATGCAAATCACTCCTCCCTGGTCATTAAGACTGATCATTTGATCATTGGAAATGGAGTAATAATATTGCCCCTGCTCATCTGCCCCAAGCTATGTGCAAGTGAAAGTGGCCCCACCCATCATTGGCATGCGGCCCCCAGAGGATTGGCCAAGGGTAAGGGCAGCCCTTGGTCCAAAAATGTTGGCTGCCCTTGCTTTACCTGAAGTTGTTAATGATTGCCCATCCAGGCACGGAGACTTGGTTCACATCTTCTTCACTTTAGCAATTGTATAGCAATGAATGTGCCCACAACATTAACTAATCAGAGCATGTAGCATGGATCTTGTAATGCTTTACGTTGACCTTGTATAAGTACAGCATCAGAAGAACCCTCAGCACTTTAAAAGCCAACACTGACTTCCTACCATTGCTAATATCTGAGTCATCCCAACTTGCCTTTTCAAGGAACAAAGGTCCCAGTTTCATTTGGTGATCATCAAATCCAACCAAAAAGAAAAAAGAAAAAGGCCTCAGCTAAGCTGGTATCAATCCAAGACACCCTCTCAGTGGAACATTTGTTGCCCCATGTGGCTATGGAAAGAGTGAAATCAAATGCCAAAGATGACTGGTTATGGATGAATCAAGGAAGAGAAATGCTGGCTCTGAAGCACGTAATTCACCTCTGCCAGCCCAGGCAAGGACAAGAGCCGAACAGCACTTCCTGTGATGCATCTTCAAGCTGCAAGTAGCAAGAATTGCTAAATACTGTAAACAAGAGGCTTGCATCACAGCCATAGTGAAATGACAGTACCAATCACTCATGCCTGATGAAAGTGCACCAGCGTGGCCAGGGATGCACCAATTACTACATGAGTGCCGACTTGAGACAGCTCTTCCATCCCATTAATCAGTGGGATATGGGCTGAGGCAGTCACAGGAACAGAGTTATCTGGGTAAAGGCCAAGTTCTTTGGCAGCAGGTTCCTCTCAGAAATGCAAGAAGGTAATGTTATAGAACTGCATGGAACTGCCTTGTCAAATTTCAACCAAGGTTCATCATTTGGAAAATGCAGGGTGGTATTCAACTAAGATTTACTCAGTAAAGACCTACTAAAATGAATGGACCTAACTTAGTCGGGTTCATTTATTTCAGTGGGTCCATGCTGAATAAAATTTAGTTGAATACCACTCCCAGACTTCAAAACCTCACAAATGTGTCAGTTTTCCACTTGAAGCCTTGAACAGATCCATACATAAATACACACACACAATGTATCCGTGTCCAAAGTGGAGAAGACCGTCCACCCAAAATAAATATTCGATAGGCTTGGGAACTAAGACCTGTGAAACAAAGACTCATATGGATTCACACTCTTTATATAGGAACCTAACATTTTTCCAGAACAAGGAATTAGGTGAATTAGCCAAGATAAGAGAGAAGAGGAAGCAGTAAAACGTATTCTGCAGAAGTACATACCAAAGTCCAGCCACACTGCTATTGTCTTAAAACTTTCTCACACAATCCTTCTTGAAAAATGTCCAATCTTTTGGGGAAGCAGGTTTATTGTGCAAGACCTCCCAATCAACTATAATTGCATGACCTAAATTTGCCAGTATGCAATTCAATCCCATCCAAAACAGCAACAGTCCGGAAGCTCCTATAGAGAGGTACAATACTTTTGGCCAAAAGAAAACATACAGTAGAGTTAAACTAGATGAAATGTTGGAGATCTGATCACAAATCTCCTATGTCTTTACATATCTTTTAAAGATAGCCAGGGTGGGGGTGAGGATCTGGACCCTACAGAAGGAGGTTAACGTTTTCACCCACATTACATTTTCTAAATGTAAACCAAGCCCCAACCAAGGCTACCATCTGTCCTGTTATGGAGAACACACCGTCATTCATTAACTGTCACTAACAGGAAAAATGACAGCGGTGGGGCAGGGGAAGTATAGAGTGTATAACAACTGCAGATTCTCAGTGAAAGAGTGCAACACTTTCTTTCTCCATCAGCCATCTATTTTCAATGATCTGGGGTGGGATGCACTGCATGCAGTAACATATTGTCTTCCTCCCTCCCAATTCTTTCAGGAATATTTCTCCTACTGGGCTATGTTGAGTTGTTTCCTCTTCTAGGACAACACAAAGGATGGTGGGCAATGCAAAACATCATTGTTAACTTATAAACATCTCTAGGAGCTGCCCTTCCTGAAGGACCCCCACCTGAATGCTCTGGGCAGTGGAATACAAAGACCCGGGAGTCCTAATTTTGCAAGGGCTTCCTTCCATTACTGGGGATCATATGACCCCAGTCACCAAGACCAAAGTTAGAAGAACTTTAGAGCCAACAAAGATATTGCATGTGGATATATATTACACCCCAATATTATTTTTAATTAAAAAAACCAGCTTGATGAAGAATGATCAGGAAAGGAAAACCAACTTTGGCAGGGGGCAGCAACACAAGGATGCTTAATCCTTTCCCTGCCAGCTCATTTTTCCACCACTAGCACTTTTACCCACACACAGTTCTAAACACATGTTAGACCCACACCTTCTTCAAGAGACTAATAATTTTCCTGATGCAACTTGTTTAAGGGAATTCAAAATTCAAAATGTCACTTAGGAATAGCACCTGGTTAACATGCAGTACTCTCTCTTTTCTTCATTCACACAAAATACATAAGAGTTGAAAAGGAGACTTAATAAATACGCAAGAGGCAAAAAGAATCTTGACACTGTATCAGGATAATTCACTCACAGGAGCAGTGGCGGGGGGGAGAGGCATTGTACTATAAAAGGGAAGCTGTACCTAAACTTTAACTACGCTTTCACCTCTTGGTGCATGGGGAACAAGCTAAGCATGTTAAGGGTTCATTAATCTATACTAACTAATAGTCTCAAAGAAGCCATTTCAATAGCACTCCAGGCCTTCACCATAAGCCAAACCAACAAAAGGCGTCAGGAGAGCTCAATGACGCCTCATCCTCGTGGATGATCCACCAGAGGGAATAAAAGTTTAACTTTATCTAAAAATATCATTCACTGTTTGTAAATAGACAGCCCATAAGAAACACCCTGTTTCACTCATTCCCAGCAAAGGTGTGGGCACAGGAAGAGTGACTCATCTGGGGCACTAAGTAGGGATAGAACTGGTTTCGGCTCTAATCCCAACGTTCCTCCCCCAGAATTCATCACCCATCAATTCCCCCTCCCCGTTCCGTCACACACCTGACACTCTCTGCCCTTAGACCCACAGCCAGAGACCGCAGTAGATTTAACAGCCACAGAACCTCCCCCATCACATCATGACAGCAGAAAATGCCACAGAACTTCCCATGCAGGAAAGAGAAAGCAAATCTACAGCTTGACTTTTTCCTGCTGAACTTGTCCTGTGGAAATCAGTGAAGCGTGAGCACTTAACTGTGCTCTTCAGTTTTCACTGATTTCAAAAGGCAGATTTAAAGTTTCTGGGCAGCATCCAAGGTTTTTACCGCAAGGCCCCAGTTCTCTCCCTCTGGGCTCTTGCTTCCTCCACATTGTCCATCAGCTCACTGCTCTTTGGAAAGTATTCCAAAATTCCACAATGCACTGTCTGTTGAATCCTTGTTAACTAAATGCAGGCTCCTCACAGGTGTCAGCAACTTTTAGCAGGGTTTGATGCAACTCCCTGGCAAGGCTCCTAATGCAGGCCTGCAGCAGGGTTTCTCCTAGGTCAAGGAAAAGAAGGGAGGCTGACTTGGGACCCTGGATTGTTCTTAAGGAGGCAGGGGATGGTTAAATCACTGTGCCTAGATACAGTAAATACAGGACACTATGCAGTATGTGACTGGATTTAATAATAATAATAATAATAATAATAATAATAATAATAATAATATCATCTTTATTGTCATTGCCCCCTTCGGGGACAACAAAATTACTTGACTGCTCCATAAAAACACTAATTAATCAATACAGTATAACACAGCAAGGGAGATTAGATGACTTTCAAAGTCCGGGCTTCCCATTCAGGGCCGAGATCGCTCTGGAGAAGAAGCTGTTCTTAAGACGGCTCGTTCTTGTCTTCATCGTCCTGTATCTCCGTCCCGACGGCAAGAGCTCGAAGAGACAGTGACCAGGATGCGATGGATCTTTTACTATGTCCAGTGCCTTCCTATGGCACCTTGTGGCATAAATCTGCTCTAAGGTGGAGAGTGGGCAGCCAACAATACTCTCCGCTGCCTTAACAACCCTGCACAACCCCATCCTGTCCTGGGTAGTACAGCTTCCGTACCACACACATAAGCCATAAGTGAGCACGCTCTCAATGGCACAGTGATAGAAGGCAAGCAGCAGTTTCTGCGGAAGGTGGTTTTTCCTTAGTATTCTCAAAAGTACAGTCACTGCTGCGCCTACTTCACAAGCCCCCTTGTGTTGACACTCCAGGACAGATCCTCTTGTAATTCAATGCCCAAAATCTGAACGTTGTTACCCTCTCCACACAGACCCCATCAATCAAAAGTGGCTGGACGTTGCTCTTCTGTCTCCTGAAGTCCACCACAAGCTCCTTTGTCTTCCTTGTATTTATGAGCAAGTTGTTAGCTCTGCACCACTCTGTCAGCCGCTCCACCTCATCTCTATAATCCGTTTCACCCTCCCTTTCAGAGATGAGCCCAATCACGGTTGTGTCATCTGCAAATTTGACAACCCTATTACTAGGGTGAGTAGCGACACAATCTGAAGGTACATTTTTTCACCTTTGGTGGACGTGCCCAAAGATTAAGGTTTTCTGGGAAATGATATATAATGAATTAAAAAAGGTATTTAAGTATACCTTCCCCAAGAAACCAGAGGCCTTTCTCCTGGGCATAGTGGGCCAAATGGTGTTAAAAAAGGATAGAACTTTCTTTATGTATGCAACAACAGCAGCAAGAATACTTATCGCAAAGTATTGGAAGACACAAGAACTTCCCACGCTGGAGGAATGGCAGATGAAACTTATGGACTACATGGAATTGGCGGAAATGACTGGCAGAATCCGTGACCAGGGAGAAGAGTCGATGGAGGAAGATTGGAAGAAATTCAAAGACTATCTTCAGAAACACTGCAAAATTAAGGAATGTTAGAGTGATGTTGGATTGAAAATAAGTGGTTTCCAGCTGTACAGGTTAAAGCTAAGGATAGATTAAGATTAAAGATTAAAGATTAAAGATGTTTAAAGAAATGGAAATTTGATAATAAAAGAGAAAAATTTAAAGGTATATGATATTAAGAACAAGGATTATGTTTAAAAAAGCTGAAGCTATATAGTTTAATATTTCATTAAATTAAATATTTGGTTTAAAAATGTGGAAAAGAAACTGCTGGACAAATAATGTAGATTGGAATACAAAAGAGGGAGGTATGAGGAAGTCCAGAAAATAAGTAATTCAAAATTGGGAATCTAACAGAGAGTTTGTTTTAAACTGTTATGTTGTGTGTTTTTATTGTTAAATTTTGTATTGTTTTTTTGTGTGTGTTGTTTTTTCTTTTTTCTTTGTTTAAAACTTTAATAAAAATTATTTTAAAAAAAAAAAGAGTAGCGACACAATCGTACGTGTAGAGAATATAAAGGAGCGGACTGAGTACGCATCCCTGTGGTGTTCCTATGTTAGTCTTGAGCATATTAGAGGTATAGGGGCCCAACCGAACCCTCTGGGGGCGGTCTGACAAAAAGTCCGACAAATTTAGCTGTAACAGTTTGCTTTATACTTATTTACACTGACAGTACACAGAAAAATGGCAAATGGAGGAGAAAAGAGAATGACTGAAAAGCAGGATTAAAAAAAAAAATAGCGAAAAGTGGCTGGAACAAGAGAATATAGGAACCATCCCACTGTCTGGAAAGGTCACTCCCAGGTTCACAATGAAAAGCTATTTTTAAATGTTGACAGCCAATGAAGGGAGCGTTGCCCAGAGAGATACAGTGAGAAATTAAAACTTTTCATGTAGTTGGGATTGGGTACAGGGGCACCCACCCAACCCAAACCCAAATGGAGGAAAGAAAGAAAAAAAAGAAAGGAAGGAAGGAAGGAAGAAAGGGGAAGAAGGAAAGATAGCCCAATGAGAACTCCATGCTCAATAGGCATGGAGTGCTGGGCAGGGGAAGGAGAGACCACCAGGCCAAGCGGGTGGAAAAGAGTGCCTGTAACACTCTTCATTTCCTGCAACACCCATTAAGAACTAAGGCAAACCCTCCCTCCAACAGTCACTGTGGGTTTTCCTGCTTTGTGCTTCTCCCTGCCTTTGCTCCTCTGCTGACACAGGTATCTGGTTATAGCTCCAGTGTGGATATTCACATCTCCCTGAAGGTTTTAGTCAAACAATTATTATTATTATTATTATTATTATTATTATTATTATTATTATTAAAGCACCTGTATTTAAATATTTATTTGATGCCTTAATAAAAACCTATTTTATTTTTTGATGGAAGCATGTTCTGGGTAACAGTGAGGAGTGCCCTTGTACCACAGATTACAAGTCACAGGAAGTAACAGGTCCATTTTATTCTGCACTCGTCAGACTCCATCTGGAACACTGTGTCTAGTCTTGGGTGCTGCACTTTAAGAATGGTATAAACAAATGGGAACAGAACCAGAGGACAGCAACAAGGATGGCCAGTGGTATGGAAAAGAGATCCTATGAAGGGACAGGGTACCTTTAGCCTGGAGGAGAGAAGACATGAAGGGAGGTAGACTCATAATAGTACTCTTCAAACATTTGAAGAATTGACACACAAAACAGGGCAAAGACTTGTACTCTGCTGCCCAGAGAACAGGATTTGTTCCAATCACCTTAAGTTACAAGCAGATTTTGGTTTGACATGAGAAGAAACTTATTGAAGGTTACAGGATCTTGACAGTTACCTAGAGGGTTGGTGAACTGTTCTTTACTGGAGGTCTTCAAGCCAAAGATGAACATCTGTTAAGGATGCTCCATCTCTGGATTTCCTGTGTTAAGCTTAGAGGGACTACAAGACCTCTTTCAACTCTGTGGTTCTATATGTGTTTTCGAATGACCTGTTTATTGAGTATTCACCCTGTTTACAAGGAGAATAGACAACCTTGGCTGTATAATGAACATTCATTCTGACTTATTTCTGGGGAGGAAAAATGACATTGTGTCAAAGGAAGAGTTATCTCACACTTTCCAGTGGACTTTACTGTTACTTTCCTTATCACAAAGACTCTGATCTTTTTGGTGAAGTAGGCTTGTTGTACAAGAGTTCCAAGTCAGCTTTAATCCAAATTTACTGGTATGTGGTTGAATCCCACCTAACATAATGACAGTTTAGAAGTATCGTACAAGGACCAGCTAATTAGTAAACTGCACAGCTTGATAAGGAAATGGAAGGGAAGTGATTGATTGTCACCTAATCAGTGCTCTGCCATACAGCTGGTTTCTCTAGAAATAAATAGGAAGAACTTATTGCTCCTAAGTCTGATTCAATTTGAAAGTTTGCACGTGTCCTAAAAGTGGAAAATGCGAGTCCATAACTGGATCACCTTTCAATGAAATTGCAAATAGAGTTGATGGCTCTCTCCGCTGTCACTGACAAAACATTCTGTGACTACCACCACCAAAGGGGTGGGGGCTTTTTGCTGCACATATATTTTGAGACCCAGGAAAGTGACACCTGTTGAGCTCCTTCTGGTTGGCAAGAAACTTGTCAGATTAAAGGGGGGGAAACAAGTTGACAACCATAGGTGATAAAATGCTAAAAACAATTGGCCTCAATGTAACCAGAGAATAATTTTCAGTGTCCCAAAAGCAAGAGCGCTTTATTCTGCAATGGTTTCTGTTTCCTCCTAGTAACCACTAGTCCCTGCCTCTTTGTACTGAGAAACTGCTTTCTCTTTCTCTCTGGATTTCAGCAGATGCTTCTTGCAAGGTCACAGTACTTCAAAAATGAGGAATGCTGCTTTTTTCAAAGCTCCCTCCTACACAATTATCTAAGTTTATCTGAGCCCTTTCCTCCATGGCACCTGGCTATCCTAGTCTGTGCAGAAATTTCTGTGCTTATCCGAGGACAGCTTCTGTTCCCTAGTCGAGGAAGTCTTGGTGAAGACTCTTGCAAAAGAGTTCTTAATCTTAAGCAGAAAACTGTGAGAAACCAACAGCTTGGATTGCAGACATTAATAATGAGGGATGGGTCCTCCATGTCTGGCTTTCCTCTCACTCCGGAGGGAGCGGAACACGCAGACACACAAGCATATACAGCTCTCCCATCAACAAAGTAGGTCACTGGCTCAGAGGCAGGAACAGCAAGCCTGACCTTTGCCTAGCTAGGCTTGGGGCTGGAGGGGCACCTGCTTGCAGAGGAAAAGAAATGGTGCGTTCTCAGCCTTGGCCTGCACATGGAATTCCAGCACTTCCTTAGCTTGAGGACAAAGCTCTAGTTCTCTTTGTCAAAAGGCCATGTGTCTCACAGGTAACCAAGGAGCCCCAACTGTGAGGCAGTTTCACAAGAGTGACAAGCGGTGAAAAGAATCGAGCCAAGCCATGGGTACTGGAGAAAGGCCAAAGCTCAGTGGTAGAGTATCTGTTTTGCATGCAGGCGATCCCCTATTTGATCCCAAGCATTTCCACGTAAAGCAGAGAGAGACTCAGTGCTTGAAACCCTGGAGAATTATGGCCAGTCAGTGTAGACTTAGATGGTCAAATGGTCTGACTAAGGCGATTTCCTATGTTCCCATGAACCTAAGTTATTCAGGCGCTACCCAAAGAAAAGAAAAAAAGTGCTTAATTCCCACTTCGATCCCACAGCAGGCAGGAAGTAGCACAATAAAGACTAAACTTTTATTGGTTTTATTGTGATTATTTGTATGGTTTTAAATAGATTTTATATACGTATATAGTTTTACTTCTAACAATGTTTAATTGTTTTTTCTATGTTTTTAACAGTTCTCGTTTTTATATGTAAGCCTCCTTGAGTCCCATCAGGGAGAAAGGTGGGGTATAAATATAACAACAACAACCAGAATAACAATCTAAATGATAACAACTATTATTACTACTACTTTCACCTGCCCTTCACCAAAAAGATACAGGGCAGGTCACAGTAATGCAAAATACAATTTTAAAAAAACAAAACAGTTTTAAACAGATATGTGATACCAGTCAAATTATTTGCCTTTTGAGTGGAGGGTTTTTCCTGCAGAAACAGCCAGTATGGGGGACCTAATTCTGAGCAGGACTTGGGAGCGGGCTCTTCACCCTCTGCCACACCCTGAAGTCACAGATCACATCTGGAGCCCCACAAGCGCAATTTGCACAGAGAAAAATATCCCATTAGAGAGAAAGCTAAAACCCTGCCCCACCCACAGCCCACTGCAGGGTCCCCATCAGAATACCACACTAGACATTTCTACAAGAAAAATCCTGCACTCAGTGTAAAACCAAGTGATTAATGCCATGTGTAGTTTGGCCCCAAGACAGAAATGTCAATTCTAGAATACAGAAAAAAGCCAGTTTAAAAATGTGTTCCAGAGAAGGAAAATTCTACTTAATTTTTCTTATCCTGCTCCCCAGAAGTGTAAAGTTTGACTATTTAAAAAAGAATAGAAAACAAAATGCAAACAGAAAATACGTGATTTCTAACAGCAGCAAAGGATCTAACTAACAGAGGTATCATTTCCCAGTTCACTCTGCTATGAGCCTCTTGGAAGAGGGAAAATCCTACCACACAGAGAGAAAGCTGGCTCTCTGCTGCTCCAAGCTGTGATATGAACAGGAATATAAAGCAATCCAGCTAGCTAGCTAACACCCTTTCCCTCCTGTCAGTAGGCCAGGGCAGATTCAGGCTAATACTTTGGCAAAGAGCCTAGAGATTTACAGTTGACACAAAACAGCAGAAAGGAAGCACTTCATTGAGACAGCACAACCTCTTGGAATCTATATCGATACAAACTTGCAGGGCTGGGCTCTCCCAGGGGAACACACAACACAATAGGGTCTTATGGTACTGTGGAAGCATGTTACACAAGTCATCCTGCACAGCTTCTTCTGAGCATCATCCTTGCCCTCACATTCTAGGGTTATTGGCTCCTCCCAAGAAAGCTGCAAGGAACTTTCCAGAAAAGATCAAACTGATTTAAATCACATTTCCTATTCTGTAATCCATGTACTCTCCCTCCGTACAAATATGCACACTGTTTGGTTGCTACTATATCAATTAAAACATCTCAATGTGCAAATAAACAGGCACTTTATACCAAAAGCAAAATCCAAAACCTTTCATCCTACAGCCGTCACTACAAAACTATTCCTGCTAGGAGAGAAAGGAGCTTCAGTTAGATGAGTAGGTTTTTGTTTAGCTCTCTGCAAGGACACAAGGCAAGATCATGCACTTGAAGACTACCTGTCTGCAATGTTCTGCACACTTATATGGGAGTAAGACCCATATATTTCTGAAATGTAGTTATAGGATCAAGAGATAAAAAGTGCACAGCACTTTCACTAGAAAGTGTTGGTAGTTAATGGGCAGAACACTGTCCATGCAACAGAACTTCATCTGGAGGGCCTCAGGTTCCCTGGCCCTGGTTTACAGAGTCTAAGATCATTCTGCTTTTCCCTCTAAGGAAATTATGCTAATGGCAAATGTGAACTCATACTGGAGTGACTGTTCCTCACAGTTCAACACAAGACGACAGCTGCACTGCACCAGCAAGGAAGGTCACAGAGCAAAAGTGATTTTGTCAGACTTTGGTCATCAATCCCCCTAAACAGATGTGGTGGAGTGCTTAACTCTACAGGCAAGAAGATGGACGTGGGGCGAAAGATGGGAGAAGGGAAATAGTATCCTAAAACTGGTATGCAAGAGGTGGGGTGAGGCGGTTGCCTAGGACGGTGGATCTGCCTGCACACCCACACAAATGCCTGCCTGCCGCACACCTCTTTTTAGTCCCTTGCTCACCGCAGACAGTGTGTGTGTGTGTGTGTGTGTGTGTGTGTGTACAGCAGTGTGCATGCATCGGCATGCAGCATTTTCAGTTTTGTCTAGGGCTGTCAAATGTCCTGGGCCAGCCCTGTGGCCAGATCCAACAACCTTATCATCCTAATCTTGCAAATGTGGTGAAGATAGAAGAATGTGTATAGAAGCCCAGGACATTTTGCTGCTGGAGGTGAATGACAAGATAATGCACATACAAACCCCAGTTCCATGTACAGCAGCTACCTGGGCTGATCTTCCAACAATCTTAACATTCAACACTTTGCAAACACAAAAATTACAGACAGCCACTGCTTGCAGGTCTCCTTTCACAAGCATGCATAAAAGGTCGCTGATTCTGAATGCTGATTTCTCATATCACACTGGAATATCAAACCTTTTAAAAAACAAGATATCAGAGTCAAATGCTATCATAACACCATCATGAGTCACTTAAAGCCATCACAGCATCTAATTCCCAGTAAAACACATCTGTATGTCTAAGTAGGGGTTAATCTTGCCAATCCATGATGTGGCAGATCAGAGCAATCTGTCTCTGGACTGCCAAATCCTTAGGGAATTCGAAATGTAACAGTTTTGTGAGACTGATACCTCAAGCTAATGATGGAAGAAGAACCTCCATGATCCATAAAAATGGCCTGTTCTTTAAACCAGTCATCCCAGCACAGGTGCTGCAAACCTCAACTACAGCCACTCAACTGGAAAATTGCTCATGAATGGAAGGTGAGATCAAGTGGCTGTGCATATACATTTTGCAGAATAAGCAGCCTTGCCATTTTAAGCGTTCTCCACAGATGAACAAACCAGTTTTCCAATGAAAGAGATAAAGCAGCAATGCAGGCATCACCCACAACAGAAACATAATATTGCTAAAGCTACAAACAAATTGTGGTTATGAAGGATGTTTCACAGGCTATTTCAAAAGGGCACACAAAGCCTGCCAGACTTGACCCAGGAAAACTAGCTTTGAATCTTCACTGTACTATGAACTCATAGACCCTCTCTTCAGTCTCAGTTCCCAAATGCAAAAGTACCAACAATTCTGCTCTACCTCTCAGCAAGGAGATAATTGTTTAAAATGATAAACTACTTTGTCCAATTATATTTTGATCCATTGTACATTTACAGAAGTAAGTCCCATTAATCAAATGGGACTTTATTCATTAAATTCAAATGATTCAATACCACCCTTCCATCATACCAAAATTCTAGGCAGTATTTGCAGCATAAAAAACACAATTAAACAGCAGATAAAATTTAAAAGAGACTACAACTTGCACAATTAAGTCAATAAAATCTATTAAAACATCTGAGTATTTATTTATTTTTAATTAGGGAGTGCTTTGCATTTAAACAGTAGCCTGGTAGCCAGAGGTGAGGTAAGAAGGTACTGGATGCAGGAATATGCATGGAATTGCTTGCAGATGGGTGTGCAAAGTGCTCTGTCTCTCCCTCCTGTGTACCTAGCACAAAAGCGTAGTGGGTTACTGCAGGAGGGACAGCACTATCTCCATCCACTTTCCCAGTCTGCAGCACGGTAGTAATTTTTTTTTTAAAAAAGGTTTTGCAGACTAGCAACTTTTGTGGGTTTATTTACAAGTCTGGCTGCCAAAATGATAGCAGTGCTGGTGCCAGGTGATCCTCTTTGAAGAGTGCATTCCATAACTAGGTTGTCTGCCAAGAAAGCCCTCTCCTTATACATAGTATTTGCACCTCTGATGGAAGAGGAACATGGAAAAAGTAATCAGCAGATCTTAAAGAATGGGAAGTTGAAAAGGGAATAAATGCTGGCTTATTCCCAAGTAAATGCATATAGGTCTGCAATTTAGATAGCAAATAACCTTACCTGTTTCTGACATTGGTAATCTTCAAGAAGATCTACCACCACATCACCTCAAACCTTGTAATGGGTCAAAAATATATAGAGAGAGAAAATCTGACTTTCCAAGCCAATCCAGTGCCAACAAAACAGGGAGTTCCCTCCATCTCCCCCATATTTCTTTTAACTGACAAGTGTACATATGAAAAGAAAGGAAAAATATTTCTGCATTTTTTGAAAGGACAGAAAACTTTCACATCTTTTCCTGTAAAAAGCTCCCAAAGCCAGGAAAAACCTCAGTACTTCCTCTGTTATTTGAAAGCTCTACACAGCAAAACAATATATCTTTCCTACCACCACAGTATTGAGAGTTGCAGTTGCTTGCATTTGTCTGCTCTTCAAATTCATAACTGCAACCTAGTATCCAGGCTCACAGATACCCCCTCAGCAGGCTGAAGAATCTGACAACTCAATAAAAGTCCTGTCCCTTTTGACCCCTCAACCAGGCTGTTGCGGCATTATTCAAAACTCCTGATCCAACATTTTCCCTTTGTTTCTCTATTAGGAAAAGAACCATTGTCATTCTCTCCTAAATATAATAAAAGGTCACAGGACACCATTACTCCATTTCCTGGTTTTGCTGTGAAACTGCTTCAAAACAGTGCGGGGGGGGGGGGGGAATCCACTGTTTAGACACTTTGACTCTCCTCCAACCCAAACCTTTTGAGTTTGCACAGATGTTAGAGCAAAGAGTGTTGGCTTCGCCTTCACTCAGAAAGCTGTCACCTGCCTCCATTTAATCCAGAGTGATAAATCTTCATCAGAGGACACCAGCATTAGTATTTCAGAAAGGATTCTGGGGAATCTGAAAATCCCCACTTTAAACATTTGTTCAGTAGACCATATGGCAATCTTGAACCACAAGAATAATAACATATATGGCATCCTAAAATGCTATAGTACTAGGGTTCAATATCAGGGTAGACTTGGGATACATTTTCCATTTTGGCAACCCCAGTAAGAAGAATTAGCAAAATATTCCTTTGACAACAACACTGTGGTGGTCAGTGACTTCTTATTAATTTGGGGCTAGATGCACAAGCAAAATTCCAAGTTCCCAACTATACTGGAAGGACAGAAGGCATTCCTGGAGAAATCAGTCAACTTTTTCCACCACCAACCTGCACTGACAGCAGAGCTCACTACTAACTTTGGGAGAGGTGTGCATGGGTGTAAGACAAGCATGGTGCACATGCGAACTGTCAGGGCTCAAACACCACAAGCACATACAAATTCCCAAATTAGCAAGGCATATGTGTGCCCTGATTATTTAGGATAGTCAAAAGACTCATAGCAAAACATTTTCCTTTATAATACCCTATTTGGCTGCCTGAACTGGTAATACTTCAAAACTGAGCAATTACAATTAAGCTAATATAATAACTTATGAAGAAGGATCAGTCCAGCATCCTGTTTCTCACAGTGCCCAAAAAGAAGCCCACACAAGACGGCAGTAGCCTTTTCTGGCCATTATTCTCCAGCAAGTGATATTCAAAGTCACAGGGTTTCCAGTCCTGGAGATATTAAACAGCCATAATGACAAGTGGCCATTGCTACTCTTATCTTCCATTTATTTGTCGAATCCCCTCAGAAAGCATCCAGGCTGGTAGCCTTCACCACATCTTGTGACAGTAAATCCCATCGTTTATGCGCTGTGCAAATTAGAACTTCCTTTCGGTACTATCATTAACAAGTACTGTTATTATGTATAAAACACCAGTTACGCACCCTATTACACAGATTATTTAAGAGCAGCAAGGCAAACCAGCTTATAAAGGCATCCCAAGTATTTGCCAAGCAGCCACCAGCATTTTATCTGGGCATGTTTACGAACCCTGAAAATCGCTATCACTCTCTTTCTCTCTTTGAATCCCGGGCTTGCAGAAAAGGCACTCTGCACACGCTCAGGCGCCCTCCATTAATTACTTCCCATGGCTCCTTAACACTCACGAGAGATTCCGGTTGTGAGGAAGGGTTCAGCTTAAGCCCTACCAAACAAACCAGACCCACACAGAGATGAAAACGCCTCTCTGTTTCCTGAGTGTCTAGTCCTCACGGCCTCTCCCCACCGGGGGGGGGGGTCCCTTGGGACAGGGAGGGGTGCCGGCCCCAATCTTTCCTCAGGCAGGTCAGGTCCTCTCATCCTCCCGAAGCCTCGGTGTCCCAGAGGGGAGATAGGGAGGCAGGCAGCGGCGCCCAAAGCGGCTCTCCAAGGGGGCAATAACCCGGAGGGCGCCTCGCCAACCAGCTCCGAGCCAAGGCAGGCGATACCTCCAAGGGGCCCCCAGGCAGACAGCCCCCCACGTCTCCCACTCACCAGCTCCCATGGCGGCAGCGGAGGCACCCGCGCTCCCCACCGGCCAACTGCACTCCGGGCTCCTCGGCTCGCTCGCAACTTTGCAAGCAGCCACCAGACGCGCTCTCCGGAGCTGGCACATTTGGCCAAGCCCCCATTGGCTAGCGCCTGCGTCGCTCCGGCCTCAAGCCCCGCCCTCGCCTCGCCTTATATGGACTCCCGCTTACTCTGCTTCTCTCTCCCTCCTCCCACCCCGCGGTACACGTGGGCGCCGCTGGCCCTGCTTCGCTGCCGAGCTGGAGGCTCGGCTCATTCTGGCGCTCTGCTGCGCTCCTTGTTGCAGCGCCGCGGCAACCCACGTCTCTCCCGGGGATGGTGAATAAGGATGAGGGAACAGAAAGGCGAGCAGGAGGATGTCTGAGCCCGATCATCACGCAGCCGCGCGCTCGGGCTTCCTTCACACAGTCCACTTTCAACATGTGCACAGTGCAGTTTCTCTGCATCATGGAATGGGAGTACTGGTGCTACAAGAGTCTTCAGTAAAACACTCGAAGGCTCAAGGTTATGATGAACATTTTTCATCCATGAGATGGCAAATAAAGCATTTTTTAAAACCCTCAGGCTATATTCCAGTCTTGTTTTAAAAAACAACTACTAGGCTTTTCAACCACTGTCATGATAACTCATGGGGAAAAAAACATGAACCCTACAGATACATAATTATGATGAATGAATGAATCGATTTATTACGCTCACAGACCAGAAATACGGACGTAAACAGCAACCGAGAACATGCAAATCTATATGGGTTAAATTTGCACTCTGTTAAGTTAAGCACAATAAATAATACGAATATAAAACAATTAAAATATATACATTATGATGGCTCCCTAGAACATCTTGCTCAGAATGCACTCAAGCAATGTCTGCACTTCCAGGAAGAAATTTTTCGTTTGTTGCCAAAGCTGAAATTATCTGAGCAACGCTTCCACTGACACCACCTGGAATCTTGTTCCACACCCCCACGAGCAAAACGCCCTGCAGGCTCACCCACTGCACACTCATCCTCAGGTGCTGTGGTGGCACTATGCCCACCGACAGGCACCAGCCAGTTAGGCTCACGTGACCCACCCTGGGATGTGTAGCTGTGAGATAGGCTCTGCTAGGCTTAGCAAATACCTTTCCATGCTCCCTCTTGTTCCCATGGGAGACTCCATCAGGCAGGATAGAGGGCTCAGGCAAGGCAGAGAGGCCCATTTCACCCAGTGCTCAAGTCAGCAAACGGGAAAACCAATTAGAAGCAAATAGCAGCAAGCTGTTGTAATAACACATGGTTATTGTTTAAAGTAGTGGTTCCCAATTAGGGGTCCGCAGAACACACCAAGGGGGTCCCCAGCAGCATCCCCTGACAGGGACTCACTTATCTTGTTAACTGCACCATGAAAGCTTTCCGCAGATCATCCAGCCTCTGCTGACAACCAGCGACTACTTGCTGGCAGGGGGGAAACTTAGTGAAATAATTGCTGGATGGCAAGTGAGCTGAGATTGGACACAAACCTTTGACCCAGTTTCTTAAGGCTCTTGTGACTGGAAGGGAGAGGGGGGAAAGAGTGCAAACGGCTCACGTGCTTATTTTAAAAAATGTAAGGGGTTCCTTCCCCTTGCTCTCTACTTTTTAACTTCCAATTGCTTTCAACAGCTATCAAGTTTTGAGGACCCTCCCACTGCTTGTAGGTGGGGTTTTCAGTGAATCTTGCCTTATGAATTTGGGATTCATGACTCATCTTGGAAGTCCAACACAGGAATTAGCTTAGCAAATTGCCACTATGATTAGCACAACAGCTCACCCTCTGATGATTTCGTTTAGTGCTAGGGCTGGGCGATACTTTCTTTTCAACAGCGCGATATATCAGCCGCTAAATACCAGTTTTCTTGGGTTTTTTTGTGGGAAGCTATGTGGCTACATTTGGGGGTGGAAGGAAACAGATGTAAGGCAGAATCCTAATAAATTAAAAAGTTGGTTGTTCCTATTGGGTAATCAGCAAGAATAAAAACCTCACTCCAAATATGTACGGTACTGTATTAAACTAATTAATCTCTTTAAGCCAGGGATGAAACTTGGGCACAGGAGGACTAAATAAATAAATAATAATAATAATAATAATAATAATAATAATTACTTCTCCTACTACTACTATTACCAACATTACAAAATTCCAGCTGTTTTCTACTCAGTCTTCACCAATACTTTATCAAGCCCTGACCAAGCCTTCACCTATGTCTTGAAGGTGCAAGATGCCTTAGTTAGCAGAATCATATGCTGCAAAGTTTTGCATCTCATATTACAAGTAAGGAATAGCATGTTTGAATGCTATTGAAATCCCCAGAGTGGCTGGGGAAACCCAGCCAAATGGGCGGGGTATAAATGATAAATTATTGTTATTATGATACTCTCGTATAAAAAGCCTTCTGCATACAGAACATTTGCAAGTTAGGGACACAATTGCTTTTCTTTTATTCAGTTGTAGTGGAGCAATGGAGACAAGTTTTTCCTACTGTCTGGGGATAGGCAATTTGTGATAATATCACAAATTTTATGGCCTGTTTTTTAGAGTATACTAAAATCCTTTGCTTATTAGGGGCTACCTCACATTTTCTTCAAAAAAATGCTTTGCACAGGTAACTTACCATAGAGTTATCTAAATTTTCAAAAGTAGGGAGTCCGTGGCTTGGCTTTTGAAAAATAGGGTGTCCTCAGTAATTAGCTAATTGGGAACCATTGGTTTAGAGCAATGGTGTGAGATGTCACTGTGTAATGCAAAACACATGACTAGCTAGCAGGGTTCTCTGGAGCCATGGGCTAGTCTCAAATATTGTTTTGCAAAAGCATGACTCACAAAGGCTGGCCTGTTGAGGCCACTCCAGCACCAGGAGAGGTCTATTACCCTTCCTGACCTGACTAAATTTGAGGAAGAAAAGTGGGTTACACTTTAGAAACTCTTTGGGGGTGTTGCTTGTTTGTGTGGCATGAGTTTTCTTAGGCAACAGCATATGTCGTCAGACTCCTCTTTTATCAGACAAATTAGGTTTTCACCTATGGGGGGGGGGGACCAACCCAAAATAAACTATGAGATATTCTGTGGTTTCGGACTTCTTGCTTCTACAGCCTAAGTGCAGATGTGATTTCTAGAGCAGTTTTGGTTTCTTTTCATTAAGCTGGGAGGTGGCCTGCTAATTTGTCGCTATCCAAACAGTGAAGTGTGAATTAGATGTGTGACTGAGACTTGAAGTGGCTGTGGTGGTGGTGATTTGTTTGATTTCTCACCTGCCCTTCACCATAAGGACCCAGCGTGAGTCACCACCATTTCAAAATACAACACTAAAATCAATTAAAACAAATTACAGTCAACTTGACTAGTGCCAGTACTGCAACCTCCTAGTTTTGGTGCCACTCTGGGTCCCAGGGTTCCAACTCCCAATAGAACGTAAAGCAGCGCTGTTTGTACAAAAATGAAGGGGGAATCAAGTCCTTAGTATGTCATATTGCATATCTGGGGAGCTGCATTTGGTGGGTCCCTAGATGTGGATCTCTGCTGTCTTCAAGAACTTGTAGGGCCACCAGGGGACTATTTTGAAGCCTCTGCCTTTGATCTCCTTAGTAGTAGAATTGTTTGGCTTTGGTTTGGGAGGCCCAAACAGGATTTTGTTTAATTATACAGGGCGGCTTATTATGACCATGCTTCAAAAACAAAAGCTAAACATTGCTGGCCAGAAGGTAGGACACTTATCTTTTCAAGCTTTCAAATTTCAGAGGTCTTCCTGTTTTGCCACTCATTAGCACTAATCACCCACAATATATGGAATAGTCTTGAATTTTGGCCCCCCCTTTTAAAAAATGTATTTTTATTAAAGATTTCCTGGTTTACAAAAGTATGTGCAATGTCTCTTTTTTCAAGTTACATTTTCTACAGATCAGTTTCATTTGTTGAGACATTGGTGTTAATTTTGGCCTCTTTTGAGCCCTCAGTACCATCCAACCTTCTGAGCAAAGAAGTGAATTCAAGTCTTCTGTGTGAGTTACTGCAGCAGCAGTCAGCAGGTGGCAATGTGTAACTATGAAATATCAGCCAGTAAGGTAGCTGACAGCTGCAACAGCAACAAAATCTTTCATGGATTAGATCAGTGGCATGATGAATATATGTGTGTGCAGACACAAATGTATGCACACCCAGGTATAGAGAAAATTCGAAACTGCAAAGCAACATAGCCATGAAATGAAAGAGGCAGAATCTGTGCTAACTCCATGTGTACTCCAAGGATTTCACTGCCATTTGGCCTCACATCCTGTTTGTGTTTTCTGAATTTTCCCCTCCCCATTTTATCCGCACAATAACCTGTAAGCAGCGGCGTAGCGTGGGTTGTCAGCACCCGGGGCAAGGCAAGTAATTTGCGCCCCCTAACCCCTAACCTGCCGCCGCTGCCAGCTTCTTCTTGCTGCTGCCTGGGCTGGTCTGGTGTGGTTCTCTCCCGCGCTCAGCGCTGCGCTGGGCGGCCGCTGCACTGTCCCTCCCCCAGATAGTCCCTCGCGCTCTCTCTGCACCGCACGCCTGGCACCCACCCCCTCCACAGTGGGCGGCGACCCAGCGGCTTGGATCGGATTCGCACAGCCAGCACTGCAGTGAGAGAGAGTGAGTGAGCCAGGTAGGGGCAAAGAGCTGCGAGTGCGAGCGCGCCCCCCCAGATGTTGCGCCCGGTGCGGCCGGCCCCCCTGCACCCCCCACGCTATGCCACTGCCTGTAAGGTAGGCTAGGCTGAAAGACAGTGACTGGTTCAAGGTCACTCAGGGAGCTTTGTAGCTGAGCAGGGATTTGAACCCTGGTCTCCCAGATTCCAGGCAGACACTTGAATCATAGCACCACACTGGTCCTCACCTATTTCCCATGTCAATTCAGAAACCTAAGATGACTATAAATTATATAACTGATGTTTCAAGTTTCCCTCCCATTTTCCTTCAACTTTTATATTATGAGAGCAACTTTCTATTATGAGAACTCTGAATGTAGACAAAGGAATCTGGAGCAACAGGTACTTTGTGTGGTGATGACAGTTCAGAGAGACGAGAGCAGCTGTCAGAAATGATTTTACAATCTGATCACAGCTAAAACATACCATGGGCTTTTCTGCACATTCACAATTAGTTTTACCAGTTCAAAAAAGCACTTTGTTACACATTTCCACTCAAGGTTACAGACTGCTTGATACCTGGGAAAATGTAATACAGTGGTACCTCGGGTTAAGTACTTAATTCGTTCCGGAGGTCTGTTCTTAACCTGAAACTGTTCTTAACCTGAAACACCACTTTAGCTAATGGGGCCTCCTGCTGCCGCCAGCACGATTTCTGTTCTCATCCCGAAGCAAAGTTCTTAACCTGAGGTAATATTTCTGGGTTAGCGGAGTCTGTAACCTGAAGCGTATGTAACCCGAGGTACCACTGTACAGTACTTCGTATGTTCCCTACTAATACTGAGCTCAGGTGGTTGAGTGCCAAGAGGACAGCAACCAAAATGGAGACCCTGTGAAACAGCATGCTCGGGTGTGCAGAAGTACAAAACAGAAATATGTTATTATTATTTGCATTTATCTCTCACCTTTTCCTCTATGAAGCTCAAGGTAGTGTACATGGTTCTTCCCGTCCTCATTCAAGCCTCACAACAACCCTATGAGGTAGGTTAGGCTCAGAGGCAGTGTCTGGCCCAAGGTCACACAGCAAGCTTCATGCCTGAGTTGGGATTCGAACCCTGCTTTCCCAGATCCTAGTCGGACACTCTAACCACTATGCCATGCTATTTTTGTACTGTTGTCATTTTCTCTTCTGTTTAGTTTCAGTTCAATGAATTTGTCCTGTTCTATGCAACGCTGCTTAGTTTAAACTGCTGAATTAGGTTATAGATTATTTGTATTGTTTTACACGACGTTGTATGGATTACTTTTCTGTACTTATCAATATTATGATTATAATTGTTTCTAATGTTTTGAATTGTTATACTGTACATTTGATGTTGTGAGGCACTCTGAGCGCAATCTTATGGGGAAGTGGCATACAACTAAATAAACATATGAGGATAATGAAAAGTGCAAAACATTTAAAAACAAAAAACAAGATAGTTGGTGAGGACAGAGGCTGCTCAGAGGCTGGGGCGACCCACCCCATTTCGGCTCATGAGTTGAAACAGGAATTGTTCTTCTTCCCGCTGTGTCCTCACCCTGATGTCTGCTACCACCATGCCCTGGCTCCCACCGAACCTGATGGGAGTCGGGGCACTGCTCAAGCCTTGCCACTCAGCTTCTCCCCGATGGCACACTGTAATGCCCCCCTCATAGCAGCGGAAGCAGTGTGGCAGGCAGAACACCACCTCTTACACTTACACTGCCTGAGGCAGATGCTTCACCCTGCCTTGTGGGTGGGCTGCCTCTGTCCAGAAGCCAATAATGTTGAGTGTCAGCCGGGAGGGGAAAGGGAAAATCTGTTGGGGTTGAGTGAAACAGAAACTGACCTGCTTAAGCCTCTGCTACAAGAGTAGAAAAAAATGCAGTGTGCCTCTCCATGGCAGAGATGAGCTACAAATCACACACCAGATAACTAATCTGATGAGCAGGGAGGAAAAGATTAGCATCCTCATCAGGGTGCTGGGCCGGGCTAAGAACTTTAAACCTTTCTTCCCAGCTCGGTAACACAACAAGGATGCAAATCTCTACTCAGTCACCTATCTGCTGAGAATGGATAACCCCCATCCACGCAGGTGATCTGCAGGGATCAGCTGATCATCCTGAAATTATTTAATAAGCATTCTGCCCCAGGAAGGGAGACAGAGGTTGGTGGAACATGTAAGCGTATCTGCTGTCCTATACAAAGTACGGGGTGCTCTGTAGTCCAGCTGGAGTATGAGACAGTCTGTGCTATTGCATGGGTCGACTGCAGTGGATTTTTACCTCATCAGAGGCATCAAAGTTAAGGCCCTTATCAAGCCTCTGGGGGGTCCCTCATACAGACCAGAGTGTGCCTGCTGCACTACAAAATCCAGTCATTTTCTTTGTGGACATGGCCTCCTTTTGCCCTTTAAATGGTTTGTGGCAGTGAGACAATGACGTGTTTAATGTGCCTGCAGTGTTGCCTGCCTCCGTCCTTGTCAAGGGGCTGTGTGGATCACTTTAACCCTATGTTCCTACTTTTCTTTTAAGAAAGCACTGAAATAAAAGACAACAGTTCACACCAGGAAACAGGGGCTCCTGGATTCCTTTTCACATAAATATCTTTGTGGTATTCATGGCAAGAGATACCCAGGATGCAGGGCAAACTGCACCTTGCTCGCAGAATGAAGGAGCACAAAGAGTTTAGTAAACACACTGCACATAATTTCTTTTAGACTGTATGTAATCTGAAACAACAGTGTTGGAGCCAATAATCCCTCACTCTCCAACCTCTACATTTGCCTGGCGTTGAATGGCACTGCTGATTTCATTACTCAAGCCTGCTATATGGTTCTATTCAATACTTTTCAGCCCTTCGGCTATAAGATCGAGCTCATAGCACCATGTCTCATAGCGGTAGGCCATGCGGATCTGAGCCACGTTGGTCTTGCGGATGTCATTGCCCTGAGGCCCCTCTTCTTGGTAATTCTTTCCCAGAATATGGAGCTTTTCCTGTGGAAATGATACAGTAAATGAGAGCCACCCCCTCACTCAGACTGCCATTCCCATCACCTTTTCCATAAAAAGAAAACCCAATTGCTTCCATTGCTTTCTTGTACCCTCTTTTGTTTGCTCAACCCTTGTTATATTCCTAGCCACTAAGCCCTGAGGCGGTGATCTACTTCCACACAGCCACAGGGTACATACTGTGGAATAGCCACACTTAGTTCACTCAGTTTTGACAAAGCATCTGTAAGATAAAACATCAATCTGTCATGTTCCACTGTTTCACTTTTTTCCTCTCCCCAGAGTCAGAAAATTCAGTCTTCCCTGGTGTAGATGGCCTAGATATTTTACAGAATTCGAACTAGCCATTTCCATCTCTAGGAGTTGGCTATATTACTTCAACGCTTCCTTTTCCAAATAGCATGGTCTTTCTTTCTTTTTCCTTTCCCCCACCCCCTAGATTGCAGTGGGGAGACCACTGCAGTGAGGAACCATAATAATGAATGCAGTAAGTAGGCAGTATTTAGCACTATCCCGCCCCCCAAAAAAATTCCAAATGAACCTCCCTTCCCAAAATGGCAGCTGAGGAAAGGGGTACTGATCATTTGGCTACAGATTGTTAGAAGTCTAGAACCAGAATTGTTATTCCACTTGGAGCTTAAAGCAGAACAGCAGTGATTTGGTGCTGCTAAATCACCCATATCAGGGAGCACTCTATACCCCTTTGAGATTTCCATTGAACACCATACCTCATGAGACAAGCCAGATTGCAGAACACTGTAGCGCGCAATCTCACACATGTCACAGGTGCTGAGCTTGAAGACCTGGGCAGCAATGGCATATTCTTCCATGAGAGGCTCCTGGGGAATAAAAAGTGAAATACAAAGTGTGGCCATTGCAAAGGTTATCGCAGAAACTGCAATGTTTTCCCTTAACGCTAGCTGCCCTCACACTTCTGAAAGCAAACAGCAATCCTAGGAAAGGATCCAGCTGCCTACCTTGGTGTAGTGGAACTGCATAGGGTCATCAGTGGATAGAGACACCATTAAGCCCTTCTGGTGGAAATCAAGAAGTGGGTTCTTGGCATATTCTAAGAAGAGGCTGTTGTTGCTGAGTGGGGACATGGCAATGGGGATCTGGGCCAGGTAGTACAGGTACTGCAGCACAGGACTCTGCAAAGAGACATGGCAAGGATAGATCAAGTCGAGGCAGGCAGCAGGACCTCTATTCCCTCCCGGCAAACATCATGAGAATGGGCTTCCAGGTTCTTTCTAAATGGGAGTCATTTTGTCTCTGTGTTCTAGATGCAATGCAGAATTGCTCGCACTGTTCCTTAGTTACTTCTCAGCACCACGTGCCAAGTACAAAATCCTGGCTTTCCCAGTTATGGGCCCACCAAACATCCTTGGCAGGATCTTAACACTTAGGAGACATCAGCAGCTCATGGAGGAGTCCCATCAAGTTCTGACAGGTCACAAAGCTCCCTTGAAAAGGGATGCTCCAAGAATGAGCTGGATGGATCAGTGATAACTCCGCTGGTGTAACATGAGCATGAAAGGACACCTGGGGATCTCCACAGCCCTTGCAACTCACCTTCTTGAGGTTCAGGCCATGGGAAATATTATCTGCAGTCATGAAGGCAGCCAGCAGGTGGGTGATAGCACCAGCTTCTCCACAGTGAGGACGAAACAGAAAAGTGTTCATTCCGCGTTCCCTGAGGGTGGCAAGGCAGCCTTTATGCAAAACCCAGATTACTGGACACATCTAGCAATATTTAGGAAGCAACCATCAGATGGCCCCAGACAGCTTCCTACTTGAAGGGACCAAACATGCTGGTGTAATGCTGGTATTAGCAAGCAGCAGGGACTTCACTTTTGTGCTTTGCATTGGTGAATGATAAAAATCCATGTTAACATGCAGATGAGTGTACTGTAACTTCTCTGCTCCACAGCCACACAAATCCAGTTGCTTTTCTGTCCACAAAGTTAATACATGTTTGAAACTCATGCAGGGCGGGGGGATAAATTGGGGGTGCAGTTTGGTTGAGAGAAGCTGCAAGCACAGAAAGGATTAAGCAATCCTTCACTGCCTCTCTGTATTAAATTGATCTTTCTTAAAGCATTTTTCTCTTCTTTATAAAAGCACCTGTCTTGTTTCATTGCAGTTGTCTGCAGATAATATTTAGTTAGGCCCCAGAGTCTCATTAGCTCTTTTAATAGAAGGCTTAGACAATATTATTATGGTGTTTAAAACCCATTCTCAAACTAGCAAAGGAAAAAATATATAAATATCTGAGAGATTATTTCAGCAGTCCTGGTATTATTATATGAAGTCATTACTTTTGCCAACACTAGATTGGATCCTTACTTAGTCCTCAGTTCACGTAAAGGAGTGGCTTTCACCAATTCCCCCTTTCATCTTGAGCTCCCTACTGCACCATTCCTAAGGGCCCCCCAATCCCCAGGAGCAGATTTGGGGGAAATGCAGGAGGCTGCAGAGGGAGAGAAGAGGCGGCAAACCTCTTTTATGCAGATGTGAATTCTGTTTCATTTACAGAAGGCAGGTTAGAATCCAAGCATTTAAGTCTAGCAGAACCTGGAACTGTGCCTCTTAGGGCTTTGGATCAATGAAGGCGAAGGATTGATGCCGTCAAGCTCTTGAAATGCAATATGCTTTAGTCAGGGTTAGTGGGTGGTCTTATCAGAACCAGCAGTGTTACTCCTGCTAAAGCAGTGTTTCCTCAAACTTGTTGTTGTACTATAATACCCATCATCCCTGACTAGCAGGACCAGTAGTTAAGGATGAAGGGAGCTGTAGTCCAACAACAGCTGGGGACCCAAGTTTGAGAAACACTGTACTAAATGTTGGTGCAGGTTATTTGTAATCGAAGCCTTTCACCTGGCAATAATCCTTCTGCCCAGGCTGGGACTCACCGTCGGAGATGATTGAGGACCATGATGTTGGCATACATGTAGTACACATAGTATGTATAGGAGGGGTTCTTCTCATGGGACCACTCCTCCGGCTTGGGGCTCTTGGTGCTGAACATGTGTCCACTGTGCTTGGACTCATCATCCACACTGTCAAAACCAGTAATCTGCAAATCGTACAATTGGTTCTGAGGAAGGGACCAACTCCAAAAGCAAGTCCACCTTCACCAAATAACATGAAGCCGATAACCTCTAATTCCCATCACCCAACAGTCACCCTCTGCTGCAGGGGGACAGAGTGGCCACCTCTGTCCAAGGTGCTACCTTGTTGAAGCTGGAAGACTGGAATCCAGTAGTGGTTAGGTGTTGTCATTTCTTATGTAGTATCTACCAGGCATCACCTTCAGTGAGGTGGACCCTTGGCCAGATCTGGTTGACAATATGCTGACTTAGATACACCCTCGGGTTTCTGGTGCTGTATTGGCCACTCTCTCTGTCACCTACTTTCAAAGAGCAAAGCCTGTCACTACCTAGGATTAGGCCCAAGGTGCCTCTGGGCAACAGTACTCACATGGCGCAGAAACACACTCAGCTCCTTGTTGTCCTGTGGGTTGATTGTCGCCTGAAATATTGGCACAAAAATGTTCTCCAGCATCTTCCCAAAGTGTGGCAAAAAGTTCTTTGACCTGAACACATCACTGAGAGGAGACAGAAACACTTTTGCTCGTTTCCATATCACTTACATGGGATGATTGAGAGAAAGGAAAATGTAAGCGGGCTGCAAATGGCAGAAGCAACTGAGATGAAGCAAGTGAACTCAGTCCTGAAGCACATACTTTGTCCCAGCTGTGTCTCAGCTTCCTGCTCATTTTGCTTTGCCCCACAGAACACAAAGGAAACCAAAGAAAATCCAGATAGTGTCATGGCCCTGGCCTTGAACTCAATCAGAGTCAGAGGAAGAAGAGCCAGCCAAACTCAGGGCTATGATACTACCAGGTAAGGAACTGAGCCAGGCTCCTGCTACTGAACCTGAGGCTAGTGGTCATAAGTCTGCAGACTTGAGCCAGAATCCTTGTAGATGGCTTCCCCTGAGTCCAGTCCCCTTGAAGGATCCAATATTCTCCCACTCCACTGCACCTGCCCAAGACCATAGGCACAACACACTAGGAAACAGGCATGGAAAGGAAGAGAAACCTTCGCTTTCAGGCCAGGAGATAGGGGAGAGAGGGGAAGTACTGAAGGGGTAGGCTGCATGGAGAGGCCCATAATTAGTGAAAGGGAAGGAATCTGGGTTGATCAGATCTATACATGGAATTTGGCACTTCTGACCTGATCAAACTTTGCCCCCACCAGTACTTACTAGATTCTGGGCACTTGGATCATCCACTTCATATTGGGTGAATAAACACGGTGTGCGTTGAACCAGCTGGCTAATTTTGGCCACTCTTCCGGTGAACGCCCATAGATGGAGAGCCGTGGCTCTGCGTACTGGTACTTGGCATCCTCCAGGTCAGAGCCAACCTCCTGCAAAATAAAAAGGGAAAGGGATTACCTGATCCGCTTCCAGGAACTGGCCTTATCCTCAGTCTACCAGCCGCACAGACACAAACCCTTGCATACCATAGTCTCTAACCTTGATGATGGTGGCAAAGTATTCACCATTGATGGCATTTTCAGACTTGAGGTAGAGATCACGCAGCTCACTGGCACCCACCGGGTTATACTTGGCGTTGAACTTGTCAAAGCGCTGGAAGGTCTGCCGGCCCTGTGACATGGAGGAGGAGGAGGAGTCATTGGCTAGACGCACAGAGCAAAGAATACTTGTAGGAGGTAGAGATGGCGGGGCAGCAACAGCTGGGGGGGGAGTAATTAGCCACAGCCAGTCATATGACAGAGACCATGGGGAAGGGTGGGAGATCTCCTGTACTGGAAAGGAAAAGCAGGACTCACTGCGTGGACGTCAAGGGAGTCCACAGTCAGGTCATAAGGGTGAAGGTTGAGCTGCTCAAAAAGCTGCTTGAGCGTCAAGGTCTTGTCCTTGGATTTGTACACAACCCTTTCAGAATTTTCCCGGTAAGACTTCTTAATGAATCGCAGCAAGTGCTTCTGGTTCATGCAAGCTGCAGCATGGATGTGCGTGTCGATCTGTTAAGAGAAGAGAAAAGTCAGCCGAGGAGGTGATGGTGACTGCAGATGCCTCCCTCCCACAGAACCCACCACAGCAATGATATTGGAGGAGGCATTGATGAGGTACATCATTGTACCTTAAGGCCAGGGTACCTAACCCACAACTTGCAGGTCTCATTCATCCCCCACAACCCTTTCCCATTTGCCTTAAAAAAATAATAGTTAAATGCTGTATTTTATTTTATTTTATTTACTGCCCCTATTGGCCTTCCACTGTGACACCAGACTTTTTTGTAGCTCTTAATGCACTCCCACTGATTTTTCAGGGGGAGGCCAGAATGTGATATTATGGTAATATTATGGTGCCACATGTGTGTGGGGTTTTTGTGGCCATCCAAGGCCCCCCAAATCTTGTAAATTAAAATAATAATATTTAAAAATATGTTTACTGACTACTTCTCCTCTGGCAGCACTGGGTCCAAAAGGTTTTGTTAATCCCCCAAACCCCCAAATCCATCCATTATGAATAAACATTAAAAAAAAAATTTTTAAATTAAAAAAAGATACTGACCATTTCTTCTTCTTCTTCTTCTTCTTCTTCTTATTATTATTATTATTATTGAATGAATTTATATACCACCCTATACCCGGAGGTCTCAGGGCAGTTCACATAATAAAATAAATATCCTTTGCTGTAATTTTTATGATCCAGCAAAATTTGCCCTTTAAAAAATATTGGCCACACCCACACCTACACTTTGGCCACACCCACTTTGATCTGCAGCCCCAGAGGGTGACAAAGATCAGCCACTCCTGCTTAAGGAGGCAACACCTTGGACAGATCCCTCACCTTACGGCAATTATAGAAGTCCCGATGGGGGTTGTTCTTCAGCTCCTTCAGCTCTTCCATCTCATTCAGCATCTCATGCACACTGAACTTGGAGGAGAGGAACCGAAGGCGTCGGTGTGTGTAGGTTTTGCTGCAACAGTCAAAGGAAAGAGCATCATCTCAAATAAGCCACTCGCAGAATAAGAGACCAAGCCCAGGTTCACCAGCTTGCCAACGCAACCAACATTTGCCAGCCAGCAGTAACCCTGCTGCTGTCACACGACAGCTTAATAAAGGTCACATTCCAGAGCAAGTGACCTGAGACAGCAGAAGTCAATGCAACAGGGATATATGTGTGCTGCCTTGGGGTGGCTAGACTTTTGCCCTTTTCCTATTCAGGGCAAACCCAGGTCAGCAGCAGCCACCTTAGGCAGCAAACCCTGGGCATCAATAAAAGGAAGCACATTGGTTGTTCGCTCACTGTTACATTTTTCATTGCAGGCTGGGCGCCCTTTGGATTTTCTGCCTGAGGCTTCAATAATCTCTTGGGCTGGCCCTGCTTATGTGCGAAGGGGCCATACCTCTAAGACACTTACACAGGTCCCTGAGCTATAAGGGCCAGCAGGAAGTTCATGTCATCAATGAAGACATCCAGGTTAGGGTAGGGCAGGTCCTTGGGCTCACCCCTGGCAGCAGCAGCTTTGTCAGCATAGATGTATACCACACCTTCTTTCATTTCCACATGGTAGCCCAGATTCTCGGGCAAGTTGCCAGACTGGAAGGGATCTTCATCTTTCTTCACAGGGGGAGAGAACACTAAAATCAAGAGGAAAGTGCGCTAACGTTGAACAAGGAAAGGACAAAGGAAAAGGCTTGGGGGTCTTTAGCATGCTTCTCTTACAGCTATCAGCCTACAAGAATTAAATTCTATACCGCTAAGGAAACTACATGACTGCCAGGACTGAGACTGGCTGAAATCCCCATGAGAGAACGCCACCACTATCCATCCCCTGCATGCAGATGCTTTTGCTACAATTTCTGTCTTTGTTTTAGCTAATTTTGGCTCCCGACTGCATGAGTATCCTTTAACAAGATGGCGCCTCTTGTAACACAATCCTAAAATCCAATTTATTCTGCGTGACTAATAACAAGCTTAGGTGTGTTTTAGTAATTGCACATATCTTTTGTTTTGAGTGTGTAGTGAAAAGCATTCCCAGAAATGTGAAAGTCCTGCCTCCGCCTCAAAGGCAGAAGGAGAAGCAGCACGGTCAGTGCTCTAGCCCTAAGATAACGGGTGCCTAGGCTTTTCATACCTCACACCAGGGCTAGCCAACACAGCGCCTTTCATTTATTGCTGGACTACAGCTCCCACCACCCCTGACCACTGGCCATGCTAGCTAGGGCTGATGGGAGTTGAAGTCCAACAGCATCCCAAGGGTACCTGTCGGCTATCCCTGCTTTACATCATATCCTCGTTTGATTCACAGGCCCCTTTTCCTCTTGTATGTAGATAGATCTGATAATGGAAGTCTAGACCAGAGAATTAAAGTCTGATTCAGGTACAGACTAAGAAGAATACCCCTTTGCACATGTTTTTCATGCAATAAGTTTCTTGCTCAATTCTAGCCCTCTCCAGTTAAAAAAAGGATCAGATGGAGGATGGTATGAAGGAACCCTAGCTAAGATGTCTTTTGGAAAGCCTCTGCCAGTCACAGTAGACAACAGCAGGCTAGATGATGTGGCAAAAGGGAATTTCCTATATTCCTACCTGTTATGAACAAGCATGTGTGACAGAAGCATGAGAACTCCACTTAGGCCAGGCTGTTCTTTGTAACATGGGAAAACAGGGGGGTGAGGTTGAAAATGGTAGACTGGGTGAGTCACCAAAGCTAAGCCAAAATATGGCATGATATTGCACACTGGAAAGAGGTCCAGCACAAGAAATATAGCCCTAAGGCCAAGGCTACATGTCATTCAGATTCTCTGACTACCTGACAGTATTCATAGTAAATTCAAAAAGATACTTGCTCAGATAAGAATGAGAGCCAAGGTGGAGGGGAGGTGCCAAACCTCTACAACTCCATCTGGGAAGCTCCTCTCCTCAAGTCTTTGCAAAGGCCTGGCTCTCACTGGCCCCGGCAGAAAGCTGCTCTCACTGTGCTCTTACTTCTAAGTAAGGAAGGCCCATAGCTCAGTGGTGGAGCATCCGAACGGAAGGCAGTGGATCCCAGGTTCAACCCCTGGCCATCTCCAGACAGGGCTGGAGGAGACTCCTGTCTGAAACCCTGGATTGCTGCTGCCAGTCAGTGTAAACAATACTGAACCAGATGGACCAACAGTCTAAGGCAGCTCCCTATGTTCGTAAGCGTTCTGCATGCTCAGCACACCAGCTCTGCACAGACAGAGTGTGGTGGTGTTGTTTTTTTTAAAAAAAGATTAAAGCAGCTAATGCAATTCTCCACAGTGCCCTCCATCCCACCCACCCACCCACCCCAACACCTGCTGTCTTGCTCTGGGACACACCCACAAGCCCAGTCACCCAGTACAGCCTGCACAGCCTGCCTGGGTCCTTACCTGGAAGCAGGTCGTCATTTGGCTTCCACACCTCACTTTCAATAGTGCGCAAGAACTGGGAGGGAGTCTTGGGGAAACGCTGGAAAGATTTGTGCATGTACTTCTCCCGGATACACAGGGCACGATACAGGCCTCTGCAGACCACTTCAAAATCCTCCACTGTCACCTGTGGAAATATTTGTTAAAACTTCTGGCACTGATAAAAAAAAGACAGAAATTACAAAACAAAAGGGGGAAAAACCCAGGTGTGCTGAAAACCACAAAAGGGCACTTTAGCCCTATTCCATACCTTCCAACATTTCTCTGATGAAAATAGAGATTTCCCCTTCAACATTTCTCCAATGAAAATGGAGATATCCTATTCCATACCCTCTGACATTTCTCTGAGGAAAATAGGGATGCCCTATTCCAAACCCTCTGACATTTCTCCAATGAAAATAGGGACATTGTAGGAAAAGTGGGACATTGTAGGATCAAATCAGAAACCAGGATGGCTTCTGTAAATCTGGGACTGTCCCTGGAAAATAGGGACACTTGGAGGGTCTGTCATAGGAATAATAAATGATACAAATAATACAGCAGGCAAGGAAAGGGGTTTCTCAGAGTTCAAATCATGCAAAAACCAAAACGCTCATGGAAGGTGTGAGGCAAAACTGGCAGAGGTTGTAGCCTGAGGACAGATAATGTGGCTGGTAGGGGGAGGGAGCGGCCTGTGGAGAATCCCAAGGACCAGATGGAGAGGCATGGGGGACACATTTGGCCCATGGGCCTAAAGTTCCCTACTCTTGCACTGTGAGATAAACAGTCGTCTCCCAGCATGCCTGGTTGGAGGTGGTGGTGGGGATAACAATAGCAGTGAGAATGAAGCAGGCCCAGCGTCAGCACATGGCAGCTATTACGGCTCCCATGTCCTTGGCAGGGCCGATTGCACTGACAGTTGCCTGTCCTCGTTGAGCTCTGGTGGCTGCCATTTAGCTGGTGCCTGCCATTTTATTTTCCCTACAATGCTCTGGGCCATCACAGTTCCTGGGCTATGGTAAGGAAAACAAAATGGCCGACATTGGGAGATTGTCACTCACAGGAACCTTTCTGCTCCTTACAATTAGGAAGGAAGGAAGGAAGGAAGGAAGGAAGGAAGGAAGGAAGGAAGGAAGGAAGAGCCACTGTTTTGCAATGCTGCAAAGGAAGCCCACCCAGGAGGGAGGCCACAGCAAGAACTTTGCTTAAACCTGGAGCCGTCTGTGGGATAGAGCCCAGTATGGTTGCTCAAGTGAAGGAGAGTACAGCGTATATTCCAGCAGCAGCCATGTCTTCCAATAACCCACCAAGGCTGGCAATGAAAGGTGATCAGGGACATGGCAGGATCCAGCTGTTGGAGCTATTTTGAGCACCAGGATGTTCCCACTTCAATTTCATCAATATCCCTTGACCCAGCAAATCCCCCCATATTTGATTTATTTCTCAACAGGTTCAAGTTAGGCCACTCAAAACACAGACGCAGCTAGCCTAAGGACACAGCTAAGGTTAGTTGCAGGAGTCCCACTGAACTCCACCTCCTCCCATTCCATTTCGGGGCTGTGTCTCTTGCAACTTGAAATGCGGGGTGGGGGAATATGGGGGGTGGAGATCTGGAAAGAGCAGCAAGCCTTTTCTATGTGATCGGGGTTTGTGCCCAATAAATGTGCCTTTGTTGCTCATCTATAAAGCCGGCAGATATTCTCTCTCAAGGCAGTGCTGGAGGAGGGGAGTGGACCACATTTTCCAAGTGCTCTGTAAGCACAATGCTTGATTATATCCACTTCATGACATTTTAGTTTTAGAGGGCAATTTTTTAAAATTCTCTGAACACACTTTATTTTACTTCCCTTGTCGATCCCACTTGCAGTTAGCACACACACTATACATTTAAAGCACCCCCAAAGAAACCTGGGAACTGTAGTTTACCAGTGAGCTACAAAACCCAGCACCCTTAACATACTACAGGTAAGGTCTGCTTTAAATACTGTATATGGTGTGTACCAACCCTGAACAGACTTTTTAATATATGATTATTATTATTATTATTATTCAGGGAAGCCCTGAAAAACAGGAGGGTTACCTCCCCCCCCCGCCCCCATTTCAAGTTGCAGTATTGGGAGTACCACAGTATTGGGAGTACCACATCTAACAAAATGGAAGAAGAGGCAGCAGAATAGACTCATCATGACAGGAGATGGTTTGGCACCTCCAGCTACTGACCCCTGCAGCATAGTCGCCCGTGATCTGAACACGCTGGAATTTGGGAACGGCTTGATACGAAGCACTGCTGGAGATGACCTCATCTAAGGTGGACAGTTTGGTCGAAGACTTTCCCGCAGTAGGAACAAGCAGTGCAATGGTCTTCAGCCGCAAGAGCCTCTTCTTCCTAGGAGGGATGAAGAAAAGGAAAGCAACACAAATGGAAACTCATTTCATATAGTTTTGTCTATGCTTTGGCAGCAATCATCTGTCAGTTCACCATACACTTCCCATAGCTCTGGCTACATTGAAAGTTTGGCTGATATTTCATGATCCTGGAGGGAGGTAGCAAAGGAATATACAAATGTCTTTATATACTGTATTGTGGAAGGCCTTGTCAGTAATGGCACCCTGAAGACTGGCTGGCACCTACCATGCCTATTTTGTGGCACCAACTAAAGATCTATCTCTTCCTCCAATTCAAAAAGCCTTTGAATTGGTTTTTGAAAAAGGAGAGAGGAAGTGATAGTGGTATGTTTTAATTACATTTTGTCTTTTGTTGTTGTTGTTGTGATCTGCCCAAGGATCACTTGTGATGAAGCTGAACTATACATTCTATAAATAGATTCAGAACTAGCATCTTTCTGGTGTGGTTTTGGACCTTCTCTGAATTGACTAGCTTCTTCAGCAAATTTGTAATCTGCATCTAAAGACATTTCCACGAGGAAGCAGAGCATACAAATTATGGGGTCAGAGTAAGCCACTGAGGAATAGGAGCAAAGTGCCACTGCTCAGGTAGTATTGACAAGAGGCACACTTATGGAAATCAAAAGGACAAATAAGACCATGGCTTTCACACTTGCTTGCAGTGAAAAGCTACCTATCTGCCGTCATTATCATATGGAAATACTCCATTCTTCCGTAGGAAGGCAATGTGGTTGAGAATATATCTGCTCAAAACTGTTCAGTACCTAGAAACATAGGGCAAAGGCTACTCTTCCAACAATTCCAGCCAAGTGACTTGGGGAATGTTTTATATCCACATCAGTTTTGAAAATCTACGTGAGCAAATGGTTTCGCTTTAAGCTAATCTTCAAAATACTTAATCACTTGGTCTGCTCTGATGATTAAGGGGTGCTAGTACAGACGGTGCACTCTGTGCTGGTGGCTGCTCCGATTGGAATTAGCCACTCTGTAAAGGTAAAGGTAAAGGTACCCCTGCCCGTACGGGCCAGTCGTGTCCGACTCTAGGGTTGTGCGCTCATCTCACTCTAGAGGCCGGGAGCCAGCGCTGTCCGGAGACACTTCCGGGTCACGTGGCCAGCGTGACGAAGCTGCTCTGGCGAGCCAGCACCAGCGCAGCACACGGAAACGCCGTTTACCTTCCCGCTATAAAGCGGTACCTATTTATCTACTTGCACTTAAGGGTGCTTTCGAACTGCTAGGTGGGCAGGAGCTGGGACCAAATGACGGGAGCTCACCCCGCCGCGGGGATTCGAACCGCCGACCTTACGATCAGCAAGTCCTAGGCACTGAGGTTTTACCCACAGCGCCACCCGCGTCCCACAGCCACTCTGTAGTTTCCCATAAACACAAGTCTTCCAAGGTTCAGGAACCAGCTCTTTTCACATCCGTTGCCACCTTTCCTTAGTGTGAGTGCAAGTGTATCTGGCGCCTGCATTATGATGCTTCAGAGGTACTGTGATCAGCACACATCTGGCACAGGATCTATCTGAGCCACACCTTACTAGGTTACCCATCCAATCTTTCATGGCTCCTCCTTCCTCACCCCCAATTTCCCATTATCCCAGCAGTGCATGCACACATACAGAACTCTCACTTTTTCCCAGTGTCACTTGAACTCTCCTCCTCCTTGATCATATGCTGTTGCATTTCATGATGTGATATGGGGCAGACATCCTCCACATCAAAGGGAGAGATTTCGTGCCGGCCCCCTTCATCCTTCACCTCTGAGGCAAAGACCTTCTCTGCGAAGGAGCGCATGGCATCATCCGTTTCTGTCAGGAGAAAGCAGAAGGTCACTAGGCCAGCTCTTGGTCATTGTGGGAGGATGGATCAATTGCGTCACTCAGCACACCAGCCCTGTGTGCACTCAGAGGCCACCTCATGCCTGCATTCTCTTTGTATGCATGACAGGGAACTGACAGGCTAAAACAGTATGTCACATGTGCTCTGAAACTGAAGACTTACCTGCACCACATTCCAGCTTGATAGTTCTAGGGGAGAATGCAGCTACAGGGCTGCAGAGTATTTACAAAGCTTACTTATCATGTGTCACACAATTGATCCATCAGCCTCAACATAGTCTACTTTGACTCAATGTCGCTGCAGGGTTTTAAGCAGATAGTATTCTTAGTACTTCTACTGATAACCTTTTACAGCGAGATTCCAGGGCTTCAGTGAGGAAAGGTGAAACACCAGTGACGAACCATGGATGTGTTGGGGTGCATAAATGCTTCATGGTATCCACTCATGGCTCTAGATTCTGGGTGGTTAGAGTCTGCGTTTCTCCATAGTCTGGAAATGTTTGTGCCTCTCTACACTGAGTATGCTGTCATGGCAATGAGAATAAGAATGAAGCTGAATTTGGACTGATAGGTTTGGCTTTCTCAGCCAGTAAGTGTAGATGGCATCACCATAGTGGGTGCAACCTGCTTTGGACTGTGAACTGGATCTAAACTAAATTCCAAGCTAATGTGAAACCAGGTGACTTAGAAAAGAAGTGTCTTACCTGTTTTGGGCTTCCTCATTGTAGTCTTAGCCCGTTTTTGTGGAAATCAGAGCCTGGATATCACCCTTCTGCCACTGAGCAACGTGTACAGGAAAGGGCAACAGTCATAGATGTTTCTGCTTAGAGATCTCAAGGTGCACAATAAGGAGTGCTCACAAATAACTGTGGGGTCAGAGCTCCAAAAGGCAGGCTCTGATCTTTCAAACAGCCTGAGACTACTGCATGATGTTTCTTGTTGTAGCCAGCAATGATGGTGTATGCAGGTACAGTCCCATGAAAGGATATGTTATACAGATCTGTACAGGTCCTTCTGAGTATGGATAGTGTGAGACCTTTCAGGTTATGGTGTTTCGCAGGATAGTCACGTCTGCTGAGAATCAAGCATTGGCTATGACTTACAATTTTACTGTCCAATTCTATGCATGTTTACTCACAAGTAAAAGTCACCATTGCCCGAGTAAGTGTGCCCAGAACTGCAGCCTTAGTACAGTCATACCTTGGTTCTCAAACACCTTGGTACTCAGACGTTTTGGCTCCTGAATGCTGCAAACCCGAAAGTGAGTGTTCCGGTTTGTGAATGTTTTTCGGAAGCTGAACATCTGACGCAGCTTCCAATTGAGTGCAGGAAGCTCCTGCAGCCAATCGGAAGCTACGCCTTGGTTTTTGAACCATTTCGGGAGTCGAACGGACTCCCGGAACAGATTAAGTTCAACAACCAAGGTACGACTGTATCATACAAAAGGCTGCAGGGGTGTGTGTGTGTGTGTGTGTGTGTGTTGCTCTGGATCTTGGAAGGATGAAATTAATTATTAAAAGCATATATTTATTACAGTGACTAACAAAACAGAGATATTGGGTGGTACCCAGCAAAGTGGTTCTCTTAGTGCAAGGACTTTGGACTGTACAACAGAACCTCCTCTCTCTTGCTTTCTTTGAGCGTCCCCTAAATCTGTTCTGAAGTTTTCTCCAACTCTTTGGAGCAGATTTGGGGAAGAAATGGGGGTGGGGAGGAGGAGGAGGGAAAGTTGCATTGCCCAAATGGAAATCCTTGCACTAATGGGATTAGTTTATTGGATACATTAAATTCATATAGTAAAATGTTTTGGTGATCGGTGACTATTTTGCTGCCGAGAAAATGCTTTTCTATAAGAATTTAATATCTCAATCACTGTAATCCATCCACACTCGTAGGCTATCAGAAGGGCATGTGTGTGCAAGCGCTGCTTTAATGGTGGACATTGAGGAAGCAGGGAAGTAATCTGGTTCAGCAGGAGAAATGCAAGTGGAATAAGCAGGAAGGGCATAGGGGATCATGACAATGAGATGGGAATGCCAGAGGCCATGCAAATGGCAAGTTCATGCAGTGCCACTTTACAGACATACAATGTGCATGGGGATTGAGCAGGGAATGAAGTCCACACTCACACCAGACTAGAAGGTTGGACATAAGGGGTCGTTGTCCTATTCCGAGCTCCTAAGTCCTGCCTAGAGACCTCTTGTGTTGTCAAAGCAGCCAGTGATCCACATCTCAATTCCACAAGAACAGGGAAGCAACATTGTTCCCAGCAAATGCCCTTGCGCACAGGGGTTGCTGGGCAATGTGGCTCATGCTCACCTGTGCACCCAGCGGTAGCCAGGCAGCCCAGAAAGACAGCCATTTCTCAGCAGGGCAATCTGTGCCAATGCCCAGTTTTTAGGTTGAAATGCAGTCATATACCAGGAGCTTAATGAGGAGAGAACCTTAGAGTCTGACTATATAACCCAAGAGTCAAAGTGGGCCCACTACCAAGTAACTTCAACCATCCACTCGTGTTCCTCTTTTCCCTGCAAGCAGGGTGCTTTTGAGGGTCCAGCTTAGTTGTAAAGGTAAAGGGACCCCTGACCATTAGGTCCAGTTGTGGCTGACTCTGGGGTTGCGGCGCTCATCTCGCTTTATTGGCCAAGGGTGTACAGCTTCCGGGTCATGTGGCCAGCATGAATAAGCCGCTTCTGGTGAACCAGAGAAGCAAGAAAACGCCGTTTACCTTCCCGCCAGAGCGGTACCTATTTATCTACTTGCACTTTGACGTGCTTTCGAACTGCTAGGTTGCCAGGAGCAGGGACCGAGCAATGGGAGCTCACCCCGTCGCAGGGATTCAAACCACTGACCTTCTGATCAGCAAGTCCTAGGCTCTGTGGTTTAACCCACAGTGCCACCCGCATCCCTGCCTTTAGTTGGTGCCCAGGTAAAAGACTTGGTGGAGAGAACTGGGCTCCAGCATTCCTTCCTAGTATTGCAACTCAAAGGAAGGTATCTGAGCTCCTTGAAAAGGCAGGTTTGATGAAGGGCTGAATCATCCAGACTCACGAGGACAGCACACCCCATGCAGGTCCCGTTATGACACCCTTCCTTCCTCCAAGCCCCATACAAGCTTTCTTCCTCACCCCAGATGCATCAATAGCTCCTGGCAATGACTGCTGAGAAACGGACAGTCGCTGAGTTGCTGTGATCATTTGTCTTTTGGATATGATCAACTGCTTAACAAAGCAGCAGGCGGCACAAGGAAGGCCGAGTTATACTCACGTTTCTCCTCTGCTGTTTGAGAGTGAAATAAAATAAATGTAATCAGATCACAGGATGCAGCACCTAAAGTTTCTTTTTAACCTTGTCCACATTTATATACAGAAATGAACATTTTTAATGAGCAAATGTTTGCAGAAATATATACTCTACATACCATAGTAGTTGAACAGCTCTACAATGGGAAGAAAGAACAGCCAAGAAAGCAATTTGGGGCAACTTGCCCAGACATCCTGATATGACGGATGCAGTCTTTTAAATTCTACCTCAGAACCAGGGATTGGCACCACCAATATCCCTTTCCATGCATTTATTTGGATACAAGTGAGCATATGGAAGGGGCTTGTGAGGGCCTGATCTCAATGACTCCATGTATTCATAAAATACTGTTTTCACAGACTCTGTGCTTGTACATCTGAAGGTATATAGCTTCTTGTATGCATGATTTGGAACATTTGCCTAAAAATGTAATACTCTCTTTGCAAATGGTAACTCTGAACTGTGAACGTATGGTGGTCTGATTACCACCTTCCATGTATGCCAAAGTAATAATATGAAAAGATAATCCTTTAGTCCAGCAGTTTCCACACACAAATATTCTAAAACCTACTATGTAGTACTTCTTAGAACAGTTGTTTGATAAGGAGAAAATCAGCCTAGACTAGATTGAGGGCCTAACCCCACTTCCTTTTGTTCCACTGCTTTCCCCCAGGGAAAACCACTCTCATTAGCGCTCAATCAGAGCAAACAGCAATTCAGGTTTTCTCCAGATTGACATTTGCTCCAATTTAGCACTAGAGAGTGTGTTTTCCCTGGGGCTGGAGCGAAGCAAGAGGAAAACCACTCAGATCCATGCCTACAAATCACGGGTCAAGCAGAAGTGTGTACGAGCCCTTAGCTGGAGTGTTTCCAAGCATGGAAGATACCACTGTATCTGAAGGGGGTGCAGACTGACAGTTTTTTAAAAAAAAGTTAGTGTGATATATCAGTTGAAACTGCAACACAAAAATGTGGTCCAGGTCTTCTTAGTAGGCACCTATGGGTATTATTCGGCATTTCTACCATTACAAAGCACAGGTCCATCCATGCTCTTCATTCTCCCCTGACAATTTATTAGCATGTCTACCAGTAGGATTCATCTTCTCAGCTTGCTTGCTCAAAGGAAGTAAAAGGATACAGCAGCAAAACTTCCCCTTTTAAAAAAACATGCAAAAGTACAAACTGGAACCAAGGTCTGTTTGTTAAATATAACTGTCATACACAAAGGGAAACTATTGCACCATTCGCGTTCTGTCAAATGAAATCAACAGACCTGAGGCTACCTGTTCATGTGGCATGGACATTGTAGGAATATTTGATTATGAGCTGTGGATATTTATTATTTTCATTTAAAAGGGAAGCATCTTTGTACTCTGATATGGTGGGGGGTGGGAGAGAACAGAACCCTTTGATAACAACTTGAAATATTGGACAAAGAGAAAAGCGACAAAACACTTTTTAAACCCATTCTGTTTGCTGTAAGAAATGTTTCTTTAGGAGCATAACAAAATAAGAGCAAGTTGAAAGGATTATTTATGTAATTTTTAAGCTTATCAAAGGCTTAGATTTAATATGTGGATAGTTGCTGCTGCTTCAAAAAATACAATAAACCGGTAATCAGTTTTGTTCTAGATTCCTTGGACCATGTTGCTATTCTGCTAGTAACAGCACAGAACCACAGAGTTGGAAGGCAACATGTTCCGAGTAAGGATTATTCAGGTCTTTTACGAGATGACAAAGAGAAGCTAAATTCAGCCCCCTTTTGGCTACCAGCCTGGTGCATGTCTTAATTACCTTGCTGCTAATGATAAGCCATTAAAGGTTACTGAAAACCCTTCAATTTCTCTTTTATCTGGCAAACACCAATGTCTAGGGGTGCTCCTGTGTAAGTTTATCCAACCTCTGATAAAGTTTTAACACAGCAAAACTGGGTTCTGCTGAATCGACTGGTCTCATCTAATTTCACTTCTGTAGCCTAAAAGCCACTTGCCTGACCGTCTATCCAAACTACTCATATTGGGAAAGCTAATGGCTCAAGCTCTCACTCCTTCCACCTCCTGTGCCCTGCACAACTTAAATAGGCAATCAGAGCTGCTTTGTGAATCCATTCTTGAGAGTCTGGCTTTTGGCACCAGCCTAATCATAAAAGAAGGCTTCTTCCCAACTTGCCTAAGGCTACGTGGGAATTTAGACCTACCTGGAACTTTCACCTTCGGCATTTTCCCTACTACCTCAGGAGAGTCCTGAGAAACCAAGTGTGGCGTGGACGAGTGGAAGAACGAAACTGCACAACCACCCAACACTCATTTTACTATTTATCTCTGCTCTTGTAACCCAACTCTCCTATCTAAAAGGAGTGAAGGAATACGCAGCAGACTATTTAAAGCTGCAGCCAGGCGAAGTCTCAGTTGTTAACAGGTGAAGCTGCAAGCTTGGGGGTTAACTCTGTTTGTCCCGAGATGTATGGGCAGTAAATCTGGGAGCTCTGCTCCACCCACCACAAATGAGAGAATGTTGCCAGGATCATGGCCAGGACTGGGTGCTTTTGAGTTGGTCACAGGTGGCCCCTATCACTGACTCATGAATGGAGACCAGATTAGCACAACTATTTGCACTGAATAAAAAAGTACTGACTTTGCACCACAATCCTTTGGGATATGTTCAGCACTGGAACTTATCTGCAGCATCCTTTCAAGCAGTTTTTTGCCTCTTCAAAATCTGTATTGATCCAGGCTAGCGGTGGGTACTCTGCTCCCTTAGAGCAAGATTGCATGGCAAAACTAAGAAATATTGAATTCATCAATACATACCAAATATGTTTAGTGCTTTTTTGAAATGTTATTGTATGGCTTTATATGGCTCCAATCCTTCCTGAGAATGGATGCTCAAGTTTCTGTGGTAGCCAGGGGTACATTTGTTTCATCTACCCTCTACTGAACCTACCCCTGTTTTATGATGTTACATTATTTAATGTTAGTGTATTTTATAGCTAACTTCAATTGGCATTAGTCATCCTAAGGGCTAGAATGGTGGGATATAAAATCAGATTTTAAAGCAAGGATAGCACAAGAAATGAATATTATGACTACTGAAACACGGCCAAGTATTTGAGTGGCCTTCCTAAAACGCTGCTTTGCTTCTGATGTACAACCGTGAAAACTATTTCCAGTCACCAATGTCTTCTGACCAGGCGCTCCAAATTCCTTATCCCCCATCAATTTAACCAAACCTTACAGCCAAGCCCAATGGCTCACTCTTTTGAATGCGCAAACTATCTGCCCTCTATGGCTATCTATAAAGAGTGCATTTGCTTCTAATCTTTCTGCACTGAATGTCAACGGCATTAAATTTGCATCTGAAACCAAGAATGACCTTCAGGCTCTACAGTCTTGTTAATTCTCTTTTGAGTTCTTGCACCTTCTTTTATCCAGAATATCAAGTTAACTAGCTAAGCTTCCTTGGGGTCAGAAGGAAAAGGGTGAACGGAGAATGTGAGGATATGAGCAGAGCAGCTAGACCCTTGTGCTCCATGACGGCTGTGTCCCATTGGCAGGGCTTTATTAAAAGTACATTTTCCTCCTTGGCTGGGAAGTTTCACTGCCTAACTTCTCCTGGCATACACGTGTATGCAAAAATCCAATAGTTTCAAGACCAAGATTCTTAACCCAAGCAGTTTAGGCTTCTGCTCTTTTCACGTATGACACCAAGATGTGGCAGGCTTTTTGACATTAGACATTCAGGCTGAAGCTGCTGTTGATGCACAGAACTAGGGTGCTGCTGAGACCAATGTGTATACTCCATGCTGAAACAAGGTAAGGTAAAAGGTAAAGGACCCCTGGATGGTTAAGTCCAGTCAAAGGTGACTATGGGGTTGCGGCACTCATCTCGCTTCAGGCCAACGGAGCCAGCGTTTGTCTGCAGACAGCTTTCTGAGTCTGTGGCCAGCATGACTAAACCACTTCTGGCGCAACGGGACACCATGGTGGAAACCTGAGCGCATGGAAACGCTGTTTACCTTCCCCGCCACAATGGTACCTATTTATCTACTTGCACAAGTGTGCTTTCGAACTGCTAGGTTGGCAGGAGCTGGGACAGAGCAATGGGAGTTCACCCCGTTGTGGGGATTCAAACCACTGACTTTCTAATCGGCAAGCCCAAGAAGCTCAATAGTTTTACACCACAGCGCCACCTGTGTCCTGTGCTGAAACAAGGTGGCAACTGAGGATGTCAGCTCAGGTACATCTAGGGAAAGGCTTCATACTTTACACTAGGAAAAAGAAAGCGGGAAGCAAAGGAATGAGAGAAGGGCGCTGCTCAGACATTTCCTCAGTGCAATAATACGTCCTGCATTGCAGGGGGGTGGACTAGATGATGCTCACAGTCATTTCTAACTCTACAATCAGGGTTCAAATGTAAGGTCTCACTCTTAGTGGCAAAGCTTCATTTTAATTCAGATATTGCCATGAGTGCTCTGCCTCTGATTTTAATTCATAAAAACAAATTGTGACCTCTAGCAGAAGTATGGGAAATGCTGTTTCTGTTTGTACACTCACACAAATAGTCCGCACATCACAGACTAGCTCTTACTACTCTTTCTTGAAGCAACAGCCCTTGTCCAAGTCACACTTGCATGTGGTCATATCAGATAACTAAGGGATTGAATTTCCTCTGCGTGGCAAGCATTGAAAGCCACCAGCCAGCTCCAGTATTTAGGGAGAAGTAAACATACGTAGATTCTGCTTGCTCCTTTCTGATAATTTATACCAGAGTAACACACCTGCAGCAGCTTTAGAGGAGGAATGAGAACTGCTTTTGATAGGCTGTTTTTGACTATGTCATCCCTGAGCATTGGCCATACTGGCTGAGGCAAGTTCAAGAACACCTGGAGTACCACAGGTTTCCCATTCCTACTTTAGAGGAAAGTGATGGGCTCTTATAGTTACCAAAAAAAACCCCAACAAAACCCCTCTGCCCATTTAGTGTACCAATTCAACAGTACAGTACAGTTCTGTAATTGTTCTACCCAGCCACTATTATTCAAAGAAAGCTGGTAAGACACGTCCTGCATAACATTTTCCTGGTTAGTGTTTCTCCTTCAAATGAGCTTCTTCACACTGCTTCTACAGAACCAAACTTCTTCACCAGAGAGGTAAAACAACAATGTTCTCATGAAAACCTTTCTGGCTTTGTTGCTTATCATTTTGCAGTACCCACCAAAGTGCATTTATGTTTTCCCCTTAAGCTCCTGTGAGAGGAGCTTGCAAATCCCAGAAAATGTGTCAACATGGCAAGCGAGTCTAGGAATTAAAGGTCTCAATGTCCTGGGCACCTAGAAAAGGGGTGGCAAACATCTAAAATCTGAAAACTAAATACCATATATGTATTACTCACCTAGGAACAGATAATCCACATTTCTGAGCGACCGCTGGCCCATGTGCAAAAATGTGACTTCAGGGTAGAAGCAGGCTAGGGTTTGTCATCCATGACAACTAACCCAAAAGAAGTTTTGAATTCACATTGAAGATAAACTGGATCCACTGCGGCCCTTTCAAAAGCAGAAAGTGCAAGTGCTTGGCAGAGGTAGGATTATAGGCTCTAAATTCCCAACAATAGAAGTCTTGTTTGCCCAGATGGGCTTATCCCACTAATCAGACTGTAGTCTGTGGACATAGGAGAAATTGTAGCTTTGTGCTCACTTAGGAAAAGCAACGCCCCTTAAGGTAAAAGAGAAATCATTCATTTATTACATCCCAGCCTTTCCCCAAGTTGCTCTCCTCAAGGACCTCTGGCTTAGCCTCACAAGCCTGTGAACACTATGCTGAGTAATTGGGCCAAGTAAGCATAATGGCTGACTGGGGATTTGAACCCAGATCTCCTCCAGTTTGACATTCTGACCACTACACCATACAAGCTTTCATATCAGCCTTTACTCAGGAACTTTCCACCATCACCCATGTATAACTAATGGAAAATCTCTAGTCCAGCTACAAAGTATGATTTAGGAAGGGGGAAACCCTCTAAGCTGAAGAGAGAACAGGAAACCTAGAGACTTCTCCCACGATAGACTTATCTAAAGCAAGTGGGAGGTGAAGATAAAGAGAGATAAGTGTAAATCAATTTCCTTACTGTCAGACAGAGTCTATGACACAGCAGCAGGCTTGCTGTGGCTTGATTGAGTAATATAGGGTTCAGACCAGTTCAGATCACTCTGTCATTACTTACAGATTTACACTGACTTTTAAGCAGGCTCATACTTCTTTGCCACTTAGAAGTTACTACTAGTATCCCGAGGTTGCAAACCGCTTTGAGATTTGTTTCCCCTTTAAAAATATAAAGCAGTATAGAAATGAAATGGATAATAAGAATTGCGCACACACCAAGGAATAATTTTGATGTATTTTAGAATGTTTATACAAACATTATTTGATTAAAACACAAAATGAGTGAGAAATGGATTACATAGTAATAGAGTTGACATTAGTCCTTTGGTGACATTCCATGTTTAAATGCTGGGTTCTGATACTTCATTAAAAAGAGAGCCCATCCAGTGTTGTGCAATCACAGCTGAAGCATGCCTTGCTTCCTAGCCACACAGACTCTACTGCCCCATATTAATTGTGGTATTCTGCTGTAGGAAATGAGATTGCCTGTCAGCAAGAGCAAAACAGTGGCAGAATCAGTTATGTTAGAGACCAATTAAGACAAGACACCTTTTCTACTATCCAAATGGAAGGAAATTGGCAGAGTGTCACTCCCATAACTCAAGAACATACAAGGGAGCTTTTCTTCAATTAGCTGTAAAATCGGTAGAGATCTTATTAATGTGCACTTTGCCATTTGGTCATGTACGTTACTATTATTTCTCGTAGCTTATGACCATCCTGTATTATGCTGGAGAATCTGAAGATGCAAGCACCATTGTGAGCATTTTAAAATTATATTTAAACACCCCAGAACTCAAATTCATCAGGCAGCAAATAGGCACTTTCTTCCCTTTTCAACTCCACATCTGTGCTTTCTCTAACCATTAATTCAGTCACATGCGGCAAAACTGGCCACTTACAAAGGCACAGAGCAGAGGCAGGCAATGCTGCTGGGTCCCAATTGTCAGCCCACTAGTCAGGGAAGATGGGAAGATGTAACATCTGCAGGGTACCACCCCTGCCCCCGAACCAGAAGAATTCAAATAGTATTTTTAAAAACAATACTGCAAATACTTTAAAAAATACTGACCACTAGTTTCAGTTAATCGATGAGGTGTTCATCAGGGCAAATAATAATAACAATCATAACAATAATAATTATTATTCTGAAGGTGGAAGAGTGCTTTATCTCTAGAGAATGCAAAGTTAGTCTAGTGAAGGAATATCATCTGCAGCAACTGGACTCAGATTAACAATGGGTGTGAAACTGGCCAATATCTTCTTCACTGCTGCTTTTTCGCTGGCTAATATGCAGAAAGCTCAGCCAGAAATGACACTTAATCTTCAGGCTTCTGCAGACACAACCTTTACATGGTAAAAAGTGGAGGGAGACTTCCTAAAGTGGTACAAGGACTGCCACTTTTATCTGGCAGTACTCCTATGTTCAACATCCTGGCAGTACTCCTATGTTATCTGGCAGTACTCCTACGTTCAACATCCTGAACAGCTAAAAGATGAGCAGAAAATCAACAAATACTGCCCCCTCCATCAATGTACCTGTTACATTTATACATGCCATGCAAACAGAAAGGGACACAGGAACTCTGTCCGTAAAAACAAAGGAAATGGACTTAAACAATGTACCACTTTATTGCTTAAGTGATACCAGCCCCTTAACAAAGGGAGTTCTGTGATGTCTTAAGGCCTAGACCTGATTAACAGTTTACCTAGATGCAAGACATATTAAGACCCTCTCAGAATACTGCACATCTCTGAAACGATACATCATCATCATATTAGGCAAGAGCAAAGATTTTTTAGGAAATAGGTGTCCACCATCTCGCTACTTGTGATTGCACAGTGATTTCTCCAACTTGGAGCTTGTACAGTAAAATGGCAACGTAATAAAACCACCAATAAATGACTTACGGTCCTGTACTCCATTTCTACTGCAGTCTGGCCCCCCACTTAGGAAGAATTTATAAATGCAATAACCACAACATCTAGCAACGACATGTATGTATCAAACAACTACCACAGACAGCACTTTTGTATGAATTTCCATCATATCAAGCAAGAACACTTCGGAATCAAGGCAGTTCACACATTCAGTTGCAAAACAGGAACAAGACATGAGAACCAGGATCAAATATTATGGCTTTCATATAAATAGTGGTTATCTAGTCAATCAGCTCTTTTCCCAGCAAATATTCATTTGAACAGAGAATTATGGGGCACATAGGCTCATGAAAAATCCAGTTCCAAAGTTTGTAAGGCTGAATACACAACAGCAATTTACTTCTTTATCCAAGCAGCATCAAACTGTGTGGCTAAATCCCTTTGTGTTCCCCTTTTGTTCCCCTAGCTCTTTACCTGTAGCTTAACTGCACAGCAGTCACCCGGAAAGAGCTTTCAAAGTATATAATCTTGATGAAGTGTGTTTCCCCCTGGTTCATTTTTCACAGATCAAAAATAAAGAGTCTGTGCCTGACAAAGGTGTTGAACGAATTAAAAAAAAGAGAGAGAAGTGCATAGAAAGCTGGGGCAGTTCCATCTTCTCTACATAGCCCTCACAGAGCCATGCTTTATGACCGGCATTGGAGTAACTGTTAGTTTTAATATCCACGGCTGTTAACTGGGCCTGGTGAGAGGCACCAATGGCTTCCAGCATTGTCAAGAAGAGTTAAATGAAATGTATTTAACACTGGAGGATGGCGAATGACTGCTGGAGTTCCCCACAGGTCTTAAAGATCAATGTGTATTTCAGTCAAGAGTGCAGAGACGTCCTTGTGCATTACTGGGGAGGTGATATAGCTCAATGGCAGAACACATGCTCTGCATGTAGAAGGTTCCACATTCAATCCCCTGAAAGTCCTATTAAGAAGGATCAGTGAACAGAGCAGGGAAGGAGGACACTGGAGACCCACTGCAGGTCAAGAGCAGGCAGACCAAGGGTCTGAGGCAGGTTCAGGTGCTCAAGATGGGACAGCTAGGAACTTTGCAGGGCAAGTTTAAGGCCTGTCCTGCCTTTGCAAATAGGCACTTGGTTATTCAAGATCTCTTACTAGAAAGAAAGCCAAGGGCTAGAGGTCAAAATAAGTGCAATAAGTTGGTGTGCTATAGAAATATTTTAGATATACAGTGCAGGGGCATGCTGCTAGCATTTCCCTGTCCAAAAATGGTGGAGAGACGTCAGGCTTTTCAGTACAGTGTGATCACAATTTTCTCCAACTTTCCTTCCAGAAACAGGTATATGGTCCTTTCAAAGTATTTGGCCTCTACAGTTTCACGCACCAGTTCCTCTGTTTGAACCTATCCGAGAAAGAGAGGGTGGGGGTGCGGAAATCCCACCACCAACAGAGGAGACTTTCTTTGCTTGCTCAGCTGAGCAAAGAGGTAGATGTTCAGAGACATTCTCTTCAGGTGCCTGCCGGCAGAAAAGAATTAGAACTGGCACCAGGGTACTGGTGAAATGCAACAGTGGACTTAAGATTCACCCTCTAGCTGCACTTTGGCCAGATGTTTTTGACAGCTGAAACAAAGAGATGCATCGTGTTAGTTTTGCTCCACTACATGCTCTATAACATAAACAGGGCGAAGTTTAAGACTGCCAAAGCAGAGTCCCAGGAGAACTCCACATGCAGCATTAATTTCCAGTGAATCAAACCCACAAAACCCAAGAAAGCTGTAGACTTTGCCCAGGATAATGACGCTACAGCAGAGGGAACAGGCTGTAGGCATTTTATCCCTATCAGAAAGACTGTAGTCCAACTGATAGATTTTTATGTTATTTAAACATCTATTTTTAAAAGAGGCTATAGAGACCTGACACCTATTACATGAACTTTAGCATTAGGAAGCTACAGCCCCTATGTCAGAGGTTTCCAAAGGTTTTTGCCAAGCCCTTTTTGTCTATTTGAGCTTTGTAGGAGCCTGCTTTAAAGATGCAAGCTGACAAGTCCTTCTTATGAGGCATTCATCTGCATTTTCTCGTTTGCCACTCAGCTTTCTGACTCTCGCCGTCTCCTACGCCTACTTTGCAAAACTTGTTTTTATCACTGTCCTTCAAAATAAGAGATTTCTTCAAAAACACTGTGCCTTCATATTTCTCAATCACTTGTTTAGCAGAAACTGCCACCCACCTGATCACATCACAAGGCATGAGAGTCCCATGCAGCCTTGATTCCCATCTTCACTGCTGTTGAGTCTTTTCATCCGATATTGGCGGATCTCCCTCACCAGTGTGTAAAAGGCATCTTCAACACCCTGAGCGGGAAAGATACTCTGGTCAGAAACAAGTGATTCTGGGCCTAGGAGATGTTTTCCTTGTTGCCCCTTCTCCACACATCCCTCTTGAAAGGTTTCATATCAAATTTACCGAGTGGGGGACTGCATTACAGTAGTCGGCAGAATCAATGCAATAAATAGGGGAACTCTCCCACTACACTCTCCCTTATATACACCCACCCCCATTCATGCATAAAAACATACATAAACCTTAATCCCCACCATTCATTCATTCATCCATTCACATTCACTCATGCACAACAGCAGCCACTGGACTTGAAAATAAAAACTGAAGCTGAGGTTGAGAAGGTCATTTTGTGGGTACAGTGGTACGTCGGGTTACATACGCTTCAGGTTACATACGCTTCAGGTTACAGACTCCACTAACCCAGAAATATTACCTCGGGTTAAGAACTTTGCTTCAGATGAGAACAGAAATCGTGCTCTGACGGTGTGGCGGCAGCAGGAGGGCCTATTAGCTAAAGTGGTGCTTCAGGTTAAGAGCAGTTTCAGGTTAAGAACAGACCTCCGGAACGAATTAAGTTCTTAACTCGAGGTACCACTGTATTACAGCACATGGGGGGGGGAGAGAGTTAATTACCATGAAGATTGCCCACCCCTACCTGTATGGCAAATAGACTTAAAAAGAGCTTCATATTTTGAGCCGAGATGAGGGTGCTGTTGTTGTTTTTGAAACCTAATTGCCACACCCAAAAGGGGTGTGTGTGTGCCAGACGTGCCATGGAAGTCTAACCCTTTCCTCCCAAGCCACAAATGTGCCCACAAGACATCAATCAGGTAGGCTTGGGGAAAAGCCTCCTATTGACATTAATTAGAATTGTTCAGGCCTGATTGCTGCGTGCATGGCATTTGGGGCAGTGGAGAGGGGAGAAAAGGGTTAACCCCAGCTGTGATTCCCCCCAGAAAGGGTCATCCCTACATGACAAATAGGGTTTTAAAAAAGCTACCACTTTCTTCAATGGAACCTTACTCCTCACATGCAGGAAGTGTGCTTGCTCCCCACCCCCTTTTTTTAAAGGTTCCAAGTTTATGCAGCCTATAGGATAGTACTCCTACCAACAAGCTCCAACCCTCTGCCTGCCTAGTGCTGGCTTCTCAATCAGTGTACCGGAACAGTGCTGGCAGTTCTCAAGAGAGCAAAACAGAAGCACAAGAATCCATTACCTGTCTCGTTTTGGCAGATGTCTCAATGAAGGGAATCCCATAGCTCTTGGCTACTTCATGAGCTTGTTTGGTATCTACTGTCCGTGTTGGCAAGTCGCATTTGTTTCCCACTAACACCATTGGTACGTCTTCAGAATCTTTCACTCTTTTAATCTGTTCTCTGGAGAAATGGGTGGGAAGAGATCACAGCCTCAATTTTACATGTTGTTCAAATTGCCATTGGTCCCAAAACACGGCAGCTGCACCTGGCTGCTTCTCTTCTGACTTCAGATAATGAAAAATCCTGCAGTTCAGAGCAATGCCATAAGATGGCCTTTTGATATCACATGATTGCATAATTTTATATAAGCCGTCCTTCTGAATTGAAAGTGGGATAGAAATCAAATCAGCATACCATTAACTATATGAACCAGGTAATGAAAACAGAAAGATGCTCCAACCATCCTTTTATTCACCTGAGTATGATCCTCTCCATCCCTTCCTATGCCAGGGCATCTATCACAATTGTCCCCTATTTCTCCAGAACTATTTTGAATATTTTGATTGATTTATGAGCAAAAACCTCTTGAACAGCATATTCAGCTGTACATAAACTCCTGAGCTTTTGAATGCGCAGTTTGATTTTAAACCACACAGGCAAATGAAAATGCTTTATCAGATAGCAGCTGACTGACAGGTGGGCAGCCCTCACCTAATTGTCAAAACAGTCTATGGGGGTTGGGGGAGGGCAGGATCTGACCTGCTGGCAGGATCCAGTTACCACCTCTGTTCTAGACATGACTACCAACCGCTTTAGCAATACAGTCTATTCAAGGGCCACGGTGGATTTTGGCTCAGCACTAGCACGCAGCTGTGCCTTTCCCACCTCCTTCCTGCAAGCACAGCTTACCTGTAAAGATTGATATCTGCAAATGATTTGCTGTTGTTGATGGCGAACACACATAGAAAGCCTTCCCCAGTTCTCATGTACTGATCTCTCATGGCACTATACTCTTCTTGCCCTGCTGTGTCCAGGATATCTAACAAACAGGTCTCTCCATCAATAACTACCTGTTTACGGTAAGAGTCCTGTGGGAAAAAAATATAGTTTCAGAACTAAGCATTATCTGATCCACCAAATCCTGTTTGCCACACACTTCAACACACTGTGATGATCCACAGTTTCGAAATCAGCCCTTCTCCAATCCTTACTGTATTTGGTGATTTAAAGGATGATGTGCTTCCAGAAGCATGAGCTGTTGGGGGATTCCACACATGCTTGTTTACGGTCTATTTGTTCAATCAACTGAAGAACCTCACGATCTCTTTTCAAACAAGAAAAGACATCAGTTGAGATTTTGAAAACATGGGAGTTTCTGGTAAAGTTCCAGAAACCAAACTTAGAACAAGGGAGGAATCTGTGCCTCAGTTCTGGGAGAGCTCTGTCCCTCATCCTTTTAATCCTACAGCAACCTCTGCCCCCAGTCTCTCCCAATTCTTTGCCAAATAATTCCCAAAACTCAAATATTTTAATTTTGTTACACATACTGGGTGGTGTCTGGCTAAATCATACTCAGAGTAGATCCACTGGAACCAATGGATATATGTTAGCATAACTACTGTAATTTAATCCCACTGATATCAATGATTTAAAAAGATACCACTGATTAACAGTTAAGCATATCTGAAAACGGGATGCGGGTGGCACTGTGGGTTAAACCACAGAGCCTAGGACTTGCCAATCAGAAGGTTGGGGGTTCGAATCCCCGCAACGGGGTGAGCTCCCGTTGCTCGGTCCCTGCTCCTGCCAACCTAGCAGTTCAAAAGCACATCAAAGTGCAAGTAGATAAATAGGTACCACTCCGGTGGGAAGGTAAACGGCGTTTCCGTGTGCTGCTCTGGTTCACCAGAAGTCATGCTGGCCACATGACCTGGAAGCTGTACGCTGGCTCCCTCGGCCAATAAAGCGAGATGAGCGCCGCAACCCCAGAGTCAGTCACGACTGGACCTAATGGTCAGGGGTCCCTTTACCTTTACCTCTGAAAAAATATCAATACTTTTGCAAAAAAGTTCTGAGCTTTCTGATATTATAAGGATAAATGAATCCATAGTTTCTATCCACTTCTTTAAAGACAGGATAAGTTTAATGAGTGTGAAACTCTGGGTTTCTAACACTTAGGACTGACGACAGTATGCTGCACCTCTTGTATGCTGGTAGAAAAGCAAACACAAGAAACATAGGTTCATATCATACACACACAGTCAATAAGGTCCCATAGCTGAAAATGCCTGCAGGAGCTCACCTCTATAGTGGGATCATATTCATCTACAAAGTGATTCTGGATGAGCTGGATGGTTAGGGCACTTTTCCCAACACCACCAGCTCCTACCACCACCAGCTTGTATTCAGTCATCGCCCTCCTCAGGGACCTGTTGGTAGGACAGACACGTTAGCAGAGCCGAGATCTCCAAGAGAGCGTCTTTCAGAAACACATAGCAAATGCAGAGACAGAATAAAAATTCTGAACACCCAACGTGTTTGGTACTGTAGTAGCCAGCAAGAGGGCTTTACCACAGGCTGAAAGGCAGATGATAAATTAAACAAAACAAGGCCAAACTCAGTCTGAGAATTCATGGATGATTGATCTGGACCCAACCCCCCCCCCAATACAGGCTCAGCAGTGTAAGATCTTAGACCTGGGCTGCAATATTGTACACATTTACCTGAGAGAAAGTTCTGTGGAGTTTACTTTTGAGTAGGCACGCACAGGATTGTATTATTAGCCTAGGTAGCCACTGGCTCAAATCCATTCTCTACCACAGGAGTGGAGAAGCTTGGTCAGCCTCTGGCCACATTCCCTTCATGGCAACCTGTCTGGGGCCACATGACAGTGGTGAGCATGGCCAGAACATTAGTGGGGGGAGCAACTGTAGATATATGTTTGTACTTAAGTTACACACCCCTCTCTTAACTCCAGCCAGGCAAACAAGAAATGTTATCAGAAGTCAAAGGCACATTCCAGACAGGCAAAAATATTTAAGGAGGGGTGTGGCTCGGCAGTGTATGTGGCCTAGGAAGAGTCTTGTGGGCCAGGTGGAGAGGCCTGGAGAGACACATATGGCCCCTGGGCCTGAGGGTCCCCTTAGTCTCACAATACTGTGAATCAGTTTAGGTTGAGCAGTAGCTTGCACAAGGCCATTAAGGAACTTTTACAGTGGAAAGAACGTTACTGGGTGATGCTGGGCAAGCTACTGCTCAACCTAAACTGATGTGAGAATAAGATGAAAAATATGTAAATGATTTCTGAATAGGAAACTGGAGACAATTTTGAGATGGATGAAGATAACCCAGCTGAAACTCAATTCAGATAAGATAGAGCTGCTCTGAATGGGGAATCTGACTGATCTGGATAGAGAGGAACAACTGGCCTCAGATTGTATTGCATTTCCTGAAGGGTGACATCAAAATTTGTAGTTTGAAGTGCAGCTGACATCTGTGGTTAGCAGATTTGTCTGGCCTCAACGTTATGTCGACCTTAAAAACTTCTCTTTTGGTCCAATTTCTCTTAAAGGTTGCTCTTTTAGAATTGGTAATTTTGGTCAGAGAGTTCTGTATTAGCAATGTATACTGATGTTTTTAAACTGTTTTAAACTGTTTTCAAACTAGCTTAGGTTTTTAAATGACTGTAAATACTGCTGCTGTTATATTTTGTATATGTACGGTTTTATGGTGCTGCAATCTGCACTGGATGGCTTTGCACAGAAGGCTAGCATACAAATGATTTTATAAACAGAAATGTTATTTTAATACAGAGCATACAGTGAATAGATTTAGGCGGAGTCTCGTGTCAAAATGTAAACATTTCAGGACACAAACTTGTGGCAGAGAAAGCTATCAAGCCACAATGGCTATTTTCCACCTCCACTGACAGCATTCGGTGCGCCTCCAAATACCAGCGGCTGGGAATTGCAGGTGGGCAGAGTGCTGTTGCGCCCGTGTCCTGCTTTCGGGCTTCCCACAGACACCTGTCCCGCCACTGTGGGTACAGGATGTTAGACTACAGTGGTACCTCGGGTTAAGTACTTAATTCGTTCTGGAGTACCATTTTTAACCTGAAACTGTTCTTAACCTGAAGCACCACTTTAGCTAATGGGGCTTCCTGCTGCTGCTGCGCCGCCAGAACACGATTTCTGTTCTCATCCCGAAGCAAGTTCTTAACCTGAAGCACTATTTCTGGGTTAGCGGAGTCTGTAACCTGAAGCGTATGTAACCCGAGGTACCACTGTACTAGACGGACCACTGGCCTGATCCATCAACAGGGCTCTTCTTACGTTCACTCGCGTCTAGCTTGCGACTGCCAACATCTGATGTCCGCTTGGCAGCCCCAAAACCCCATCTCTCTGCACGCCTTGGGACCACCAAGGGCAGCCGGGCAGGCCCCGGAGGACCCTTCCCCATACGAGCAGGGCAGCGCCCACCAAGCCCTCAGGCTGCCGGCCCCCAAACATATAGAGCCACTGAGATAGAGCCCCTATCAGCCCGCATGGAGGTCCAGGGGAGAAGCGACTCCAGCGGAAGGGACGGGCACACCCAACCCGGGCAGCGAACGAAGAGCCGCCCAAGGCAGCGTCTCCCGGCACCAGGCGGAGAAAGACAGCGCCGCACCTTCCCGACCAGCCCCTCAGCCCGAAGGGGAGACGGGGCTGCCCAGCCTCCCCTTTTCCTCGTTACGACTTGCCTCTCACCTCACTTCCAGGCTCCACAGCCGCCAGAACGCCCTTCCCAAGATCGGTCCTTCCGACCCGCCGTACGGTTGACGTCATCCCCCGGCGCCGGAAACATTCGGAGACGTCGCTCGCTTGGGCGGGGCTCACTGAAAGCAAGGGCTCCGCGGGGAGCGCTGGGCGGATGGGTGTTGTTGTCCTTCTGCCTGACGAGAGCAGGTGGGAGGAGGGCTCGCGGGACGCCGCTTCCCACCTCAGTTGCGGCAAGTAGGAAGGAAGGACAGCGCCGGATTCGTTCCGGCAGGACTCCGAAGCCAAACGCAATGCCCGCTCCAGCCCCCGGGAGTTGATGGAAGTCGCTTTCCACAGGACCACAGCAGTGGCTTTATGGAGCCAAGTGCCGCTGGACTGTAGCCCTTCGTTTGTTGTTGGAGTACACGGATCCGGAGTGGGGTCCCTAAGATGGTTAGATGGCGCCTTGTACGCCTCCTCCTCCTGCACCAGCTTATATGCAGCTCCTACAGCCAAGCTGGTGCCAAACATATTGCCCTGCTTTCCTAGGGAAACCTAGCCAGATGGGCGGGGTATTATTATTATTATTATTATTATTATTATTATTATCATCATCCTTTGGGCTACAGCCGCAAAACTGGGAGGGAGGCCTTTCCGTCTGGGCAGCCCAAGACCTCCATGCACAATGCCCAAGCTTGCGCCCTGGGGAGGTCACTTTGCAGCGATTGTACTTTACCCCTGAGGCGCACTCCATTCTCAAGGCAGATGGAGGTCAACTTCATCATCCCTCCCCATCAGGCACACTTGTGTGTCCATTGTAGCCACTGCTACATATTCTCACAATGATCTCATGCTGCCCCTTTAAAGTGGTCATGGCAGGGGATTGAATGCAGGACCTTGCACATGTTATCACTTACAGAGCACAGGTCTCACTGGAGTGTAAATGAAACAAATTGAACTTTTCAAAATCCCTTCTCAAGAAGATAGTGTACTTTTGTGAAAATGTGTTCTTTGCATGGTGTCCCACCCTCGCTCTTCTTCCCTTTTCTCACAATGTGAACGGACCAGTGCTACAGTTCTTTTCCCATCACCTCTGAATCCAGCTAGGCTTGGCTTCTAGTCAAGCCTTTTAAGATAGGAGAGGGGGAGATAATATACTGAAAACACATATTTTACACCCAACACCCACCCTATAATGGCCAATAGGTACTTCATGACACTTGTAAAATCACAGTGGGCACCCAGTGATGACCATTATAGCAAAAATAGTATATATGCCTAACATAAGCAAGTGTTTTACAAAATCATGTATAGAGATAGTGAATAAAGAGAACCTTTATCCACAAACACTTGAAATCAGTTACATAATGAAGCTGAAATTCATTAGATTCAGGATAGCCAAAATAAAGTTACTTTCTTACAATATAATTAACAAGATCCTATGTAAACTACTTTGAGGGTTGTTTTTTTACAATCAAGCAGTGTATAAATTTTATTAAATAAATAAAACATCAATTCAAAACTGTTCAGAGAAAGTAATAGCCGCTGCATTGTGTACACACATGCACAACAGCAGGAGTCTGTTATTGATTTCTTGTTCTTGTGCCTTCTGGAAACATCTAGTTGGCAACATGCTAGACATGTTGACCAACTTTAGAGAGTGATCAGTTTTTACCAAAGCACTTATACTTTAAGTAAACAAATAGCTGCATATATACACTACAATACACTACACACTGAGAATAACTATTGTCAAAATCTGTCTATGAACTCATTTATCAGTCTGATAATTTCATTGTAGAAAGGATTTATGGGTAGTAGAAAATTTAGTTTTAATCAAGAGTAAAGGTAAAGGTACCCCTGCCTGTCAGGGCCAGTCGTGACCGACTCTAGGGTTGCGCTCTCATCTCGCTCAAGAGGCTGGGAGCCGGTGCTGTCCGAAGACACTTCCGGGTCACGTGGCCAGCGTGACGAAGCTGCATCTGGCGAGCCAGCACCAGCGCCGCACACGGAAACACCGTTTACCTTCCCGCTATAAAGCGGTCCCTATTTATCCGCTTGCACTTAGGGGTGCTTTCGAACTGCTAGGTGAGCAAGAGCAGGGACCGAGCAACGGGAGCTCACCCTGCCGCGAGGATTTGAACCGCCGACCTTTCGATCAGCAAGTCCTAGGCTCTGTGGTTTAACCCACAGCGCCACCCGCGTCCCATTGAAATTAACAAACATGAGATTAAGTTAGGTACATTAATTTTAGCACATCTGTTCGGTGTAAAATTTAGTTGAGTACCACCCATGATGAGGATGTATCAGCTATGGAAGTAACTAATCACTTGGTACCATTATTTGAAGATATATCATGCTTTTCCTAGGAGTATTCCTGCTTACCCCCCCCCCCTCAATAAAGTAAGCTTTCAGACAATGCCTTTGGCTTATTTAGAGATAGTTCTGAAGTTGATGGCATGCTAGTATCTTTGTGACATTTTGGTTTATCTAATCTAATAGACATCATATTGCATTGTTCCCAGTGGAATATTGGTACCTGCTATTGTTTAGCAAGTGTAATTGATATCAAGTCATTTAAAGAGGCACCCTTTTTCTATATAATTTGCAACGTTTTGCTTAAATGAAAGAAAACGTGAATGGAATTGGAAGTAGACTACTTTTATTGGGAAAGAATGTGTTTTTGTTCAAATACAGAGAAATCTGAAGTTGGATTTATTCCCCAGCAACAGACTTCTCAAGCTACTCCCAAATTTTGGCTGACAAGAACTGAACTCTCTCAACCCTAATATACTGCAGGGAAGAAATGTTTTAAAACACCATTGTGGAGAGGTACTGTAGACTCACCCCCTGTATGTTCTAAGCGTACAAACCTAATCTGTCCACCCCTGCTTTATAGCACAACGATGATATGTACATATTAATGTTGTGCACCAGATCTGACTGAAACCCAGATCACAAACTGAATTGGGCAGATCTGGGCTTTGACTATTTGGTTGAGACTGCCATGGGTCTAGTCAGCCCACCCATAGTGAATTGGGGCGATCTCAGAAAGTCAGGTCAGGTGGGTAGGGGAAGAGGAAAGGGAAAGGCAAACAGCTTCTGCAAGATTGAAGAGCCACGTGACACAATTTGCAGAAGGGCTTTCAAATTGTTGCCACATTGCACTTTGAATTGAACCTGCGGTCCCTAGCACAACCTTACCAATTGAGGAACAGAGTGCAATCCTACTGGCTGCAGGCATCTGTTTTGCATTTCCTACAGAGGTGGTGTTGGTGAAGCACACTGCAGTAATTAACTCTCTGCTCACCTGCTGCTGAGGGAAAGGTTCAGTCCTGCTCTCTACAGTGTGGTCAGGAGCGCAGGGGAAAGGAAATGCTGCATTTACTTGTCTTCCCACTCCTGGGCACATTTAATAGAGGTTAAAATCCTGATTATACATGAGGGCTGGTCCCCAAATCCATTTGCAGGCCAGATCTAGTTGGGGCCTACTGGCGGACCAGGAGTACGCACAGCCCTAGGACACATGCACAAGAAATGACTGCATTGAGGTGGTGTGTAAAGTTTCTAATGCAAGTGCATGACAAGCTTAAGATCAGCTTGCCTGTTTAGCAATGCAAATTATTGGGGTGGGGAATGCAAACACACAGTTGTATCAAAGTTTGATTTCAGCATACCAGTGAGAAAGGTTTCCTGGCAAATTTTAATTGGAATACATGCCCTAAATTAACGACAACAAATCTGAGATGTTTGAAGTGTGTGTGTATGTGTGTGTGTGTATGAAGAACATCTTTAATTTTACATGTTGTATAAATCTCAAGATTCTGTCTCATAGTCCAAAATGTCTGAACTGAAATCCTTGATACTAAAAAAAAAAAGGCGCAATCTTTTAAAAACCCAAAGCTTTCATTGAAGTTATTCTAATTCTACTTAGACATGGCAATTTCAACTCCAGCTACTCAGTGTGACTGGTATGACATCCATTTCACTGTGGGATGTATGGAAGAGGACCCCCCCCCCAGCCTGGGGAAAAAACCACTGTTCCTTGCCAACCTGTGCTCAGAATCTGACCTCATACCACCCAAGGACATGTGCTCTGTACCAGTGAAACCCTTACCAGTAGGTTACAACACTTCATTGAGCCAGCTCATCCTTACAGGGGCTGGACAAAGTGTCTAGAATGGCCTGAGAATACAGAAGTTAGTCAACTCTGATCTATACCACATGGAGCATATTTTGTGACTCGGAATAGTCTTAATGAAGGAGTTACAAGATTGAGGCAGTTTTTCAAAATCAGTAAAACTTTATTCTATTTCCATTCTTCGCCATTAACAGAAAAATTGGAGAAAGCAATGTTTGTTTTACAAAGATAATGCATCTCCCAGAGAAGAAAAACCCTAAATTGAGAATAGAGGTAACATGGGAAAAAAACACAGTACTGCCCTCTATTCAAAGAAAATAACTCCTGATCTTTTTGGTTAAAGTAATACTTAGACCAATCATTTAGTTTGCTCGCTTGATAAAGTGTGGCTGAGGAAAGGGAGGGGAGGGGAGAGAAGGGGCCTGGAGGGAGAGAAAAAAAAGCACACAGACATCAACTATTTCACCTTGATGAAAGTCTCAATACAGCTATGGAAAGCCTAAGTATTCTTTTACAGTACACTGGGTGCTGGCTGCAAAAAAAAAAATGTATTCACTTCAGGCACAACTTTTTAAATTTTTTATTCAGTAAAATAAACTGGGTTTAGAAGCTGCAGTGTTCTAAGCAGCAGCAAATTTGTGCATTGTTTTAAATATCTTTAAGTTATCACACTGATGGCACACCTCATCCTTATGAAATTCTGCACTGTGCATGCTAATTGAAGATAATTACAAAAACTATCAAGTCTACTCTGGAAGATACTTTCAATGTGATCTAGGAGATAACGTTGCTTGCTATATGGACTTTAGTTTAAATGAGACATACAAAACATTTTAACATTTGGCCATCAACTTAAGGAACTTGTTTGAGTGCTCATACAGGATTCTATATAAACAGTTAGTATATTCATCCTCATATGGTCCTCAAAACTAGAGCAGAATGAACAGGAACTTAACCTCTCCTGTCTTAAGAGAGAGTAAAGCAACTGAAAGCTAAGGCATTGTAACACCTTGGCAAGATGTGAATTAAGGAAATATATAGATAGATAGATATATGTATATCCTTTCAGTGCAGAATTTCATAAGGTCTACCAGAGTAGAACTGTCTATAATGTTTACTTAAAGAGGCAAAGTAGATTTGCAGTTACCAGTTGCGTTAAATGCACCATTCAAAAAGCTTCTAACACGTGATACTATAAGGCGCCACCTTAGGTTCTCCAGGATGCAACTGTGCATATTTTAAAACTGTTTCATAAATTTATTTTTAAACATAACATGAGGAAGGTGTTAAAACTGGTGTAATAGCTCTTTAGAATTTGGAAGGGATGAATATGGGGATATTCAGTACCCTTCACCAGACCCCACCACTTGCTCCAACATAGTTATTTGCTTTGAGACCAGTTAGTCGATAACACCAGCTTGACGAATCTTTCTTTCTGCACCAAATCCCTGTAAATAGTGAAGTAACTGAATGAGTTTAAATTGGAACTTGAAATCACGAATAAGGAAAGTAAAGAGAGCTGCAAGCAGTCACATATAATCAATATTGCTACTGAGCATATTAGAAGGAAATCCTTTATTCATTTTCATAACATGCTCTGCTCCACTGCCATCTGTCCACACCCAATCATGCCACATGCCCCCTTGATGCTATTCCACCTCTTGTGCCATCACTCCTTATTAACCTGTCTCTCTACCATGTTTAAACATCCTATTTTCTAAAAATAGAAACCTCCATTGACTCAACCTCAACGTCTAATTGCCAGCTGCTTGCTCCTTTCCCCCCTTTGCTCCAAACTCATGGGCATTGTTTATTCGTGCAATCTTGCCTTCCTTCCTTCCAGTTCTATTCTTGACTCCACTGACTGCTTTTGCTAGAAATAACACATCATATTTTGCTACAAAACCTAAAGCTCTGTGAGGTGCCCTTGCCCTCTCCAACTAGATACCTTTCGCAGAGAGGAGTTTTTCCACAATTTACACAACACTTAGTCCCCTCACCAACATTGAAGACTACTCTACACAATATTCCCCAAATCTCTTTACTGGCATCCTTAAAAAAAATAACAAAATCAGCAGAGGCTCCACATCTTTACCATTAAAACTCTTCAGTTTTACCAAGTCTTTTTAGCCCTTGGTCTGCCAGTTACATCCCCGCTAATGACAGCACTTTCTTATAGAATCCTCTGCAATCTGACAGTCTCTCAGTCTTCTAAGATAACTTAAACATTTAGTACCTCTTCTCTCCCATCAAATCCCTCTTTTTTCAAAGGGTTTTTGGCTGACCCATTACCTACATTCTCGTATGTAAGTCAATCTTCTCACACATTCATGTACTCCTACCATTTTCTATCCCCCTCTTTCGTTTATTTTGGATTTACACTCACTAGAGAAGAGGCACTCTAAAATCTTGCACTGTGTTCCAGTTTATCATTTAAGTCCTTTGTACTTCCATGTTCAACTCACAGTCTCAGCAACCTAAGAAATCCAATATCCTGTCTCAACTGCCTTTGGGAAAAACTGAGTTCCTAAAGTATTTTTATGTCCTTCCATCTTTTGCTGATGATTAACATTTACTAGAATTCCTACCAATTAAAAGGAAGTTGCTTGGCTTCTTATCCAGTATGTCACAGAAGCGGAAATCCCAATGTTATGACCACACATCAGGCAAATATCCTATAACATACCTTTGAATTATCCGGTCCCCTTGGCTGACGAAGAACAGTTAGACGAGGAGCGCTGGCATCATCCAAAGTAATGCTCTTTAAGCGATTAACAAGTCTATCAGGACGTGGAGCAGCTATGGCCTTAGCACCTTCACTGTAAATAGAAACAAACTAAATCATTAGGGAAAACATGTAGATGTGTATTTTAATGTTTTGTTGTTTTTTTTTAAAGAGAGAAAAAGCCAACTTTCTGCTATAACAGCATTCATGCTGGTTATTAGTATCTTTTTCCACACTGCCCTGGAATAACTGTTTAATTTTGAAGGGGAATTCAGTGCAAGATATATGGACATCCTACAATGACAAATGTAGTTTTGATGTTGAATAAAATTCCATTATCAAAATGCATCCTAACAGGTATATGCATTCCTAATCTGCAGTAATATTATGCTCATGGTAGTAATCATGGCATGCGTGAAAGTTTCACTCAGTTAAGACTGCAGCTTTAGTAGATATAAGTGTGCTTCTGGACTGCCAGTATCTTTAGAACTCTGGCATGTAGACAATGCTCAACTATTATTCATCTGTATTTGCACATTTCTCATTAGACACCAGTACTGAACAGTCCCATCACTAAGTAAGTTGTGGACCAATGCAGGGGGCTTCAAATTAGGTAAAGGGAATCCCTGAGAATGTTTTTCCCACCCAAAGAACCACATCTCTCCCAAATCTAGATAAAATCTCAGACTGGATGTGCAGTCTGAGGATTCCAAGAGGCAAAGGAGGGGAGTGAGAATACACACAAAGTGAAAGAGAAGATAAGCTGTTGGGAATGCAAGTGAGCTTTCTACTGAGCCAACCCCCAGAAGTCATAAACCATGTGAAAACCTTTCATAAACTATGATTACAAAGTGGAAATATGTGAGAATTTGAAGTGCCTATCTTCTGTTTCTGCACACATGCAAAATAAAGCTGACAGTAATGGGAATGCAGGAAGCAATAAAATATGAAGAAAAACAGGATTACAAAAACAAAGTACAACAAAAAAGTGCAAGAAATCCACAACATAAGTTGGAGACATGAAAGTGCCAAGAAAGGCGCAATGAAAGAAATACTGCAGCTAATAAATGAAATACAATTTTGTGCTAAGAATGACAATTGGAATGGTTGAATAAGATCAAAATGTTTTGAAGTGGTTCCACTGATACTAATACTACAACCTTTAGGGTAAGTATTGTTAGGATATTTCCGTTCCACCTTAAAAGGGAGCAGGCTTTGTGAGTCAGAGTCTGCGTATTTCCTGTTCACAGGATGTTTATGTTTTCTATTGTTTTCGTTTTCTCTCTGTGTCGCAGACACTAAAAGCAGGCAGTCATGTTTTTCTGTGTTCTGATCAACGCTGAATAAACTTGTAAATAATGCTCTCCTGATTGCAACTTTTGGCTGTGCATTATCTGCTGATAAGAGTGTGCATGAGCTCTGGAATGTGGCAAGAAATCTTCTAGAAACTCATGTCGCTAATTGTCGATACTGCGTGACTACAGGAGGTCGATGGATCGTCCGGCAGACGGCTTGGGGGCCTTGATGGACTTTATCTCCCTGGCAGTATCCCAACAAGTATAACTGTGCTTCAGCCTTAATGTTAAAAAAAAACCCCACCAATGATAACTGAATTATGGGGTAAGAAAGAACCGAGAAGGAAAACAGTAATGAAACTATAGTGATTTTTGTGCACACAATGGTTTGTGTCCAAAAGCAAGTACAGGCAGGGACCACTTAAGGCGTGCCCGACATATGACTGACTGTGCACGCACACATTGCGCTGAACCCAGAAGTGACCCCAAAAGTCACAAAAAGGGGTGGAATGGGGTGTTTGAATTTTTAAAAAAGGTTTCAAATGCACATGAATTAACCTAAAACACACAGTGCCTTGGAACATAACCCCCATGTACAGGGAGTTGCCTGTAGAAGACTGCTCACAAAACCTGGCTTTCCCACCCCTCCCCATGACTACAGCATATAGGGAGCTTTGCTGTCACAAGATGGCCCCACCCAATTTCTGGTTTTCCCATTGCTGCCCCTATATGCTGCACCCCAGACCTCTCCTGAGAGTCCCAATCCCCTGCACCTTTTTTGGGGGGGGGGGGAATGAAGGAGGCTGAAATACAAAAAAGAGGACAGGTAAGCCATGTTGCATGAGTGATCATTTGTTCACAAAACATTGCAACCCATTATGTTTCGCAGATCCAAAAAACATGGGAGAATAGGATGTTAAAGAGCTGATAGAACAAAGTATATAAAGAGTAACTACTCAAGGAATTAATACATTTAGGAAATGGTCCTTGCACAGTATCTGGAGTACTGATTATTTTTGTCAAGGTTTTGGAAATGAGTGGCACAGTAGTATTTCAAGCTTACAAATGTGTAAAATGAGTTCCTGAAAGGAACAGGTGAAGAAATAGAACATTAAAAGTTTATTAACGAACAGAGGGGGAAACCCAAGCAGATGTATGTTGAATGCTAAAGAAATCAGCTCATGAAAAACATCTTTGATGTGGCACTACTTAACTATCAGCTCTTGCCAACATGGCTGTGCTGGCAGAGGCTGATGACAGCTATCTAGTCCAAAACATCTGGAGTGCACAGAGTTGAGGAAGGCTGCTATAAATGAAGAGAATCAATGAATGGAGTATGTATAACAATATGGTGCAAAGTAGGCCAATTTCCTCCTCTTCTTTCCCAATTTTTCCTTTTAAACCAACACCCTCAACATTAACTCATCCCATGTGGTACAAAGAAGGAAAATAAGGGCCACTGAAAGGCCCCTATACACAAAGCTTAATGGATTTTCAATAATTTGTTCATCAGCAGCTACTTTCAAGATTCCAACTCGAGACAGCTCAAGGATGTCTGCCAATTTTCTATCAAGAAATCAGACCAGGATTGCTTGGTTTTCCCCCTGCAAGGGAGTACGGTAAATTAGTATCTTTTGCTTACCTAACACGCCACACATTACAGGCACTGCATTTCCCTGTGCGTTGATTGAGGATGACTGAAAACTCTACTTCGTCACCAGCCTGCAGTTCCACACCATCCTGAACTTCTTTCACGTGAAAAAAGAGCTTTTTGCTGTCACCCACTTCATAGTTTATGAAACCAAACTAAAAAAGGGATGGAAATTGTCTTATCAACTGCACAACATGAGCAATCAAATGGTTTACAAGTAGGACTGAAATTTATTTACAGACAGCACGTAATTTAGACTTTTTAGGGTGATATCCAATGATAGTCATACTCAAAGTAGACCCACTGAAATAAATGGATTCTACTATCATCTTAAATGTTTCCTGACAAAAGGGGATGCGGACCTCATTTTTGGAAAAACATTTTAGCCCCGCCCGATAAGATACTAAAAGAGAAAACATTTGTAACAGGTCTCTCCATGATCAATAATATTTTCATACTTCCTGGCTTCTATCAAGATTCAAGAACTGTAATCTTGTCTTTTACACCCAAATGAAAGTTATAAATTCAGCTAATTAAACTGCTTGAAGGTCAAACTTGGAGCCTTCAAAATCGAGCTGGGTGCAAAAGAACAAGAATGCTATGTTAAATTCCAATAATTTCCTTCCAGTATTTAAACAGAGAAGGCCCTAATGCAGAAAAATCACACAAACAGCAAAGACATGGCTTGCATCTCAAGAAGTCCTCTCACCTGATCTTTCACACATTCCACGGTGGCTCTGCGGAAAGGTGTAATGTTACAAGCCATTGTTTGTCCATTCTGACCAAGGACACAAAGCTGGAACTTTACGGTTTCTCCTTTTTGCAGACAGTCCCCCTTGTTTGCCATACCAACAATTCCAAAAGGATAGACTTCACCTTTCATTTCTCCTGGAGAAGCAAGCATAACACAAAGACGTGTCATGGTTAAGAATTCTCAAGCAGCAGCTTCCATGTCATTTAGACATCACATTGTAACATGCAAGTCTCACTTCAACCAACTTTCCTAGAAAGATTCATTAGGGTACCCAACCAACTATGGAATTAGATCAACCAATACTGGAAAGGCACACTACTCACCATCTTCCATGACTTCAATCATTCCCTGGTATTCAGTCTGGGTGGGATCTACACTCCTGAGAGGACGAATTACTTTACCCGTGTAAACAGCTGGATCAGCCTCATCTGTGATGCCATTCACTATAAAACAAGGTCATCCGCATTACAAGTGGCCATCTTTCCCAAAGAACTTTATGGAGCTTAGCAGAGTCACCCTGTATCAAGTAAAACCTGTCCTACCATGGCTAAAGGTATGGAAATCTAAAAGTGGCAGGTTTGCAAAATGCAGGGGGAGAAATGGAATCTAGGTAGAAAGCTAGCCCTTAATATTTTTTTCCTAATATTTGCTATCTGGAAACACAGTAGTACATCACTAGATGTCATGGGAAAGTCTCTGATAATTCTGAAAACAGCAATTCATCCACATACTGTCAGTATTGGCTTTTCTTCATATGTTTGGGAAGGGCACAAAGTACACCTAACTATGCACCTCACGTTTTCCTTGTATATGGAACCTGAGGGAATCACATTCCAATGTGCAACTCCCCACATACATTCTAAGATGTAACACTACATCTCTAGCACAGAAGTTTAAATAAGCTCACTGGGTAGCTACACTGTCAATTTTTCTACTGCACTGTTTCCCAATATTGAGTAGTGCATTTCTCCAATTTGTGGCAATTATAGGGTAAAGTTTTTTAGTTCTGTATCCTTGCTATTCAGTTTCCAATACAGTGTTCCGAAATATTTTATATCAGAATCTGCAACTCATATGAAGAGAGTAAGGTTCCCACGCTTCAGTCAAAATACCATATAGGAATACAGAGCCAAACAACACTTTATAGCAAGGGTGAGGAACCTTTTGGGTTTCATGGGCTAGAGCCTGATCAGGATCAGCCTCACAGACCAAATATGACAGGTACATGGAGCCAGCCATCTGCCAATGACACATCATTATGATATCATGATTGATTGATTTGTACTCCACACTTGACAAAATCCTTTGTGGGGTTCCCAAGCAAGAAGGCTACGCTTTAAAATGCAAGCTTTTTACTGTTTTCACAGTAGCAGCAGTAGAAGTTGCAGCAGTTGCTGTCAACTTATTTGTCCCCTTTGTCCTGCTTTTCATGTCATATATGTGTTAGTTTTATCTAATCCAAAACACTAATAGAACAGGTTTGTAATTAGCCTTGTTTCTAAGCAAGAATTGCCCTCAGGCAACCAAGACAGATCTAATTCTCACTTCTAGTTTTGGATAATAAACCATTACAGTGGAACAGTCCGAGGCTGGAATTAAGTTCCTGTTTTTCAAACCTGGGATAAATGAAACAAGCAGGCATCCACAAAATTGTCAGCACCAAGTACATAATATTTGGCTTTAAAAGAAATTTAAAAACAGCTTTACCTGCATGTGTCTTGTTCACTTTCTCTGCACTGACTTTGTTTCCTTTGCCTTTTGATAAGCTGTATTCAACCATATCGCCAAGTTCCAGGCTATCGATATCACCACAGAATTCACTGCAAAGAATTATAAAGAAATCTTGAGTATGCATAAATGTAACCAAGATTGCCATCCCAACAAATTTACATTTTTAGCAAACCAATTCAAATGGGATGATCTTGAGAATCTAATTTCTTTTCAAGCGTTCAGTGCAGCAGGCTGCATATCATGTAGAAGACCTCATTTATTAATAGGAAGCCAAATGTTTACCTTATATAAGAGCCCTATGCAACACCCATAGCATGCCACCATCAATAACATTACAAATGGATCTTCCATGAGTATTTTTTACATCAGCCATTATTTGTGTAAATCAGAATAAGCTTATAAAGTGTGAATATGCAGCATATATAAATTGGGGATGTTTATGTCACTAGGATAGGAGCAAAAAACCTATGCCCTCAGCATATGCTGTACAACTCACATTAGCCTAACTAAGCACAACTACTAGTCAGAGACAATGGGAGTTGTAGTCCAGTTTAGAGAGCAATATATCAAAGCTACAGTGGTACCTCTAGTTACGAACTTAATTTGTTCTGGAGGACCGTTCTTAACCTGAAACTGTTCTTAACTAGAGGCGTGCTTTCACTAATGGGGCCTCTTGCAGCCGCTGCGCCGCCAGCACATGATTTCCATTCTCACCCTGGGGCAAAGTTCTCAACTTGAGGTAACTCTTCCAGGTTAGCGGAGTTTGTAACCTGAGGCGTTTGTAACTCGAGGTACCACTGTATATCTATTTTGCTATTGCCAGTGACTGAAAGGTCTTTAACTTGATACACACATACACTGGAATAATACTTTTGATAAGCTTTGTAAAGGTAAAGGGTAAAGGACCTCTGGACAGTTAAGTCCAGTCAAAGGCGACAGTTAAGTCCAGTCAAAGGGTAAAGGACCTCTGGACAGTTATGTCCAGTCAAAGGCGACTATGGGGTGTGGCGCTCATCTTGCATCATGCGGCCAGCATGACTAAACCGCTTCTGGTGCAGCAGTATACCAATGTCTGTTGCTGTATAGCAGGGGTGTCCAACCGGTGGATCGTGACCGACAGGTCGATCCCCGGGTGATCGTGGTCGATCATGGGATCCTTATCGCTCACGTTTAGAATCATGTCTCCCCCCCCCCATAGTCTCTCCCTGCGTTGCGTTTAGTGTGTGTTCTTCTGTTAGCGGCTGTGTTGTTGGTGAGCGATTCATTTTAATTATAAACACTCAACAACTCTGAACTCCCCGCCCAAGGGCAGATCACTGCCAGTTTATTTTTCTAGGAGTAGATCGCTGTTTCTTGGGAGCTGGACGTCCCTGCTGTACAGCATGAGCCAGACAGAGGCTTGCAGGGCACCTAGGCCTGAGATTCTCCATCCCTGCTGCATAGAGCACTCATGTTCCACTTTTTTTAGGATTATAGGAAGATTTTTTCACATTAAGGTTAACATGCAGTCTGCGGGGAGCAGACAAAGCATGCTATCCTACCCTGCAAACCAACCAACTCAGTATTAACCATCTGTTCCACAGCAGGATGCACAGGGACTCTTGCTTGCTACTGTGTGCAAAGATCTGGGGATCCAGACACTAATCCAGCACTGGCATTATACAAGTGGAACAAAGCTTCTGCCACATCATCCTAAACCTGTTTGGGGAGCAGTAGTTACAGTCAGAAGTCCAATTATGAGTCAATGAGTATCTTCTGCTAGCAGGCATTCAACTCAACCAATTGTTATGGCTGGTGAAGGAAGACTCCACCTGTCTCAGAATTGTGCCCTCACTGGAAATTTTCATCCTCCTTCCAGAGGTTCTATGTACACCAAAGGAGGTTCCCACTTTTCAGAACCACTGGAGCACACTTAAATGAGATGGCAACGGTTTCCATATGGGGACTGCAGCACATGACATCATGATGCAAGAGCTGACCACATGGACCCCCTTCCAATATACAGAGCACCTCCACATTACTGTTAGTAGTCTAAAGTAACAGTCAGTGGTGATGTGGAGACTCCTGTGTGCTGCTGTATGGACCATATAGAAGCTGCTACATCTGGCCTGTACCATACCTGATTTAATGTGCAACAAACTCTTAGACTAATCAACTTGCCTGTAATGGAAGAAAATCTCCTTATCGTGATTGGCTGTTTCAATAAATCCAAAGTTATCCTTTAGAGTTGCCACATATCCTAAAAGCCTTTTTGAACTGTAGTTTCTACCAAGCATTCTTACAGATGTAGCTGTTTGCAACCCAGTTCTCTTCACTTCACAGACTGTAAACTCAACCTATTTGGGAAAAGATATCAGACAAAATAAAATGCCTTCTAGAAGGATTGGGAAGATCACATGCACTTATGGAAGTAATCTAATGGGACATTTTGCTTTTTCTCAGCAGTGAAAACAACTTATGGTAGTATTAGCTCTCTTTTGAAAATCCCCTCACTGAGGCTATTCAATTCTCAAGGGCTGAAGTCAGTACTCTCTTATTATGCCATTTAAAGTTGAACGTCAGCAGTCTCATTTTGTAGCCAAACAAGAGAAGGGATTCACATACTAATTCACAACAGTATTTCACAGTGACACCATTATTTTTTGTTGAGATCTTATTTTTAAAAAAATATATTACACAAAAGCAGCCTTAAACAAATCTTAATCCAGGGACACAAGATGTTGGTGTAAGGTTCATAGCCTGAATGGTTCTCAACTTCTGAAGAGAGGCCACAACTATGCACCAGTTCTCAGTATACCCTAATAATATTAAGAAGGTAACGAGGTAATAATTACAAATCAACACAGATAGTGAAAACTGAAAAACCAAGAAGGATCTCTAGAAGTATTTTACCCAATCATGGGCATTCTTACATTTTTAAAAACAGTATGCATATTACCTTATCTCCTATCTGAGGAGAAGTAGATCCTTCCACATCCTTAGCCTGATAGGGAATGGTCAGCTTCTCCCCACAATCATCATAAGCAATTATTCCCTCTTCAGCTTCCTAAAAGTGGGGCAGGGGGGAAGGAAATAAAATACAAAAGGATCAAAACTGAAGGAATTTAATTTTTTTCCAATAGACCACAGCCTGACAGTCAATACAAATGTGAACTGGTAGTGTGAACATAGGTATTCAGTGGCAGAAAATATACTAAGTTTTGTAATCATGAAATTCACTAGTTTTGACACAGATGTATTCATACAGGGAAACGCCTCATTTTTAAACATGATGTATAACCAATCACTGTTGGAACGCCAAGAAAGCCTATCCTATATTTTTCTACTTGGGATTATACAGGAAAGTAGTATCAATTAGGTAACTCATGACCAGTTTCTGAAATATATATTACCTAGTTTCCACTGAACAGAGATATTGCCAGCAGTAGTGTAATCAGGATTTAATTAAAAGCCCTAAACTATTTTAGCAATGGGGAAGATTAATGCAACAGGTATGTTTCAACTAGATACTTGGTATAAGAGTAAGTTCATAGCAGAGAGATGCTCCTAAGATTCAGCACCTATGTTTATTTCTACAACCAAAAAGAATCTACATTATGCTTATAGGAAACCCAAACCTTGCAACCACACTAAGTAAATCAAGTTTAGACACACTTGCAAGACCAGCTTTTAAACTTCCATTATCTTGTTGCAATATGTGTGTTTATCCATCTCAAAGGACACATGAAATATAAAAGTACGGAAACTGTTATCTTCAGCCAGAGAATGTTTATAAATATATTCCTTGTCTAATCTTTATAGAAGTTTTCAGTTATTCTTTTACAGAGAAACAGAAGAAAAACCCCAGGCAGTATTACCTTCTCTTTGCCTTTATTTGGACTAGTGGATTTGGCAGAAGTGGCTTCCTTTTCTATAGTGCCCACAAAACGATTATCTGACTGGGTGTGGAATGAAACAGTGCCTTTTGGAAGTTTCTTAATCCTTATAGCATGATTTCTTTGAGCAGACAGCATATCCTGGAAAAGGAAGGTCATGAAATTGATAAATTGATCAAAAGTGGCTGAATTCTGCAGCTGATACTGTACTGTTTTATTTTATTTGGCTGTTTTCATTATTAGTTTTATCTCTGCTTTAATTAGTACAGTAAGCAATCTTGAGATCTTATTAGATGAAAGATAATAATGAAGCATAGTAAGTCAGCAAATATAAATAAATGACCTGAAGCAACATGAAGTTGGAAAACTTAAATTGCACAAAATTGTACTTACAGGAACCACAGTAAATTCTACTTCATCTGAAATGTGGAGCTGGTTGCCATCTAGAATTTCACTGAAGTGAAAGAACATGCGGGCATCTCTGTCAACACATTTAATGAAACCAAAGCCATCCCTCATTGCGGCAATCACACCCTGTGGACGCAACACATAGGTCAGTAACTATAGCTGATGAAGAATCCTTAGAGCAGGGACTCCCAAACTTGGGTCTCCAGCTGTTTTCAGACTACAACTCCCATCATCCCTAGGCTAGCAGGACCAGTGGTCAGGGATGATAGGAACTGTAGTCCAAACACAGCTGGAGGGCCAAGTTTGGGAAACCCTAGAGGATATCTGTCAGGTACAACAGAATACCATCTAGTCCGCAATGCTCTAGGCCAGGGGTCAGCAACCTTTTTCAGCCGTGGGCTGGTCCACTGTCCCTCAGACCATGTGGGGGGCCAGACTATCTATCTATCTATCTATCTATCTATCTATCTATCTATCTATCTATCTATCTATCTAATCTATCTATCTATCTATGGGGGGGGGGGATGAACGAATTCATATGCCCCACAAATAGTCCAGAGATGCATTTTAAATAAAAGCACACATTCTACTCATGTAAAAACACGCTGATTCCTGGACCATCCGCGGGCTGGATTGAGAAGGTGATTGAGCTGCATCCGGCCCCTGGGCCTTAGGTTGCCTACCCCCACCTCTAGGCATTCTCTCCATGCCTTAAAAAACAGTCATCAGCCTAATAAGTCAATGAGAGAACTCAAGCCACATGTGAACCAAGCGAAAAATAAATGTTATAAAATAATGACACGTCTATGGCAGTAATTGTGCCCAGCACTCCCCCCTCCCCCGGCCAGAAAAACCCTACAATGGAAGAGCATAAAAAGCTTATTGACTCAGATAAATGGTAGTTTTTAGGAAAACTCTAAGACAAATCCAGAGCAAGCAGACCATATCTCAGTGAACTGTTTCCTTCCCACAAAGCTTTTTCTTCCTTTTCTCACTCTAATTCCTCAGAGTGGAAAAAACTGTGAGGCATTATTCATTGAAAATAACTGTATTCTCAGATGGAGGATTCAAAACATTGTGCAACTAGCTGTACAAGTCCCAACATGGCTCTGAACTTGCAAGCCTTTGAGGTTAAGCTCAAATTGCTCTCTGAATTTTAACATCAGTTTTTAAGATGCAAAACTTTCAGAAAACTGAGATAAAGTGGAAAGAGGCAACAGAAGGATTTCAATGCAATTCCTGCTACACATTTCCTTTAAAATGGGATTTGTAAATCAGAAAATTTTCTATTTTACAAATGCAAGTTTCATGTACTCCCTTCTCCATGGGAGCAATTCAGCACTGGAATGCCCTCCCATTGTCATGCTTATTATATTTCTTGGTCACTTATCTAAAAAATAAATGACTTCCATTTCCTCTCCACCACCAGGACCCCACCCCCCAAATCTGCTCCAGAGGGTTTCCCAACCACCCAGAGGTTGGGAATCTGAGGGTGCACAAGGGCAGGAGGGGACAGCAGAGAATGAGGATGTTCTAGTGTGCACATAGAAATGTATTTTTAGTATGTATATAGACATATAGAACTAAAGTTAGAATTCTGTAAAACTGCAGCTCGCTGCATCTTCTATCAAAGGCTTCCTTGGAAAGTAATTCCTCACGTAGCCAAGAGAAATGCAACATGCTGAAGATTCAGACAACTTCTCAGGACTATTTCAGTGTTCATTGCTACATAAATCTAGCATCATTCTACAGTACCAGCAATGCTAAATGAGGCAACAGTAATTATATCCTATTTCTCTGTGTAGAACACTTACATCCGAGTAGATCTCTATAGAATTGTGCTGTAATTCTGAGTTCTATGGAACATACTCCTATGAAAGTAGACATGGCATGCATTTTAATTACTTACCATTTCTCTAGCCTCATTAGTGAGTTGGAAAGTATTGGGAAGAACTTCAATATTAGTGGCTCGTTCCAATTTGTCACGCCGATCTGTTGAAATGTTGAATCTAACGTGGTCACCTTCCAACAGCGTCACCTTTGATTTTGTATCTTTGTCTCCAAATGGAAGTTCTTTAGGAATCACAAAGTCTACTTTTATACGCCCAGGTAATGGGTCATTCTGATCAGAGTACAAAAGAAAGGCCATATTAGAGCTTTCCAGGATTTTACAGTTTTAAAACATCAACTGAGAGCTGAACAAGTTCCATCTTCCATTGTAGCACCCAAGGATGCCTCTTTCATTAATGATTTACCCAATTTGTTTCCCGTTACTGAATTTGCTCAGTGTCACTGACTATCAAAGTACTTTAAAATAAACATTTACAAATAAATTTCTGTACACAATAATGTAAGACATTTTCTACCTGATTTTTGTTGGGTACTTTTGGAATTACTTTGGTTACTGTTCCCTCAAAGTGTTCAATGCTGATATCTTCAAAAATAACAGTTCCTTGAGGCAAAAGTCTTACATCAGTTGCAACTTCTTTACCCTATAAGCAGAAAATTAAGCCAAATAGTCAACTGGTTAAGTAGTTACAAGGACTAACAATAGGTCAAACAACATACAAATCTAATGGAGACATTTAAGGAAGATCCTGCAATGTCATGCATTTACAATTTAAGTTGGAGTTAAGAAATTTGGTCTTACATTTCTGTCTTTGATTGTGAACTCCACATCATCACCAGGCTGTAAGGCTTCTAGGTCACCTTTAAATTCGCTATAGTGAAAGAATATCTCCTTTACAACATCACCTCTTTCAATGAATCCAAAGGCTTCCTAAGAAGAAAATAGGATTGTTAAGCAAAAAGATGCTATCTTGATCTATATCCACCTAGCTGGAATAAAACATTTTTTCTTTTTTCTGGTGACTAATAGTTATAAGAAAGATCTACAGCTAAAAATGTGCATACATAAAAACTTTTTACAGGAGGAATGAGTGAATTATATAAAGCCCAATCTAATGCCTGCTCTCTCAGATGCAAGATCTAATGTTCAATGAGACTTAGTCCCAAGCAACCTTACATGGAAGTTCTGTCTCAAAAGTACTAGAATAAGTCTATACACCTTCTCCTCCACTCCTACATGGTTCCATAACTGTACAAGTAAATTACAGAAAGTAGTTAAGTGTTAATTTACCTTCATGGCACAAACTACTCCTTGACACCGAGCCTGTTTCTTTTTCAAAAGCATAATGTTACGAGCACTTACAGCACCAGTACTATGGGAAAAAGTAGATGAAGGTCACACAAGGAAAATATAATTCAATGACTTATCACAATACAGCCAAATACAGAATGATTCTTAAATTCTATGAGTGACTCCAGTTGTGTTTATCTAGGGTTGCCATATTTCAAGAAGTAAAAATTCGGACACAAAAAATTGATGTTTTTAGGGCTATCGCCTGATAGCTCCGCTGCCACCGCCAAGCCCAGGTTGTCTGAGCACGTGCATGCGCGCGCACACACACACACACACACACAAAAAAAATTAAACCCCAAATCCAGGACATCTGCTTTAAAATGTAAATTTCCCCCCAAAAAAGGACATGTCTGGGAATTCCCAGACATATGGAAACCCTAGTTTATCCCACCAGAGCAGATTTGGGGGGGGGGGATGGGCTAGGAGGGATGAGTTACATGAACTGGTGCAATGCTGGGTCACCTTATATGTTTAATGTGCTAAATTCTATTCTACAAACTGGAAATACATAAGTCTCCTTTCGTTATGACCAGGATATTTTAAGATGAAAACATCACACTGCTACAATCTCTTTACTTAAAGTACACATTCACATTTAGGTCTAAAAAAAAAGCAAGTTTCCTATTAGATAGCTGTACTGTAGATTATCCATTTGTCGATGAAAGAAAAAGACAAACTGACTAGCAATTTTAATAACCACTCAAGAACAAAGCATCTTCAGAAACTTGATCTGAATGGCCTTTGCAAAGTTTGCGAAGTATACTTCAACTCAAGTAATAACATTAGTTTCTGGAGAACTTTACTACCTTAGAGCCAACATGGATTCAGTCATGACAAGGTATCTACTTACTGTTTATTTGTATCAATAATGAAGTTAATTTTATCTCCGGTTTCCAGCTGTACATTTCCTTCAACATCTTCTGGGGTATAAGTTAAGTAGAACACTTCCTGTGAATTAAAATTTGATATCATTAATATTTTGCTATGAGTAGACAAATTTATAAAGTCCTGGTTAGTTTAAACTTCTGCGTTTCAGAACTTGGGAAGTGTGCAGAATATTTGACGTTTTATTAGCATTTTATGAAACTAAAAAATAGTCACAGTGAAGACTTTAGTAAACAGTTAACTTTTCTGCTTCATTTTAACTAGCCATATAATTCTAGACTGAAGTTGTGAAAATATTTCATAATTACAGTCAAAACATGAAGTCAGATGTTTTCTATTTCAATAAATAAGTTTTTAGCAATTTAAATTTTAACTTTTTAAAGCAAGTACAGTTTTTTCACTGTCTACTCTGGCAAGTATTTTAGTTTAAATCATATTGGAGGATCAGTCAAAAAGTTTAAGTAAATACATAAGTTTTACCCCATTACGTTCGTAGCATACACTCCCTGTTGGACTCTGACCCGGGGCAGCTGGAGACTTACTCTCTAAGTTGTGAGGAACAGCACACACAACCTACCAGTCAAAAAAAAATCCATTGCTAATTATTTCCAGAGGCAGCATTATGCATCAGACTGTTAGTTTTCTATAATACACTTGGGGATGCACTTTACAGGTAACCCACAACAGTATGCCATGCTGCAAAGCTTATATCTTACAGTACTTTTGTTAACTGTAAGAATTGTTCTTGGTTAGGTAAAACCCCAATTTTTACGCGCTTGCCAAAACAAGTGGAAAAAATTAAATTTGAGAAAAATATTTCTATGCAACCAAGGAGAGGCATGCTACACTCAACTCTGCCCTTGTTTGTCTGACCACAGCAGATGCAAATCGCATGCATGGAAAAAGCTTATCATAGCCACTAACTTGTCCATTTATTCGCTCTTCAGGTAATGTTTCTGTTTTAATCTTCACCAGTTTAATAGCAATCGGTTTTCCAGTTCGCCGGTCAGAAGATACTTCAAATTCAACATCATCTGTAAAGCAATTGAAGTTTTATCAATGACACAGGACCAGTCTAGTAACACTTAACAGGAATAATTCGCAAGCACAGCTTTACCTTTCCTCAGGCAATCCTCCCTGTCTCCAATACTACACAGCCTCAAAAGTAGTCTTAAATTTGCATTAAGCATTCAAATTTAAGACTGCTTTTGAGGCTGTGTAGTATTGGAGACAGGGAGGATTGCCTGAGGATAGAACTCTCGAAAACTACAAAAAAGCCCAATGAGTTGCTTGCATGTAAATGGTTCCCCTGGATCTCAGTCAGTGGCATTTATCTTGCACATGCATGCTAAGATCAAAATAACAATTTAAAACATGACAGCATTCTCCTCGGTCAGTCAATCTGGCTCATGAACTCAGAGTGGGCAAAATGAGAGGCTCTTTCTGTACAACATTCACAGCCCATTCTTCTAGTCCACTGGTTTCACAACTTTATGACACTGGAGGTATTTTCCACCACATTTCTTCATCTACCAAAACAACTCTAAGTGTTATAAAAAGCTAAAACAAATTCTAGGGTCCCCAAAGGCATCTAGGTGGCCACTGTGAGAAGAATAATTGATTAAATATGCCTTTGGTCTGATCCAGCAGGGCTCTTGTATTTTTAGGGCCATAATTACCTTGTGAGGGCACACAGATTGGGCCTCACTGTTGCTCTACCTGAAGGATACTGAATCTCTGTCCCTCTATATGTTGGATATCAACTCCCATCAGCCCCAGCCAGCTTGGCCAATGGTAATGAGTTATGCGAATTGTAGCTCAGTCAACCTTGAGAGCCACAGGTGTTCCAGCCCTGCCAGAGAAAAACTGAGTGCATTCTAGAACACACACAACTGCCTCCTGTAGCTGCACAATGCAATGGAAAAAATATTTATTTTACATAATTTGTATCATCATCTTCCTTTGTGAGATCAGAGCAGTGTGCACTAAAAACCAGTAGAGTAAAACTCACAGCAGCCCAAGCAAGAGCACAAATGTCTGATAAAACTTTTCTATTTAAACTATCCTCCTAAAGACAGGCAGTTAAGTCTTGCCTGAGAGACAGAATTTTAGAGGTGGTGGCCATCCCAGAAATAGCCCTCAAGGACTATCACTTTTTGAAATTGTTGAAGGGTCAGTGAGAAGGGCCTCTGTGAAAGACCTCAGCTCTTGGGCAGGATTATACAGAAGATAGTGGCCTTTATTATAGCCTGGCTCCAAACCATTTAGGGCTTTAGAAGTTAAAAACAGCACTTAGCTGTACACAGGAAACAAATAGCCTGGCCATGCAGTTAGTAAATAAGGGGATTAACATGAGCCCTACATCCCACCCTGATAGCAGTCTGTAGTGGTGAGCAAACTTATCAGCCATTCTACTGAAGAACAAGGAAGAGCTTCCCAGAACACAGTATGGGAAACCAGTTTCTACGATACTCTACTCAATATAGCTTCATCATAGAAGCATCCATATAGTTAAGCCTATCTATCTGTCTATCTATCAATCATTTATTTACTTATGACATTTCTATATTACTTACTTGCATTTCTAAGCAGTATACATAAAAATAATCCACAGAAAATGGGAAACTAAAACAAAAAATTATCATAAATTGAAACACAAGGCCTCACTTTGGCTCTCTCATCTAATGGTTGGTTTAACTACTATTGACTAGGCAGACACATCTCTAGTGTTAAGAGGTGCTAATCCTCATCACACATGTAAAGAGCCTCAGTTATGAACCCAGAGAATTCCACCAGATGAATTACCTCCCACTTTAAGCTCCTGTAGGTTGCCATTATACTGTGAACAGTGGAAGAACAGTCTAGCTTGCCGTTCTGAACACTGAATGAATCCATAGGAGGTCAGCAGTTTTTCAATAACCCCAGTTTCACGCAGTCCTGCAGAAGTACCATTGGGGTACCCGTTGTGTCCATTGTTATGGAGAAGGTTTGGATCAAAGCTCATCTGAAAGCAAAAGATAACTTGTGAAAGCCTCCAAAAGCAATTCCCATCACCTTTCATACTTAAGGGAACACAGAACACATATTGTGCATTAAAGAGCATCAGATAAGCAAGAAAGTTTCTGGCAGCTAAGGCACAGCTTGTGTACACTATTTGTCTAGCTGAGATCCATCAGTAACGAAACCACATTTACCTTGTAGGATTTATCTATATGCGGTTAATATAGCAAATATAGCATTATATTTTCCCATTATATACAGAATAAAGTTAATACTTTATTCAAAATTAGTCATTAGTATAAACTTGCCTTTGCCAAAGAAGGCTACCAAGAAAGCAAAGACAAAAGCTTACTAATCTTAAGGCAATTTCCATTAGCACCTACCCTACCCTTGTTGAACTGGAGGCCTAATATCTTATGAACTTTCATAATTCTTTGCTGTACTCCTTCAGCTTAAATGCTCCTTCTCTATCCATAAATGCATTGGTTAATGCCAGAAAACAGGGAAAACTGCCCTGCTGAATTCTCATTAATCTTCTAGAAACACATAGATATAAATATGCTTTAAAAACAATTTTGCTATCTTAAGTTAAATCAAATCCAGAGATAAGTTAGTATTAGGGTATCATTTAACTTTTGCTGTTAGAAGAATCAGTGAACATATCATGCAAGTCAAAGGGCTCAAGGCAAGAAATTGCCAAAATCATGCATTTTGAGACCATATATTTTACAGATATGTTGCAGTTTCCTGTGTATCTGTTTAAGAAAGCAAACCAAAAATTCCTGCAACTCCAAGGAGCCATTAAGTGTACAAAAGTTCCATGTGTAAGAAGCTCTAAAAACACTAGACTAACTGCACAGTTATAACCAAACAGATCCTTACTCATTATGCTGGAAATAATGCCCTTTGCTGTCATCATTATTAATCAGAGTTGACCTACCCACCAAGGACAATGCCAGATTCTAAGCCCACATATAGCTTTTGGAGATGCATGTGGGCAATCCTCCTATGGACAATTACTTAGGAGCAAGGTCCACTGAACTCAGTGGGATTTCTGAGTATAGGATTGGGCTGAAAGAGGCTTTGGTTTTTTGTCAACTAGTACAGGCACTAAGATAACATTATGAAATACAGAATAGTGGTCATTTCTCTTCTTGCAAAGAAACAAGTACAGAAATCCCTTGTACACATGCCAACCAAAAAGCACTAAGATATACTGCAACTCATTTTTTGGCAACATAAGATGCAACAACTCCCTACTTAGAAATTAATGCATCTGGAGAAGGTGCTTGCTATAAACTGTTTCCTATTACAAGTGTGTCAAGTAGAATTTATATTATCTATGCCATCATTCTTTCGAAGAATTAGGAAAATAAATCTAAGTGGGCAAGATACATTCAATCAACTTATCAGAATGAATAAAATGAAGTTGCAACACATACACACACATGACCAAGCTTTCATTAAGTTTCTGAAACAGATACAGGAAAGCACCTTTTAAGAACCCAGCAAGATTTCCAGCTGGTTCAAGTGGAATTTTATCCTTTAACCTGTTGAGGAGATTTAATATCAGTGAAGTTAGAAGTGAGAACATATACAGAGATGAGTTAACTGCAAAGGATCCCGATGCTAAGATTCCATGTCTGTCAAGTTGCCCTGACTTACAGATCTCTGATAAAGAGGGGTCCTCTTCTGTTTTTTAGACCCGGATGAAGTAGAAGATGAAGAGAAAGGTAAAGGATGAGAAGGAGGGGGAGCTGCAGGAGGGGGGAGAGGATCTGATGACACAGTATAATGGTTCTCCATCTCATACAGCTGTGATAACATAGTACACAGTATAACTAGTCAATAGTTAGCACATCTTTAAACACATCCAAGTAATTATCAAATTCCATTTCTCAAGAGAGCTGGAAGTCGAAAGCAATCAATCCAAATTTCTTTTTTAAAAATAGGATTACAGTATAAATAGTATTAGCAAGCACTATTTCTAGGTCAATTCCTCTCCAACAATGTTCTGCTTTGCTCATACTACCAGAACTCTGACCAGCTCTTACACAAAAGTACTCACAAGGGAGAAGTGTCATTTGAAATAACTGAGTAATGAATTGAGCTAAGAGTTGGAACATGTTGCATGTTCTTGCACTGCAGCAAACAGTATGTCCAGATAGAATTATAATAGCATTTTATATTTTCCCATCTGAAAGGGATAGAAGAAGAACTGGCACTATTAATGAGACACAGAAAAACTGCTTGTTACATAGGTTCTAGAGAGTACATTCACACAGTAACAATTCAAAAACTGGAATTTTACACAGATAACACTATGTTATCTGTGCTCATTAACCCTAAGGGTTCAGGAGAAGTCTTTCTTTCCTTCTCATGATTTGGAGAAGAGAGACTAGTACCTGAATTTCAAGTAATGAGCACTTCAAAACTGGTCATTAACTAAATTTAGGACACCAGGAACATTGGCAGCAAGATAACAGCTGGTCTCAGTTCTCCTCAACCTTTATTTAATAAATTTAAGCAAACATCAACTGTATGGCACAGAGATGAACTGAAGTGAAATTGCTCCAGCAACAATTTACAGCCTCTATTCTACAGAGCATGTTGCACCAGTATTGTATTCATGAACAGTTGCTGGTTTACTGTTTACTATGTCAACTCCATAATGCAGGAAAGAAATTCCTACACTGATGTACAGTAGCAGTCATTTTCAGGGTTTTTAGGGCAACGAACAAGATATTTTAGAAGCTTTTTTTCTGGATTTTTTTCTTATTTTAAGAATATTATTTGCCTTATAAAGTATCAGAATATTAGTCCATATAGCTCAGTGCTACTGATCAGCAGCTGCTGAATGTTATTTAAAACAAAGGTCTTTCTCAGCCCTGTTGAAAGGGCTTTTTAACTGAAGCTGCCAGGGATTGGCAGCCCTCAATCATTTTGAAATACGATCTTGAGGCTTGAGAATTTTGCCTAATTATGCTTTATGGCATCACAACTACTCTTCCATTTCATTATTGAATAATAATCAAGTCTTTAGAGGATTGAAGAGAGCCCCTTCCCCAGCATTTAACTATGCTAGACATGAGAACAAACACATTGTCTCTCAAGGACATAAACTTTTAAACTTAGTAGTTCGCTGCCAATCTTAAAGGCTTTTGGGGAGAACCCCTGAAAAATTTCCATGCTAGTAAAGGCTGAGGATGGACATGTTTCAACTAACTAGCTATCAACCGTATTCCAGCTAGACATTGAGTTGTCACAGACAAGAAAATTTGGCAGATGTATACTCTGCTCATTTTCAAAAAGGCTCAAAATTTGAATCGACTACTTTTGGCCATTTGAAGGAAGCTTTGGATCACTCTGTTTTGGGGTTTTCCAGAGAAATAACAAAAGAAACCCAAAATTATCTAAGTATTAGGGTAGTTTTGATTTTAAACAGCTGGAGAGGTAACCAATTGCCCTGAAACAGGAACTAGGCCTGGTACAATGACCAATGAAAAGAATGGTTGGGAATGAGGGGTGAGTGTGAAATGATTTTCAAACTTAAACTGTCAAATTAAGAGTGTTTTAGCCTGCTCACTGCACTCTGGCAGGGTTATAGGATGCTTTGTTTAATAAGAGGTTCCAAAATGAGCAGACGTTTCTGCTAGTAATCTGCAAACTGGCCACATTTTTTTTGCTCAAAGGAGGTTGTTGCATCACACCATCTGAGCTAGCTTGGCTTTACCCTTAAGAATATTGCTAGTATGGCAAAAGAACTTACTGATTGGCCATAAGGTGATAAATTCAGTCCGACTGGAGATGCATTGCCCAGGTTGGCACTAACGTATGCAGTAGGGGGAGAAGACGGCATGGAAAATTCAACAAATTCTTTCCAGGTGCTTGCCATATTTTTACGCCTGTTTCAACTTAATTTTATAATGCTGCATATAACAAAATCAAACAAGACAACCTTGTCAATGTATATCTGCCACTTATCCAGTGTCATAAAAAGCTGCCATTCTGGCAGCCTCCTAACATATTAAGACAAGAAGGGATTGATGTGCTAGTTAAGGAAGCATTTAATAGCTTTATTTTACCTCAAGAGGGGTTCTGAAATGGAGAGCAGAAGCTGGATGCTAACTGAACTCATGGTTACTATTAATTCAGCTGTCCTTATAGCAGACAATTAACATTTAAACCTATCAGCTTATGAAATGGAGACTCACTGACCGATACTAGTAATTGGGAGAAGGATATGGAGAAAGTTTGAGATCCAGACTTATAGCATTAGAGTAAACTGATTTCAAAAGGGAGAAACTAGAAAATAGTAGCAGAAAGCTTAATGAAATAGCTACAATGATAAGATTGCATTCCACAGTTAGCTCAGCAAATATAACCAAATGGCAATACTGATGAACTCGAATCATTTAAAAACATAAGCACCACAGCCAGATGTTAGCTCTGCTTTTGATATTCTGACCAAATGAAGGCAGTCAGGATTTAAATAAAAGCATTATTTAAACTCATGTCAAACAGTAGTTTAATTCCAGTATCTATTACTGTTTTAACGAGTACATGCACCAACCTCGCAGTGATATTCTAATATTGCACTTTCAGTAGTATTCGCGAATTCTTCGTTTCAGCACACGTTTCAAAGTTTGAAGATTGCTATTGTTAAAAAAAAGAGATAGCAAGAGACAAGTGATCTATCAAGCTAATAAGGAATAACTGGTGCTGCACTGGGCAGTTTCAGCACAGCACTGAAGAAAACAAAGACTACTAGCAGCGTTGGGACGTGCTCTTTTGAAGCTGTTGAGTAGGCACAAACTTCTTGTTTCAGATCAAGTGTTGTGTCTTCAGTGTAAATTTTACTCTTCTTTGGTCTTGTTTTGTTGTTACGATGTGATGTGTTCCTTTCCTGATCTGAACTTGAAGCAGCAGTTTCAGGTGGTAAATTCTGTTCTGTTACACTTCATACTGGAGAGAAAACAAACAAATAAGAAGTCTATTATGCCACAACTTTTAGACATTTTGGACACTTAACAGATGTGATCCCAACCTTCTGAGCAGATCTTTCTCACAACTCCAAAGTTTTACTAATGCTTGAAAAAAGCTTCTACCTTTTTACTAAGCTCAAATCCTAAATTGCACTGAACATAACATCTGGTTAGAATCTCAGAAATTACTAGTAAATTCTAATGCTTATATACTAATCATGCCTTCTTAACCATTTTCAATACGTTTATAAGCATGTATTTGAGTCATGAACATTTTCACAACTAGAATATAAACTCCTGTTGCTTCAGGAACAGAGATCAGAGACAAACACGAATCGCCACAGATATGCAAAAGCATATGTGAAATGTCTATTTCTTTCCTAAATGAACTTTTACTTGCTTTCTAGGAAAGCAGTATGGTAATCTAAAAATGTTGATATTATCATGCTCTAACGTAAAAGTACAATAATTTGTAATATTTAAAGCTATTATATAATATCAACAACAAGCATAACTACGCAGGTAGCACAAAAATTTGCTGTAAACTGCTTGTCCAAACCAATCCCTGCAGTTTATCTGGGCCAATACCAAAGAACACTGCTAAAAGATTTAAGAGTTGAAACATGCAAGTATATTTTTGTTTTCATTTGTTTTTCATCCTGAGCCTGCCAGTTATAGCAGAAGACAAATGCAAAAGTTATATTTTAAGTTGTGTATTTGAATTTGTTTCCAAACCCAATGCACTAGGAAGAAACAGTACATTCCACACACACACACACACACCTGCCTGGGTGCTAAGAACCTCAGGTGTACACCTTCTCTCAGTTCCATCAACATGGTTGGTGGAGACATAAGAGAGCCTTTTCTGTGCCTGCTTCCATATTATGGGATTCCCACCCAAGAGAAGTTAGACTGGCTTCCTCTTCCGCTGGCAGGCCAGGACTTTCCTATTCAAACAGGACTTTGAAAACTAAGGTGCAGACAATACTGACCACTGGGCCACTGCCATGGCAAACTGTATTTTACTGCTGGTCTTAATGAGTGTGTTTTTTTAAAACCAAACCACACAATTTTTAATTGGTTTTTAAACAAATACAATAACCATTAAACACTTATCCAGCAGTAATCTATTAGTGTTTGTTTCATTCATTGTCTCTAGACATATGTTTTGTTGTATTTTAACTATGGTTTTTAACTAGCTTTTATTACTTTGTCTTTTATAATACACTAATAATAAATAATCAATAGCATCTATGTAATGTATTTTCTCATTAATGAAGGGGCTACATATTTCTTTTCCTATATGATAGAGTCAGGATGCAGTAACGGATAGATAAATCTGGCCCTAGTGATAATTTTTTCCAGCATCCAAACTTCACTGGACATGGAATGCAGAATGATGCTGTGCAACAGCTGAGCCAGCTAACATAAAGGGAAGGAGAGTGAAAAGGGATTGTGATCTTGAGAGGGGAATGAGCAGAAAGTGCTAGAGAACATGAGTAAATAGTTGTTTAAAAAAACCAAAAACCCCACATCTTTGTTTTTATACTTCTGTAGTCTTTCCTAACCCACAATGTTTTGGGGAAAGACAACATATCATGGAGGAAAGACAACATCTCTTGAATAGTAAGTGTTTCCATATATTATTGTTGCTGTACAGTTAGCACAGTTAAAAACAGACCAAGAAACTTAGTAAGGCAAAAAGGAACATCCCAAATCTCTCCTAGCCAATCAAAGTAGGAAGGTCAGCATGCAGGATAAGAAAATTGAACATTTTTGTAAGAATAGAACCAGGTTAGCTTAGCTGGTGTAATCTAGAATGCTGTTATGCTGTACTACTAAGCACATCCTTGACATTAAATTCAACTAAAACAAAGTTATTACTTCAATACAAGCATGCTTAAGAGTGCCCATTCCACTGAATGTAGTCTTAATTCCTATGCATATTTTACACAGAACTCCCAAGCTCAGAAGGGCTTGCTTCTAAATCAGTTTAAACCTAACTATTCTCTGTACTTGGTGGCAAAATATGTTGATCCTCCCATGTTGTGAAGCATTGGACTGTAGTTCAGTGAAATCAGTAGTGTGCATGTCTGTGCTTTAAATTCTTTACTTTTCAGCTCAGCTGCTATAAATACTCCTCCCAATGGCAAACACCCAGTGCAGCTGCCAAGCCTCCAATGCAGCAGACTCTGGGATAACACATAAATCCACAAAGGATTAGCTCAAGTTAGGCACAGTAAAAAGCAAGTTCAATTGTATTCCCCCCTTATGACTTAAGTGATCTTTGATTTTTTGTACTTTGTTGACATGAGTCAAGTTTTCTGTACATTGTCTACACAGCTGATGTAAGCTGTGGCAGCCATATTTAGATTGCAACACTAACAAGGCATTGCTACATGTTTCCAGAGACATCTACCAAAGAGTTTTGTCTTTGAAAACATTGTTTGGTATCAGCTAAATATAATATTGATAATCAAGATCAGAAGAATCCACATGCAATTAAGAGATAGCAGTAATTAAAGGAAATTATACAGGAGGCTGAATGCAATCCTAAACATAATTTTTGAGTGCAAATCCTATTGAACAGACATGTATGGGTTTCAGCTGTAACCATGCAACTTAGGATAAAGGACCACCAAATTTAGTGGGTTTACTCCCAAGAGTGTGTGTGTGTATTATGCACACAGGAGTGCACTGCAATTCAATATCGCTTTTATGAATTCAGTATTGTTATATACCCCTTTCCCACTGAGTAAATCAGCAAATAGTCATCGTTTGGAGACAAAGTCACCAGCAAATCAAAGGCATCAATAGAATTAAGAAGGCTTTATTCTTAAAGGGGGCTTACGGATCAGACTGCACCCATATTTAAAGCTTATAACCTAAAGGGCGAATATGTTGGTTAGGCAGCATGTAATAATAATTGAAGAAAGCCTCAAAATATTGCTGAGAGATCTGAATGCGCGATTACAATGGCTTTATAGTTCTATATTGCAGCAAATGAATTGAATTGCCTAGTTGTAGGGTTAGCACTCAAAACGGATTTCTGACGCCCGCAGAGCGGTGCCAGACAATCGTCTGTTTCCTCAGCTTCGTTACCGCTGCCCACATGAGCGAAAGGAGCTACGGGTGGCCATTCCACCCTGTGCCGCAGCATCACATTAAAGAAAGCCACAGCACATGGCACTGAGGCAGCAAGATGGTGGCTCCTACTACTGAGGGGCGATCTAACGCTTGCGGGGCGGGGGTCCGCATCCGAAAAGGAAAAGATGCGGAAACCCAAAGCCCCAGCCCTGCGGCGCCTGGGGGCGAGCCAAGGCCGGAATCCAGCCCTGGGCGCCCCTCCGGCCGGTTACACCGACGGGCACGTTCTTCCCCTCAGGCGCCTGGGGCGTGTCCACTATCTGCCCCTCTCTCGAGGCTGGGGCGCGGTGGGGGTAGAGCGAGGGAGAGAAGGAAAATGGCGACCGCTCCCCCTCACACAAAGGAAGATTGACCTCCTCTTCCCCTCCCCGCACCCGCACGCTGCATGCCGGGAGAGGTAGTTCCCGTCTCCCACTCCGCTCCGCCGAAGACGAGGTGCCAGGACTCCACCCCCCAGAAGGCCCAGTGGCCGCGCAGCTTACAGCCGCCGCGCCGGGAGTTGGAGTGCTTTCCATCGCCGCGGCCGCCCAGAGCACCGCGCCCCTGAACTCCAAGCCCCAGCGGCCCCTGCGAGGGGAGGCCAGTCGCGCGGTGCACATTGGGAGCCGTAGTGATGTCGGGGTTCGGGCCCACCAGTCCGCTCCCTTTCCCTCCCTCTCTTTAGGCCCCTGCCTGGAGACAAACGGAAGCTGGGGAGAGAAGAGAGCGAGGGAGCCCGCTCGGCCCAGCAAGGTTCCCTTTCTCTCGCTTCTCCCTCCCTTCCCGCCCCCCCCGCCTCTTTGCGCCCGTCTGTCAAACGAGCAGGGCACACGGCGGGTGGGGGAGGGGTTCCCCCCGCGCTAGACCGTTGGTCCCTGGGACAGAGTGACAGGCGACATTCCAAGCCCCCTCGGCTCTCCCTGCCCGCCACCGTCAAGGTCGCGCCGGGCGGGCAGAGGAGGCTGCCGGCCTCCCGGCAGGGACAACCTCACTTACCCCAACAGCTCAGCGCCCCCGCTCCAGCGCCGCCATGAGCAGCACGGCACAGCACGTAGGAATAAATCCCGGCTTCTCGCGAGACTCGCGGGCAGAGAGGAGGGCGGTTCCGCGCGTGCGCAGCAAGGCCGGGCGGGGGGGTGGAAGCGGGAGCTCAGGCTCTAAGGGAGGCTTCGGGATAAGTAGCCGCGGAAAAGCGCATGCGCGCCTTTGCTCTCTGTTTACTTATTGGCCGCCTTTCGGGGCAGCCGCTGCTTAAAGGAGACGCCCTGCGATATTGAGATGCACGAATTGCATCTTTATTGCAAAATGTGAAAAGATGGGTGTATGTGTAACAAAGGTCATGAGAACCATGAGCCCGGCAAACGGAAGGCACCTAATCAAACCAGCACAATGACACAGTAACACTACAAACCCACCGCAGAAGGATGTGAACTGCCCAGTTGTTTTAGAGTAGGGACGGAAAACCTATGACCCTCCAGATGTTGCTGGACTGGACTCCCAGTTCCCATCATCCCTCACGCAAGAGCCGGTTGGATCAGGCCAGCAGCCCATCTAGCCCAGCTTCCTGTTCCAATATTGGCTAATCAGATGCCTATGGCTATTAGCCCCAGTGCCAGGATGTCTATAGGCATATGGTTGGCTGCTAGCACCACCTACCCCACCCCACCGCAGAATTTCACATGCCTACAATGCAGGCCGTTTCCAGGCCACAGTCTACGACTACAACTATTTATTTATTTTCTTGCATGCCTCTTGTACTTCTAAGCAGCTGCACAACAGACACAAGATTCAGCAGGGGAAGCTATACCCATCTCCATGCAGGAATAAGCTTCACCTGTTAACCATCTTGTCCTTTCCCTCAGCCAGCCCTGCATCTACTTCCTTTCCCTCACGTAAGATGGGTAGATGTGTCCAATTCAGAATGATGTGTAGGGATTTGTAGCCTAAGGCACTGGGAATTACCTTGCATTGGCATAACTATTGTCAGCTTTCCTAGTTTGGCATAGTGTGCTTTTCCACACCTCTCATCCCTCCGTTACTCTTATTTTTCCTGGAAGTAAGAAGCATTGATAGGGCAGGTTGAGCAGTCTAAACTAAGCTATTTCAGCTGCAGACTAATGTGAAGAATCAAAGCAGCTTGTGTAATAACCTATGTAAGCAGAGAGTCTCATTAACACAGAGGAATAGCTGCTTGGGCATGCCCTAAGGCCCCTGCAAAAATACTTGGGGCTAGAAAAAGGGAATGGCAGAGGGAGAATTAACAATTGTTTATGCAGAGGAAGCAAAAGGCACATGAATTGGGTGGCTGTAAGAAAAATGAACGGAGACAAGAAGACAGGGAACAAAGGATTTATAATGTTTCACAGGGCTATCATTTCCTCCTCTGATACATTTTAAATCCTCCTTTGTTCACCACCACAAATATCTCAAGGTTCATGCTGAAAACATCCTTGCACTTTAGGAGCTGCCTATTGGCTCTACCTTTTTAGTTCTAGCTTACTGAGTGGCTGCCTCCATTTACAATAAGAGTATCTGTAGAACTACCTGCAACATGGGAAACTGCCTTATTCTGAGTCAGACCATTGGCCCATCTAGTTCAGTGCTGTCTACCTTGACTGGCATCAGCTCTCCTGGGTTTCAGGCAGGGACCTCTCTCAGCCCCACCTGGAAATTGAACCAGGGATCTTCTGCATGCAAAGCCGATGCTCTATCTGAGCTACAGTTGATCCCCAAATTGGAATTGCAGCTTCCTACACCTTTGACCACCAAGAAGCCTCCAGTTCCCTTTTCTATAAAACACAAACAAATTGGGTCCTCTGTGCAAGGTGTCACATAGTAGTCTCTCTCTCTCTCTCTCTCTCTCTCTCTCTCTCTCTCTCACACACACACACACACACACACACACACAAACACACACATATCTATCTATCATCTCCCACACAACAGCAACATTGCATGGTACACCACTTTGCTTGGAAGTAGTCAGACTAGTTTAGCCTGTTGCCTTGGATTATAATTGTAACTCCATAATAGTAATTACTATGTATCAGCAAAATATGGTATGCAACTTCCTTAACTGGATTTAGGAGCGCACATAAATTACTTTTTGTGACAGCTATGCAGGATATTGGCATGCCATTTCTAGCAACAGTGGCTGTTGACATAACCCTGATCGTATCAGTGAATTACCTTGAAGCAGGTTGGGATGCCCTATCCTTACTGACTCAAAGGCAGTGCTTTTAGTGAACCAATCCGAGGCCTGGACTCCAGTCCCAATATGCACACACAGAAGGTATTTCTGCACACTCCTGATAGGGTTGCAGATTCCCCCCTCTGCAAATGTAGTCTCTCCTCACCCTCCAAAGCCACTGGATCGTTCTCCAACCTTCAGGAGATTATTTTTAAGGGTGTATGGTGTTGCTGCAATGAAGAGTGCAAACAAGCCCCCCTTCTATGAGCCAAAGCACTCTACTTTTAGGTCCAAACCATTATGAGCATCACTGTAAAATTAGGTGCAATCTTGGGCTGGTAACTGAATGCCTATTTTCTAAAACAAAGGTGTTATTTTATTCTTGCAGTGGCTGTTAACTGCAAAGCAATTTTCAGCTAGAGGCACAGTTATGAAAAATGTAGACAAACTTGATTCTTGATTTGTGGGAGGTAGGAAGCCACAGATTATTTGCAAAACATGACTTATAGGAAAAGGCTGATAAACAAAGAAAGCACATTTGTACATATAAGAGGCAAGGATAATTTTACTCAGTGGCCACCTGAAAGAAACTTGTTTCTGTTTGAAAAATACTGAACATTCTACTTTGTCAGGTTCTCTCTCCCTTCTAATTTCAGCCAGTGCCTAGCAGGATAGCAGAAAGCTGCTAGAGGAAGCCAAATATTATCACAAACTGTTGTGTTTGCAAGTTAGAATTAAATGCCTAACCAAATTGCTCTCTTTAGATAGATAGATAGATCTCCACATTCAATTCATTATGGCCCAAAGTAATTTTCTTGAAGGGCAAAGGTGCAGGTTACCTTGTTTTCCATTGGCTACATCTCCAATTAAACTACAGATGCTGAAGGGGTCATGATCAGGTGTGAACCAGACAATACTCTCCAAAGGATACAATATCTGATGTATTTTCCATGTCATGGATCTCTCTTTGGTGGACTCTCTTTGGGAGGATTGACTGGCAGTCTCTCTACACAGATGCTATTGTTTACCTTTACCTTACCTACTGGCAAGTGAAGGCATTTTCATCTCCTGTTGCTAATACTGACTGACATTTACACTTTTGATTATGTTGTTTTAGCCCAGGGAAGAACTTCAGGCCAAGCTCCTTTATCTGGGCCTCGAAACTCTCTCCAAGACACACCCCTCCCTGGCCCTGCTTCACTCTGCATTAGTTTCTGCCTGGCTGGAATGCATTCTTACACCTCTGTCCTACGTCCAGATAAGTATGTGTGCATTTAGAAACTAGCTGACTGTGACCCTTTGTAACATTTACCTCCATTCATCAATCCACTTTTCCTTCCAGATCCGTTCACTTGCACACAAGTCCCAAAATGTTGCCCAAAAGGATATGATGCCATTTGGCTAAAAATGGTTTCCCAACCTTGCTTTACTCAAAGACCCAAATTAAATAAAAACAATTCATTTATTTGGAGCATTTGTACCCCACTTTTCAGCTAAAAATGTTCACAGAGTGGCTTACATATAATAAATGAAAACAAGACAGACCTTGCCTGCAGGCTTACCATCTCAAAACACAAGGGGCAAGGGAGAAAAGACCAAAAAGCAACTCAGGTCCCAATTATTAAAGATTAGTTTTCACAATGACCAGCTGGCCTAGAAACAGCTCAGAGGCAGGAGGCACCTGATGGAGCTGGTCTTTTGGCTGGTTGATGGAATGAGCCCTGCTTCCTTCCTCCCCCACTGTGGCGGCCTGATGGAATGGCTGCTGCCTGGTGGTAGTTGAGGGAGAGGAGGCCTAAAGAGTAGACATGTATAGGATTGTACTGTTGCAGTGGAAACAGCTTGAATTGTACTTTTTACTTAACTGTATTTCATATTGTGTGTCCTAGACTGTATTTTAGAGAAAAGCTAATTACTAATTAGGTTTGAAAACAGGCTCGCTTTTGTCATTCTCATGTATGAAGGAGAATGTGTACATTTTGTTTCAGTCAATGACTGAAATAAAACTTGGTTTTACAAAGTTAAATATAGGCATTTATGAAATTCTTAAGGGTTTAATTGGTTTGATAAACATGGTTGCACTAAACACCTATTTATAGCCAGCATATGCCAATTTCAGTTCCCTTTACTCAGCCTAATTTGCAGATAAATACAGAACGTAACTTGCAATGGTCCAAGTGGTTAATCAGCAAACAATGGTACTGGCCAATGGTAACGTAAGTCCATAAATTACCCACGGTACAAAAAGTGCCACAACACATAATATTGCCTCAAAACATTTATTTCAGGAAAATGAACAAATATACATATTTAATACCTGAGAGGTAAAGACAAGATTGAATTCACTGATCAGAGCAGGCAGATAAGATGGCAAACAATAGCACAACAGCTCTGTAACTCACTTATGTACATTGTAACATCCCTCAAGGGTATTTACAAAATAATCCAGAATCTATGCACGGACTAAGCACATGTTGCCGCTCATAACAAGAGCCTGTTTGATTCTGAAGGTGGCACTGATGGCATATATTTAAGGCATAACACTGCAAAGTGATGATATACAGGTGAATCTGTCCTGCTGATTAGGTTATGTTTGCATAATGCACAAAAGCAGCAGCTCTTTTATCAGCTCAGTCTTCAAAGTAAAACTGACTGGTAAGGATTTAAAAACACCAAAAGATGAATTTGAAGAATAAACCCGGCTCTCCTCTCCACCACACTGATGGGGGAAAATGATAAACATGGAGAAACGACATGTGCCGCAAGCTCAAGTCAACACTGAGCAATCGATCCTACTCTGAAACTTACCAGCAGAAAGCAGAAACATTGAAATATCTTCTTTCCCATTCATTATGGTTTACAACACTTTAGCAATAGGCAATATGCTGTACAAGATGGAAGCATGCTATGGGGACAAATACATTTATACAGATGTGATCACACAGGCTAGACGTGTCTCCAGTTCTAGCTCTACAATCACAAGCACAATGTTGAGACAGTCATAGAATCTATCAGGTATGAGGATGTGAGAGTCTGCAAGCGAGCAGCTAAGAAGAACACACAATAAACTGCAGAGCACTATAAATGAAGACAGGACTTGGCTAGGTTCCTATACAATCACTTTATAATTTATTTGTCTTCAAGTCTGTTTGGTGAATGCTTTCCTTAACTACTCAGCATGAAGACAAGATCTTCAATAAAGTACACAAACAAGATTCCATGCAGCACCCATCTGAAGTCTCAAGTAGAAGAAAGGGGGGGGGGAATCTAGAAACAGCAGCATTTTACTATCAATACTTCACAAAGAGTAAATTTTGAAATACTTAGCATGAAGTTCCAAAGGATGCTGCTTTTGGAAGAGTCAGCATTCTAGATCATTTCAGTACTATGTAAACATGAATAGATGGGGCATGATTTCTTCCCCATGCAAGAGCAATGCCTGCACACAGAGGAGTCTCCAAGGGATTTAACAGATATCTTGCCCCCCCCGACCCTCAACATGCATGCAAAGACAAGCAATTACAAGGAATTTGTGGTCTGTACATGCCACCTCTGCTCAGTGAATGAACATGAGCTCAGATTCCTTGCGTTGGGGAGGGAGAGGGAGGGGGAAAAGAGGAATGGATGGAAATACATGAGGCATTCAAGGACCTCCATAATGGTTTGGCATGCTAGACAGGGTGCTAAATGCAAGATTCTGTTATACATTATGATATCTCTGTGTGTGCAGCCACTGCACTCACACATGTAGGGTTTCAGAGAATACTTTTACAGATAATTGTGCATTACTTTCTATATTGGTTGATGTATTAAAGACAAGTAATTTTGGTAAACAGTTGTTAAATGGAACCAAAATACTGCTTAGACTTTTAATTAAATCAAATTAAGAATGGGAGTGCCTAAATTCTCCATGACAATTTATCTTAGGCATTATTTGCTTGAAAGTAAATAAACTTCTAAGAAAATAAGTCTGTTCGGACTATTTTGCTGCATTTCCTATAAAGGTCTGACTTTTAAAGAAAGCCAAAAGTGATCAAGTTGTCCTATCCAACTGAGATTTCTGAAAACAAGGATAACCCTGAGAAAGCATTTGCTTAGGACTATAGCTGCACGTCTACTCCTGTGCATGATTAAGCAGGGCAAACCTTAGCCTGCAGAGGGAGTCATTTCGGCAGCTATGCACAAAACACAGTCTATAATATAGCAAAAGGCTGGAATGATACCCAAACGGAGACATGAGGGAATTAAAAGAACAGCTTGTAAAATAAGCACACTCCTTCCTGCAGTGCAGTTTACCAGCTTCAGAGATCAACTATTTAAAGACAGTTGTTTTGTGGATTGAGAAGCACCATCAGGCATTTCTTCTTGCCTCACCTCGATAGATTCTCTGCTGATTGTTAAGAGTTTTCTCAACTCTTTATTTTCAAGCTATAAAACCAATAAAAACAGTTTCAAACATATGAGCAAAGCAGTGACAGTTATATAAGTGCTAATATAAGATAGTACTAAATCCAGACCCTTGGCAAATGTAAATAA